CCTAACCCTAACCCTAACCCTAACCCTAACCCTAACCCTAACCCTAACCCTAACCCTAACCCTAACCCTAACCCTAACCCTAACCCTAACCCTAACCCTAACCCTAACCCTAACCCTAACCCTAAGTCGGTTTCCGTCACCCAACCTTTTTGCCGGTGCTACCATGGGGCCTCTTGCCACCATGGGACCTTCCCAGACCCGGCGATCCCTACCGCTTATGGTCTAGTCTTGCCCAAAACAGAGGTTTTATGCCATAAACCCTCCATGTACTAGTAATAGTCTCGGTGACGGTCTCGTGGATGACGTTAGTAGTACGGTCTAACTCCCGGTTCCTGCTTTGTCGTTGTGACGATTGAAGTACTGCTCAGCATGAGCCAGCTCCTGCTTCATTATAAGTTGCGTTTTGTTGGGAATGATGGGTTCAGGTTAGCTAGACTGATCTTGGGAATTGGAAAATGTTTGGTACGATTGCACGCTGGATTTGTCAGCCAGAACTTATCATAGACCAGTCCTAGGATTGACAGCTCACACACAAGCTCGTCCCAGATGCGCATGCTCGTACAACATAGGTTGCGATTCATCTCTCGACTTAGGGTTAGGGGTGACAAGCCAACGACTTCTTTGGCGACACTCTTTATCGTGGTTCGTTTATGTTGATTGTGGAAGTGCATTATACGGCTTACATTAACGCTCGGGGACGAGGAAGTCGGGGACCGTCAAATCGCCACCTGTAGTGCTGTGATCATGAACGTGAATCAGATCCGAGAAGCAGGAGAAGAGGAATGAGCAAGAAAATTTTTGAAGAAGAATACGGTTCATTTTGCGTAAATTCTAAACTAATCAACTCGGGGTATATATATCGCAGTACTCTAGCTAACCAAAAGAAAACCAACAAACAACCAACATGAAAAATAAATAATTGAAGCTATCGTCTAAAACACCCTCATCCTCCTCATCCCACTGCTCAGTCCATCATCTACTTTTTACGACGAAACACCCCACAAAGCCGCAACAGCAGCGGGGTTCCAGTCGGGAAGGGACATGTGTCCCTGAATACACTTGTAGGTGGTACCCTGGTAAGAAACCTTTGCACCAGTAGCGTAAGTCACGTAGCTTCCACTCCACTCAACAACGCTCGAACCAGTACCCGCAGCACTCGTCGCAGTCGCAGCACTTCCAGCGGCTGTTCCAGTAGCGGTAGCAGCAGCAGTGGTCGCAGCACCAACAGTCGTCCCCGCAGCCTGCGTCGAGGTAGTAGCAGTCACAGTCGCACTCGACCCAACGAGCGACCAGAGGGAGACGGCGTCGATGGGGTTCCAGGTGGAGAGGGACATGTGTGCGTAGATGCACTTGTAGACGTTACCGTTGTAGCTGACGAGGTCGCCGAGGGCGTAGTTGATGTAGTCACCGTTCCAGGCTGCGATGCCAGTGGAGGCGGCGGTAGTGGTTGCGGCGGCGGAGGAGGAGGTGGTAGCGACCTTGGTGGTGGTGGTAGTGGAAGAGGAAGAGGTGGCCAAGGTGGGGGTAACGATCCTCATCGTGGTGGTAGTCTGCGCGGTGGTAGTAGAAGAAGCAGAAGAGGTAGTGACGGCAGCCTTCGTGGTGGAGGTAACCATCGTCGTAGAAGAAGCCTTTACGACCGAAGATGTCTTGGAAGCAACAGCAGACGATACCGCAGACGAAGCAGAGGAAGACGAGTACGGAAGCGAAATCCCCGGGGTCCCATGCGTCAAGTTCTCATACAAAACCTTCATGAGGGAACGGTCAGAAGTATACTCCGCATCCGCCGAAGACTCCCAAACAATGATACCACCGAGACCCTGGTCATGGACATACTGACACTTGCTCAACAGGGAACGCGGAGTCTCGTAGGTGTTGAACACGCGGCGGACGGGGTCGTAGGAGTAGCCTGCTTGAGCGACTTCGTCAAAGTACTCCGTGGCGCCGGCGACGGGGAGGTCTTTGTAGTCCATGACGCCGGTTTCCCAGGACATGTCGGGGGAACCGCCGGAAGCGCTCTTACCGAGTCCGTCGGTGTTTGCGAATCCACGGGAGTAGAAGGGGGCACCGATGTAGATCTTGGAGGCGGGGACACCGTAGTTGAGGTATGCCTTCACAGCCTTATCGACCGACCACTTTCCATAGGGAGAGTCAAAAAGGTTCGCCTGGTGCGCAGAAATGGAATCACCCCAGTTTCCGTCGGTGAAATCGTACGTCATGACGTGCAACTGGTCCACCAACGCAACGACCTCAGCGACAGGGAACGCAATCTTCTCAGGGGCAGCAGTGACACAGAACGAGATCTCGTAGTCGGACATGCCTGCGGAGGCGAGTTGGGTGCGGAGCTCGGTGAGGAAAGCCATGAAGTTGACGGGGTCGGCGGTGGAGACGTGATTACCGGTGTTACCGTAGTTGACAGCATCGTCGGAGAGGTATTCCCAGTCGATGGAGACGCCAGAGAAGACGGGGCGGGACTCGAAGAGTTGCACGATTGAGGCGGCGAGGGTTTTGCGGGATGCCTCGGTTGAGACGGCGTCGGAGAAGTAAGTGGACCAAGACCATCCACCAATGGACAAGGAAAGATCAAAGTCCTTTCCGTTCTCCTTGAGCTTGTAGAACTGACCCAAGTTTCCGAGTTCGACGTCGGGGGAGTCCCAGGTGTTTTGGGGCTCGACACCCTTTCCGATAAGCGGGTTTTCGAGATCAGCCCAAGTGTCACCAGATTTGATGGTGTAGCCACCCGCGGTGTCGTTCTGCGCGAGGTTGTAGAAAGCGTAAGCGATGTCGGTAATGTAGTCAATGGGGAGATCGGCGACTTGGTAGTTGCGGGAGTAGGTGGCCCAGTTTGTGTGGTAGTAGATTGCGCGCTTGCCGGTGGGGGTGTCGCGTTTGGTCATGGAGCGTTTTTGGGACTCGGAGGAAGAAGCGTGGTGGGAGTGTTGAGTGGGAAGGGCGGCGGAGAGGGTTGAGAGGAAGGCGAGAGCGATGGTCAAGAGAGCGAACTTGGCCATTGGAGAGTTGTTAAGACGAAAGAAGGTGTGTAAGTTGTGATGTGCGCTGCACGGAAAGGAAGTCGAAAGAGTGTCGAAGGTTGTTGAACGAAAGGAAAAGGTGCGCTGCACTGAGATTGTTTGTTGGTTGCTGAAAGCTTAAAGCCGAAATGTGCTCGACGGGCGGTGGTGAGTACTGAACGAAAGACTGAGGAACCACACCTCGACGGGGGTCCAAACTCATCTTATGTACTCTTCGCCCTCCATGGCTGTACCAGCCTCTTGCGATTGGGACAGCCTTGATGCTTAGTCTCGGTAAGCCTTTCGGTGGTGGAGTGGCTGGTCTGGTGGTCTGGTCGTACGCGCGCGCAAGGGATGGCTGGTGGTTGGAGTGCTCTGGATGCGCGGTAACCAAGAAAGCTGGGAAAAGGCTTCAAAGGTTGGCTCTGAAACGCAGAATGGACGGGTAGCGGCGTCTGGTAGGATCATTAATGCGAGGGACCGTATTCGAGAACGTCGGGGGATGAGGTGATCAAGGAGGCGAATCATGCCCTTGAACTGCGGGAAGTTTTCCACATGCTTCGCCCCATCATACAGTCGTTGAACAGCTCCAATTGGCCTCTCCATGAACTCTTCAAGATAACTTGTCGGATTTGCCATTCCCAAACTTTCGCGCTCGGACCTCGCCCAACACACATGTCCTGCATCGTCCCCAACAAATCGTGGCGCAGACGCGTCCGACACCAGCCACCCGAACTCACCGCCAGCCATCAATCCCGCGATCTGGACGGGATCACTGCCATGTGCCAAAGGAATATTCGATGGGGCAGTGCGACCAACCGCCTCTTGGCAATTCGGGTGGATGAGGTATGAAGCGTGCTCAACTGGGATCGACGGCGTAAGTCGCGGCGGAATAGGTGACGGGTAACGGGTAACGGGGAGGGGTGCGGAGTGGCGGCCATACGGTCGCGATGAGGTGTTCGGTAGTGTGTTCGGCTGTAGCGGTGAGGGTGTGTTGGAGGTGGAAGTGGAAGTGGAGATCGGCGGGTGAGGGTGACGGAGGGATCTGCGATGGGTGATGTGTACCGGGTATTGGTGATATTCATTACCTCTAGGCGATGGAGATGAGATGAGCAGGCTTTCTCAATGTCCACCTAAGAGGGATCGCTGGTAATGGGTGTCATTGACTGATTTGCAATTGTCGAGTACATTACTCGAAATTCCCGTTCCTCTCGTTGCAGCCACCAGGCGTATCGATTTGAAGCACGCATTAAGACCATCGTCCACCAACAGTTCAATTGCTGTGCAAGTTGTACCCCGACACCCATCCACAGGATACAGCACACCTTCATCTTGACAAATCATACCGTACCGAGCAGCAAACACCCGTTTACAGTTGCCGAGTTCAGGGTCCAACGCCTGACAGGCCATGCACCCCAGATGCCCGCAGCCCCGGTCCGGGAATTAAACTCGGACCGCACCACATGCCCAACTGCGTCATTCGCAACCTGTCGCCGGTCCTGAGTTTTGGGAAATGGAGAGAATCCTTACAATCGTCGACGCAATTGATCTGGAACGGCCGCGACTGGTGTCTGGACTCTGGACTCAGCCCATGATCCTCAAAGGGTGGCGTTGATTTGCGAAGAGATATCTTCAGCTACATCGAAGCTGCTGAACGCTCGCTCTTCTTCTCTATCCACCCAGACTCAAGTGAGTAGCGCGTCTTTCAAATTCGCGTCTTCGAAACTCATCGCTACTGACAGTCCCAACGAACACAATGAGCAAAAGTCAAACCTTCGAGATCCTCTCCTACAACGACCGGAGTACACAACCTGAGCCCCTACGCCCCATATCCGCCTTTCGCGTCTACAACATCGGCACCCCCTCCTCCTCCTTCCTCCCCCGCCTCGCAATATCCTACACGCGCCCATCCTCCTCCACCGAATCCTTCTCAACCCCACCCCTAACCCTCCCAATCCCCCCCTCCACCTTCGCACCAATCGACCTGACCATCCTCGCACGCATGTGTATCTCTCGGCAATGCATCAAGGAGGGGACGAGGGTTAGTTTGAGGGCTGTGTGGGAAGGGGAAGAGGTTTGTGCGGGGGAGGAGTTCGTTGTGGGACTAGGGGACGGGGAGAGAGGGGCTGCGGAGTATGTGTTGGTGGAGGGGAGGTTGGTGTTGTTGAGGATTGATCGCGAACGGGGGCGAGAACAGACTATGATCCCGACCCCGGTGAATCGGAATGTGAGGACAACGTCACCAGCGACCCGTCGACCACCGGCGCTGGAACCAACATCAGCCTTCGTACCAGTACGGCAGAAGAACAAGCGGTGCGATCAGAAGTTGGATGATGACTGGGAGGTCCTGCCGAGGATGGTGAAACGTCCCAGATTGGTGAGGAGGTTCAGTTTTGTGGGGTTGGAGGATATGATGCTGGGATTCCCACGGGTGTGAAGGGGGCTCCTGCTTCCATGACAGCTACAACACAACTCAGGGAAGAAAGCCTTTTACTTTCAATACAATCTTCCTTGCCACCTCGTATCATCTCCTATCCACGTCCTCCTTACATAACCTCATCCAAACCCCAAAGCGCCCTCCTGCGCACACGGTCATGTCTGTCATTCAGCTTCCTCTTCGACCAATGCTTCTGACGCTCCTTCAACCCCTTCTCCTGCTCCTCAATAGCCTCCTTCTTCTGCGGCGCAACCATCCCAACAACAAAAGGACTACAGTCAAACCGCCTCGCAATCTCGAGTCTGCTGACACCCTCCGCTCTCAACTGTCGGATCTGCTCGAATTCTTTCTCGGTGAGGTGGTATTTCTTCTCGTGTTTGTCCTTGTTCCTCAATGCTGGGGGTAGGGTGGAGGTTTCTGGTGATGAGGTGTTGGGTACTGGTACTTGCACGCGGGCATGGGCGGGGATGAACGCGGAGGGTGTGATGAGGGGTGATGGAGCTGCAGAGGGAGGGTTGTATATGAGGGTACCGAAACGCTCGTCGACGGTGATGATTTGACCGGATGGGAGGGCGGCGCGGGCGTGCTTGGAGAGGTTGCGGACGGGTCTTGCAACGCGCCATGATTGGATGAGTATTCTTGATGTAGAGAACATTGTATATAGCGACCCGAGGGGCGTAAGAGGGGTTGCAGGTGGTGTTTTGAAGGGTTGATGGAGCTCGATTCTCGTACGGCCGCGGTGGTGACTTTTGGTTAACCGGCCGGTTATGTAGAGCGAACGTTAACTATTTGAGGGACCCCAGGGTGAGGTCCCTTAAAACTTCGAAAATGTCGTCGCAGCCGTTGATCCGCCGAGCATTCGTTTCTTAATGTCCATCCGAGTATCTAGTTGCTAGTCCACTGTATTAATCTTCATCTCCTCTATCACCATTACAGGCGCCGGCACCCATCGATACCCCGCGGTCTGCCAAAGTTCTCGAGGGACGCGAGCGTTAACCCTTCCATCTTCAGCACCCAATCCCTCCCAAAATGTCCAGAATCCTCGCTCGTTCTTACTCGACCGCCTCCAAGACCATTCGTCTCGGTCTGATCCCCGGTGATGGTATCGGCCACGAGGTTATCCCCGCCGCCCGCCGCGTTCTTGAGGCCCTCCCTGCTTCCTCCTCCACCCCCTCCTTCACCTTCGTTAACCTCGACGCCGGATACGACCACTTCAAGAAGACTGGAACCGCTCTTCCCGATGAGACTGTCCACCGTCTTAAGACCGAGTGTGACGGTGCTATCTTCGGGGCTGTCTCCTCCCCCTCCACCAAGGTCGCTGGATACTCCTCCCCCATCGTCGGATTGAGGAAGAAGATGGATTTGTACGCCAATGTTCGTCCTGTCAAGACTGTCAAGGGTGCTGAGCGTGATGTCGACCTCGTCATTGTTAGGGAGAACACTGAGTGTTTGTACGTCAAGGAGGAGCGTTTGACCACCGACTCCACCACCGGCCTGAAGATCGCCGAAGCCACCCGCCGTATTACGGAGCGTGCCTCCCAGCGTATCGGCCGCATGGCCTTCGAGATCGCTCTTCAGCGTCAAGCCGTCCGCGACGCCGCTCCCGGCTCCTCCATCCACAAGTCCCCCCTCGTCACCGTCACCCACAAATCCAACGTCCTCTCCACCACCGACGGTCTCTTCCGCGAGTCCGTCCGTGCCGTGAAGGAGTCCCTCGCCGGTTTCGAAAAGTACAACTCTGTCGCCATGGATGAGCAGATTGTCGACTCCATGGTCTACCGTCTCTTCCGTGAGCCTCAGTGTTTCGATGTCGTTGTCGCTCCCAACTTGTACGGTGACATTCTTTCTGACGGTGCTGCTGCCCTCGTCGGTTCCTTGGGTCTCGTTCCCTCCGCCAACGTCGGTGACGAGTTCGTCATGGCTGAGCCCGTCCACGGATCTGCCCCCGATATCGTCGGTAAGGGAATTGCCAACCCTGTTGCCAGTGTGAGGTCTGTTGCGTTGATGTTGGAGATGATGGGTCACAAGGAGGTTGCTGGACGTATCTACAAGGCTGTTGACGGTGTTTTGGAGGAGGGTAAGATCTTGACTCCTGATCTTGGTGGTAAGAGCGGAACCGATGATGTTACCAAGGCGATTATCGAGAGGCTTTGAATGGAGCATAAAATGAGGGGGGGATAGGGTGTAGGATAGAGTCATACAAGGTTTTGGATCCAATACAGTCATCCCAGATTCAGGAATGGGAAAGCATAACGACCATGTAAATTCAATTTCCTCCTTATATGACGAAGACAAACATTAACACACCCTCCATTAAACTGTCCCAACCATGTTCCACAATCACCTTCTCATGCTTGCCTCCTCACATCCTCGCCTTTTTCGCCTTACTCCCCCCACCCCCCTCCTCCAACACCTCAAACCTCGATCCCCGACTATTCTCCACCGGCGCAGCAAACCTCTTCATCGAATTGAACGCGGGGATCTCCGGGATGTCACTCTTTGCAACAGCTCTGGATTTGAACGGCGGGATCTCGAACTTCGGAAACGTGGGCTTCTTCGGGCGAGGCTCGACGGGTTTCTTGAGAACACTTGTGTCGGCCTCCGTAGCGGGTGTACCGTTGTAAGTCTGCAGCTTCGGTCAGCATGGATCGAGGATTCCATGAATGATGGGCCACCTTTTCTCCCGAATACTTCGGCGATATGTCCTTTACCGCGCTCCTGGGACCATCGACGGTTCGATCCGTATCATGACGGGAGTTGACAACAGCTGGTTTCTGTTGAGCACTTGCCTGATCCGTCAACCTCGGAGTATCATCGCGGTCCTGCACCTGTGATTCATAATCAGCATCAGCATTCGTATGATATAAGCAGTTGATGAATGCCACCTTGCTCTTCGTGATAGTTTGACCACCCGTTGTAGTTCCCGTAACTTGCATGTCAGTGTATTTCTGTAGACCCTGTCAGCGCTGTATGACAACTTCCAACAACATGTCCACCTTCACCTGAGAGGTACTCTGTGAGACCTCTTTGACCAAGCTCCTGGGAATGTCAACGGTACGGTCCGTGTCATGGCGCTCAGTGATCTTCTGCGTCTTCAACTTCGGTGCGTACTGTACTTTCACGCCATCACGGACATCGATAAGCCTTTCCTTGGCCGTCGAAGCCGATTCACCTTCGTAGCAGCGATGGGTGTTGTGAGCGACGGCGAGCGCGGAAGAACTCGTAGCCTTTGCCTTGTACGACAACTTCTGTAGAGCAATCTGTACAACGAAGTCAGCAATGATCATCGACAAACCATCTACAATATACCTCTGGTGCATGGCTATTCGACGTCAAATCCGCCACCTCGGGCGAGAGCTCAATTCGACGATTTCCACGCCTGACCACGACTAGCTGTGTAGACGACGGGTGAGAGTCCTCATGGAATGGCTGTAAGATCTCGTAAGCATTTCGGAACGAAAGGAAATTCAAGAATCTTACCTCTTGCCCAAGCTCCAATGATACTTCACCAGCGGCCGCACGCTCGTTGTCTCTTTTATTCTTCGACACAGCCATCGCGAGCGCCAACTCCCGCGGCGAGGCATCGCACTCCTGCTCTCTTCGCTGCCCGTGTTCGTCACGTACTGGTCTGTCTTTGTCGGTGGACGCAGCCCGTTTATTCTCAGGCGACCCCTTCCCGTCGCGATCCGCATGCTTCCGGTAGTCAACACCAAACCTTTCCGTCCGCTCACCATAAGGGCTAGGACTGTATCTGCGACGACGTGAAGCCGACCGAGAACGTGAGCGAGACCGCGTGCGATACTTCCTCCGGTCGTGATCATGATCAGAGTACTCGCGATTGCGTGGGGGCGACTGTGTTGGCTTCTGAGAGTAATCGTCACAGCAGCGGTCCTCGATGTAACGGCGTTCATGCCCACGGCCACGGGAGGATGAACGCTGAGCTTCGCGTGGATCTTCGCGTGTAGGTCGATAAGCAACGACATCCATCTCACGAGAGTCATACCTATACTGTTTGCAGGAAACCATGGCACGCTCCTGCGAGCCTCCATGAGATTGGATCCATTCATAGTGCTCCTCCTCATGACGACGACCGGACGGCTTCTGTTTGGGTGAACGCTCAATGGGCCGCCCACGCTCCTCCGACTCCTCAGCTCCATGATTATGCTGATAAACCCTCCTACCCTGGCTCTCCAGAGGCATATCCGATTTAAGACGACTTTCCCAGCGTTCCTTGCCCTCCTGTTCATGCTTCCGAGCATGCGCTGCATCCCCATCTTCCAAACTGGCAGCGTGACTCTGACTCTGAACCTCATCCTCCTCCTCTTTCGCCGCCACGACTACAGAGAACGTCTTCGGGGAACGGGTGACTGAAGCCTCATTCTCCTGCTCATCCACATCCATTTCCGCACCCGCCGAGGCGGAGGCAGAGGCTGAGGCAGATGCAGATGCAGACGTACTCCTCGTCAAGCTCAACTCAGTCTCCCTATCCTGTCCCGAACCCTTGTCGTCATACCCGAATGAACGAGAGGGAAGAGTGACGCCGCGTGCGATAGCGAGGTCATGCCTGAGTGCCGTAGGCCCAGGCACACTCTTCATTTCGCCTCCATTCATCTTTTCTTGTTGGCGAGGATGCTCAGTAAGTGGAGAAGTCGCAGAATCTGTGCCGTGGATGTGGCAAGGCTCGGTGGTAGCGGTGTCAGAATCTTGCAGGAGAGAGGAGGAGGAGGACTGTGACAAAAGAAAGCTCAGTATCGGCATTCAAACACCGGTAGTCAATGGAGGAGTGTGTTACCTCAATGGCCGTAATTGTCCTCGTCACCATCTGTACGGCCAGCACAATCAGCAGCTCACTTCCAATACCGTTGTTCTTCTCGTTGGCGTACCTTCTCACTTTCACCCCGGCATTCATCCCCACCCACAGTCCCACGCATATCCGTCCTCGTCCGATAACGAACCTGTTCGGGGAGACTCAGTCAGCATACTACCGACCGAAGGGTTACGGAGTCCCGAACCATCTGATTATCAGTCTCCGTCTGAACAGAATCGTGCTACACGACACATGTCAACAACATCTCGGTAGTAGTAGCATACATTCACTGAAACTCATACCTCCAAGCGTGTCACGCCATCGACGAACCTTTCAATCTTGCAACGACTGATACGATACTCCGTATTCACGCTCGACTGTCCAGAATGCTCGAAAATCCCGATGGTCGTGTCGGAGATGGTGAATACGGTACGAGCAGGGTCTGAGTTGGACATCCTGGTTGTTGGTGTAGTTGCAGACAAGTTGTTTGCTGAGTGTTGGTCGCTAAGAACTGAGTAACTGAGGAAGAAGATCGAGGGAGGTTGTATGTCCTTTATACGTCGAGGTCAGGGGAGGCCCGAGTGCAACGCAATGTATCGGGACACAACCACAACTCGTTACGAACAAATTGACCTCATCGCAATTCGAACCTTTGGTACACTTTGTATTGCCGGTAGTGACTCTGTGTATCTACCCATCGCCCTGTAAGCCCTACATTCTATCCCAATCCTCAGTCTCACACATGGACAAACCTTATCAATCCCTCCTCCCCCCCAACCCCAACTCATCAAGCACTTCCCTAACCCTCCCCGGATCCCCCGTAAACTTCTTCTCATCATCACTAATCTTAACACACCTCCTCCCCCCCGCCTCACTCAACTTGATCACGATATTCATCGGTTTACTCACGTCCCCTTCACCAACAGCCCCTTTCTCGGAGGATTTGACGACGATAAAGTCGTTGGTGAGGAAGGTACCGATTCCGAACGCGGGGATGATACCGTGTTTCTCCGCATGCGCTTTGAGCGAAACAGCCTTTTCCACCGTCAACGCATCCGAAAACACGAGTATTTTCTCGGAGGGATCAACACCAACCCCCCTATAATGCCCACACATCCTCTCCACAAATTGCCACGGATCGCCACTATCCTGTCGAACACCTTTGAAAGCCTCACTCAAGCCCCTCCCAAAATCATCCAAAAACGCATCGGTGCCGAATGTGTCTGTGAGTGCGATCGAGAGCTCGTTGGCATATGTTTCGCGCCAGAGGGTGAGTGCGCGGTGGTTGGCGTGGGTGTAGTCATCCGTGATCGCGGCGATGGCCATGAACCACTCGTGTGCCACAGTCCCCACCGGTAGAACGCCGAACTTTCGTGCGAGGTGGACATTGGACGTACCACTCAACCCACCTTTCGCCGCTCCCTCTCGGTCGGCGTCGACGAGGGCTCGCATGACGATCTCGTGCGTCTCGTAATCCCTCCTCCTCCGCGTTCCAAACTCGGAGAATTTGCACCCGGCTTCGATTAACCGCCTCCCCTTCTCGTATGCACGTTCATACTGCCCATCATGATCCCAATCCGTATCCACGAACTTGAAGTAGGCTTCAGAGACGAGTGCCAAAATCGGAACCTCATACAATATCGTATCACTCCACAACCCCTCGATCTCACACCCCAACTCCCGCGTCTCTTCATCAAACGATAACCGGACCTGTTCCTCCGGCTTCATCCCAAACTCACGTAACCACTCCAAATAGTCCTTGGACAAAAACGGCAGCGTCTCCCCCAGCCACGTAAGTTCTTCCTCACTCACCCTCAACGCCCCCAATTTCATGACTTGGTCCTCCAACCACGCATAAGCTTCCACATTCAACCTCATCTCCGACGTGCGATTCGTGAAGCTGTATTTCACGTGTACGTCCGGGAAATGGTGCAACACCGCAGCTTGCATGGACAATTTATACAAATCGGTATCGAAGAGGGAGTGGACACCCTCAGCAGCTGGTGGGGACATGCTGTGGAACTGTGGTGGTGGTGGTCCCTACTGTTGATCCAAACCCCACGTATGGTGACCCCCGCGCTCTCGGCAAGCATGGATGACCGCGCCGGGACGTCTTCCATCGCGACCCTGAAGAAAGTGGACTCCAGGTTCATTCAAAATAATTGAATTGCATTACACAAAAACAAAAGACTAATCAATAGTAATACCACCCACTCGACTCCTCCACATTACTCACCAAACCACGTTCATTAACCATGAGTCCCTGCCCGAATCCGCTATCCTACACTAGTTATTACACTTCATAGTACACACACCTCACTCACTCCGTTCTGAGTCGGTGCTTAGGCAGTAGCCTCCTCAACGACGCGCTCCTCGTGGACGCGCTCACCCAACTGTGCGGGCTCATTCAAAGTAGCAGGCCCATTCGCATGCTGCTCAGCCGGAACCCACAAAGAAGACTCCCTCTGCAAAGGCTGGTCCTCGAGCTGCACACCACCCTCCTGCATCATCTGTCTCCTCCTCACACTCAACGACGGGCGAACAGAAGCCGTCTGCGACGTCCACTGCGCAAGCGAGTTCTCACAATCAATGATGATCTGGCGGGATGCCTCGTAGCCATCGTATGCGGCACGAGTCTCACCGGGGGTAACGGGCTGGTCGTCGATGAGGTCGAGGAGGTGTTTACCGTAGTTTGCGATGATGGCGAGTTTCTCCGCATGCTCGCGGAGCGCATCGAATTGGTATCCGAAAGCGGTCTTGACCTTCTCGCGGGTGATGTTGGACAACTGTGCCTCGGCGACGAGGGACTCTGCCTCTGCGCGGACGAGCTCCTGCTCCATAACAATGATCTTGTCGGATTCGGGGTCCTTGTGCTTCAAGTGTGCGATTTGGTCCAAGAGCTTTGCCTTACGGTCGCGGGAAGGCTGGACGGAAGCCTCGATATTCCGGATCGACTTCATGGTCAAGCGGTACTGGTCGTAGTGGTCAATGAACTGATCCTCCAACTCTCCGATCTCGAAAATCAAAACACCGAGCTTGTCAGTGACGTCAGAGACATCGTCGTCAGTCTCCTCACCCCAAATGGAGATCTGCTTCGCGACTTCCTTGCGCTCGCGGCCGACGAGTTCGTAGGAGCGCATCACGTTCTTCTCGAGCTTGACGAGGAGAGCGAGTTTGCGGGAGAGTTCGGGGCCCATGGAGTTTGCGGCGGTGGTCTTGCGCCAAGTGTGGGAGAGGGGGTTGGAGAAGAAGCGGGATTTGGTGGAAGAGGGAGGGGGAGGGGGAGCCTGCTGCTGGGAAGCGGTGGGGGCTCTAGCGGAGCGGAGAGAATAAGAGCGGTGCTACCACGCGTCATGTTAGCTGCTATCCTCTGCGCGTCCGCGTTCATCGTCATCGCGAGGAGGAAGGAAGACCTACCATAGTGTTTGGTTGTTGGTTTTGTGTTTTTCTGATTGTATGCTCCAAGGGGGGGGCAGTCAGCGCGGTCTATATATGCGCGGGCCGAGATTTTTGGGGTGGCTGGGCTTGTTAGATTGACGTCAGCACCCAGCAAACAAGACCGATTACGTCATGCGCCAAAGTTGAGAGGGAAGCGGAATGAAGTGAGTTAAGAATGTCTTTTCAATTTGAAGAGATTCTCTTTGGCAGGACCCTGCTTGTCGGCCGTCCAGCTGCGATTGGGTGATGACGTAGTCGAGTGAGGCGCACCAAGAAAACTCCACCGGTGCAACCGCTCGGCCTTATAGCTTAGGATGACGTCCGCGGAGGAGGAGGAGGGCAGCTTCCATCTCAATGGTCTTGATCGGGATGAGTCGAACACATACGTATCGAGGAACACGCTCGCCCGTCTGAGTGCCCGAGGACTGTAGCTGGGCCTGCGTACGTAGGTAGCCCCGCACTTGGTCGGAGAGGACGGAGGTGAACCCCTCGTCACATTCCTCGCACCGTTGCAGCCTACCATAAAGGGGATTCTTTTTATGTCCAAATTCTCCGAATCACGCTCAACTCCCCTCCGCAACTTCCTCGGGATCCCCATCTTCGATCTCCTCCATCTCCTCTACATCCCCACCCGCATCAACAGCTTGGCTCATCCTAATCCACTCCGCAACATTCGCCATCCCTCCCCTCCTCTCCTTGCCCTTCCCTTTCGTCCCCGTCTTTCCCTTCGAGGCAGAGGTTGGTCGGGAGTTCGATGCAGAGTCGGTGGAGGGACGAGAAATGATGACACAGAGACATTTCCCGTAGATAGGGAATCCTTCGTAGTATGTCTTGAGGGTCGGTTTCTTGGTGTCTTCGTCCTCCTCCTCATCCTCGTGCAGAAAATTCGGCTCGGGATCCATCACCCCCGCCCCTTCGCCTTCGCCTTCCACGCCCTCCGATGTCGTAGTCAAATCGACCGGATTCGATTTAGTAGTGGTGGTGGCAGAAGAACGAAATCCAAACACCCTCCTCCTCCTCAACACCTCATGCCTCGTCTGTACCCCCACCAAAAACACACTCGCAACAAACTCCTTCGTCCGCACAACATCCCGTGCTCCACCCCTCTTCCCCCCCTTTCCCTTCTGTCCAGCTTCTTCTTTCAGTTTGGTCCATATCAGCGGTTTGATTGATTTGAGAACACGGTGTATGAGGGATGGATCGGCGTTGAACCATGGGAGGTCTGGGTAGTCGATGTAGAGGCGGGATTCGAGGAGGGAGTGGGAGGAGATGCGGAGGTAGCGGCGGTTCACGGTTGTGAAGGTGGTGTTTGTGCTGGTCATTTTCTGCTTAACCTTCAGGCTTTCAAGTTCGGGTCTTGAAAACGACGTCACGGTCGCCGAGTGCTTTGAGTGTGAGGAAGCGTTCCGAATGGGGAATGGCGTGGGTGTAACGAAGATAACCACCATGGCCAATTGCGATTCCGAATGAATCTTGCAATGGAGTTGATCCCTAAGCGGTGATGCAGAGGAATCATCAAGCATGGTACGGCGAGTTGTTTGGAGGTGGAGAAGCAAATGAATCAAAGCATAATTCAAAACACGCATCACGCTACCTTAAGGATACGGCGTACGACACTTACTACACTCGCAATGGCAGCTTCAGAGACTGTGACTTCTCTCATCCCTCAAGTACTCAGGTTGTCATGGCAGCTGCTGACGAGGTGGCAGCTGCGGTACCGGTATCATCCGTGGTGGTGGCTTCACAATCGAAGCTGTAACCGGTGGGTGATCCTTCAACAGGGGTTGCGTCGAAGAGGGTAGAAACGTCGCTCCAGAATTGCCTCAAATAAGAGGTAGCAACAGCCGTGTCATTGAATGCACCTGGACTGGCGCAGGCTTCCAAAGCCATCTCTACCTCGAACAACCCATAAACAGAGCTCATACAAGCAGAGTTAGGCTCATCCGTATCCAAGCAGGCCGGGATTTCACCCACCCTCGGCCTCAGCCATTACGAGGGCAAGCACCTCAATAGCGAGGATTGGTGTGCAATAGTCTGGGATAGGGATGCCGGGCGTGGGTAGGATAAAAGCTACTAGCAGTGAAATCGTTGCCTAGTTCGGTGAAAAGTGAAGCCAAGGTGGGGTCCGAAACGACCTTTGAGATGTCGGATACTGTGCTGATGTTGGCGGGAAGAGCTGTGGCCGCGGCAAGAGAAGAAAGGGCGGGGCCGATACCAGCACCTGTAGCGGCGACTGAGGAGGCGCTGGGAGCCATAGAGGAGGCCGCGGCTGCGGAGGACGCAGCACCGGTGTCCGAGGCCTGACGGCGCCAATGGGCAGGATTGGCCAAAGCCGTGATGGCAAGTGAGATGACGAGCAAAAGGCTGGTGAGCATTGTGAAGTCAAAGGGTTTATAGGTCTGACTCGTTTACCCAAAGTCACCACTAGACATCAATATGGATGGGTGAACAAGATCTAGATGAGGTAAGTGGAGCAGAGCATGTGAACTCTGTATCAACATCCTGGTGGGGATGCCAAGACCTTCCAGCACCTTGACGTGAATATTTTCAGTACGTGTGGGAGCTGTTTGTGTTTGTGATCGAGGGCCGAGGTCCTCGAAGCTTTCTGTCTGTGGTAAGGTTCCGTTACCACACGCCTCTTGATGTCCTCCTTTCACGGTGAGAAGTCACAGTGCCAGCATGGATGTAACGGCCAACGATGTCAGCATCGTAATGGCTGTCAACACTTGTGCTTGCGAAGCGTGTGAAATCTACCTCCAGATCTCTTGATCGACAATCTGGTTTCCGCTTCGGGGTACTTGAGCTCAATTTGCCGAAGAGATGAGGTAACGATTAAGCTTCCGGGAAATCACCGCTGCGGGTTCAAATCCGATGAAGACGCATGGCGCGACGCATGTACCGGTCAGTTCCCTTGATGCTTTTATTAGAAATCTCGACAAGATGTTGGGGGACGCACCTGCGAGAAGGAATGAGGCAAAAGACTTCATTGCCTTCGATGACTAAATCGATAGCCTCGTAGCCTGTACATGTTACTACAGTTCTGTAAGCCGTCAAAGCCGCGTGGGAAAATATACTCAAAATCATCTGCAGAAACTGAAGCTGTGTAGTTAAGGTTCGCCATTAGCGGAAAATACTTCTCGGAAGGATGGGCATGTATACCAGCATTGAATTGATCGAAAAACACTTAAAGATATGTACGAACAGAGATTAAGAAGTTACAACCATTGCCGACGACACACGAGCATCACGCGTTCCCATCCCTTCACAGCCAGCAACCCCGAGGACCTGCCCGTTTCGAGCTTGACAGGAGGATTAAGCCGTAGGGCTGGGTTCGACAACGGGCGCATCCGTAGCAGCCGATACATCCGTAGCAGCGGGCGCAGCAGTGGCAGCAGTAGCAGCAGTGGCAGCAGTGACATCCGTAGCGGAGACACACGAAAAGTTGAAACCAGCCGGCGTGCCTTCAGTAACCGGGAGACCTACCTCGCTACAGAAGGCACTCCAGAACTCACTCAAGTAGTTCGTCGCCGCTGCGGTGTCGTTGAACGCATCCGGGGTGACACATGCCCCATATGCGGCGGCAAGATAGGCGAATTCGGTTTCATCAGAGGCGCAAGCGTCTGTTGCGGTCGCTGTAGCCGAACATGCAGAAATTTCAGCAGCCCCGAGGTCAACGAGGCTGGAGAGGGTCATGCAGTATTCTGGAATACTCACTGTGCTGAGATTGCTGAGGTCGGCTGACGCGGTGAGATCAGCGGCGAGAGTCGAGAAAGCTGGAGCGAGAACAGTCAAGTTGCCGCTGTCGGGGGTTACGGTTGCACTACCGTTGCCAGGAGTCTCACCGACCGAGGACTCTTGACGGCGAACATAGGCGATGGGGTCGGCGATAGCCGCAACGCAAAGGTAGAGGACGAGGAGAAGGTATGCGAACATTCTTGCAAAGTGCGAAAGTAACCCACTTGGAACTCACAAGGACTCAGGGGAAAGACGGGGTTTTATAGCGACCTGACCCGAATCCATGAGCTTCTCAATCGCATGGAGAAGGGAGTGATCCCGCCGAAGTGAGGCTAAGACCTGGTCAGCTGCGTACGTCTGCCATATGGGTTAGGGGAAGCTCATCGAGGCGTTGCGCCTAGAGGTTGTGAGGAAGGGGCCGACCCTTTTCCATCTTGGAGTTTCTCGGTTCTCAACCTCGTTGCTGGCCGATGTCTCGCCAGCATAGCGAAGCCTTCACTTATCGGACCGTTCCAAAAGTCTCCCTTGGGATAGCAGCGTGCACTTCCCCAACAATGTCCCTATTCTTGAAAGGACGATCCTTACCCAACATTTTCCATCACGTTTCTCAGCTGCTTACCCGCTTGAATACGTAAACAGAAAAAGCTCAACGGGGGTAAACATCGCAAACGAGGTATGGCTTTGCCCGAGGTAGGTAACGATCCGAAATTTAAGGTAGCGAGCCAAAGTAAGCAGTTATTCACAGTAAACTCTCATGGGAAGGTTTGTCCCTCCAATGCCGCGACACGAACCCACGGGGGTTCTTCCCAAGGTAACCAATTCTCCGGATCCCCGGAGAGCGTTAAACAAGCACAAATGACCGATTCATTTAGGAGTGCAGGTGTGACGTTCGTCGCCTTATCTTACCTGTCTGGAGGGCAAACGAGCCGACTCCGACAACTTTGGCCGATGACTTGGAAGGCTCCACGCACACGTCTGCGAATCCACGGCCGTTTGCCATCGCAGGGCAGACTTAGTCAGCATTCGTAAGCAACACACGTAACTCCTCCCCCATTCAACCATATGCAAACGAGTAGGGTTCGTAACCTCGTTTCCAGCGTTGCTGTGTGTCTTCGGACCGACGCCCAAACCTTAAAACCTTAACCGAGGAGGAGCGTGGAGGTGCGTGTGCTGGAAACATCACATGGCTACATGGACGCACGCATGCCGAAAGCATAATCCGAGTATCCAGGTGCTAAGAGTTGTAAGACGGGCCGTAATCCTCGTTCTCAAGATGTCGATTGTCTTCGGGTTGGAGGAGGTCGAGGAGTCTTAACCCTAACTCATGCTCACCTTCAACATTTCACATTTCAAGAATTCGTTCAAGCCGGCGTAGCAGTGGCCGTCGCACTTGCAACACAACTAAACGCAAAACCCTCCGGCGTCCCCTCAGCAACAGCCCCTCCAAGCACACTACAAGCATCCCCCCAAAACGCACTCAAATACCCCGTAACAACACCCACCTCACTAAACGCACTCGGCGTCGCACAAGCCTCAAGCGCCAACTCAATCGCATACACGACCGTACTTAAATTATCGCATTCACCACTCGTGGACGCGGTGGCGGAACATGTGAGGAGCTGAGAGTAGGCGGAGGAATCGAGGATGGCGATGGGGGTACAGTAGGAGGGGATATTGGAGGCTAGGGTACCGGTGGGGGTTGGGAGGGGGGTGGAGAGGGTGTAGGCGGAGACGAGGGAGAGGAGGAGGGATTCGAGGGTGGGATCGGGTTGGATTGTGGAGAATGTTATGTTGGTTGGGATTGCGGCGGCGGCAGAGGAGGCTGCGATTTCGGAGGAGGAAAGCTCGGAGGTGGTGATGGGCCTGTGCTTGGGGGGAGGAGGGGGTGGGGGACAGTGACCTGGGGGAGGAGGGCCAGGAGGTCCGGGAGGGCCTTGGTCGTGGGCCATGGGTTGGCAAGGACGACAGCGCAAAGAGCGGTGAGGACGAGGAGGGACTTGAGCATGCTTGACGTTGATGAAGGGGACTGGCGATCAAGAAGAGGAGGGGATACAGCTGGATTTATAGGGAACCGCTTGGGAGAGGGGGCAGAGGCTTGAAGCTCTTGAACATGATGCCACGTCGTTGGTCCTCCACGAGAATTTGGTGGAGGGATAACTGGAGATTGCCTCCGCAGTCTTATATTGACGCTGGTCCTCCCTGTGAAGGCCTTGGCCTAGGCCTGCCTTCGAAGCGGACAGATCTCCAACGTCATGAATGGTGGAGAGGAGATCTGCGGCACGCTCGCTCACCGAGCCGCGGTTGCTTCAAGAAGAGGATGAATCGTGATTGAACTTCCCTGTAGATCGTTATGTACCAGCCCAGCAACCATCGATGGTGTTCGAGGTAAATCCTGGCATACTTGACGGAATGCTGGTCGTACTTGATAGAGAGGTTGCATTCACCCGGTGGACAAGCACTCAGTCGTGTTCCTTAGTTCTGCGATTGGTAGGAGGAATACTGTAGTACCAGGGCCTTCCTCAAGTCCCAGAACCCCATACCAACGAAGCTGAACCCTCATGGGAACCCGTGCGCTCACGCCTCTGGAAACGGGCCGTAGCCGTCCTGATCCACTCAATATCGCGGTACCATACCGAGCGGCAAGACTCCTTACTTGAGAAATCTGGTTGATTCTGAGGAGCTGATCATCCCCAGAGGTCAGAGCAGGCGACTGCCCAGATTGCTGGAAGCATACATCGCCGCGGTTGGAGGTCTGGCGACGCGCAGCTGGGGGACTCCCGTCCAGAAGTCGCTGGGGCTAATCACGTCACAGCCACCACCCACGAACCTCACCGCCAAGCGATCCACCATCCATTCGAACCTCCAACAGACAACGACGATTCTACCAAGATGTCAGTCTACGAGTCTTTACGCCTGCATACAACAGAACAATCCTACATCTTCGAATCCACAACAAGTGGCTACGGCTCCTCCAACAACGGATGTCTAGTCGTCGCCAGAAGTGGTGACGGTGCCGTTCGCTACGAAGGTATTGTCCTGCTCAACTCCCATACTCTGTACACAAACACTAAGAATTATGTTCATGTAGAGCAGCGTCCGGCTGTACTTGGTGCGTCGCAAGCCCCCCGCACAATCTACGGCATCCTCGGCCTCATCCGCCTCCGCGTCCAGAAATACCTCATCCTCATCACAAACCGCAAACGCATCGGCCGTCTCGGCACCCACGACGTCTTCCAAATAACATCCACCGAAATCATACCCCTTGGCAACACCGTAAAAGACGCGGATGAGACACGGTATTTGGGGTTATTGAGGGCGCATTTGGGGACTGGGCCGTTTTATTATTCGTATGAGGGTGATGTTACGAATTCTGTTCAGCGGGTCGCGCAAGCACAGCAGAATGGGGCGGCGTTGTGGGAGAGAGCTGATGAGAGGTTTTTCTGGAATAGGTATCTCCAGTCTGAGCTTATCGATGCACGCAGCGAGTACAAACAACTCGATCACTTCATCCTTCCCGTTATGTACGGATTCTTCGAGATTCGGGCTACAACGGTTCATGGTGCCCCCCTCACCTTCGTGTTGATTAGTCGTCGTTCGCGGTTCAGGGCTGGTACGAGGTATTTTACGCGGGGGATTGATATGGAGGGACATGCCTCGAACTTCAACGAGACAGAACAGATCATCATCGTCAACCAAGGCGAAAAAGAGCGGCGGTTGAGTTATGTACAAACGCGAGGCTCAATTCCCCTATTTTGGGGCGAAGTCAATGACCTAAAATACCGCCCCAAACTCAAGCTCTACGGCGGCATCGAACACAACCTCGACCCCGCCCGCCTCCATTTCGAAGAACAAAAAAGGATTTACGGGGAGCAGTTCTTGGTCAACCTCGTTAACCAAAAGGGACACGAGCTACCCGTCAAGAACGCTTATGAGGATTTAGTTCATAACCTCAATGATCCAGCTATTCATTACACCTATTTCGATTTTCATCATGAGTGTTCGGGGATGAGGTGGCATCGTGTACAATTGTTGTTGGATGCATTGGAGCCGGGGTTGGGAGAGCAGGGGTGGACGGATGTGGAGGACGGCACGCAGGTGCTGCGGACGCAGAAGAGTGTCGTGAGGACGAATTGTATGGATTGTCTCGATCGTACCAACGTGGTACAATCAACCCTCGCCCGCCACGTCCTCACCCTCCAACTCTGCTCCCTCTCCCTCCTCGCTCCGGGCCAAGAACCGTGGACTGATTCCGGGTTCGAGTTGATGTTTAGGGGTGTTTGGGCGGATAACGCGGATTGTGTTTCGAAGAGTTATTCCGGGACTGGAGCGCTCAAGACGGATTTTACGCGGACAGGGAGGAGGACCAAGATGGGTGCTTGGAATGATTTCTGTAATTCTGTGACGAGGTATTTCATGAACAACTACCTCGACGGCCCGAGACAGGTATGTCCCACCAATCCTCCCCCACAAGCTGTCTGACAAATGCTGATTGACGATGACCAATAGGACGCCTACGACCTCTTCCTCGGCTCCTACAAACCCTACGAAAACCCGTCAACAACACCCTTCCTCGACCCCCGTCCCCTCCTAGCACAATCAGCCCCATACATCCTCATCTCCGCACTCATCATGCTCTTGTGCGCACTCGTTCTTCCACGGGATGAGGAGGCGTGGATTCCGTTGTCGTGGTTTGTGTGGGTTTGGGTTGGAGCATTGGGGTGGAGTGGGAGGTATGTGGTGGGACATGGGGTTTTGTATGTTAGTTGGCCGAGGTTGTGTGTGCCGGAGTGGGTTGAGATGGAGGTGGGTGGTGGTAGTGGAGGAGTGGGTGTTGGGAGTGTAGGACAGAAGGGGATGGGTGGGAGGGGGTTTTTGGAGGGGTTGCAGGGGAGGGAGGATGTGGAGGTTGCGAGGAAGAGGCAGGAGTGACCTATGCACTCTTGAAGCTCGAGGTCTGGAGGGTGGTTTTTGAGAGTTTATGATTGGGAAAGAAGATTATGTGATAGATCTATAGTGACTTTGAATTCAATTGAGTAATTCTGGATTTTTAGAGTTTTTATGGGTCACGTGTTTTATCAGTCTTATCGATGCGCCTGGTGGTCGAAAAATTGGGTGGTGAAGGCGAAAAAGGTAGAGAACTCAACACAAAGCAATCATGGCCAGAATCAAGCAGAAGGGTAAGTAAATATGCTCAAACGTGCTTTGCGTGTTACTGATCTCTTCGTATAGGAAAGGCCGGTGCCGCCAAGAACTTCATCACCCGTAATCAGGCGATCAAGAAGCTCCAAGTCACCCTTGCCGATTTCAGAAGATTATGTATCCTCAAGGGTATCTACCCCCGAGAACCCCGCAACAAGAAGAAGGCGAATAAGGGGTCCACCGCGCCTGCGACCTTCTACTACACGAAGGACATCCAGTACCTCCTCCACGAGCCTGTCTTGCTTAAGTTCCGCGAGCACAAGACTTTTGCGAGAAAGTTGTCCAAGGCCCTCGGACGTGGAGATTTGAGTACCGCGAAGAGGCTGAATGAGGATAAACCCCAGTACACGCTCGACCATATCATCAAAGAACGTTACCCGACTTTTGTGGATGCGTTGAGGGATATGGATGATGCGTTGAGTATGTTGTTTTTGTTTGCGAGTATGCCGCAGAATGACAAAATCTCCGCTGCGACGATCGCGAATTGCGAGAGGTTGTGTGCTGAGTTTCAGCATTATGTCATTAGGTCCCGGTCGTTGAGGAAGACGTTCTTGTCGATCAAGGGAATTTATTATCAGGCGGACATTAAGGGCCAGGATGTTACGTGGCTCGTACCGTACAAGTTCTCGCAGCAGGTTCCTACCGATGTTGATTTTAGGATTATGTTGACTTTCCTCGATTTCCACCAGACCTTTGTTGGGTTCGTTAACTACAAGCTTTACTCTGAGCTTGGGTTGGTCTACCCGCCCGAGATGGATGTGCAGAAGGATGAGGGCGCGGCTGGGTTGGGCGCGTTTGTTGTTGAGAAGATTGCGAAGAACATCACTGCGGATGAGGATGCGGAGATGGCGGATGTTGATGTGAAGGATACGAGTGCGCAGGTTGCTTCGCTCGGAGAGAAGTTGGCTACAATCAGGGATGACTCTGTGGAGGAGGCACCTGTTGAGGAGGTTGAGGATGATGCCGCTGTCTTGGACGACTTCTCCACCGCTGCGCCCAACGCCGACGGTGCCCTTGCCCAGCCTGACGCGACTGTCTCCGCCCCCACCAACCTCTTCTCTAACTTCACCTTCTACCTCTCCCGTGAGGTCCCCCGCTACTCTCTCGAATTCCTTATCAAGTCCTTCGGCGGTAAGGTCTCCTGGGACCCAATCCTCGGAGCCGGCTCCCCCCTCGAGGAAAATGACCCCCGCATCACCCACCACGTCTGCGACCGTCCAAACCAAGAAAAGCGATTCCCCGGCAGAAGTTACTTGCAGCCCCAGTGGGTGTACGACTGTATTAACAAGGGCCGCTTGGTGGCGATTGATGAGTATGCGCCTGGAGCGCTCTTGCCGCCTCATTTGAGTCCGTTCGTGAAGGTTGAGGAGGGTGATTACGACCCTGAGGCTGTGCCGGTGGAGGCTGAGGCTGAGGAGGAAGAGGAGGAGGATGTCGAGGAGGAGACTGGTATGCAGGTTGCCGATGACGACGAGGAGGAGGAAGAAGAGGAGGTGGAGGAGAAGGCCGCTGCCGCGTCAACTATCCCTACCGCTGAAGACTCCGACGTTGACGAGGAGATCGACGAGCACGAGCGCCAGCTCGCCGCCGAGGCTGCTGGTGTCGCATACTCCAAGGCCGCCCCCTCGAAGAGGGGCAAGAAGACCGATGCACCAAAGGAGACCAAGGCCGAGAAGGAGGCCCGTGAAGCCCAGGACATGGCCAAGATCATGATGTCCAACAAGCACAAGAAGTTGTACGCCAAGATGCAGTACGGAATCCAGAAGAAGGAGGAGCAGACTAACTCTCTGAGACAGAAGAGGAAGGCGATCGAGAAGGAGAAGAGGAAGGGTGGTGGTAAGAAGGGAGGTAACTAAGGAAGGGAAAAGGGATAGATATAGCATTTCTAGATACCAAAAAGGCAATTGTTTACGTCGATATTTGCATTCTACTTTCATGAACTTCGTGTTGTAATTTGTCCGCTTGCGTTATCGATTAGACGCGGTACCGGTTCGTGCAAACAAACCCCAACGCTCAGACTTCGATACGTCCAACGTTTTGTCGAAGGCTGAGCTCAATCGATGTCTGAAGATGCTTCACCGCTGTCCTCTGCTCCTTCAGATCTCGAAGAACACGCTGGCGAAAGCCCTGCCCTTGCGAAGAGAGCCGCTGCAACCAACGTCGCCGAAGCCATCGAACCACCCGCAAAGCGTCCTCGGAGAGTCACTTCTGTCAAGGAAACAGTCGAAGTAGAAGAAACTGTTCAACTCGAAGAAGTAGCCGCTGGCACAAAGAAGCGGACTGTAAGAGCGAAGAAGGAAGTCGTTGTCAAAGAATCAGTCGAAGTCGAGGAGACAAAACCTGCACCAAAGAAGCGAGCACCAGCAAAGAAGAAGAAGACAGAAGATATGGGACCATTAGCACAGAGGGCAACTGGGTTGAGTAAGTACTTGGGCGCCCATATCTCAGCCGCTGGAGGTGTTCAGAACTCAATCGTGAACAGTATGAATATTGGGTAAGCACGTGGAGCGTTTGAATTCAAATCTCAACTAACATCTGTTTACAGTGGAAACGCTTTTGCTCTGTTCCTCAAGAACCAGAGGAAGTGGGTATCCCCGGACCTCAATGAGGCCGACGTCCAGGCTTTCCGGGCCAAGTGCGTTGAGACCTCGTATGATCCGTCAAAGCACGTCCTTCCACACGGGTCTTACCTCATCAATCTTGCTTCTCCCGATGAGGCGCTGAGAGAGAAGTCCTACACTTGCTTCGTTGATGACCTGAAGCGGTGCAATCAGCTAGGTATCACTCGCTACAACTTTCATCCAGGTTCAGCAACAGGCGGGTCCTCCAAGCCAGAAGGCTGTGGAAGAATCGCGGAAGCCCTGAACAAAGCGCACAAAGAAGTCCCAACTGTCATCACGGTCTTGGAGAACATGTGTGGAACCGGCAATGTCATCGGCGCTACCTTCGGCGAACTACGAGAAGTCATCGACCAGGTTGACCTGAAAGATCGCGTTGGCGTTTGTCTCGACACATGTCATCTCTTCGCCTCCGGTCACGATATCCGAACCGATGAGGCCTACGAAGACGTCATGAAGCGCTTCGGCGACGAGATTGGTTGGAATTACCTCAAGGGTGTTCATCTCAACGACTCCAAAGCTGACCTAGGCGAGAAGCGCGATCTACATGAAAACATCGGTCAAGGCTACATTGGCCTCGAAGGTTTCCGCCTCCTCGTAAACGACACTCGTTTCGACTGCGTACCAATGGTGTTGGAGACGCCGAATGAGGATAATCCGCAGGTCTGGGCTGATGAGATTAGTATGTTGACGTGGTTGATTGGGAAGAAGAAGGATGATCCGGAGGTGCTTGCGAAAGCTGAGGAGTTGCAGGCGAAGGGTAAGAAGAGTAGGGAGGAGCAGGCTGTGAAGGCTACGAAGAAAAAGGAAGCGGCTGCGAAGAAGGCGGCTGGGGGCGGGAAGGGTAGGAAGAAGAAGGCTGAAACTCCAAGTGGAAGTGAGAGCGAATAGTGACTTTGCATCGCATCGTGAAGCATGCGCATGTCTATTGGCGTATCTACGAAAGCTACATTGTCTGCCTAGCCGCTTTCCTTCTTCGTTTGATCTCAATCTTGATCTTCTGCAACTCTCGCAAACGGAAAAACCTCGTTCCGCAACCCAGAGTCATCCACATGTCTTACTGCGCCGCCGGTGAGCAAGCTTACGCTATGGTCATGGAGCAGCTTACCGTGTTACCCATCCCTTGTCCTCTTTTCTCCTGTCCTGTCTTAGGCGTGACAAGTGGTAACTTATGATTGCTGACCCATGACTTGGCAACCCTCTATCGTGTTATGTCCCAAGGGTTGCCGATTTTCCCAATCAATGCTTTTCATGGAATGTGTTTTATCAACATCGCAGAATATAATGTCCATTATGAATATGATCTAGAAATTACCTAACTAAAGCTATAACGATTTGGGGAGTCTATTCACCCCATGCACGCAGAAAACAAAAGGAGAATGTAAAACCCCAATCCGAAACCTCGATCTCCATGTCCAAGCACAGCATCGTCAATATCGTACCAACCTCGCGCCAGTCTGTCTCCGTTCTAATAAATCATGTGCGTTCGATAGCCAGCACACCCTGTCTTCCCCTCTACTACGCACCACTGCCTACCATCGCCGCGGCGACGATCCCCACAATAACGCCGGCAACCGCAACGACACCAGCACACACCGCCAACACCCTCGCAATGCGCATCCATCTTACCCTCTCCCTCCTCATCTCCTGCACAACCTTGACATCAACCTCACCCAACCCTCCCTCCTTCCCCTGACTCAGCGGTATGATCGGAAGATAATCATTCAACATTCTCCACCCAAACAAAATCCACAAGGGCGGAAACAAGAACCCGATCGCGATCACGAACCGATACAACCGGCGCGTCCGATGTCGTTTGGCGATACTATACGTAATCGTCGCACGATCAAGTCGTAAATGCGGTGTAATCAGCCGAATTGTATGCCTCTGCGCCGCAGGCCCCAAGCTTGGTTCTGTACTCGCCTTACTCGAAAACTCCTCCGTAAACTTCGGTATCGACACTTGACTCTGCGATGGACCGTCACTCGTCAAGTTCACCATCGAGTTGTTGCCAGACGTCGGAACACTGAGACTGTATGCGCTCAGACTCGCCAGCGCATTGCGATACGGAAAGGGAGTGTTGAGCTGTACAACAGGAACCCAGGTCGTCTCATCCCCCTCCCCATCCTCTCCCGTACCAGGCGACGAAGCATCTTGGTCCACCCTCAAAACATATCGTACAGGCGGTACCGAACTCCTCAACCCCAATCCTAGCCCCTCCTGACCATGCTTCACGCCGTTGTCGGTAACAGTTCCATACAAAGGAGACGACATATGCGGCGGTACAGGCGGCGGAGGCTGACTCGGTGGTGGTGGAAGTCGTTCTTCGGTTATGGGCCCAGTGTATGCGACAGGGTAAAACAGCCCCGAATTCGTAGGACCTGACGCATTCGCAAACGTCGATGACCGCCGTGGGTCGTGTGCGAGCATCTTAACTCTAACTGATTCTCCTTATTGCGATTGGAAGCTGTTTGTAATTGCCAAGCTCTTAGGCCGGGAACTGAGGGGATGTATGCTGCTCAAACAGTCGCTCGCTGAACACCAAAAAGAGAGTGGAATGGTGAGACGTAATTGTAACTCGCCCTCCTGAATGGCTACCTCTTACTCGCGTCCTTCACAATCGCGATGTCTATCACCAAATGGACGGGTCGTTCGTCTCACGTATAGTGTACGCTTTCGCGCCGCTGATCACAACAATCTAAAACTCTAAAAATAGAAACTTACGTACGAAGGGCAGAAAAATACATGAAGACGAAAATGGATGAAGATATTTCTTGTTAACAAAGATCATGCAGAGCATCTTACGCTCGCATGCCTTCAGCTGCTGCTTCCATGTATGCCGTCCATCTCCATGATCGACCATGAACCCCTCCTCGATACAATACCGAAAAGCAAGAAAAACGGAAAGACATAAACGAATAACTCTAGTGATACAGATGACAATAACAACACAGACTGGAGAGAACGATTCAAAAACGCCGGCAATCTCACATATTTCCTCTTCCCAATTATACACTCTGCGCACTTAACATCGCAGGCGGACTTTGATGCATAGTCCCCCCCAACTGATTCTGCTTCCTACTCTTCCTCATCTGCGCCTTCAACTGATTCGCATCCAACGGCTTCAACAACTCAAACGAACACAACAATTCCTCACTGACGCTCATCACAGCCCCAAAGTTATCGAATTCTCCACAGTAGTTGGGAGCGGAAAACACCGTAACAAGAGTTCTCTCATTAAAGAACTCGTAGCCGTCTTCGACGACCATGTGTGCGCGACAAACGAGGTCGAAGTCGTGTCGTTGGAGAAACTGAGCGATGACATTCTTACCGAAACAGTAGGATACACCGCGTTCGTTGTCTTCCCATTCGTCTGTCGTTTCGGATGGATCCGACCACAGCAAGTCGTTTAGTAGACCGTAGTCGGGAACATCTGTCGGACGCGCAATTTGTCGAATCTCGTCCATGTGGGAGAGGGATGGCGACAACCCCCCATGTACACAGAAAATCTTCGAAGCAACAATCGCCGCGATCGGAATGGTGTTGAAACAATCAACGAACGTCTTCCAGATCTTGATGTTACAACGACGTTTGCACTCGTCGTAAAATCCGTAAACTGTGTGAAATCATTAGCTCCAATATTCAAGTTGAAGTCGAAACGAATGTCATACCTCTGGTAACATTCGCACACTCATGATTCCCTCTCAATAAGAAAAAGTTCTCGGGGTACTTGATCTTATAACACATCAACAACAAAATTGTCTCCAAACTCTGCTTCCCCCGATCCACATAATCTCCCAAAAACAGGTAATTCGCACTAGGCGGAAACCCACACATCTCAAACAACCGGATCAAATCCGTGTATTGACCATGGATGTCTCCGACGATCTTGACGGGAGGGTTGAGTTCGATGAGGGTCGGTTGCGACAAAAAGACCTCGCGAGCAGCGGAACAAACGGCCATGATCTCCGCATTCTTGAGACAAAGCGACTTCGTGACTTTCCCAGCATACCCCGCATCCAAAAGTCTCGAAATCATATCATCGATATCCAAATTCCTCAAACTCGGATACGGGTTACTCTCCGCCGCTGACGTCGTAGAAATCGTGCTATCCCTCACCCCACCCACGCTTCCTCCCACCGTTGGCTCATTAACGGAATTCCTCCTAATCAAGATCGACTCACGGGGTTCTTGTCTGTTTTGGCTGCGTGCAGGCGGCGCACTCGGACCAGCCTCACTCACATTCCCGATCTCGCCTCCGGCCGTGGCACCACTCAACCCCTGATGTCCCGTAAACGTCTGTCTCGTCGGACTAGGGGGCGGTAGCCCCGATGGTCCAGCGTCATCCTCATCGTCTCCCAATCCTACGTATGTGGTCGAATCATGTCCACCAAGCGTGCTTCCCCCCACCGATCCAGGAATCGACTGATTGTCGGTATTATCCCGCGTAGAATCACGAGAGAGGGTCTTTCTGATCGAACGGAACGAACGGGTTGAGCCAACTGTGTCGGTCCTGCTGAACGAGGGGTACGATTCGAGGTTTTCCTGGTTGGAGTTGGAGGATGAGGGACGGCCGCCGGACTTGGTCTTGGATCCTTGGTTCCCCATGCTATGCCCTTGTGGATGTTATGTTAAGAAGAAGAGAGTAATAGTTCGAGCGTGTTTCGATTCGTCTATGTGATGAAAGGACACGCGTTGTATGCAGCTCGCGTATGATTCATGCAGCGAAGGGTAGAGCCGCGTGGTAAAATCCGAAGGAACAGAGAGGTGTTCCTAAGTATCGATATCAAGAATCGGAATCAAAAAGAGATATCACTTGTGTCCGCTTATCGCTCGAGAAACAACCGAGCTACTCGAGCAAGTTTTCCAATTCGGGCCGAGCTTGTATGCCGAGACCGAGAAGAAATGGAAAGCGTCGTAGGAAAACGCTTTGACGTGGTGACAGACTCCTCCGAAAGTTGAAAAGGTGTGGTATGTGATCTGAGCCGTGGGTATATGCTCTGACGTTTCGTGGTTGGTTTGGTTATTGCTTGGAGGTGTACTTTGGATTGTTATCAAGCGAGATGCGGTGACGAGTCGACCTGCAGGGATGCGCTGCAAGCTGTGCCACAACCTTCAGATTCGCGAGTGCTGCCGTTATGAAGGGGCGAAAGTTAAGGGTGGTGTGATAGGCAATTTTCAATTCCGATTCTCTACGTTCAATGATGACTGTCGGTTCCTCTGCCTCGCTGCTTCCTTCCTGGCATACACCCGTAGACACGTCGACGTCCTCGAGCCGACGAGGTTGTGCCAACCGGAAAACACCTCGTCCTGCCTCCACCCTCGCCTCTCATTCCCTCCGTGCACTCCATGCCATGTATGTTTCTAGAATAGCCAACAACAATGTCACACTGCCAAGTAGCCGATCGATTATGTTCGAGACGCTCTCTTATATAAACCCTAAGGTTCGCACTTACGTTTTTTCGGGCCGCGGGCGGGCGCTTCTTTGGTTGCAGATTCCCCAGTTTTCATAGCGATAGGCGAACAAACAAATCCCTTCCAAACAGTCGTCCCTTGACTTACGACCGTCTAAACACAAGCTCAAGCTGGAGACCCAACGACGCTGCCTCGGTCGACGGGAACTCTAAATTTTCCCATTTTCTTCGGTTTCTTCGGGGTTCAGGGTACGGCTGCGCGTGTTCGGTCGGCGGGCTGCATCTGGCGTCATTCCAACGACTGTGTGTGAATTTGACCGCCGTGTACGTTGAGGAGGACAACCAGAGCACTGTAATATGGTAAGCTTCCTCTAAAGTTAAATGGGGAAAAGTGAATAACGAATAGAGGTACAGCTCAGGAGTCTTTCCTTCTCGTCTATCGTTGGTGATTGCTATGAAGCAGTGACGTCCTTTGCACGACCTCGAACGTCTTCGAGATTACGGAATTTGGCCGCCGCTGCTGGTGGGGCTGACGGGGAAGGTACTCCACAAGTGAGAAAGGGAGAAGAAGAGGTTTCTGATTCAGAGAGTGAGAGTGACGAGGAAATTGGTGAGGAAGAGATGAAGGGTGGGAACGGGAGTGACGAGGAGTATGTCGACGTCGAGGGGATCGTGGAGGACCAGGGAGGGAGACCAATGGTCGACATCATTGCGCCAACACCAACCTACCCCGTCTCTGTCCCCGTCATCAAGAAAATCGATGAAGACTCCGCATCGCTTCAATCCACCGAAACGACACTCACGACGATCAGCACCTCTGCCCTAGGCGAAGAAGGTCCACCCGCGAAGAAGAGAAAGGTCGTCGTGGGATTACGGAATTTGGGGAATACCTGCTACACCAACGCCGTCGTACAAGTCCTAGCGTACATACCCCCTCTCCCCTCCTCCCCCCAATTCTCCCTAATGACATTGAGTCCCGCAGTCACACCGAGCCCCTCCGCGACTACTTCCTCACAAACGCCACCTCCTTCGGTCCCCCAACTCTCTCCCAAGCCTCTCAATCCTCCGATCGCCCCATGACCCCACCCGTCCGTGGCCCACGTACACGGCGTGCAGCGGCACTGCAGAAGTTGGAAGCGGAGACGCCGATTGAAGTTAACCTTTGTGCCGAGTTTGCGACGTTGGTTAATTCGATTTGGCATGAGGAGGAGGTATCGCATTCACCCGCCTCCCTGGCAAGTCTGGCACCGATTGGGGGAAAGGCGAAGAGGGTGAGGAGTAGGACTGGGACGCCCACGACAGGTCCGGGAAGTATTTCCCCTCATGCGTTCAGTGCCGCCGTAACCCGCGCCGTACCCTCCTTCGAACTCGGCGAACAACACGACGCACAAGAGTTCCTTCGATGTGTATTACAACGCATGTCAACTGAAATCGGCGAGCACAAACGGAAGGAGTTGTTCGGTGAGGAAGCGGGTGTGGACGTCGATGGCTGGGATTTCAGAGGGTTGGAGGAGAGTGGAGTCGTACAGCAAGTGTTTGGGGGGATGTTACAGAACAAGGTCAGTAAGCACTACCGAGGTATTCGCATACGCGTGAACTAATTGGTGTTACTGACAGATTAAATGCCTACACTGCGGCCACACCTCCATCAAGCCTGAGCCATTCCTGGATTTATCACTGGATATCCCGGTCGATACGGCATCGTGTACGATTCAGGAATGTCTCAACCTCTTCTCCTCACCCGAAGAACTCGGTGGGGAGACAACCACGAACACGACCACAACAAGCGCCGCAACGACCCCGGACTCAACACCTACCCCCTCCATCACCACTGACATCGACACCTCGGCTTCCGCCCCATCCTGGCTCTGCCCCAGCTGTCGTCTCCGCCGGCCATGTACGAAGTCACTAGCCATCTCGGCATTACCGCAAGTCTTGTGTCTTCATCTCAAACGGTTTAAATGGGCTGGTCCTAACCCGAGTGCTGCGCTGGAAGTGGCTGAGCTGGGGACGACGAAGAAAAGGAGGAGGAGACACACGAAGGGGATGGATAAGTTGAAGATTACGACGCCGGTCACGTTTCCTCTCACTGGCCTTGATGTGTCTGAGTTTACCGAGCGTGAAGGCGGGGGTGAGGAGCATAAGGAGGAGGAAGAGGGTGTGGTGTATGATGCATTTGGGGTTGTTGTGCATCATGGTGTCAATATTAACTCGGGCCATTATACCGCGTATATTTTGCGTGAGGGTGAGGGAGAGGGTGAGGGCGTGGGCGTGGAGGGCACAGGGAGTGATTGGTGGCATCTGGATGATGAGAAGGTTAGGAAAGTTGAGGAGAAGGAGGTCGAGGCTTCGCAGGCGTATATGATTTTTTATCGCAAGAGGACTACCGCCTCCGCAGAGCCCACAGTCGATGACCTTAGTGTCTGATTGTTGATTGGAGAGAATGAGAAGAAATGAATAGCATAAAGCACGGAAAGAATGATCCGTTGAATGGGTCAAGAGAATCAGAGCATGAATACCAGGAGTTTGTGGGAGTTTGAAGCGTGCATTGCTGGGTTGCTGGGTTTGGATATGTGATGGTGGAGCATTACTACCTATCTATTATTTGTTGCATTTAGGGGGTGTGTACGATCATTGCTTACTGCAACGTAGTGAAGAAAGTTGGTATGCATGACTGTATATGTGTTGCCTTGAGCTTGGTGTTATTGTGACTGTATAACCTTGACAATGTTCGTTCGAGATATGACTTATCGAAACGATAAAAATAGCGTCCAAGCATTAGCTACAATGAAGCACGCGAGCTGCTCATGAGAGCTGTGAACCGTATGAGAGAACAACCTTATAGCAGTGCACCATGGTAAAGGGCAATAACACTCATTAATAATACTATACGGCAGTTCCGAGTTTGATTAAGTGATATATAGATAACTCCAACGCCCCGTCCGTTCCCGAGACTGTCCTAATTCAAACATTCAAACAAATTCCTCAAGTTGCATGAGCCCAATCCATCTTCCTTGGCTCATCTCATATTCCCACGCCTTCAACAACTCCAAATCGTTGGCTTTGTACTCGTCATTACCCAAACTTGACACCAGCAACACAGGGTCGCGTTGTACAACCTCGGCAAGCTCGCCTCTGAGTAGCAAGTCGACAACGCTGACGAGGTCCTCGACAGTAGCAGGTGGCACAAAGACTTCCTCGTCCGCATCTTCATCCATCTCGATCATAGCTTCTTGGAAGGTAGCCTCGTCAATGGTTGCAAGAGAATCTGCATCACCGGCAGCAATGAGCCTCTTGATAACATTCCTGGGAGCATACGCTGCCCTGAGGTCACGCAGTGTCCGTAATGCGAACATTGAGAGCCCCGATGTCATTAGATGATAGATAAGCTCTTGCAAAGGGAAGGAAAGCGGGCTTTCCAGTTGAGCAAGCGACCCACGCGGCATCAAACGGCTCCTTCGTCGCAATGACGGCTTCGGTATAAGCGACAAGTTCGGCGGCGTTGCCAGGGCCTCTTGAACGAGGCGCATTGATTCCTGCTGTTCATAATACGCCATTTCAACATGCGGCGCAAACTCGGCGTGTTCGACTGTTACTGTTACTTCTGCCGAATCCACGGGCGCGACCATGTCTTCAGGCGCGGCATCAACGGGTTCCTCGTTATTCTCCCCGGCCATCCCGTCCAAGAGCAACCCCTCGGACTCCATCAGCGAGCGCTTCTTCTGCTCCTGCTTTTCAAATCGCGACGCCTTGCGCCTAGCCTTCTTCTTCAGCATACGCTTGTCGTTGATGTTGCGCCGTCTCTTGCCCCCGCCCTTGAGACCTTCATCTTCGCTCTCCTCCTCGCTCGAGTCCGTAGCCTCCCCGTCATCCGATCCACCTTCCTCGTCGTCACTACCCTTTCCATTCTCCACTCCTTCGCCGCTCTCGATTTCGTCTCCCGCAACACCCGGGCGAGCAATGGGACCGGCCTTGCGGCAAAAGTGCAATGTGCGCTCGTTTTCTTTCCTGTCAACTTCGCCCTTCATTCTTGTCGATTGCGGATCGTTTTGGGGGACTTGAAAGACGTGATTCGCATCGCCAGACAGCTCAGCTTCCTCCATCGCAACGTCTTCAACAACTGCAAAGCGTTCATTATCGTCAATGAGCTTGTCATCTGTGTCGTTCATAACGACGTCAGCGTCAGAGTGAGGGACGGTCTCATCAAGAGTTTCAGCGGCACCACGATCAGCTGCCTCATTGACAGCATCTGCCTCGACAGCGTCAGCGGTGGCCTTGTCGAGGACCTCGAGTTGACTCTGCAATAATTCGTCTACTCTCGAACTCAATGCCGATAATGTCGTGAACTTGCCATTGGCCAAGTGTTCAAGATCGCGAAGACCGCGGAACGAATTCCGAGTGATATGCTCACTTCGGAAGTACTCAAGCACGAGCCCAAGTTTCTCCGTAAAATCTACAAGTTCCTCTGCAGAGTGCTCGACCAGCAAGCTCTCTGAGATGTCAGGCGTAAGCGCGGGAGAAGTTTTGACAGTGACCTCCGTCTCAACGCATTCCTGTCGTGATGCAGGAGGACCCAGCGTGCTTGCTGTGCTAGGTACTGGTGCATCATCAACCTTGTATGCGATAGATGGAGACGGCGATTGGAGAGGTATCTCATCAGGACGACCAGCTGACAAAGTAGCTGAGCTAGAATCAGAGGCCTCGATCGCTGGAGATCCAAGGATGCTGTCCTGCGGGGTGAAACCCAGCGCCTGTAACCATCTACCTCTACTCCAGTCGTTCATAAAGGTAGACAGAACCTGATGATCCCGTTGCGAGAAACTCTTGTTCCTTTTCGCCTTATCCGCAAGAATATCCAGTTGCACTTGCAAAAGAACATCCACACGAGAGCATAACTCAGGCATACTCTGCGGCATCAATTTCGCTTGTGTAGGATCCATAACAGCTTTCGCCAGGTCCTTCAAGCTCTTGATGGCCTTCGAGTTGCCGTGCATGCCTTGTGCACTAAGGTAATCTACGAGTGCCGCCAGAGGCTTACAGCCCTGGATCTCGGGAGTCTTTTTGACAGTACCTCCTAGGGAAGACTCTTGCAACTTTGGTGGGAAGACGGCTGCGTTCTGCACGGAAAGGACTACGTCGCGGTTCGCAGTGGGGCTTTTTGAGGCCTCTTCACGGACCTGCTTCGTAACCGGACCGGAGGCAGCTCGTCTTTTCGACCACCTCAAACTCATAGGTACGTCGCTGTCAGAGTCAGAATCACGAGTTACTTTTTCTTCGGCTACAGGAGCAGCAGCAGAATTAGCAACAACATCTTGCATCTGCTTTTCCTCGACTTCTACACCTGGCGCAGGCTGGTTCATGTCACTCGTGACGTTCTGGGGAGCCTCGTTAGCAACGACAGCATCATCAGCGGCAACAGCCTGTACAGCTTCACTCATCACAGCATCCTGCAACGTCATCCGTCCCATCGAGATCGGCACCGTCGGTGTCAGCGGTGTCATCTCACCGTCGTTCTTACCCACTGCATCCTCCGGAAACAACTCATTAGCCAACGCCAGCGTTTGCTCGGGTACCTCCCCTTTCAACATAGCCATCAACTCCGCATCCCCAATCAACCCCAACTCGACCTCCATCCGCTTGACAAGCTCAAGCTTCTCCGGCATACGAAGGGTCGTCCGAAGGGATTGCATTGAAAGGATCGAGTTCTGCAGTACCTGCCTCAGGCTTTCCTGGGGGTTGAAGAACTGCCTGGAAAGATCCAAGCTATTCTGAGCATTCACAGACTTCTTAGCAACAGGTACTGAAACAAGAGTGCGCTTTGGAGTGGCCCGCTCACGCTCTCCAGCAGTGTTCGCCGCTCTCTGGTTGGGCGTACTAGCCTGAACCGCATGCCTAGAGACCGACACAATCCTCTGCTGCGAAGAACCACCCGTCGGCGCCGGCTTCCATTCCTTGCTAGTAATCGGCACCGGTCTCCGACTAGGATTATACACATCAGACTTGCTCCCAGACTTAGACTCATACCCAACGACCGAACGTCGGGTCATCTTGCTGCCATCCGATCCCGGTCCAGCCGGTTTCGGTGTCTGTGGAAACCCCGCCTCCTCCCCCGTCCTCTTCCTCGAACCCATCGGACTAAGCGGACTCTCCGGCCCCAAACCCGGACTCAGAGCAACATCAGCTATCTCCCCATAAATATCCTCCAAAGACAAACTCGCCCCAGCGAGCCTCTCCGCATTCCTAAGAGCCTTCTCACGTCTCCTCTCGGCCTTGCTCTTTTTCGGGAGTATTTTGCATTGGATGAGAGGTGGGGGCATTCCCACCGCTGCCAGGAAATCGGGGGGACCCGCTGGAGGTTTCTCGTCGTCGAGGTCCGTTGGATCGGGTTTGGCATGTTCTGGGGAATCTAAGGCTTGTAGGCGGCGTTGCATCGCCTCTTCCAACCGTGCGACGTGGGCGTCGTAGATGGGCATGTCTGGAGGTGGAGGGGAGTAGCGATCGTCATCTTCCTCATCGCCGGGCGAGGCGGGTTTGATGACGCCTGTCCCGTTGACGGCGGCTTCGGGGGTGCCATTTGATACTGGCTTCCGAACGTCAGTCACCTCGCCCATCTGCACGTCCCCATCATCCGGACCATAAAGAGCCAAATCAATAGCCTCCTCATCAAACTCCTCCACCCGCTTCTCCAGGGTACGCTCAGACAGTTTCACAAGTGGTCGCGGTGGAGGAGGCGAATAAGCCATCTCGATCGTACGCTCAGAAAGTTCAAGAGGTTGTGGTGGTGGAGGTGAATAAGCCATATCCGCCTCATCCTCTGGTTCCTCCGCCACATACGCAGCAGCCTCTTGTACCTCTTCTTCGAAGAACATAGCTGTGATGGCAGCGTCGTCGATTTCCATGGCTTCCTCCACTTGGACCGTGGATTGCACAGTTTGAATGTCGCCGTTCTGGCGGGCTTGCTTTGCCTCTTTGCGGGCACGCCGTTTTTCGTTCTTTTCCTCTTTCTTTGCTTTCTTTTTCAAAGCACGCTCCTCCGCCGCTCTCGCCGCATCCGCATCCGGCTCCTCCGGTTCCTTCGGTGGTGTCGTCCTTCGTCGTCGTTCTCGTGCTTCTCTCTCCCGTATTGCTTCCCGCTCCGCTCTCCTGTTGATCTTTTTCTGCCTCTCCACAAAATCCAGAAACAAATTCGCCCTGGCAACAAACGCCTCCCTACAATGAAACACCCTCTCTCTCTCCGCCTCCCCCATCCCACTCCACACTTCAACCCTCTTCCTATGCCCCTCACTCTCCAAATGCTCTCCAACATCGTCTTTCCTGCCCAACCAAAATGGACAAGCGGCGCATTGCTGTAATTCCGGCATATTATCAGGTATTTCTTCTTCTGGACGGGAGCGCGGGGTGGGAGGGAGGCCGCGCGCGATGAGGGCGGTATTGGAGAGATGGAGGGAGGAGGAGAGGTGGGTGGTTATGGAGTCGGGGGTCAGGAAGTATTCGCCGGGGCAGGAGGTGCATTCGCACCATTCTATGGGTGGGACATCCGGGTCGAGGCGTTCCCTATCTAGCGAATCCGTAGAGGTATCGGAGTCGTAGCCCCCGTACTCTCCGTCGTCACGATCAGGTTGGGTTTGACCACGACGCGCTTGAGATACGATCGCTCTTCTTTCTCTTCTTGACGCAGCAGAACCTTGAGCGTGATGTGACTGATCCATGTCCGTTGGCACGGCGTCTCCGTCACTCTCGTCTCGTCTGGTCTGTCGCGGGTTATATTGAGTTCATGGCGGGGATGCGTGGCCTGCATGAACGTACGGCCACTTTCAATACGAACAAAGATACGGGCTGAAACGCGAAACAAATGGAGCGTTTTGTATGGGATTACAATCGTTATGGGTGTCGTTTTTGTAACCGTGCACGTGCATTTCAGTTGGCATGAAACGGAAGGTAGCTCCATCTAAGACGCCCGCTGTATGCATATGATGGCCACGTACATTGCAATGTCCAGGGTTGTATGCCGTCCCGGACTCCTTGAGCAGAAGCCATATCGGTCTCATCATTTGCCCACGGATTCGACTTGTAAAGGCAGGTTAAACGCATGGTCTTTCGACCGGCGGATGGTGCTGGAAAGGAAAACTGTATTGTACATGCTTGATGATGTCTCTCGTCCAAAACAGTCCGGAATAGACCTCGATCTCCACCTTAATATGTGCTGAAATTGATCCCATAAACGCCGTTTGCCCAAAAGTCTTGTCTCGTCCCTCACCTCCTTCCTTCTCTGATCACCACATCGCTTATCCCTGTCTTTGCCTGGTATCTCGTCGTTAGCATACACCAACACTTCAACATCATCGGATCAAGCATACTTGTGCTTGGGGTTCTTGCTGCAAATAATATAAAGCCTGCCCTTCCGCTTCACACTCGCGCAACCCGTACACATCTTCTTCACCGATGATCGGACTTTCATTCCGCGGCTGAAGACGGAGACGGCGGCGGCGGGCTGGGTGGAGGAGAGGAATGCCATGGTCGGCCTCATAGCGGTGAGGCCGAGGCCTTGACGGAGGGCGGAGAAGAGCATTGTCTGGACTGTTTGTAAGAGGTGTGATGTACGTGCCCGGAACTTTTGGTGCACGGTAAGGTGGGGGGATGCAGGCGATGCAATGACCGGCATGGTGACCTCCAGAAGGGACATATGCTATGTGAAAAAAGGAATTCCCTTTTCTTTCAATGTTTTACGAGTTTTGGTTTCTACTCTACTCTGTTCTCAAGACCGTTTCTCGGCTACGTCATTGTGTATGGGGTTCGAGGTTCGCCCAAACTTTATCGCCAACGACCTCGACGACCTCGACGACCTCGACAACCTCCAGCAATCAGCGATGGGCGTAACAGGACTCTGGACAGTCCTAGAACCCTGCGCCCGCCCCGTCCGCCTCGACCAACTCGCAAAGAAACGCCTTGCAGTCGACGCCTCGATCTGGGTCTACCAATTCCTCAAAGCCGTCCGCGACAAATCTGGGAACCAACTCCGCAACTCCCACATCGTCGGATTCTTCCGACGAATCTGTAAGTTATTATTTTTTGGGATCAAGCCTGTATTCGTGTTTGATGGAGGGGCACCGGTGTTGAAGAGACAGACGATTGCGAATCGGTTGAAGAGGAGGGAGGGGAGGAGGGAGGATGCGGTCAGGACTGCGGGAAAGTTGTTGGCGTTGAGGATGAAGCAGAAGGTGTTGGAGGATAAGCAGAGGGATAAGGCGACACTGAATCCCACGAACGAAGGCGGTGATGAGATCCCGGAGAATGTGGTATACTACGGCGAACCACAATACGCACTTCAGAATAACCCCAAACCCGCAGCACCGACAAAGAGTGGTCCATTGGGGAATACACCAGCGTTAGGAAACCTCCAACGCGACTTCCGCAAAAAAGACGCCTACGACCTCCCCCGCCTCGACGTCCCCCTCGAAGACCTCGCCTCCCAAGCCGACCCCCGCATCATGACACAAGAAGATCTCGAAGAATACGCCCGCCAATTCGAAGGCGGCGAAGACATCACCCTTTACGACTTCTCCAAAATCGACTTTGACGGCGAGTTCTTTACATCTCTCCCTGTGGCGGATCAGTACAATATCATCAATGCTGCGCGATTGAGGAGTAGGTTGAGGATGGGGTTGGCGAAGGAGCAGTTGAGTGAGATGTTTCCTAATCGGCTGGAGTTTTCGAAGTTTCAGATTGAGAGAGTGAAGGAGAGGAACGACTTAACGCAGCGCTTATTCAACATCAACGGAATGAACGAAGTCGGCGCACGCCGAATCGCGTCCGAGAGAGGGCGTGAATACATGCTTGTCAAGAACGAAGGCGCGGAAGGTGGGTATGCACTCGGCGTACGAGACGGAGCAGCGGATAAACCGGTTGTGGTTGATCCTTCGTCGCCGGTTATTCCTCCGGTGAGTGAAGAAACGGATAGTGAGGATGATGGGGCGTTTGAGGATGTTCCGATTCCGGGGGTGAACGTGCCGCCGCCGTTGAGGGCGCCTAGTCCGCCGAGACGGGAGCGGCCCCAATTCAGACCGACGAGGCCGAGAAGGACGGAGCAGCCTACGCAGCGAGGTAATGCTTTATTCAGGGCAGTCAGTGATGAAGGCAACGAGGAGGAAGAGTACGGGAATGATGATGACGATGTTGAGATGGCAATGGCTATGTCGATGGACGAAGCCAGAGGAGATGCGAGGGAAGACGATGAACTACAACGGGCTATCAATGCGTCTCTTCAGGAGCAGAACGTCCCCGTGGCAAGGCCTATGCAAGAGGCCGTCATGCTTGAAGATGATTCTGACTATGAGGATGAACAAAGGGCTATTGCGATGTCTCTGGAGAATACCAACGATGTCGGGCCAAGCCGCCCAGCAGCTGAGGAAAGAAGCCCAGCTTTGGTCATGGAAAACGACTCAGGCGATGAAATGGAGGGGGAGCAAGCACCTGGTGGTTTCTTGACGGAGGCCGAGCAGCCGAAACAGAAAGAGCCGGAGTTGCCACCGTGGTTTTCAGCTGCTGAGCAAGTAGCTAACAAGGTGAAGGCGGAGGAAACTTCAGAGGCGGTTGCCGAAGAACCAAAGGAGCAACAAGAGAAGAACGAGGCGGCGCTTTTGCCGTTTCAGCAGATGCAGTCGTTTTTGAAGAAGAAAGCTCCAGCTGGATCAGCTCGCGCTTCGAACGCCAAGCTGTTGTTTGACGAACCGGCGCCAGAAGCTAGCGATACAAATGGTAGCGGTTTCGACCCGTCATTGTTGAAGCGGAAGCAGGCAGGGCCCTCAATCGTCTTTGATGAGCCTGAGGCAGTTAAAGCGGGAGAACCTGAGGTCGTCGATTTGAGTTCTCCTCCTCCTGAGGTGACGGTACCAGACAACGAGCCTTTGCACGAGTTTCCTGGGGACGCCATTCGAGCGGATGACGAGGACAGTGCGGCTACTCCTACGCCTCGGCAGAAGACCCCACCGCAGGTGATCGCGTTGGATGCAGAGGACGATGATGATGAGGATGACGATGTGACATTGCAGCCTGAAGCTATTGCTGAAGCTGCGAAGGTTTTGCAAGAAAGTCCGCCGCCTCCAATGGCTGATACGGACCTGTTTGCGGAGTACGTGCGTGCTCAACCGCCCCCACCTGAGAAGCAGCTGTCACCGTTACCTGATGCCAACGAGGATGAACATGCATCGATGTCGGAGCAAGTGCCCGAGGCGGATACTACCATTCCTTGGTCCCCGTCCCCTGAGCTTTCACAGATGGAAGAGACTGGACAAGAAGCATTAGCGGCAGACACCAGCGCTGAGCTCGTCGGTGAAGACCAGTTCTTCTCGGACGATGAGGACGAACAACTCATGATGCAACTTGCCCAAGAAGCCGAAGAACACGCTCGTTTCACGAATGAACTTCGTGGCCCGGCCTCTGAGCCGCAAACAAACGAAGACTTCGAGCGTGAACTGCGTCAGTTGCGTAATCAGCAGAAGAAAGATCGACGTGATGCAGATGAGGTAACGCAGGTGATGATCAAAGAATGTCAGGAGCTCCTCCGGCATTTCGGGCTTCCTTATGTCACTGCTCCTATGGAAGCCGAAGCGCAGTGCGCTGCATTGGTTGAGATGGGATTGGTTGATGGAGTTGTCACGGATGACTCTGACGTGTTGCTTTTTGGTGGTACGCGTATCTACAAAAACATGTTCAACCAGGCTAAGTATGTTGAGTGTTACTTGATGGATGACCTGAAGCGTGAGTATAACCTAGACCGTGAGAAGCTGATCAAAGTCGCGCACTTGCTGGGTAGTGACTATACTGAAGGACTGCCCACTGTCGGTCCCGTGACTGCTCTTGAGTTGCTTGCAGATTTCGAGAAAGATGGTGGTTTGGAGGGCTTCAAGAGCTGGTGGCTGGACGTCCAACGCGGGAAGGATGTGGATTCAACTACCCCATTCCGACGGAAGTTAAAGAAGAACGCTCACAAGATCTTCCTTCCAACATCCTTCCCTGACCCCAGGATTGATGAGGCATACTTGCAACCCGAGGTCGACAAGGATCCGCAGCCATTCGAGTGGGGTGTGCCAGACTTGGACGCCTTGCGTAGCTTCCTCATGAGCACGATTGGCTGGTCCCAGGAACGTACGGATGAAGTCCTGGTACCGGTTATTCGTGACATGAACCGTAAGCAGGCGGAAGGAACGCAAGTAAACCTTACGCACTTCTTTGATGGGTCGACAGGTGCTGGTGCAGCGCCTAAGGAGAGGTACATCTTCAAGAGTAAGCGCTTGCAAAATGCAATGACTAGTTTCCGGAGAGGCAAAACACCTGCTGGCGAGGCGGATGGAGGCTCTAGTACCTCATCGGAGGAAGAGGCCAACGCTTCGAACCGACATCCGAAGGCACCTTCGAAGAATGGCAAGGGTAAGAGAAAGCGTGCAGAGCCTGGAGAAAGTGAGGTCCCAATCAAAACCGAGGCCGATGATGAGCTGCCTGTTGCACAGCCAGTGACCAAGAAGAGGGCACCCGTGAAAATTGATATCGAGAGTTCATCCGACGATGACAACGCATCATGCGGTATGAGTTTGGCTGCTTCGAGAGGTTCAGGAAGAGCTAAGGCCACTCCCAGAGGGAGGAGCAAAGGCAGAGGCAAAGCAAGGGCGAGGTAATTGAGGATATACTAGTAATGTGGTGTGATAGCTGGGTAACGGTGCATGAGATTTATGACGGGCGTTTGGAGTTTCATTTGAACTATAGTATGATGGGCAGGCTTCATGTGGGCCCGGTAGCATCTGGCGTTTCAGACGAATTTGTAGCAATACAAGATTCATCAACATCAAAGCAGGAAGGTGTTCGATGCCATACTCAGGTCCTGGGGTTTACTGTATCTTAGTTCGGTGATGCTGTTGCCGTCCTGGGAAAGCATCATCGTGATCGTGACGCGTGAGAATAACGTGAAAGCGTAGGAGAACTTGGGGGAAGGTCATTGATTGCGGTATAGCCAGCTTTGAATGTTCTAGTTCATTCGTTACTATATTCCACTATCGCTTTGGGGCCTCAGCTATTTGCGCCAGATGCTTCATGACCTCCATGCCGACCCCATTGATAATAAGCCTTACTTCCTTGATCTCTGGATCTTGATCCGGCACATACATCAAGCCTCCACAATCTGCTACCTGCGTGTATGTTGCATCTACGCATTGCAGCTTATCGGATCCCTCTTGCACTTCCCAGAACTTCACTTGCTGGTCAATGGCAACTGACACGATCATTCCGTTGAGTTCAACAATACCAGTTACACACGATCCGTGAGCGTTGTCAGCCCTTGCCATTGCCACTTCCTCAACCACGATGCGTTCGTCCTTGACATCCCATCGGAAATCAATGATGCACGAAACTAAGGCGTTGTCATCGCCGCCAGTCAAAGTCTTGATGCGGACTCCAGAATCGCTTTCATCCATGATGACAGTTTCAAAAACCTTGACGCTGGACTGATGCACCGCCTTCGTCCATATCGGCGCTGGTAATTCTAGGCTGTTAAACTCCGAAGCACTGCCCTCAGCTATACACTGTCTTGCTGCATCTTCCTCGGCAGCTATTTTAGTGATGTCCCATGCAATGATGTTTCCATCAGTAGCAGACGCCAAAAGAACTTCTCGCTCGCCCACCTGCAACCGTTGAGTCTGCAGCAGACAGCATGTCCTGTAAGTGCCCTGAGCAAGCAAATGCCATGTGTTTTTATCCGGAACGCACATCCACATCCTGATGGTCGAGTCTGAGTATACCGCGGTCACGGTGAAGACATCACCCAAAGACTTCACATCGAAATCCATCACACGCAGATCACCATCTTCAGAGACCTTGGGACATTCCCCAATCGGATAACAGCTCCAGCGACCTGCCTCATCCTCCCACACACTCCAGATGATGAGTTCTTCCAGTCCAGCTGAAGAGAACAGCAAACGCCTCCCGGCATTGTCGTAAGTCCATTCCATGCTCTGGAGACCAGCGACATGCTTCTTTGCACGGCAAAGCGTCTGTATTCTTCCGTCGCTGTCGAGCCTCGAAATGTGGATCATCGCATCCTCACCGCCACTGGCGAAGAACTCCTCTCCTTCATTCCCATCTACAAACGACAAAGCCGTAGCACGGACTTCCCTACCGTGAGTTCCATCCTGCAAAACAGTATCCATGAAACCCCTGCTCTCCACTTCGGCGTCATTCCTGCAGAACGATAGTACCGAAGCCTTGGTATAAGCAAAGACGAATTGCTCAATCATTTTCTCAGACACCAAGAAACTCCATGCTCGGTGCGCACCACCGCAATTCTCGGAGTACACTTCATAGGCTTGGGTATGGTTGTAGACAAAGAACTTCGTGGTGCGAAAGCCGTAGAGGAGAAGCTCGCCATTGGCGATGATTGCGCCGTCGATTTGGCCCTTGGAAGGGATCTTGCCGCGGTCTGTCGCGATGAACTCGACTTCCCCGTGGAGGGAGACTCCGTGGTATGCGAAGCTACCGTCCTTCCCAGTTGTTATGACTGGGAATGACGGAGTTGTGTACCGTGACCGTGGTGGGATGGTGATGGAGGTGACAGCATCCATGCCATGTACTCGTCTGAACACACCCTCAACATTTGTCCCCAAGCGCTGAATACTCACCGCACCTTGTCTTGATCCCAGAAACAGCGTTTCAGTGATGACATCCACAGTCGCAGATGTAGGCTCGAATGTGTCCGGTACTTTGATTGAGTACGCATTGGTAAGTGTCAACCTTGCCTGCTGCTCCCTCTGATTCGAGTTCGCCTCTAAACGTAACACCGCAACCTCTCCCTTTGGAGCGAAGAGGACGACATAGAAGATTTCGTCAAGCGACACGGCGAACAAATCCGTGATCTGCCCTCGGCATACGGGGATCTGCGCAACTTGTGTCCGTGTTCTGGTGTTGATCACCGTAACACCACCCGTCCTATCGCCGATACACGCAAAGTCTGTGCCCCGCCATGCTCTCACTTCCGAATATCCAACAAGATGCTGGGCTTCACATACACTCGTCCATGTCTCCTCCCGCTTAACATGCAGCAGCACCTGCCCCGTAGAAGTCGTCAACAGCGTTCTCTCCTCATCAAGCACCACGAAGCTCTTGAATGTCGGTCCTTTCTTTCCCTCGACCTTCTCCAATCCCAGCTTCTCGTAGATAGATCCTATTGTCCATTGATCCTTCTTTGCCGTGCTACCCTCAGCCAGTTCAAACAGCCTCACCCGTCCATCTTGCCCTCCAGTCGCAACAATCTTCCCAGAAGGCCCACCAACAGCCGCACACCAACAATGCTTTCCCGTATGCGCATCCCAAATAGTCTTCGTCTCCAACGTCTCCCTTTCCCGATCGAATCCCCAAAGTCTCGCATCCGTATCCTCAGAAGCAGTGACAACACTCTTCTCATCCTGCGTCCACATCACATCCCAAATCCTCGCTCCATGTCCCCACCCCGTTGCAAGACATTCCCCACTTTCCGTGTCCCAAACCCTGACACTCCGATCATCAGAACACGAAACCAGCAACCTCCCGTCCCTCGAAAAATCTAACCCGAAGATAACTCCGTCGTGGCCGTTTAGTCGTTTTTCGATCGGACATTCAGAGAGGTCGGAGATAGGGATTGAGCCGTGCCAGAGGAGGATCTCGTTCATGACTGTGCCTGCTGCGACTTTGACTAGGCCGTCCGAGGTGATGCGAACATCGGCTGCGTAGAGGACTGAGCGCTCGACGGAGTGAGCGTGGAGTTCGGAGATGTATGCCCCGGTGCTGGCGTTGTAGAAGAGGACAGAGTTGTGCATCACCACCAACGCAACGATATCTCCGTGTAGCGTCCCATCCAGAATCCAATCCTGGGCCTCGTGCTCCTTCACCTCCGTTTCCTCATCCAGCAGCGCATCAAAGCTCGTAACACAAAACGACCTCCCTCCATAAATGACGATCCTCGACTCCCCATCCACGACGATCCCATGCACCTTCTCCCTCCCAAAAACCTTTCTCTTCACCAACAACTCTCCACTTCGTACATTATAGACTTTGACATGGCCGGCTTGCCCGACCAATACATGTTCCTCGCCTGCAAAAGATAGCGCTGTCACTGGGCCGACATGGCCAATGGACTATGATAGACCTGAGTAAATGCGCAGTTATGTGGAAGATGGGGAGTGAACGGACCTCGAGGAAGCGGCCCATGGCGGGGTATGTGGGTAGATCACGGTCCGTGCGTATGGTAAAAAGTCTAAATTTAGAAGTGTAACGTTGATAAAGTTGCAGGCACGTGCATGTCAGCAATGGGAAAGTTATGATCAGGTCGACATTCCAGTCTGTTACGATGGTAATGGCTACAGGATCACAGGATGATAAGAGGAAGGAACATGACATGGCCGACGGAAGCGTGCTACTATTTTCTAACTACGCCTCTCAACTCCAAGAAACATCCAAATCCATTCCAGATGGTAAAACCACTTAGAACTTGGCGAACTTCTTGGAAGCACCAGGAGCAGCAGAGACCTTCAAGACGTTGAAACGAACAGTCTTGGACAAAGGCCTGCACTGACCAACGGTGACGACATCACCCTCCTGCACACGGAAAGCGGGGGAGACGTGAGCGGCAAGGTTCTTGTGACGCTTCTCGTAACGCTGGTACTTGGGGATGAAGTGGAGGTACTCGCGGCGGACGATGATGGTGCGGTGCATCTTGGCGGAGACGACGACACCGGTCAAGATACGGCCACGGATGGAGACCATACCGGTGAAGGGGCACTTCTTGTCTATAGGGAAGGTAGGAGTCAGCAAGCCGTTCGGAAAGGTGTCACGACCCTTGGGGGTAGGGTGGACTGTAGTATCTTTGGTTTCAAAATCCTCGATCCCCGAAGGGAGAGCAGTAACAAAAGTATGAACGGGACGTAGCCAATTGGGTAGTGCGCTGGTCTGATCTTTCAGGAAGATGACATGAAGACACTCGCATCTCGATCCCAGGCCTTGTGCGACGGAGCGCAGTTGGCTGACGGTCATACGACACGCGCCTTTCAAAAAGCAAGAACAAAAAACACAAAGTACGGGGGTTGACTAACCGATGTAGTTACCCTGGATAGCCTCCTTGGGGGTCTTGAAGCCAAGACCAACATCCTTGTACCAACGGCGGTCACGGATGGACTTCTTAGTCGCAGACTTGCTGTTGAGGAAGATGTGCTGCACAATCGGTCAGAACCAAATCGCTTGATATTTTCGGTGAGAAAACATACGGGCTGCTTCAAGAAAGCACGCTCGTGCTGGACAGTAAGTTCGGTGGCCATTACGGTGGATCTGGAGTTGTCGTCGGGATAAGGCGTCTCGAGGATTTCGCGGTGAGCTGGGCCGTAAACTTTACTGGGCGGGTTAGCGGTCACGTGCAGGCGCAGGCCAGGAAGGTCCGCCCGGTGCGACTGGCAGAGAGGGGAGGGTTAACCCTGCGCGCGCCGAAGTCAATGGCTAAAAATAGCAGCGTTGAAGCCGGCCGATAACTTTTGATGGATGAACGAGCTCGATTGACCTCAAAGAAAAAGCCAGCTCCAATTACAGCTGCAATCTCATAACCTTATTGCCAAGGTCCTTCTGCACTGCCCCACCGGCCTGGCGTCATGATTCGCACGCGCGGCGCTTTCCCGTACGCATATGCACCCCGGAACGTCCGGCTCGAGTACTTGGCAATCTGAAAACCGTTGACCTTTATATAATCCCTTCTCTGCTGCTGTCACCTTGCTCTTCTTCTCTTGCTGCATATACCGCTCATCCCATTCACCTCGACGAGCATACACCCCGATCAAACCGGTGTTACGAGTCGGATCAGTCATTTTTTGGTAGCATTCAGTCAGCAAGAACACCTCTCGTCACCTGTTAGCTTTTGAGCGATACCCTTTGCAACCTTTCGAATCGCATTTATCTCACCAACAATGGCAAAAACACCAACCACCAAACGAGCACTTTGCCTCACCATCCCCTTCCTCTGCACCCTCCTTGCCTTCATCTTCACCCTGCTCATCATCATCGGCAACCTCTCCCCAGCGCCCGTCCTCCGCAACCTCTACTTCGCCCGCGTAAACACCACAAACATCGTACCCTCCTCAACCCCCAACGCCGCAGTCGCAAACACAATCGCCCAGGCACTCGGACTCCACGATTTCTATCAAGTGGGGTTATGGAATTACTGTGAGGGGTACTATGACAATGGTATCAATATTACGAGTTGTTCGAAGAGGGAGGCGGCGTATGCGTTTGATCCGGTGGAGATTATTGAGAGTGAGTTGTTGATTGGGGCGAGTGTGGCTATCCCAACCTCCATCACCTCCGATATCGCGCGTGTTCGGATTGCGTCACGGTGGATCTTTGGATTGTACATGACCGGGGTCTGCCTGTCGTTTGTCACCCTCCTCATCATGTGTATCGGTGCCCTCGGCCGTCGTTGGGCAGTCCTCCCCGTCATTACTGGTTTCCTAGCCTGGCTCATGACCACCGCAGCCAGCGTCGTTGCAACCGTCCTCTGGAAAATCGTACAAAACGTCTTCAATAACGCAACAGAAGTGAACGTCATCGTCTCACTCTCAACAGAGATGCTAGCAATGGAATGGCTTGCCGTCGCATTCTCCACCATCGCACTCCTCTTCCTGCTCATCTCACTTTGTACACCCAAGGGCCGGAAAACGGTGGAGAAACAACGCATGCTCGAGGAAGAAAAGTGGGCGGCGTCGAACCCGAGTCCTCCGCCTAACATGATCGTCAACAATGGTGGGTTCACGCCAGTCGAGCGCGCAAGCGGCGTCTTCACTCCCGTTCAACCATATATCCCAGTCCAACAGCAGCAATTCGACTACAATCACCCTCATGCGCCCAATCCGGTCAGTATGCTGCGTCAGGAGGGGTATGAGAGGAATGTGCCAGAGCCGTTGCCGCAGTATCAATATCCGAAGTATTCGAACGGGTATGGGTATGAGAGTTCGCGGAATTCGAGTTCGGGGAGGAATGTGACGGTGTGAGATGAAATGTTTGGACGTATAAAGGTGGGGTGGCAAGAAGGTACGAGTGACAACGCGAGGGAATGGCGTTTATGAGTTTCTTTTTATGCCTTTGCTGGTTTGGCTTACGTTCGCGGTCTGAAATCATGATACGATTCCCATTCAATGGTGCACTCAAACTTGCATATCAGCGGCCTGAGACGCGGCCCTTTTAAGTTTCCCACGGTGCAGTAGCCAACGCATTCGAATTCGATACGTCTTGTTTGGCCGTTAGGAGGCAACCGACTTAGGCGTGAAGAACCCCAGTCTTCATCTTAACCATGCATCCATTAAGGTACAAAGGTACTTCTCGAGCATATTTTCGTCTGGCTGTAACCTTCTCTACTCTTACTCGGATGGCATGAATGATCCAATCCCTTTCACCAATCCCTTCGCTGCCGTCCCAAACTCCATACCAGAAGTTCCTCCTCCTTCATAACCACAACCCACAACCCATCTCCCTCCTCATTATACCCCATCCACACCGCAACCTGCGTCGCACGGCTCTGCTCCCCCTCATCAGGGCCCCTAAGTCGTCCCCAATCAACATTAAACGCCCTCCCTTCCTTCTCCTGCTGCCGAATTCCGTACGCAAACATCCCAAACGGGGCCTCGACATCGCCTTCCCAACATGCCATGCTTTGTAGTTCGGGAAAGGGGTAGAGACCCCACTTTCCTTCCATGTCGTAGTCAATGAAGGGGAGGGGGGCGGGTGGGGAGATGTAGGTGCCGGAAAGGAAGTGGCAGAGGGGAGGTTGGTGAGCATGAGTTGAGTCGTCTGCTGTTAGGTATATCGACGCTTCATATGACCTTCCCTCCGCAGAATGTGCTGGTTGAGGACGGTCTGTTCGGGTCAAGGAAAGATGGACCCGAGGGTCGACGGAATGAACTGCGGAAGGCGTCACGTTTTCATTACGCCTACTCATCTCTCCAGCACCGGCAAGGACTTTACCTATGTCGAAGGCCATGACCAACTGTGTCTCTTCTAGAGGCTTCGCGATCATATATAGAGTAGTTCCGTCTGTCTCATACTGCACACCACCCGAAATGACGTCGATTGGTGGGTCAAACCGCTCAAGTGGGGAGAACAGGGCCTCAACCCAATCGGAAGAGTTCGTACCTTCGATAGGCTCAGCATATAGGTGGAACTGACCAGATTGCGCCAGGCAAACAACGTATGTTCCTTTGCAGTGCAAGCTTACCAGGTCGTCGAGACCAGTGTTGATCTCGTAAAGAAGCTTGTTTGATGGTGCTGCTTCGTAGACAAAGATCATCTGCGTCGAGATCCGCGTAGTTAAGATCACAATACGATCTCCATCTATACGTATATCTCTCGTGCTGTAGCCTTCTGGTAAAGGCAACACCCACGTCTCCTGCGTAGCAAGCCGTACCAATTGAATCTCCTTGCCGGCGGAGCGGAAAAGGGCTACCAGTCCATACCCATGCCGAGCCTTTCTTCTGGTTGCAGCCGTTGCTAGCGGACCATTAGGTACAAAAAGTGCACCGAGACGGGGCGTATTATTTGCCCGAGGCGTAACTTGCGGTGTCGGTGTATCGATACTGAAGTACTCCTCCGCTCTTCGTCGCTGAAAGTTGTGAAACGCGCGGGCAAGAACGCTCAGCTCTGATACGACGTCCGGCTCAGGTGTGAAAGTTCGGAACGCTCTCACGAAGGCCAGAGGGAAGTGCGCTTTGAGAACTGCTGAACAGACGTAATGGGATGAGGCGATTGCGTTGAGACTGCGTGAAACCTGGCGAACGCGAAAGACCTGCACCGGATCTAGGTATGCAAAGATGTCCGAAAGAATTTCGCCAGGGAGGGATGTGAGTGACATGACCGGGCTGTCCTCAACTGGCATGGCCGTGATGGGACTGTCGAACGTCGGCTGATGTCACCCCTTCACTCAAAGCAGCAAAAAAGACTTTTTCCTTTTCTGTTTGCAAAACACTATAAAAGAGATTCAGGTAATCCATGTACATTTGATATCCGGGGTCGGCCCTGTAATGTAGCCCATGACATCATTTCACTTTCCGTTTTTCGGCAGGCATGTCAACACAGTGCTCGCGAGACGTGAACAGCAGCATTACGATCCAAACACATTGGGAAGATTGAGAGCAGAGGTTGAACAAGAAAGATCACGGAGAGAATCCACGATGAACGCCGAGGAAGACGACGCTGAAGATATGAAGGATTTGTGTAAAAAGTGCAGGTCAAGTCCAATCACTCATGCGGCGAATGGCTGCAAACATCCCCTCTACTGCCAGAGATGTGCAATGCGAGTGGCAACAGGAGGAAAGTGCAAGGTGAGCAGTTTTCCCGGAAGAGCCAAGGCGAACGCTGAGCAGTTCTTTCAATATAGACTTGCGGCGAAATGTTTAGCGAGTTGCAGAGGGTCTAATCGGCCGGATGGGAAGACTATCAGGGAAATGAAGGGGCAAGTCCAATGGACGGTCGCCGAGAGTACCATGGACTATCTACTCAAGCAAGATAGGCATATTCGGAGCGTGAACGAGATAACAGTTTTTGGACAAAGAAGTTTTCTTCACTACTCCTCGGGGAGCTCTCTCTTCCGCTATCACTATCGCTATCAACTATCAACCATAATAAACACAGCGACGATCCACATCGCAAGAAAAGAAAAAAGGATAACGCCTAGCATAAACAAGAAACGAAAGACATAGTGGCCTCTATATGCCAGCATAAATAGAAAAAGGGCCCATGGCGTGATCCTGGGTATAATAATATGTCGGTGTGATGAAAGCACGCTTCAAACGTAATCCAGCGTTTTTTGTTGCTCCGTTCCTCTTTTCTCTCCGTCTTCCTCTTTTCCGTCTACTAGTTGTTCCATATCACCTGTAGACACTCTTCAGATGCAACCCAGTACGACACGGGTACCGACACCCGGTACGTCCTCTTCCTCTTCGTACCACTTCTCGTCATCCTCTTCGTCCTCGAAGACGGTCTCCATCTTGCATGCTTCGGACGACATGCCAGAGTTAATGGATTCCTGGTCAACCTCTACAGGAGGAGTAGGAAGTCCAACCTGCTGGACCTGGTTCTCAAGAACATGAGCCTCGAACTGCATGTGCAGAACCTCAACCTCCTCTCCCGGTGTTGACGGAGGAGTCATGTCCTTTCCGTTTTGGTGGGCAGGAAGACGGACCATAGTTGGTCGTGCCTTGCTGCGAGGAGGAGTGACCGGGCTTGGGCTCGATGAAGTGCGGGGAGCAGCAGCGGCGAGAAGGTAGTCCTTCAAGATGAGGGCGACACCACCCAATGCTGGGCTAGAGTACTTCTGCAACAGACAAGGGAACCCGTGGTCCAGCGAGTCGGCAAAGAGCGCAATGCAGTCGCGGAGGGGTCCTTGTGGTGTTGCGGGTGGACGGCGCTGGCCAAGAATGTGACGAGAAAGGAGAAGGGCAGCGTTGGCGATGACACTCGGCTGGAACTTGAGAAACTCGCGCGTAAAGAGAGCAATCTCGTTCAGATAACGTGCGAGGTGAACAGTTTTGACACTGTCGTCGCGTTGTACGACAGTCTTGTCGCTTAGCAGAAGCTGGAGAAAGGAGTCGGCGGTAGGGTGACCAATGGACCACTCGCAGGTGTTCAAGACGTGAACCTCCATCTGCAAGAACATGTCCTCCTCGTAGGCACCACAGCACATGGCACGCAACTCACGGACAGTAGGTACTTTCTCCTTAGAGTCTTCGTACTTGGCAGCAATCCAGAGAGCAGCGACACCAACGAGCTGGTAGTGCTTGCGGTAGACGACACGACGGGAGGTGTAGCGGTCGATGAGGTTGATGGCGAGATGGAGGGTAGCTGGCGAGAGACGTAGTTGATGGTGAATCTCGATGAGAAAGTCGATGAGGTGAGGACGCATGTACCATTGAAGATCAGGCTGCATGTCCATCATCTCTACCGACGGGGTGGTGAGACCCTCCATGTGAAACATCCAGTCCTCGACTTCGCAACGGTATTCATCCTCGAAGGTCGCATTCATAGCACGCTCCATCTCGTGGAGCTTGGACTGCTTCTGACGGCGGAGCTCTTCGGCGAGAACCTCGGTTGCATGAGCCATGGTGGAAAGGGAGGTCTTGTTCCGTCGGTGACCCTTCTTGTGTACTCGAGAAGATTGAGTACGCTTGAGAGCCGGGAAGGCATTGGGAATGGTGGATTGGCGGTGGTTGACGGGCATTGTGACTGATCGTTGTAAAAGTGAAGATGAAGTTGGAAGAAGGGTGTTGATCACGAAAAAGACAGAACTGTAGTTGGTATAATGAGCACCGAAGACGCGGTACTAATAAAAGTTTAAAGGATGATAGTCAACCGTCCAAAGGCCGTTGAGGTTATTGGAGAACCTCTTGACAACCGTGTTGCACCGTTCGGGGAAAGGAGACGACCCAGGAGACAATGCTGATAACTTTCGGGAGCGAAATGAACGAAATGCCGATGCCTATGCAGTTTGATACGTCCGATATAGTAGTCAGTCGCCGGCGAACAAGGATGATGGTTGCTGGTCGTACGGGGTCCGAGCACTGGGGGTGGATTCCTCGGGGGTTTTGTTCGGATTGGAGGTTAAGTCGACTAGGCCACCTCGGAGCGCGTGTTGTGCACAGAGAGAACTCCGCACTCAATTGTCCTTGGAAATGACTTCACCACAGGGGCTGGGCTGCCGATAATTCGAGATCGAGGTGCTCGGATTTCACTGCTCTCGTGTACCGTGCGTTTGCTGCCTCGATAGACGGCTGGTCTGCAGTGTGACTTGGATGGACGATCCGACAGACGGTCTCCCGAATTAACCCAGAGCTTAATGCGCCGATTGTTGACTCGCTACCCGAAGAAGGCGGAGAGATGAACACCCGAAGCCAGGAGGACTGCTAATGCTGGGTCAAGTTGTGTGCGGACGTGACGAACCCGCGTGCTGCACTGTGAAACCTTGAGTGCAGGACGATCCTGCGATGTGATTTTTGTGATAGACAAAGAATGCGATTCACACCCTAAATTGATAGGCGGATTACGAGTGATACGGTCGTACAAAGGAGCGGGAAATGGACGAAGACGTTGAATGAAGTTGAGGATTTACCGGGTATCAGACGTACGATGAACGCGAAGGCAAAGGACCGAAGGCAGCTGAAGTGAGGAGAAGACCTGTCAAGCATAACGTCAGCTTCATTTCCTCGGAGAAGTAAACAAACATCTAGCTCAGAGGCTGCCACGTCAAGCTTAGGACTGAACTGGACAAAGAAGAGCTGGAAGGATGACGGCAGGATCGTCGGGCCGGATGGCAGCAGATTCCTCGAAGCTTAGCAATGAGGATTGGTAAGCTTATTCGAATCTGGCAGTCTGGCCGATATCGAGAAGCGAACGTCAGGGTACTTGGGCAGGCCGCCACGAACAAAGAACCCTTCAAGCGAGGGTCGGACTGAAGGGCGTTGTCTGTATCCCGAGGCAGAGAATTTTTCGGGGGAGGCGTTTTGTTTTTCTCAAATTTATGCTGACGTTGATGTTGTCCGAAAACTGTTCACGTACCGAGCTTGACGTCGAGGGAAACCTCTGATCCATGCTCCCCGAGAGAGTTAAACCCACAACCAACTCACCTCTGATGCAGAAACGATTGGATCAAAACGTATATGTCGAACTTGAACGATAACTGGACGGATCAACTGAAACGACGATGGATCAAGCACGGGTTGGTCGGTTTAATCTGGTGACGCTGCTGATCTGATGCAGTAGACGTGTGCTAGTATGCCAAGCAAAGACGGATCAAGGCAGATGCCTGAAGCTTGAAGAAGAAAGAGGGTTGAGATCAAACCTATCGTCCATCCTCGGCCGACATCTTGCCATCTTATACTTTCCCGGTCTCTGGCACGGCATACAGCAATTCTTTGTTAGGCTGATCGAACACGCTCCTCGAGGCAACTCCAAATTGCCAGCCGGAAACTCTACACGTGCCTTTTGCACCCTAAGACGCTTGCCCAGACTTTTATGAAGAAGGGTCTATTGCTATGCTGCGTGCCTTCTGTTGTTTTCTGCACATTTATAGTGTTCTTGAGGTTAGGTGTGTACACATGGGGCTGGGTAGTTGATTACAGTTTACGAGGTCTCATCAAGGTAAGTACATTCAGTATGAGCTGGTCAGAGTCTTGACGCTCGCTTGTCTAGCTCGTATCCCACGCCGTAGGTCAGCGGGGGCCTTTGATCCGTGTACGTACACTCGTCTCGAGGACCTGTTCCTCGGAGAAATTCGATTACCTTTTCTCGGACGATCGTCATCTCGCATCCTGGGCAATCTCTATACGAACAAGATGTGTATCCTACAAACCTTGGCACCGCCGAAAGTGTTTCTTCTTTTACCGTCTCCTCAAACCTCACTTTACCTCACTTTAGCTCGAGGGCCGGGCCCCTCAGACATCCCCCTCTGCCAATCATGTTGGACCAAATCTTCCTCGACCTATCGAGGACGATTTCAACAAAGAATCCATCTATTTCGGACGGGCCTACGTTTCCTCTTCAGGGAAAAGGCGCGGTAACATGTGGAGATGAAGGGCACGCATCTTGAAGCGTGCTATTTCAAACAAATTTGGGTTTCATTTACCAGAGGTTATGATCTCCCGTCAACTTCCGCAACGGAGAATACTTACGTAAGAGCATTCCCGGGGCATCTTGGGCTTTTTACTGTTGGAAATGTCCGAGGAGGTTATGCTTTTGATCCCTGCTGTTACGATGTAGTTCGAGTCCATCGGTGCCTCGTACGGTACTCTGGGACTTTGTTGGGGATCACAGACACCCAGATCAGACCGGATCGACGTGGATCCCACGAATCTCGACTTGATTGACCCAATTTCCTCGGTTTTACGGTACCCGACCCTCGACGTCGGTGGTGTTGGCCAATCAGCGGGCCGGCGCGCGAACAGGCCTCCTCCGCAATTGCCTGTATATGAGCCCGCAGGCCTAGGGATGGGCTAGAAATAGATGATTCCTTAGAATACGGGCACAAATAGAGTATGGACCTGGTCAATGACCTCTTCCTGATGCGATATACCAGCTTCTCGGGGATTTGACAGGTGGGGTTCGAGCGGCTTGGGTGACCGGGTGGGCGACCGGGCTGTTTGTATCGAGTGCAGCTGCAGAATGCGGCTGAGGCTCGCGTTCATCCCGAATAGAGTGTTCGCGTGTCGGGGACATTTTCTCCCTTCGCTCCGTCGTTGACCCTCAGAACCATCTCAGAACATCTTCAGAACAGCTTGTTAACATCGTCTGTGCTCCTCCGGTGCTGAACCGTGCGAATCCCGCCAGATCAGCTGTCAACCCTCAAAAATGTCACTCACACTTCCTTATCCGGTTTATCGATTAATTCAAGCTCCACGTGGGCCGTATGTGTTGTGATGTTTTTGAGCGGTGTGAATTTGTCGAGGGCCTCGAGGGAGGTTCTGCGCGCGACGCTTCCAGATGTCCCTCGGCCGGGGCTCACCTTGCACAAGATATCGGACGAGCCAGTGTGCCGCCGCTGGTATGCGCATGGCCGGAGATATCAGATTTAGGACCGTCCAGCCCGTATACGTGTAAGGAGTGCATAGAAATGAGAGCGAGCCCTCCGAAGCGAGCGAGATGGTGAACGAGCATCGTACCCGTACCCGATCGTGTCAGGCGAGGTGCTCCAAAAGCAATTCCTCCGCAATGCATGAAGTCCAGTTGATCCTTTACATAGGAGAAGAATTGCAATACGGCCGTGGTCAACCGTACCATCGAGCTTCTGTGTGAGCAGCATGCCAACTGACATTCCTTAATCGCGATCACTATCGATCGTCACACGTACAACAGCGTGATCACCGGGAACGTAATCCGCGTATATTTGGAACCCAACCTCTGCATAGCACAGCAGCTGCTGTGTGCCGTCTAGCACGACACTATGTGCTGGTAGTTAGCTATTTCACGTCATGACTTGTGTTCACAATACATGTAAGCTACTCAAAAAGTTCAACTCAATTGAGTTGTCGAGAACGGACATGTGATCGATCGTGTTGTGAATCTGACAAGGATTCGAACAGAAAGCTAAGCTGTGCAATTATTGAGCACACGCGCGCGAAGCCATGGCGATGCTCAAGCGGGTCACGATGAAGACGGGAGAGCTAAAGGGTGAACGGAGAAGGTTGGTCAATTGGATCGCTGGTCAAACGACACTATCCATTGCGAAACAAATCCGATTGCACGGTTTCGGGCCGATAAGTGGAGAAAGTCTAACCCCACGTGTGTGTGAAGTCGTGATTTATGTTCGTGATGCTGAAATGGGGGGGTTAAGTATCAGTAGTACGTGTAAGAGGCTGCGAAACACGCGTCGTACGCCGCTGGGTTAATCACACTCACCTTTTCACTTCAATCCGAACGACGTAGTTCTTACCGGGAGGCTTTCCGAGCCTCGCTTGCAAACTGATCACATGAACCTGGCTCAATTGCAAGTCGCACCATGGTCATGGCTATTTGAAGCTTGAGGTCGAGGCACACAAAGAAAGCGGATGCGGATGAATAGCAATTGGTGTTTGGTAATTATAGTATCCATAAATAGTGAAGAATAAACAAGATGTAACGCCATTAACGAAGTCCCACCCAACCCTAAGCTACATAGCAACGCACGACACCCTTTACTCCCAGACATCGTAAACCTCCTTGCATGCCATTGTCAAAGCACCAGAGCCACCTGTGCCAACCCGCCCAACTAGACTCTTCATTACTTCCTTTTCGTCCAAGGTACCATAAATGACCTCGGCTTTGACGGTGACGGCGCCGCTCTGGTTCATGTCAGGGTAGACATCGAGGATGGCCGGAGTAACGGCAAAGGTGACACTTAGCTTAGAACGTGCGGAAGGCAAGAGAAGGCGTGTGGCCGCCTGAAGGTGTGCAGTACCATCCTCCGTCACGACACGGGAGACAGTAACGGGGTGTTGCACCCGAAGGAGCTCGAACTCCGTACGGATCCGCTTGTAAACAGCCCAAGATTTCCTAAGTCCAGCAAGAATTTGAGGCACAGGACGTTCTGAATCGTTCTGAACCGTCTTCTGAAGATGATCAAAGAAGAAACGTGTGCACTCGTTTGCCTTGTCCTCATCGACAAGAGACAAGGTGACGTGAGTCTTGCCGTCCTTCATGTGGATGTGACAGCGGAGTTCCTCGACGTGCTCGATGGCGATGGTGTTGCTCCTGATCAAGGTGACCTTCCAACCGCTTTGCTGTTCGAGACCAGTAACTTGCTCTTTCAAATCCTCGATCTCGTTGGCGTCAAGTCCACGGTTCTCCTCGATAGTCTTTTCCGCAGCAGTAATCCTACGTTTTGCGTCCGCCGTCTGTTCTTCAACCTTGGCAAGTTTGCGGTCGGCTTCTTCCTTCTCCTTCTCCTCGGCCTCCAATTGCGCCCTGCGCTCTTTGATCTCCTCATCGAGTTCCGTAATCCTTTCACGAACCTTCTTGAGCTCTTCTTGGTTACTCTCCTCGATAGCCTGCTTCTTCGCACGCTTATTCTCAAGCTTCTTCTTAACCTCGGCATGACGGGCCTTGAGCTGAGCAAGAATAGGGGTAAGCTCCTCCTTGGCATGCACAAGGGTCTTTTCGTCTTGCTCGAGACTCTCCATCTTCTTCTGCATGTCCTCCAAAACGCCCTGCACAAGCTTGTCCCTCCACTCGTACCAAACGCCCTTAGCCTTCAACCTGGCGTTGGTCTTGATGAGCTTGAACTGCGAATCCATGATGGCACGGACGTCGGAAGCGGCGTTCAAGTACTCCTGGAAGAGGAGCGGGTTGTCCTCCAGAGTGTCTTGCTCAATCTCTTTCACGGCCTCTTGACCGTCAGTAATAGAAGTCTTCAACTCCTTACAGCAGTGCTGGAAGAGCTCCAACATTGGCAAGGTAACGAGGCTCGCTTTGATGTAGTCCACGTCTTGCGGCTCCTTCATCATGGATTGGGGAATGGCGATGGTCTCGCGACGACGAGTGGTAGTGAGACCGTCAAGGAAAGAGATACCTGTCATGTCAAGGAAGTTGCTAAGGCTGATGTTCTTCTCAGTAGGTTCCTCGACGGTGGCCGTTTCTTCGACTGTCATCTCAACATCCTCAATCTTCACTTCAACCTGTGCCTCCTTCGCCAGTGAAGCCTGACGAACAGGAGTCGTGGATACACTGGCAACATCGAACTTGGCCTTCTTCTTGGTCGGGCTGGGCGTATTCACCTGCTCAATGGCCCTCTTGGCTCCGACCTTGGGGGAAGCAGGAGCCGCAGTAAAGTCAAGCTTCAAGGGAGTCATCCCACGGGCAGGAGATTTCGCGATAACGGGCTTCTTCTTCGGAGTCATGGACGCAATGCGGTCCTGGATGGTAGCTATACCCTTAGGAACAGGGATGTTGGCACCAAACTCTTCGTTGCCCCATCCAGCCTCACGACCAACGACAACCTTGACAGCTGGGGAACGAGGCTCCATACCAATCGACTTCCTCCGGCTGAGGATCTCCACAGCACGAGGTGATCCCATTTTGACGGCCGGAAAGGCGGAGGTGTCGCTCTTGCGACGATCCTTGAGAAGCGGCGCAGGAGAGCGTCCAAGGAGAGCCTCGGCGGCACGAATACCAGAACGAGGAGTGCGGAGCGGTGTGCCGAGCATAGGAGTACGGAACTGCATGGGAGTACCATACTGCCCAAGAGGCTGCTTCTGCTGCGGCGTAACAGCAGCCAAGGGGGTACCCACATTGAGATTGCGTGCTTTACCAACAGGAGTTCCGGCAATGGGGCTGAAGGCTTCGGCGGCATCGTCTGGCAGACTCTGTGCGGGTGGAACGATACCACCAATCGCACGGGTAATGTCCATGGTCATAGCCTCGTTACCGGCATCATCATCATCCTCGTCCCCTTCCTCAACGACCTGCTGAGGCGTGCTCAAGATACCTCCAACGGCCACAGTCATATCCATGCCGTCGTTGCCATTGTCCTCCTCGGCATCAATCTGCCTCTGTTCCTCCTCCTTCGCAGCGTTAGAAAGAATGCTACCGACGGCAACGGTAAGATCCATTCCGTCGTTTTCATTGCTCTCCTCCTCGTCATCTTCGTCATCTCCCTCCTGGAACACTTGAGGCGCTCTGGAGAAGATACCACCGACGGCGACTGTAAGATCCATACCGTCATCGCCGTCCTCCTCAACAGGTTCATCAGGCCGCGGCTGAAGGATACCAGCGGAAGCTGCCTTCTTCTTGGGCGTAACCGGGCGGACAGGGTTCTCCTTCTCGTCATTGATGATACCGCCAATGGCGCGAGTGATATCCATGTCGAAACCAATGGTTTCGTCCTCGGCGATCGCCTGCCTAGAACCTTGGTTTAGGATGCCGCCGACTGCACGGGTAACATCCATGGTCATTTCCTCGTTTTCGTCGGAGTCGTCTTCGTCCATTGCATTCTGCTGAGCCAAAAGATAGGCAGGTGGCACAACACCGGTAATATCCATGGTCATCTCACCGTCTCCCATATCTTCATCGCTGTCCTCGGCAACTTGCTGTCCTCCAATGAATCCGCCAACAGCCTTCGTAAGATCCATAGTCTGCTCGTCCATAGCTTCCTCCTCATCGTCGGTAAACTCTGGTGCGTTGCTCTTGATGAACCCTCCAATTGCTTGGGTGACGTCCATAGTAGCCTCGCCCTCTTCCTCATCATCTTCGCTATCGTCGATCATGAAACCAGTTGATTGGCGCACCGGCGTACCGTTCATGATGTGGAACTGAGACGTCATGTCGTCACCCGCCAGATCCATATCAGCATCCTCATCCTCGTCGTCATCGTCGAAAGGAGTGTCAGAGCTGAAAGTGATTAGGGGTGCTGGACTTGCAGGAGGCTTAGCGTGCTTGGGCGAAGCCTTAACCGCAGGCGAGTCGAAGCTGATCAACGGCGAGTTCTGTGGTGCTTCCTTCTTCTTTGGTGATCCCTTATTCGGCGTCGCCTGACCAGGTGTCTGCGCCTCCTGATCCTTGTCAAACAATCGAACGTTTGCGAAGCTGGCAAAGCTGACTCTTCTTCCCAAGCTCTTGCGCTTCTCCTGCCTTTTCTTCTTCTGCTCTTCAGATTCACGTTCAGCCTCCTCCTTCAGCGCAACCTGCATTACTCCGACGACCGTATGGTTGTCGTCGAACATTCTTCTTCGCGATGGTCCAGCACCATCCAGCTCTTCCACATATTCTCCGGTGTATGCCGAACTCTTCAGGATACCTCTTGGAGCGAGCGACATACGCGAGTTCTTCCCAGGCGTGATCTTCGCTGCCGAAGGAGCGCGTGGATCATCAGCCCCACCTAGCGATTGCGACCGCTTCTTTCTGCTGGGAGTTGGCGCAAGCAAGTCTGCTGCTGCGGCGCGTTTCTGAGGGGAGGCATTCTCTTTGTTGACGCTCTTGGGCGAGAAGGCAGAGCCGAACGCGATGCTCTTGCGCGGTGAGCGGCGCGGTGTGGACGACATTGTCGCAATATTATCTGATGTAAAGACACTCGTACACTACGCCGATCGAGCTTTGCTGGGTTCTAAGGTTGTCGGGGGTGTCGAAGGTCGCGGCGGGTGTTGCTGGATTTTCGCGACCTCAATGTTTGTTTACACGTACGACCGAGCTGCAGCAACTTTGCATGACCGCAGAACCATGACAACAAGACGGGTTCTATGGTGAATGCTAAAAACAACTGTTATGCAAACGTTTTATCTTTTGTCAGTAATTGTAACCCCTTTCAATGTATACTCCGGGACTTTGCTCTCGATATCTTCGTTACAGGGCAAGCTTTTGTTTTGTCCCACTCGTTATCCAGCGTCAACACGCCAATCGCTCATTTCAGCCTTTGCTGAGCCCCTCAACATGTCTCTACGTGCTGAAGACCTCCAATATGTGGTCGCGCCCATGATCAACCAATCTGACCTCCCCTTTCGAGCCCTCTGCGTCGCTCACGGCGCAACCTCCACATATACGGAAATGCTCGACCCAGCACGGCTTACCTCGGACATCGGATATCGCGAGTTCCATCTACGGTCACTACAACTTGAGAAAGCCGCGGGTCTCGGTCGACCGGTGCTTGTACAGGTGCAGGGGAATGATCCAGAGACCGTCGTGAAGGGTGCAAGAGAAATCGCTCCATGGGCAGACGCGGTATGTTCTTTTTGAGTGTCTGTTGTGGGTGAAACTGATCAGTTGCTGAAGGACTGATAGATCGACCTCAACCTCGGCTGTCCCCAAAAACGCGCTCGAGAGGGGCACTACGGCGGCTACCTCCTCCCCAAAAAAGACTGGCCACTCATTGAGTCCGTAGTCTCCGCCATGTCACACTCACTTACCCCACCAACGACCACGAAGGTGCGGCTGTGTAACCCGGTGAGCCAAACGCCAGAGTTGTGTGAAAGGTTGATTGCAGCGGGAACGGGTTTGATTGCGATTCACCCACGGCATGTGGCGGAGAGTCGGAGGAGGGCCGGGGTGCCGGATATGGACGCCGTACGTTTATGCGTAGCACAGATCGATCATGCCGTTCCGGTGTTGTTGAACGGTGGGACCCGATCATTCGCACACCTCGCGACGAATAGGGCGGCGACGGGGGTGGACGGTGTGATGGTCGGTGAGGCTGTGCTTGACAATCCACTGCTGTTTGAGGCTCGGATACCGGATCCGAGAGCGGTTTGTCTGGAATATCTGGGTTATTGTGAGAAGTTTGAGGGGACGGCGACGGTGTATACGATCAAGCAGCACGTGAAGCGGTTTGTGGAGTATCAATGTGTCCGGAGACCGTGGTTTGGAAGATTTGGGAAGGCACTGTTGGAGTGTGAGACGCAGGAGGAAGTCAGAAATATGCTGGAGGGTGATTTGATAGCAAACTGACATAATCATCGATCCCCATCCACCCCGCATCCCCCAAACTCTCATTTTACGACTTTCCACTCGCCCGAACCGTTGCATGTCCGGGGTACACCGGACCACCGGCTCCCCTGCGCAGACGCATTCACAGCGCGACCCCAGAAGAGTCGGAACAACGGAAGAATGAAACTAAACCCGACCATAAGGTGAAAAGCGAGGTTAGAAGCTTAATGGCCTGTAGGTAGCCATGATTAGAGTTGGGAGAAGTGTGGGGAAGCTACACCCCCGCACTCTGTCGCCGCGGTCGTCGGTCGTGCGTGAGCTGTCCATGGCATGAGGAGTGAGAAGAGGGCAGGGAAGAAAGGAGCAAGGTGGCGATCGCCTGTTTTCGTCGATGTCGAGAGATGGCTTTTGGCGGAGCTCAACGGTCAATTTGCGTTGTCCCCGTGACCACATCCCAGCGACATACCCGCCCATCCCGCACGCCGCGCCCCCAGGGCTCCGTCGACGCTACCCTCCTTTACACGACGTCTAGAACGGAGGGAAGGGAGAACAAGGACAAGCGAGATCGAGACACGCTACGACCTGCCCTTCGTTAGAGTATCACTCGTACGATGAATGCTATTCGTCCGTGATCTAAGCGTGGGGGCTGTTACTCTATTTTGGCGCGCGAACTGGTGTGGATGTTTTTCTCAGCGCCTGCAACTGGCCAGAGAGGAGAGGGATAATGAGAAGAGAAGTCGATGAGAGAAGTCAGCTTAGAAGAGTCGCTCGTTTAGGATAAAAGGATTTCAATTTGACCAGCAGTCACCCCGCCCCGTAGTCTCCCGCACCACCAACACGATGAGGCTGGGCATCCGGGGCAACACTAAGCTTTGCAACGCTGAGCGGCGTGACCACCCCAAACGAGACCCCGTGCTCCATTGGGAATAGATCCTCCCTCCTCCACACTCCACCCAAAAAATGTAGAGACACATAAATACCCCCCGTCGCTCCCTTCCCGGCCTCCTCCATCACAACAAGTCCATCGTTCTCATCCATGTCTGACCACGGCGCTCTCAAGAACCCTCCCGGTGACCTCGAGTCAACCGCAGGGACAAACACCCTCAACAACAACTACCTCGGCTCGACCACCACCCCGCAAGCCGCGCAGTACAACCCCAACGTCGTCTACACCGGCGAGGCCCTCAACGGCGGCGCCGGAGCAACCCAGTACGGCGGAACCACCCAATACGGCGGTTTCTCCAGCGCTCACGGCCGCGCACCCACCATGTCCACCATCCTCCCCCCCTCCGGCGGCGATTTCGATCCCGAACCCCACAAGCGTCTCTTCCGCAAGTTCGGTAACCCCGGTCCCCTTGGCTTGTCCGCTTTCGCTCTCACTACTTTCGTGTTGTCCTTGATCAACGTCAACGCTCACGATGTCTCTACTCCCAACGTCGTTCTTGGTCTCGCGCTCGGTTATGGAGGTTTGGTCCAGATCATCGCTGGTATCTGGGAGTTTGCTGTTGGTAACACCTTTGGTGCTACCGCTTTCTGCTCGTACGGTGGTTTCTGGTTGTCGTATGCTACGATTTTGATTCCTGGTTTCGGTATCGCGGCTTCTTACGACAGCCCTACCAACCCTTACGAATTCAACCACGCCATCGGTATCTACCTGATTTGTTGGTTTATCTTTACGTTCTTGATGATGCTCTGCACGCTCAAGTCTACCATCGCTTTCTTCGGTCTCTTCTTCACCCTTGATATGGCATTCCTCATGCTCTCTATTGCCGACTTCCGCGCTGGACACTCGAACTCTGTGCACTTCTTGCGTGCGGGTGGAGCGTTTGGTTTGGCTGCTGCTGTCTTGGCTTGGTATAACGCTCTTGCCGGTGTGATGAACCACCAGAACTCTTTCTTCACTGTTCCTACTGGTGCGTTCCCTTGGGCCAACAAGGGTAACAAGCCTGCCAGGCAGACTACCAAGGACGAGTAAACTTGTCATATTGGGATAGGAAGGACGTTTTGGGGGATTAATGGAAGAGGAACAGGGGAAAGGGATGGAACAAGTGACAGTGTACGATACAGACTGTAGGGATTGCGATTGCTAGCTAGCTATTACAGGAGAACGCTCTTTTTACTTGAGAGTATAATACCATATTAATTACCTCTACTTGACTTCCTCGTTGTTCAAACTTGCAATTGGCGTCTTGGTGTTTGCGGAGGACACGCGCGCATCGAACGTCATTCCCGCGGTGATCAGCGCGATCTGCCCATTTAATGATTAACTAGAAATTATGTTATGGCAACTACAACTCATCCGGATCAACATACCCACCCTCCTCCTCCTCCTCCTCCTGGCCCTCATCGTCAATCCCCTCCTCCTCCCCGCCCACCTCAATCCTCACAATCCCAGCGGCAAAAACGTAAACAATGAACGCAACCACACCACCCACGGCAACCATGATCCTCTTATTCCTTTTCGTCCGTGCTTGTGCTTCGGCAGCTTCAGAAGCTGCATCCTTTACCGCGTTTTCTGCCTTCTTTTCTTGTTGGAAGATAGCGTCCCAGACCATCGAGGTGACTGAGGGCCGTGAGGTAATTGTCTTTATACATGATGGGAGAAATGTTCGACGTGCTTCATGTGTCCACGCCGCGACGCGTTCTTTCTTGCGAAGTTCGGATGCGAGCCAAGGGTTTGGGAGTTCGGGGTAGAGGTGTGTAGACAGTACCCCGAACAACAACGCATCCACCGAACTAGGTTGATCTCCAAACACGAACGGTGTAGGCCGTAATGGGTTTTGCAGAATAATCGTATTGATCGTAGCGTAAAACTCTGAAGCGAGGTTGGTGAGTGCTATTCTCTTTCTCAGGTTCTCGGGTGAGAGTTTGGGTTGTGGAGCGGTGAGTGAGGGAAAAGTGTTTTGTCTTGGATTGGGATTCCTCTCCTCCTTCACCTCATCCGTGAAATTCGAACCCAAGGCATCGTTGAACCCCAATTTCTCCACTCGTGCCTGTGCCGCAGTCCGCAGCCTAAACGGCTCAACATAACTCGCTGGGAACGGTAGCGGCGCACTCAACACATGTCTTGTCACTCGCGAATAGTTGGGGTAGTCGGCGTAGAGGGAGAGGAGGGAGAGGTCGATTCCGCGGGAGGTAATGAGTGCGGAGTAGGCTTCGGAGAGAGCGAGTTGTTTGGGTTCCAGGTCGGAATCGGCGTCGTAGGAGGCGCGTTTTAGGTAGGCAATGATTTCGGTGTAGCCAGATATTCTGATGTCTTCGGGGAAGACGCGGAGGGATGGTAAGGGTGCTGGAGAAATGTTAGCATCGAAGTCATTCTTGGGGGGATCGAGACGGTGGGATCAAGTGCGACGCGTTCGTAGACATGGAATCGCCGAGTCAGAGTGATCCGCAGTCATTCCATAAGCAGCCACGCACTTCCTACATGAACACCCACCGTCTTTCTCAAAAGAACATACAAACGCTGGACTCAACAACGGTAAACTCCCCCGGTGCAACAATCTGAAGATACGCAAGTGCCGCAATACTCAGCGGATCGGTACTAGGCAGCGAGAAGGCCGGCGAGGTATGAATGTGCAGCTCGAACTTCTTGCTCATGGTGATCGGGTCAATGTCGATTCTATGGAATTAAAAGTTGATCGATCGGTCGAGGAGTTGTATGAGCATCGAGAGCTGCTTAATTCAGGACAGGGTGATGCAGGGATTGCAGATGAACGTCACCCTCGATATCCGTGGATACGAAACACTGGTCAACGAAGAAGTGACAAGTCGCAAGTTATCCCATTGAATCAAGAAGAACGGCCATACCCATTCTCAGAGTACAACAGAGATCCTCGGCTGAACTCGCTTGTTGGTTCAATCGCATCGTCGCAGCCCGCGCGCCAGAAAGCTACTTTCTGCACTTTTCGCAGCGCGGGGATTTCAAGTTCGATGTTGAGCTTGACACCAGCTGTTTGACAGGCCATCGCTTGCAATTGATCTGCAAGACCCTTCTTGCTCAGAGTCTGCGTTATGAAGGGTTTTCGCAAGCAGCAGGAGAAGAAGGAGGCGTCTCCGCCGCCTGTGCTCATGAGTGAGGAGGAGATCAAGGTCGTCCGTGATAGCTGGTACCAGTGAGTCTTTTTACACTTCTTTCCAATTCCTCTTCTAATATGTTGGTTCAGAGTAATGCACCCAACCTCATCAACCCCCCAAAAATTCATCAAAACACCCCTCTCCCTCCAACAAGAATACCCCTTTGCCCCACCCCTCTCCCCAGCCTCCCTTTTCACCTACACCTTCTACTCGAACCTCTTCATCCTCCACCCAGAACTCCGCTCCATGTTCTCAAACATCCACGCACAATCTGCCGCACTCGCAGGCGTGGTGAGTACGTCCGTGAACATGTTGAACAATATCGAGGCGCTCGCGCCAAAGTTGGAGGCGATGGGGAGGGCGCATAGGGATTTGTATAATGTCAAGTCGGAGATGTATGAGACTGTGGGGGAGGTGTTGTTGTTGAGTTTGAGGGAGAGGTTGGGGGAGGGGTGGAGTGGGTCGATAGAGAGTGCGTGGGCTAAACTCTACGGGTTGCTTGCTTCGGCGATGATCAAGGCGTCGGATGCGAAGAAGCGGAAGGGGTTGCGACAACGAACAGGGAGCAGAAACGCTTACCAGTGCGGAGTAATGTGAGGCGGATATCCTGATCGGTAGAGAGATGAAAGCAGACAGCATGGCTATGGATGGAATTTTGGCAAAGTTGGCATCAGAGAACGAGACGCTGGACGTCTTCTGATGAGACATTGGGTGTGAACGGTGAAAGAAGGCATCTTGATATTTCCTAATATACCCTAATTTACATGATATTCCTGGTATCCTGATTCTCACACTCCCTGTGACGATATCTTCTCGCGTCTTCTTCAAAACCCGGACTTACCTCATGAGCTCGGAAAACGGTTGTCCAGTGAACCCAATATTCTCCCTCCCAGGGTCAACGACACGGACATACCCACGGTCGCCAGGCAACCCAAATTTCTCACTCAAAAACTTTGTGTAAGCAGCAATAATCTCCTTGTTCTGCTGCACATCGACACCCAAACAAGTGATATGAAGATTAAACGCTGTCCAGCACTCATCAGCTACAATACCAATTGCAACAACCGAGCCTTGATGGGCAGGACATACCAGGATCAAAAGTTCCGTCAAAAGCCATGAGCGCGTGTTCGTTGATTTTGACACACATGTACTTGGAGGGTTTCTTTAGGGTTTCGACGGAGAAGGCGTGGAGGTCTTTGATGAGGTCACGGCCGAGGTGGGCGGATTCTGAGATGCGAAAGTTGACGGTGAGGTCGACGACGGGCATTTTGTATGTTGCTTAGGGGTAGCGAAAGGGAGTTGTGTGCAGGATCAATGGGGGGAGTGGATAGTTATGAACGAGCTGTGTTTTGCACACGTCGTCATGTTACACGAAGCGGGGACATCTAACCGACCGTGCCGGCAGCGGATCCTGCAGGACGCTCCGGAAGACCGCGACCGAAGAAAAAGGTCAGGTGTTTTATAAAGACAGGGAAAGGAACATGGACATCTTCTGGTACAGAATGGCTGTTTGCATTTCGCTACTCTCCTTCGCAGGGTCATATCCAAAAACGCAGCAATCCCACTCCAATATTTCCTAGCACCACGACATCCAGATAAATGCAAGCGCTTTGCATTTAGTGAAGACGCTTCTCGGCCTGACGGAGAACGTCGGCGTAGACCTCGATGGGGGAGGCGGTGTAGGGGGTCTCCTTCCACAAGTCGGGGGTCAAGAAACCGTAGGTGTTGGCAATGGCAGCGTAGGTAGCCTTGACGAAGTTACCAAGGGTACGGGTGGAACCACGGGAGCAAGTGTAACAGTCGTTGATACCGGCAAGCTGGAGAAGACGCTTGGGGGTAGGGGCAGCGACGATACCGGTACCGCGGGGAGCGGGGATCAAACGGCACATGGCGGAACCACACTTACCGGAGACCTTGGTAGGGACGGTGTGGGGCTCACCGAGGAGGGATCCCCAGTAACCACGACGGACAGGGACGACGGCAAGCTTGGCGAGGATGATGGCAGCGCGAATAGCGGTGGCAACCTCCTTGGAGCACTTGACACCGAGACCGACGTGACCGTTACCGTCACCGATGGCGACGAAAGCCTTGAAGCGGGTACGCTGACCGGCACGGGTCTGCTTCTGGACGGGCATGATCTTCATGACCTCATCCTTCAAGGAAGGAAGAAAGTAGTCGACGATCTGGAACTCCTTGACGGGAAGGGAGTAAAGGTAGATCTCCTCCATGGACTATGAAAAAACTGTAAGAATCAATTGCAAATCGAGTAACTCAAAATGGACGAACCTTGATCTTACCGGCCTTGACGAGACGACCGAGCTTGGTAACGGGGACCCACTCCTTCTCCTCGTCACGCTTGGGTCCACGACGTCCACGGCCACCACGTCCACGTCCACGTCCGAATCCACCACGACCAGCAGGGGCAGCAGGAGCAGCAGCGTCAGCCATTTTTTCTAAGCTTTTCGTTTGTCGAAGTTGCAAAGAGGAAGAACCGGAGCACCCCGGACCCTTCGCACTTTTGTCTGGACGCCGCGCGTGGCGCGAATTTTTAGGGTCAAGGAAACCCTGAGGTGTGCAGAAGCCAGCAAGAGAAGGGTACAATTGATTGCTGTAATTGAGGAATATCGTGGTTGATTATCTCGTGTTTCTTCTTCCTCGTTGTCTAGATATACGTGGGTATAGTGAATTACACAACGCCGCCCATCTCCGACCACCCTAAGCCTCTGCCGTCAGATATTGATATCATCCAGTTGACCTCTTCCCAAAACCGAGTCCACTTGACGTAACCTTCATTAAATCCGTTCCTACTCTCTTGATCTTATTCGCGCCCATTTCGCGTTCGAGCCTTAATATCGTGGAATCGACATGATCGAAGGATTCCGCATATTCATGTTCAATCGGCCATCCTTTCCGTCCAGCAATTGCAGGTCTGACCTTTTCAATCAAATCCCTGGCTACAAAGACACACTTTCTCTTCAGCCCGGCATCTTTGCCGCCGAATTGTGATTCGTCTGCGATGCTTGTCATTGCAGCTGCCCATTTCGTAAACGCCCTCACGAAGATCTCACTGGCGATTTCTTGAGTGTAGCGCTGTACAGTCCATGACCACAACTTTTGTGCAGTTTCGGCGATCTCATCGACGGCGGCCATGGCGGCCCTTCGCCCAATCTCGCCGGGTATCTTTCGCTTGCCAAGTGCTGTCAACTTCAGATAGCAGGCCTCAGCGAATGCCCACAGCATACGAGTCGAAGCCCCATGACCTGGACCGAGGATCCGTGCAACCATAGCGTACCGCTTGTGAACTCCATCCACGCCCAGTGCTGGTAGGTCCTCCTCCGTATCGACCACAAGCGACTCAGCTGCTTCTTCCATTTTCTTCTCCAGGAAGATGTTAGGCACCGGGTATTTATACCTCATCTTGCAAGAAGGACATGACCAGGGGTTTGGATGTCCCTCCTTCATGAGTGCCGAGTCCGAGTAAACGACTTCAGGTCGGATATCCATAGGCAAGAGCATCATTTCTTCCGGACTTCCTGGGTTGAGCCAGGCGCCTGTACATGCTGAACATGGAAAACCGCGTGCGTAGTCTGGTTCATGTGTGCATTTGCAGCAAACACAGCAGAAAGCCTTGGTTTGCCATAGGATACCCTGACGTAAAGGCGCACTCATCATCTCAACGGGTCCGGCCAGATAACGGGTCGTTAGCAATTCCCCTTCCTGGATGCGGCGCAAAGCGATATGTCGACCACGGTTCTCTGTAAGAGAGTAAGAGTACTCCGTGTTGGGAGATCCGCAAGTGTGCGTGAGCTTTGATCCGAGTTCGAAGACAGCACTTCCGTCCGATCCAAAGGCATGACCGTTGATGGCTAAGATCAACGGCATTCGCAGCAATTCAGCATGTGTAAAGCTCTTGACACACTCGTACTGCCCGCCGTGTCCAGCCAGGCGCTTGAGAGTTGTCGCAGCATTCTCAGCCTGCCTGATACACGTAGCTCCACGAACGTTGGACTGAGACAGATCAGGGACGTTGCAACAATCAAGCACTCTTTGCCTGATTTTGTCGTCCGCTTTGCACAACTCCAGGACCCAGATCAACTCCCTTCCGTCAACGACACCACCGTGCGCGGCTTCTTTGCGATATGTCTTCCCCCATGTCGCATTGGCTTCCCTGATCAGCTTCTTGCTGATGGGAGCCTTCATATCGTACGTCACAGCAAAGAGCGGTGCTTCATCCAGAACAATCGTCCCAGGCAGAAACGTGCGAGCGGCATAGGCGGCCTTCCCAAACAATGGCGAGTCTTTGACCGTAACATTACCATCAGCGCTTTGATCCATTGACAGCCAGGGGGTCGCTCCAGCCGCGACAAGCAGCGGAAGCTGAGTGACGGTCGTAACGATCCGAATGATCCATTCTCACAAATATAAGAGAGCCGCGGTGTTCATGTGATAAGGGAGATGAATCTGAGTCGCAGCCGCTGAGCGCATGGACAGCCCACCCACCTAGCGCGCGCAATCCCGTCCCCGGCAATTGCCAGAGAACTGTTGAAGGCGAGCGAGCAAGACCTGTCGAGGACCCAGCAGTCTCATTCACAGCTTGTGCTGCAACTGTTAGATACGTTGAAAACAAACATCGCTCTGTCTGGCCCCGGTATCGCCTGCGTTGATCCGCTTTGACTTGCACCCATGCACGTGCCTGACGTGTGCTTCGTTCAGCATCCCAGTCCTAAATTGCAGTCCGGCGCGTACGGCCGCAGTCGACACCAAAGGATCTCGGCGACGAAACACCCCTGAATTCGACCCGCCAAAGGGAGCCAGCTTGAATCGCTTTTACTTGGTGAGTCCCTTCCCAATTGCTCCTCCCTTTTCCAGCGGCATTCTGACCATTTCAACAGCACGACCTATATACCCAATAGACGCATATATCATGGCCGAAGTTGCCCCCGCCGCTGCATCTACCCAGGCTGACCCCGCCATCGCCTCTACTACCGAAGATATTCAGGACATGTCCATTGAGGAGTCTACGCCGTCAGGTCCTCTTACCGTCTTCCACTCTCCTGAGGCATTCAACGTCAAGCATCCTTTGATGAACCATTGGTCGCTCTGGTTCACCAAGCCACCTACCCCTGGACAGAAGGACGCATGGGCACACAACTTGAAGGAGGTAATTTCTTTCGACAGTGTTGAGGAGTTCTGGGGGTTCGTAATCCCATGCAAAGAGTTTACCGGGGATGTATGCTGACCATGTATGCAGTGTCTGGAATAACATTCCTAAGCCCTCTGAGTTGGCTGTGAAGTCTGACTACCACTTGTTCAAGGCTGGTGTCAGACCCGAGTGGGAAGACCAGCAGAACAAGATCGGTGGAAAGTGGGCGTACCAGTTCAAGGATAAGCGTGCCGTTCCTATCGACGAGTTGTGGTTGCACTCTGTAAGTTCATGCATTTCCTCGATATTCACCCGGATGTATGCTAACCATTTCCACAGATGCTTGCTGCGATCGGTGAGACCGTCGAGAAAGATGATGACAAGGAAATCATGGGTGTCGTGCTCAACTGCCGTAAGGGATTCTACCGTATCTCCCTCTGGACCCGTACCTGCCAGAACAAGGCTACGCTAGTCGACATCGGAAAGAAGTTTAAGCAGGTGTTGGGATTGTCGGAGAAGGATATCTTGGAGTTCAACTCGCACGCGGACTCTGCGCACAGCGGTACCTCCAGGGCAAGGAGTTTGTTGACTGTGTAAGGTGGAGGGAGCAAGAAATATGATATGAAACAAGAATGAGACGAACGAAAAGTGAGTAAATGTATGCGGGAGTGGGCCTGGTGGTGTCGACTGGTTGATTTGATGCATTGAAAGAAGGGCTTTGTGTTGTTTTCTCAGGGCGTTCTACATAATTTCTACGTGTGACAGATGTGGGGCTCGGATTTATATTCGAGAGAGAGCTTCAAGAACATTATGCTACTGCAACCTCTGCATCAGCTCCTCGAACATGGCGTCTCCACCCTCTCCACGCATGTAGCGAGCCAGCAAGTAGGCTACGTCCAGTGATTGTTCGTAATTCAGCCTTGGGTCGCAGTAGGTTGCGTAGTTCGTGCCGAGGTCTTCGTCGGTCATCTCCATTCCTCCTCCTAGACACTCCGTGACGGCATCACCCGTCAACTCAAGATGGATTCCGTTCAGCGTCGAACCCAAAGACTTGTGAATCTTGAAGGACAAAGCAATCTCACGGACGATAGATGACACCTTTCTAGTCTTGACTCCGGAAGACGTAGTGACGGTGTTTCCGTGACAAGGATCACAACTCCACACGGGCCTATGACCAGATTCTCTCACAGCCTTGATGTGGCCGGGTAAGAGACCCTCGATCTTGTCATACCCGTACCTCGCGATGAGCGTAACCTTCCCGGGCTCTTTGTTTGGGTTGACGACATTCAACAACCGCACAAGCTCCTCATTCTTCATGCTAGGGCCCACTTTGATACCGATAGGATTCTCGAGACCACGGAAGAACTCGACGTGTGCGCCATCGATGGCACGAGTTCTGTCACCAATCCAGACCATGTGTGCAGAGGTATCCCACCAACCTTCCTTACCATCCGGACCAACGAGTTTCCGGGTCATGCTTTGTTCGTATTCGAGAAGGAGAGCTTCGTGGCTCATGAAGAGGTCGACGGTGTTTAAATTGGAGGATTCTGCCGCGCCGACGGTGTGGAGGAACTCGAGGCTGTCACGGAGACGGTCAACCATCTTTTGAAAATCTTGACGGATGTGTTCGTCGCGGACGTGGGTTAGGGACCATGACATGGGGTTATGGAGGTCGGCGAATCCGGAGGAGAGAAGTGCCCTCACATAGTTCAGGGTCCCAGCGGAGTGGAAGTAGGCTTGGACCAAGCGGTCCGGATCGGGTTCACGGTGCTCGGGGTCGAAGTCGTTGACGATGTCACCCTTGAAGCTGGCGACTTCTTTCCCGTTGATGACCTCCATAGGACTACTTCTGGGTTTGGCGAATTGTCCTGCCATACGGGCAACCCTGACGATGGGAGTACGGCTGCCCCAGGTTAGGACGAGGGACATTTGGAGGAGCACCTTGAGCTTGTTCTCGATTACGGAGGCGTTGCAGTAGTCGAAGAGCTCGGCGCAGTCACCTCCTTGTAAGAGGAAGGCCTTGCCTAAAGCAACGTCATGAAGCTTCTTCCTGAGTTTCGAGATCTGTGCATGTTAGCTATGCTCGTAGGGATTCGGGAACAAATCGCTCACCTCAGCGGGAGTTACGAGCGGCGGGAGCCACTCGAGCTTGCGCAAGGACTTCTCCACCTGCTTGTAGTCGCTGTACTTCACGTCATGCTTGATCGGCTTTGACTGCCATGAGGACGGAGTCCACTCAGCAGGCTGTTGAGGTCGCTCGCCGGATACGCTCAAGCGAGCGGCGGATCTGGCGGCAGCGCTCGGAGGAGAGACGGAGTAGAGACGAACGTCAACCTCGTCGTCTTGCTCCTCGTGAGTGCCATTTCTAGTCGGAATATCCATTATGGTCGAACAGTGAAAAAAAAGTATTGCGGTTGGGCCCTTCGCCTCACGTTGTCAGCGCGGAAGCTCGTCGCGAAGTTCAACAGCTCATCTCGGAAGCGCGCTGGCCGACGTCATGAATCATCATTTCATATGATTATCGATAAGGTCGAGAAAGTCAACGAGCTGAGTCTCGAGGAGATCAGGCAGAAATTGCCTGATGATCGAGAGTTTCTTGCGAAGAATGCGTTCGTCGAGCCTCGTCTCTTGCCTGTGGACCGCTGCTGACCTTTTGCTGCTTCAAGGACGCGTTATGCGGTGACCCTCCATGATCCAATGTCGATCCCTGAAGCAGCCTTCGCGGCATGCTTCTCGCTTGTGGAGACCAATATGAAGAAGATGTACAAGGAGGCCGAGTGCGGTTGGTCGGCTTCAGACAAGAGGGTGGAGATGCGTGAGCCGCCGACGCGTTATCTGATTGCGAGTGCAGAGTCTGCTCCGGATACAGTCGCAGGATTTGTATCATACCAGATCGACTGGGAACAGGATATGGCGGTAGCGTATTGGTGAGCACTTCCAGATGGGGCTGGATGACATCCGCTAACACCGTCGATATCTAGTTACGAACTGCAATTGGATAAGTCTGCACAACGTCTGGGGCTAGGAAGATGGCTCATGTCAATCTTGGAGCATATGGGAAGACGTGCTGACGTGGAAAAGACGATGCTGACCGTGTTTACGGCGAACAAAGCTGCACTGCAATTCTACACGAGCATAGGATACGAGGAGGATGAGACCAGCCCACAACCTGTGAAGCTGAGAAGCGGCAAAGAAAGACGAGCAGATTACATGATTCTAAGCAAGAGACTTCGATGAACTTCGAGGATCCGCATTGTGATCGCCAATCAGATTAGATGCGATCACGTCCACTTAAGAAAGCTTGGCAGTTTTCTCAATTGCAACGGAAGCACGCGCCGCGCTTCAAATTCAAATGTGACGTACTTCGTAGAATGCCCCGCAAAATTATACTTGAGCCCTAAATACGATCCGGCTTACTTCAGCGTTCCAACAAGCTGTTGAAGGATCAACAGACTGCTACGAATCATGGCTGAGGATACCCCGGGCTTCGAATCAAAGCCACTTCAGCCGAGGAAGCGGATACGAACCAATCAAGCCTGTGCTATGTGCCGACGGCTGAAGAAGAAGTGTAGCGGAGAAAGGCCGGCTTGTACGAATTGCGCCGGGTATGGGTACGCTTGTATCTACACTCCGGTTGCTCCAGGTGCCACTGGCAGTGATAGTCATGCTGCCATGGTGTCTACGAATACTCATTTGAAGCAGTGCCTTGATCTGCTTCGGGACTTATCGGGAAGGGTCGACGAAGCTGACCGGACAAAGATCGCCCAATTTCTTGGAGAAGAACCGGTGTCGCCGACTGAGGAGAGACGATTTTCGACCGATTCGCAGCAGTCGCCTCTTGAGAACTTTTCTGTGCTGAATGATCCCAATGCTACACTCAAGGATAGGCTTCCTCCTTCAGCTGGCGCAGGGACGGATATCAAGGGAGAAGTTGACGCAGCAGGAGAGAAGATGACCCGCATGGTCATGTTCGATCGTGATGTTGAAGGTACGACCGAAAGCTCGAAGTCACCTGCAGGCATGATTGGCCTAGGATCCGATATCGCATTCATGCGGTGCACTTTCCGACGTCTGCTGCTCGATCAAGCCGATCCGGATGGCGTGTATCGAAGTTGTCGTCTGCCGGACTACAACCTGGATGATGTGAATTATGATGCATCACCACAGCTTCCTGATCCATATGAACTTCCGACGCAGGAGGTTGCGGATCGCTACGTTGAAGTTTACTCTTCGACAATCCATATCGCTTACCCATTCATCTGTAAGAGCACGTTTTTTGCAACCTATGACTCTCTTTGGAGTGGTGCGACCTGGGACAATACATGGTTGGCTTCATTCAATATGATTATCGCCATTGGAGCATATTACGAGGCCGTGCAAGGAAAAGGCCCTATTGACGGAGTCGACCATTCCGTTTATTTCATTCGCAGTCGAATGCTCATGAACGACATCTTCGAGCTTGCGAACCTATCGATGGTACAGTACGAGCTTCTGGCAAGCTTTTACCTACTCATCACCAACCGTGTGAACCGCAGTTGGACGGTCCTCGGTTTGGCTATCCGCATGGGACAGTCGCTGGGATTGAACCTGGATTGTTCCAAGGCGAAGGGATTCACGCCCGCGGAGCGTGAGACACGATCGAGATGTTGGTACAGTTGTTATGTACTTGAGAGATTATTGAGTCTCATGCTTGGCAGAGCACCCATGATTCGGGACTCGAGCTGTGCTGCTCAGCTACCAATGGACCACGAGGATGATTGTTTCCTCTTGAATGGAGATGTCGTTGCTCGAAAGAATCAGGATCCATCGATTGTCTCCTACTTCGCGGAGATGATCCGCTTCAGCAAGGTCATTGGCATGGTCATGGACAGGTTGTATCCCGCAGATCTTCTCAGCAAACAACAATACATTACCCGCGAAACCATCACGGAACTGGATGATGCGTTACTCAAGTGGAAAGATGAGCTACCTCAACACCTGAGGTTCGACCTTAATCAGTCCACTCAGTCGCGAAGTGTGTTTAGCAAGCAGAGGAACAACCTCGGCACAAAGTTTCACAATCTTCGCTGCATCATCAACCGACCTTGTCTGGGATATATTGAGTTCTGTCCTCCGGCGAAGATCAGTGACGTTGACCGTCTCTCATATCTCGAAGGAGAAAGGATCTGTATCGCGGAGGCTAGAGCACTTATTCGCATGCTGGAGGATCTGCCTAACCTCCAGTACCTTATGCTTGAGTTTCCCTGGTGGCAACTCTTGAGCAGTATCATGTGTGCATGCTCGGTACTTCTCGTTGCCAACGCCATCAGTCCGAAGAGGCCGGATCATGACGCTTTGCACGCCGACAGTGTCGTCTGTGTGAAGATCCTGGAGGTGCTGCAGTCGAGAAGTATGGCGGCTCAACGGTGCTTGGATATCTTGAGGGTCCTCAACGACGCTACGCTCGCGGATATCTTCCAGAGTGAACAGCGACAGACGGGTGTACAGATGGAACCATTCGAGTCTCGCATGAATACGGTCAATTTCTTCGATACCCTTCCTCCGGTCACCTTGGCGCCGCCGCCGACTGCAGGCTTGAATAGCCCTGGTATCTTGCACACAGTCGCACCTGGAAATGCTTTTGTGCCTCCGGCCGCTGTAGGCGACGTCAACGTCGGCCTCGTACCTATCAACCCCATGACGTTGGCCGGTGCTGTACCAGCCAAACCGGACTTTGGCTTGCATGCTTTCAACACGCGAACCACAGCAGATCCCCTCAATTACGCTAGCAATTTCGCTGACCTGTGGGAAGAGAACAGGCATCATCACCCGCCTTCGTGAAAGAGTCGTTGCAATGCCGCTGTGCGGCTAAGCAAGTACGATAGTTCTGGGAATACACGGATCAAGTCATGGACAAGCTTCACGGGCAAGCACCGCACTATACCTAGTTATATCATCATCAATCTTAATCATATTATGCAACCTCCTCCTAGTCCATGAGTCCAGTTGTCAATGCCTACAACCTGGACCATGATGATGATACCACAGACAATGCTCACGGCTCCGTATTTCCATGCGTGACGCCTTCTTAGCGTGCTTAACTCCAGGACGAATGTTGATACTGTTGTCAAACATCCACAGTATCCGTCGCTCACGCCCTGCAACACCTGACAACCCACATGGCCCGGAGTTGTTCGGTGCTGGAGCAGGAAAAGGATGGCGAGGATCAGTGTACCCAGCATGTTGGCAGCGAATGTACCGACTGGAAAGGATTTAATCTTTGGGTTGAGTCGGGCCAGGTAAAACCTTGTAAGTGTGCCCAGAGGTGCAAACAATGCTGCGAAGGTAGCCACACCCCGCCATTTCGGTACGAGACCAACGAGGACGGCTGCTCCAGCCCAGCAACCAATGGCCAGGATGATTGCGAGGATATTCCTGGCATCACGGCCCTTTCTTGCTCCACGCACTTGTACCCATCCCCGTTCCGCAAGCCAGTACTCCGCCAAACTTGCCATCGTAGCTCCAAATCGCAGAGCTGCCATGGATACAGAGAGTGTGATAATGACCTGCGCCAGGAGCGCCATAACATTGTACCCCGAATTCGGTCTGTCAAATATAGGTCTGACATTGGCCATCGCAGCAAAACAACCAAGCATCCACGAAGAGAACGAAGTGATAGATCCGCAGAATCCGGTTGTGAGCCCGGTGTAGAGTTCAGTGTATCTGTCATCCACCAAGAAGATCGTCTTGTCTTGTGATAGGAAGCCGATGATTACACATCCAGTGAATTGTGCCCAAACCAGAGAGAACACTGGCGCCCCTTGGTAGTCTTCAAGGGCGGAGAGACCCAGTCTGGCCAGAGCACCCCAGATCGAGAAGAAGATCAGCCAACTCCATAATGGTATCATTCGAGGCGCTGACCTGGAGAAAAGTTAGCATACAACCTATGATTAGGCGTAACACACCACGTACGTCTTAGCTTTCGGCTCTTCCTGCTCCTCAGTGACGACCTTCTCAAGGTCCTCCGATCGCTCCTGCTGCATGGGCGCAGGCGCCTGTGTCTCCGCTAGACCTGGACCATTGTGTGCAGCTGTTCTTTCATGTTGCGATAAATGCTGATCCACTGCCGGAAATTGAGTATCAGTCTCGTAGGTAGGCCGTGGTGCCCGCACTTCCGTCGTTGGGTTCGTCGTCGCCCGGATCGGCTCAGTCGCTGTTGCGCAGGTCGATGAAGCCATGAGGAGTCTGTGAATAATTTTGATCAATGACTGAGCAACTCGATTCTACATGCCCCTTGAAGTGTATAGTGACTCAAGGATCGTCTGTTGCACGTTGTCTAAACAAACTCAAAGCAGTCGCATTTACCCCACGAAGTATGCGCAGCTGCAGACCGGCCGTTCTACCCGCCATTTGTCGGCTATTCTTGCTTGGATGGACTCGCTGAAGACGACCGTGACTGACGATTATGGCCTTCTATCTGGCCATAATTTGCATCAAACAGTTTCCATACTGGCCCTCCCATAGACAATTCCGGGTTTTCTGAGGCTTCTCTTATCGGTCATGTGAGGCGGCGCTACTCTGCAGCAACACTCAAACTTTTTCGAAGCGTGCATTCAGCGCATACAATCCCGAACGAACCCCTCGACGATTTGACCCTTGACCAACAAATTCAAAGGATCAATTCGATATGCCTGCAGAGGATATTGAGATGACGGACGCCGTCCTGGTGGCGGCAACTTCGGCCGAGGTCGTTGTGGCCAATGGGAAGCGCAAGCCGTCTGGTGCGCAAATCAAGAAGGCGAGGAAGGAGGCGCTGTTGACGGAGGAGGAGATCGAGAAGGCGTTGGAGCAGACGAAGCATAGAGTGCACCGACGCAAGAAGAACCTTCATATTCACCGTTGTCGGTTCGTTGACTGGACGCCTTCGACGATCACCACTTTGGCATTCTCACATCGCGGGAAGGGACATGGTGGTATCCCACAAGGATTGAGGTTGGCCGTTGGAAGGGCAAATGGAGATATCGATATTTGGAATCCGAAGTTGGAGTGGGTGCACGAGACTACATTGAAGGGTGGTGAGAACCGATCTATCGAAGGACTCGCATGGTCCACCGCCGACCCCTCCTCGCCGCCACGACTTTTCTCTATCGGTTTTTCGACATACATTACAGAATGGGACTTGCAGACCGGCCGTGCCATTGCTAACTTGGACTGTTCCGCCGGCGCCATCTGGTCCATCGTCGCTGATCCTCACTCCCCTCAACTCGTGGTTGGATGCGATGACGGTTCTATCGTGGTAATCGACATTTCTGGTGGACCTGGAGTTATGGAGTACGCTCGTGGTTTGTCCAAGGTCGAGAAGGGCCGTGTGTTGAGTTTGGCGTGGAAGGGTAAGAGTCAGATTGTTGGTGGATGCTCGGATTCTGCGCTGAGAGTATGGGATCTCGAGGCGCCTCAGGGACAGATGCGGACGAAGATGAAGGTCGAGACGGTTGCTGGCGCTGGCGCTACTCTTGTCTGGGCTGTCAAGGTCTTGCATGATGGTACTATTGTTTCGGGTGATTCTACTGGAGCTGTCAAGTTCTGGGATAAGCACTACTCTCTCAAGCAGTCTTTCCGTCTTCACGACGCTGATGTTTTGACGCTTGCTGAGAACGAGGCCGGAAACAGTGTTTTCTCCGCGGGTGTTGACAGGAAGACGATCTGCTACCGTGTTGTGAACCCCACGCTTGGCAAATGGGCCGACGTCGCTTCCCGTCGCTTCCACGAGCACGATGTCCGCGCTATGGCTTCGTTCGACTGCAAGACGAAGGAGTTCCTCGTCTCCGCTGGTGTCGACCGATCCATTGTCGTCAACAGCATGTCCCGCTTCATGCAGACCAACCACCGTACCCTTCCCGCAGTCGGCCAAAAATCCGTCATGGCGGTCGCGAGAAAGGCAAGGTTGATGATGACTTGGACGGATCGTGGCGTGAAGGTGTGGAAGCTGCACAAGCTCAAGACTTCGCGTGAGGGCAAGCTCGCGCCTATCGTTACTGCACCTCAGGATGAGGCCAAGCTGGTATTGAAGATGACTTTCAAGAATGAGGAGAACTTGATTGCTGGGACAATCTCGCCGGATGGGAGGTGGATCGCGGTTGGCACCGTGAATGAGACCAAGGTGTTTAGGTTGGTGCCGAAGAAGGGTGGAAAGTCTGGGTACGCTGTCATGAAGATTGATGTGCCGGAGTTGAAGGAGCAGGGTGTTCATCTTTTGAGTTTTGCTCAGACCAAGGGGTCTGGCGAGAGCGAGGAGACTCAGAGCACTCCGCGGTTGTTGATCGTTACCCCGGATAACGAGATTGTTGGCGTTGATATGCTTGCATTGGAGGAGGGTGCCGGGGATGCGGTGGAGGAGCTGGAGAGACCGCCTGTCCCTGCACCAGCACCCCAGGTACCAGTTGATGGCGAGATTGTGAGGAAGATGCCTACGCACACGGAGAACATCTCACACATCACTGTGTCGCTCGATGGTTCGTACTTTGCCATCATCGATCTTGCGCAGAACATCACCATTTACTCCCTCTCAAAATGGGGTTCGTTCATTCAGTTGCCGCGTGCACCAGCACCTGTCACTGCTGCTACGTTCCGTACGGGCGCCAAGGATGTCGGTCCGACTTTCGTGATCACGACTGCGGATATGAAGGTCCTCGAGTATGATTTGGCTACGGCCTCGCTCACCGAGTGGTCTCGCACGCAGGCACCCAACCTCCCAGAGGACTTTACGATCCTGAGAGATAAGTGTGTTGGTATGTTCTTTGATCCTGCGGACAGACGGACGTGTTGGTTGTGGGGTGCTGCCTGGCTCGCACATATCAAGATGCATGTCGAGATGCCTAAGCCCACGATGCGACCTGGCCAGGCAAAGAGGAAGATCGATGATGAGCAAGAGTCGTTCCACCAGCCCCAACCCGTCACGAACGGTAAATTAAAGAGGAGCAAAAAGAAGGAGGCTAAGAGTGTTAACGCGCAGTTGTTGGAGAGAAGACAGGACGCGAACGGTGATGTGGAGATGGATGACTCGAACGAGGGTGAGGTTGATGGCGTTGTGTCTAGGGAGGAGCGGGAGAAGCCGTTTTGGATTACGTACAAGTATCGACCGATGTTGACGGTTGATGCGCTTGCGCCCGGAGAGTTTGTTGTTGTTGAGAGGCCGGTGTTTGATATGTTGGAGTCTGAGGTTGCGAGGTTCCATAGGCATGAGTATGGACAGTAGACAAAAGTAAGGAAGAACGAGGAATGGGAAGGTGATTTGGCATTAGCATCTTTTTAGTAGTGGGAATAAATCCACGGACAACCATGACCTGCATGGTGTTTCTCTATATGTTGCCCGCAATCATTCCCTCGGTTTCTCGATGTAGTCTCTAACAGTAACCCATTGTTTCTTCCACTGCTTCATCTCCTTGCGTGTTCATGTATGAGAGGTAACTGTTCCATGCTACACTTACGGTGTTGACGACGAGCAATCTGTGCTGGGTCGGGACGATGGAGAAGTTCACGACCTGAACCATCGGCCAGACTTTCCAGTTGTTTTGTAATGCGGTGTAGCTACTCCCTATTAGCGTTGAATGAGGAGGACGACATGAGGGGAACGCACTATGATGCTTCCAACTTCTCTTTGATCTCAGGGAAGCTCCTGCCTTCTAGCAGCGATTGCGAGACGAAGAAGTTTCCGATGGCAAAAGGAGCAAAGATAGTCTGATCCAGACCGACACGACAGATCGTGTTCAAGTATTTGTTCTTGGTCGTTACCACCCGATCCAGCACCTTGTACCTATCATCACCCAGTATTAGCCATCGATGTCGTCCGCAGGGCATCGGTGAGTCGCGGCGGATCAATTGCAAGCACGGCATACCATGAGACAAATATAGGGGCAGCTATGAAACCGCCGAAGAAGCCCATACGACCGGTTCGTGACCAATCGTGAGCATGGACTTTTTCCACGGCGTGTTGTGCGACAGCGTCTCCGACCATGAAGAGGCCTGATGAGACGGTCATGTTTGTGAGGAAGGGCCTCATCGCGAGTTGGTGTTTGTAGAAGCGGAGGAGGCCGCACATGGTGTATGTTCTCTCTGGTACAGTGAAGCTGAAGCGATGGGTTTTATCAGATCCGCTCGCGCATGCAGGTAGCCACTCCCGCTGTCTCCGCTCCGTTCATCAGCTGGGAGGATGGGATGCGTGCTGTTTGGCAGAGCGTCTGTCTGTTTTGTTTTGGCTATTTATCAGTGTGTAGCAAGTTTCGTTTATAAATCGCACATGACAACAAAGGGGTTTCCTCACCTGGACGACCGCGTCTGGCATTCGGGCCTCCTCCTCCCAAAATCATCCGCGGTCCGTTACCGTGAACTCTAACCCGGCCCGGTCTCTACTTCGATCCCTCCCTATTACTCCGTTCTCATCCTCTTAATCCTCCCTACCGACACCAGCAACCATGAGCAGAGACAGACTCGCAGGAATGAGAGTGCGTGATATACCCCTTTCACCCAACACCAGCATATACTGACGTTTTTTACCAGACGGGTGGGGCTCCCCAAGCCGCTCAATCGTATCCTAACCAAGCTGACTTTCGGACGGGTGCTTACCCGCCACAACAAGACAACTACGCTCCTATCCCTACAAACCCCTACGGTGACAACCAGGGCTACCCTGCGCAAGCTGGTGGGCACGGACAGGATGCTTACGCCGCGCAGCAGCCCCAGAACGGTGGTTACGAGATGCAGAACATGGAGGGCAACGGTGCAAACTCTATGGCCGACTTTTTCGCTGAGGTATTTGTGTATGCGTGATGTCGTCGTCACATAACTAACCTTTTGTTTTCTGTGTAGATTGATCAAATCAAGGGTGCGCTTCGCCAGATCGATGAGAATGTTACTCGTATCCAGGGTCTCCACCAGCGTTCGTTGAACGACATCACCGAAGACAAGGCCGAGTGGAACCACCGCCAGCTCGATGCCTTGATCGCCGACACCTCCACTATCACCAACAACCTCAAGTTCCAGATCAAGAACCTCGAAGCAAAGAATGCTCGTCTCCCTGCCGGTAGCAGCGATGTCCACACCAGGAGCACTCAGACCGCCGCTGTCAAGAATAACTTCCTTAAGACTATCCAGAACTACCAGAAGGTCGAGCAGGAATTCCGTCAGAGATACAGGCAGAGAATGGAGAGGCAGTACCGTATCGTCAACCCTGAGGCTTCTGATGTCGACGTCTCCCAGGCTCTTGACACTCAGCAGGGTGGACAGATCTTCTCTCAGGCGCTTCTCAACTCCAACCGCCAGGGTGAGGCTCGCTCTGCTCTTCGTGAAGTCCAGGCTCGTCACGAGGACATTCTCAGGATCGAGAAGACCATCGGTGAGTTGGCACAGCTCTTCAACGAGATGTCCATCCTTGTCGAGCAGCAGGAAGCCCCCATCGCTCAGATCGAGGTCAACGCCGAGAACACTCAAAAGGATACCGAGTTGGGTTTGGAGCACACCGACAAGGCCGTCAAGAGCGCCAGGGCCGCCAGGAGAAAGAAGTGGTACTGCTTGTTGATCACCCTCCTCATCCTCGCTATCGTCGGGTTAGTCCTTGGTCTCGTCTTTGGTTTGCGGAAATAACGTGACTAAACAACACTTTTTTGCCGTGATACAGATTGATTCTCGGATTGTACTTTGGATTGAGGAATAAGGGATAGGCGGAGCGAAGAGTGATGGAGGGGTGTATGTATGGATTCGTGCAAATGGGCAATGGTCATATCTGGGAGGAGTGGGGGACGAAGTGAAAGGTCTTAATAAGTCATTCCAGACCTGGTGCTTTTCGGTTACTTTGGTTTTATTATTTTTATTTTTATTTTATTCCTTGAATGTTGTCTTTCGAGCATGTGTGGGGAACACGAACACCTCAAAGCTGCATTCACTGACATCACGCGTTGTAACGTTGACATAAACATCTGAGAAATGTGGGAACTCAAGTCGACTGCCTTTGCCGCTCCGGTTAAGAAGATCAGCAGTGAGCGCGATGTGGTGACGTTTCACGAGTCAATTGCGTATACTCGGATCATCGCCTTTATTCGCCTTCTAAGTGAAGCCCTGCCTGGGCGGCGGTTGACGGAGCCTGAACTGCAATCGCAAGCTAGTGAGCCAATATTGGGGTTGCTACAGGTCCTGGATATTTTGGACCGATATATCGCTGAATGCCCTCCGAAGCCTGGCCCAAGACGCTTCGGAAATGTCGCGTTTCGAACGTGGACGAAGCAATTGGAGGACAATGCGGACCTCTTGTTGAGAGAACACCTACCCGAATCGGTACAGACAGCAATGCCAGAACTACTACCATATTTTACCGGCTCCTTCGGATCTGGTCAGAGACTGGATTACGGAACGGGGCATGAACTATCGTTTGCGGCGTTCTTGTGCGGGTTGTATCTCCTGGGCGTCCTAAGGCCCGGACAGGATGACGCGGCGCTTGTATTGCTAGTGTTCAACCGGTACTTTGGTGTTGTCCGCCGGTTGGTTCGGACGTATACGCTTGAGCCTGCGGGGTCACATGGTGTGTGGGGTCTCGATGACCACTCGTTCTTGCCATATATCTTTGGGTCGGCACAACTGAAGGATACTGAGGGTGTGCCGCCGACAGCGTCCGTTACCGATCGGGCATTGGTGGAACGGTATAGAGGTGACAATCTCTATTTTGGAGCGATAGGGTTCATTAACGACGTGAAGAAGGGGCCGTTTCATGAGCATTCGAGTATGCTGTACGACATCTCCGGCGTGCAACTGTGGTCGAAGATCAATCAGGGCATGTCAAAAATGTACGATGCAGAGGTGCTGTCGAAGTTCCCTGTCGTGCAACATTTCCCGTTCGGTCCCGTTCTGTTTCCATTTGAAACTTCTGCTGTGCGAAGAGAGCGACCTGAACAAACACGAGTAGCAACGGGACAGTCTGCTTCGACGGATAAAATGGTAGCGCTGGGGAGCGTCACGTCGGCCCCATGGGCAGCATCTGCGAATAATAACTCAACTTCAATGCGACCAGGCGTCCCACCGGCAAGAATTGGGGGTTCGAGGCCGGTAGGACAACTACCGTCGAGTATGCCACCGCCTGATATGGATCCGACAAGAGCTCCTTGGGCCAAATGATAATGAATAGCATAGGTACATTATCTAATAATAAGATATTTCACTCATTATCGCGTCCCTCAAACGATTTTGTCTAAAGTGCTCATTAACTCCTTATCCGGCCGGGTTCAAACTACATATGTATAGCTACCACGATGATGATCCTATGAAATCACACAATCCGCGTCCTTGTTTTTTCCACGAACCTTCTCGTTCGTGCTGTTACGACGGGCTCTAGGTAGGGCCGCTGACTTTGAGTTCAGTTCCGCCAACCGAGCAACCGCCCTCTTCTGGCCTTGAGCAGCTGCCCGACGGTACCATTTCTTGGCTTCCTCAATGTCCTGGGGCACACCAATTCCTGTCTCCGTGTAATACCCGACGGCAAATTCCGCCTTGGCAGACCCCTTTTCGGCAGCCTTTCTGGCCCACAAGTAGGCTTCCGTGTCACTTTGTCCAAGAATGCCCTCGGCACCAGTGAGATACCAACCTGACAAAGCCAATTCACTCTCCGGCTCTGCCTTCTCAGCAGCCCTGGCATACCATGCGATACTTCGTCTAGGGTCAACCGGACACTTCAATGAACCGTACTCGTAGGCACATCCAAGCCTGAATTGACTAGGAGGGTATCCTAATTGCGCGGCCTTCGTGAACAAATCCCTAGCGTATGCCTCGTCGCGGATGATAGCTCCCGTCGGGTCAGGATCAGTCGATTCGTAAAGCAAACCAAGCTCGTGAAGCGCGTGCGGGTTTTCAACGTCCGCTTGATCAGCAGCACGCTTCAACCAACCAATAGCCTCACGCGGAGAACGCGTTTGACCGAGAAGACCCTTGAGCATAATCATTCCGAGCTTGTACATTGCCGCTGTATCGCTCAACAGAGCAGCCTTTTTGTAAAACTGCATTGCTTTTGCCGCGTCCTTCTTGGTTCCGGCACCTACCTCGCAGCACACAGCTGTACGGTAGCAAGATTCGGGATGCTGCAGTTTGGAAGCAGAATGGTACAGATTGAAGGCGCGCTCATGATCGATGGCAAGTCCCAAAGCACCGTTACCAAAGGCATTTGCCAAGAAGAACATGGCGGGAGGGTACGGCCTGGAGGATACTGCCAGTTTCTTGATGATTTGGTACGCTTCAGTGATGTACTTCTCCTTGTTTGCTCGGGTGGTCTTGGGATCAGCCTTGCCACCTTCGTCCGCCAGAACCGTAGCGGCCTCAATCAGACGTTTTGCCAAAGTGAGCTGCAACCTGGGCTCCGCGCCCTTCGTCTTCGCTTGCGTCGTTAGCTGAGCAAGTTCTTCGTGTGTAATGATACCATTCACGGGTTGGAAAACGGGAGCAGCGGGACTCCTTGATGACTGCGAAAGAGGAGACTCAGGTTGGGGGAATCTCTGGTTCGGCGAGTTAGAATATGTGCGAATAGGTGGTGGAGGCTGACGCTGGCTGCCCGTGGAGCTTGCCGTGTTCGCCCTTTGCGCCCCTAAACTTGGAGATATATGCCGTGGTGGTTGACCCTCCGTCCCCTGCTGATAAGGTGACATTCGGTTTTGCCCAGGAAGTCCGGCGGAGTAATCCTGTCCATACTGGTCGTTTGGCATTTGCTGCTGCGAGTACTGTTGCTGTGCGTAGTCCTGTGCATCGTAATATTGTTGCGGATATCCATGCGCATACGCACGCCCGGTTTCATCTGCACGTCCGGATTCCTGTGTATAATAGTCTTCGTTCGGTCGAGCAAGGGGGGCATTCTCGTGCTGCGCATATGCTCCGTCATGATAACCTTGCTGCGCGTCTGCACCGGCATGTCTGGCGTCATTGTAGACCGACTGTTCTGGTGCCTGTTGCCGTTGCTGCTGTAAATGTGCTGGAATCTGCGGTACATCGGGAACACCCTGCTCGTGCATATTTTGCTCGTTCATACGCGTTTCGCCCTCGTAGGATGAGTAGTCAAAGCCGCCGTAAGGAGCATATGATTGTCTAGGATCGCCGTTAGGACCAAACCAACTTGGTCGCCCACTGTATGTAGTAGCAGAATCCTTGTTAGCACGACCAGCCTTGTTGTTGACCTGCTCGGGATCCGGCCCTGTGTGCGCCCTTTCAGCTTCTCTGGGTCGGCCGGCCTCCGATGTCTGTGCAGCAACGTAATGAGAGTTCTCCTGGGCCTCTCTCGGTCGTGAGCGAGCACGTTCAACTGGTCCACCAGCCTGAGCGTGCGGCATCTCTTCATGCGCAGGCAGCGGCGGGTTAGTGGATTGACCTCCTTGAGGAGTATTTATGCGGAATGGCGCGGAGAAGTTGCGAGCTTGTTCCCTCTGAGGGCTTGGGCCTCTTGAACGGGGTTGCGGTGGCGGGAATTTCTGTGGCGGTTGAAATAAGATGGGTCTCGGCTCATTAGCCATTGACTTGCTCCTGCTCCTGCCTCCTCCTTCTGAGACGTTCATTGCCTTCATTTCGCCAGTAACCTCTTCCAATGGAGGGGATGGCTTCTTAGGTGGACCTCCTAGACGTGGAAAAGGAGAGTCCCAGCTGATGGCAGCATCCTGTTCATCAGTCTTGTGCTGAATCAGGCGCTCCCGCGGCCGCATTGCACGAGGATCAGGCTGTCTTGATGGCCTCTGTTGTGGAGCAGACTCCGGGTGTCGCGCATATCTCTCTGTTTGAGCAAATCTTGGATCATCCTGCCCTGACATGGGTTGTTGCCCCGGCCGAGGCTGCATATACTGCTGTTGTTGCGACGATGGCTGCGGTGCATGCTGCTGCCGAGGTGCATACATCTGTTGATATCCTTGTTGAGCTTGAGCATGATACCGCGGGTCCTCATAGGTTTGCAATTGAGGCTGTTGTTGCTGGTAGTATTGTTGTTCTTGTCGGGCAGAGGGAGCCTGGACATGATGCTGCTGTTGGTATTGCTGTTGCTGCTGGTAGGGCCCCGGCTGATCATGACGGCCAGACGGAGCACGCCCTTGCTGGGCATATTGCTGCTGCTGCGGGTATTGCGGATGCCGTTGACCGTTATACATGGCTGTTCATTCGCTTCAGGTTCGATACCTCTCAGCAATCTCGGCTTAACGTGCTCGGTTTTATGTACCAGGTATTTGGTGTTTGCAGGAGTCGCGCCTGCTGCAAGCCAATGCGGAACAAGTCCTCCCATCCGCTGCCATGCTTTTCACCTCAGAGAACATGGTAGCCGATATATGCCCGGGGATGTAATTATGTATCAATACTAGCTGTGCCCATGTCTACCAACGATTCTAATCAATTCCGATGTCGTCCGCCACTTCCTTGACCGTCTCGGTAGCCTTGGCCAGTGCTCCCTCCTCCTTCACCTCGTCCGGTCCTACGTTCTGTCCATCATCGTCGACAAGCTCCAAGAGAACAACGAAGAAGATCGTCTGATCATCTCGTGTTCGACACACATACCGCATCGGCTGACCATCCCAGTACTGCAAGATACTGATGTTCAGGTTGACATAAGGCAAGTGTGCGCTGATCGTATTGAAATCAACGAAAGGGTTGCTAAAGTCCCCTTGGATGGTCAGGTCTTCGGGAACTTGTGTCTTCTTTCTGTTCGCCTGGTTTGCGAACCACTTTCGACGAGCTGCAGCGTCTTGCTGTCCTCCGGTCAGGGCCGATGCATCTTCGGTGATACGATGCAACCCAACACCGGTCTCCTCGTGGGAAGAGGTATTGATAATGTTCATCGACGATAATAGGGGAGAAAGCGCCCAAGGTTTGTCCCCATACAAATCTGCTTCCAAAGTGCTGTCACGTGTGTGTTAGCCTTTTATGACTGCAATTGAGCATATAGCGATAAATAGAGACTCACGGATCAATCCACCTCAAAGCTTTTAGTCCTAAGGTCGTACCAGTGGGCAGACTATCCTTGACAGGATGATCAAAGTCATTCTGCATTAGTGTTAGCTATGGGTCGGCCGTATGTGACTCATGTCATTGCAGTAGACTCACCCCGAACACTATATCATCAGCGGTCCAGTCACCCTTGAACCTGCCTTTGAACTGCAGAGAGAATGTGTCCTGCGTGCCCGTGAAGTAGTCGGTTGTTCCTTTTGGCTGCTTCCCTTTGGGAGCTACTCCTGTAAAGTCTCTGATCCTGATCACCAGTTCGCCTTCGAAATGAGGGCCTGAGATCTTCGTAGGATGGTCGTCGTTGTTGACGGAGACGAGGGTAAGCTTCGAGCGATCCTTGGAGGGACCAGCAGACACCTTCAACTTCAACTTTGAACTGTCCATGTCTTTGATTCTAAAGCTGTTCTGAATCGGTTTGTCTATGCGTTTGGCAGTTCTTGGGTGTTGTTGAATGCGCCTTTGGGAATCTGCTCATGACGTCAATATCGATAACCTCCAAACCTTAAGGCAGCACCAACATCAACACCACAATGGCAGTTGCAATGGAAACAGATATCGATGAGTGAAGATGGAACGTTTATTGCATTGCAATTACGTCCAGTACAGTTAACCTGCCTTATATCGTATATACCTGTATAAAGCGAGGATGAGAAAGAAAAGAAACCTCGCGCCAATCCATAATGCCGTATGATATCCCAAGAATACCAGGTATGTATCCTGATTTTTACACTTCGTCTAGAACACCTTCAAATCAAACATGCTCCCTACTTATTTGTCACCAGACTTCTGCTTCTTCATGAACTCAGCAACCAGCTCCTTTTGAGTACCCGCATCAACAGGAGAGTGCTTCAAGTACTCCATCGTAAACTCACCCTTACCTTGGGTGTTGGCACGGATTTCGCTAGAGTAACCGAACATGTTGTTAAGGGAAACCTCGGCCTGAATGGTGAACTCGTCGGTTCCAATATCCTGGTCGATAATGGTGGCCTTGCGCTTGTTCAAAGTAGAAACAACGGCACCCTGGTGCTCAACGGGGGCAGTAACGTGGACGTTCATGACCGGCTCCAAAACGACGGCCTTGCACTTCCCAAAAGCCTCCTTGAAAGCGTTGACGGCAGCAAGACGGAAAGCCAATTCGGAAGAATCAACGGCGTGGAAAGCACCATCCTCAATAACCATACGCACACCATTGATGGGGTGACCAATAAGGAAACCACGCGTAAGGCCGTCGCGGAAACCCTTCTCAATAGCAGGGATGTAGCCGGTAGGGATGTTTCCACCAGTAACACGGTTAATGAACGAAGTGTCTTCCGCGGCAGCGCACTCTTCCGCAGTCATGGGCTCAATGTAACCCTCAATCTTAGCGTACTGACCAGCACCACCAGACTGCTTCTTGTGAACGTAGCTGAACTTAGCAGGCTCCGTGATAGTCTCACGGAAAGCAACCCGAGGCTTACCGGTAGTACAGTCGACCTGGTACTCACGGCGCATACGCTCGACGTAAACTTCCAAGTGAAGTTCACCCATACCGGAAATGATGGTCTCCTTACTCTCATCATCGATATGGACGCGGAAGGTGGGGTCTTCCCTCTGGAAACGGTTCAAAGCCTTCGAGAAGTTAGGCGTCTCCTTACCCTTGGGCTTCAGGGAGAGAGAGATAACAGGTTCCGGAACGAACATAGACGTCATGGTGTACTGAAGCTGACCGTCGGTGAAAGTGTCACCAGAAGAACAGTCAACACCGAACATAGCGCAAATCTCACCGGCACCAATCTCGTCAACATCCTCCATTTCGTTGGAGTGCATACGGACGAGACGAGGAACCTTGATCTTCTTGCCACCCTTGACATTCTGGATAAAGCCAGCCTTGCGAAGAGTACCCTGGTAAACACGAATGTAGGTCAACTGACCAAATCTAGTCTCTTCAAGCTTGAAGGCGAGACCAACGAAAGGCGCGTTATTGTCGGGGATCATCTTGACAGGCTCTTCATTCTTCTTGCGGTCAAGAGCAATGTTCTCAACCTCAGAGGGATGCGGCAAGTAATCACAGACAGCGTCGAGAACATTTTGAACACCAGTGTCGGCAAGAGCAGAACCCATAAGCACGGGAGTGAATTTGCGCTCCATAGTGGCACGACGGATAGCATCCTGAATCTCCTTCTCGGAAGGAGTCTCCTCGTTAAGGAAAATCTCGGCGATTGTGTCGTCACAGTCGGCCAGGGTTTCGATAAGAACAGCGCGCTTCTCCTCGCAGAGAGCCTTGAGATCCTCGGGAATTTCATCCTTGACAACAATGGTCTCACCACGAGCACCCTCGTTGTACACAGACTTCATGCGGACAAGATCGACGACACCCTTGAAGTTATCTTCAGCACCAATAGGAACATGAATGGAAGCAGCGGACATCTTGAGCTTTTGGCTGATCTGGTTCACAACACGCCATGGGTTTGCCCCAACACGATCCATTTTGTTGATGAAAGAGATACGGGGAACGTTGTAACGACGCATTTGACGATCGACGGTAATAGTTTGAGACTGAACGCCAGAAACGGCGCAGAGAACGAGAACGGCTCCGTCGAGAACACGCAAGGCGCGCTCGACTTCGATAGTGAAATCAATGTGACCAGGGGTATCAATGATGTTGACGTGGTAATCCTGGTCCTTCTCATCGGGGTTCCTTGCCTTGCGAATCCAGCTAGCGAATGTAGCAGCAGATTGAATAGTAATACCCTTTTCACGTTCGAGATCCATCGAATCCATCTTGGCTCCGACATTATCACGACCACGGACTTCGTGAATTTCCTTGATACGACCAGTGTAGTAGAGAACACGCTCCGTGAAAGTAGTCTTTCCAGAGTCAATGTGAGCGGAGATACCGATGTTCCTCAACGGAGTCGGCTCTTTAGCAGCTGCTGCTGCCGGAGCAGAAGTGCGGAAGAGACGAGCAGCGCGAGGAGTGACGATAGGGGTGACCTTAAGCCAGGCAGAAGATCGCCCCACAACGGCACCGAACAGCCCCGTGGAGCTCATGTTGTAAACGAGTGATCGATGCCGGAGCACTTCGAGAGGCGGTTCGTACGTGCGAGTATAATGTTGCCGCTTGACTTTTTTGGACAGCGGCACCCCAGATTAAGGTGCATGCTCGGACGAGTGGTATACATAGACAAAGTGGCATACTTGAATTGAAGTAAGTAATAAGATTGATCATTCTTCTGTTACTATAGATGTCGCTTCGCCTTGGCTGATGCGTGTTCTCACGGCATGTCTTGTTAACGTTTGTACAGTATGATATGTATTGACTGGCCCGTCAGTTCTTGGTCGCCAGGCTCACCTCGCCCTTCTGTACACCCAGGCTGTTGGGTATAGTTTCGTCATGATCGCCATGCTCCTCACCGCTCAATGCTTGTGCCAAGCGCTTGAGGCCCAACATCATCGTCTTCTCGTCCACGGAAAAGGTTACTCTGTACCAGCCATACTCCTCCGTGTAGAAGCTTTCGCCGGTTGCCATATACACGCCCGTATTAAGTAATTTGTCAGTCAATTTTCGCTCGGCTTCCAGAGAATTATTTGCAGTTGGCATGAACCTTCTCAGATCCACCCAGACGAAGTGACCCGCATTGGAGGGTTTGTAAGGGATACCGGTTTGTCTTAAGAATTTCGCGCATTTTTCGTAGCTGGCCGCCAATCTTTCTTTGTTTGCTTCAATGAAGGAGTTGAGGTACTCTTTATCTTCGAGAACTGACCGCCACAGCAGATCAGCGGCAGATGAGATGCCAGGAAACATGGATATCATCGTGCATGACTTCAGCAGAGTCTCATTATGCTGCGTAATCAGAGCACCAGCTCTCAATCCATTCGCACCGAAATCTTTGCTCATTCCATGTACGGCATGCATTCGACATGGGGAGATGAGACCTTTAGGATCAATGGAGAGCACGGAGGTGAACGGGGTCATGTTCGGATTTTCTTTGGTTGGAAACACCGAAAGTGCGTAGATTTCGTCACTTTAACAGAAATGTTAGAAAAACTCTTCCTCTCGAGACACTCAAGATAGGATGTTTACCTTATAAGGTGCAGGTCGTATTGTTGGCAGAGTTTCATGTATCCCTTCAGCGCTTCACGCGTGTAGCATTGTCCTGAATCCCGTTCTTAGCAAAACGTGGTTGCAATTCACGGGGGAGCTATTCACCTAAAGGATTGTGTGGGTTGCAAAGCAGTAATACACGTACTTTGATACCTTGCTTCCGAGCATCTAAAATAGCAGCCTCATACTGAGCTACAGCAGCCGTACCGAAAGGATCTGCGCCATGAAGAGGAACAGGCAATAACTTTGTCCGGGAGCGATTCTGTAGGTCGAAGAAGAAGCCGCCGTACAGTGGCTGACCCACCAGAACGCCGTCACCTTCCTCGCATGTATTGTACGCAAGAGCGTCTATAATGGCACTGGCGCCCGACATAAGAAGGATGTGCTCCTTTTTAATTGGCGCTATCGGATGAAAGCGTTCGTTGTACATTGTGCTAGTTCCATTTATGAGTGCATTCGAAGACTTCTGGGCAATAAACACTCACGCAAGAGCCTCCTTCAGCTGCGGTGACCCACCAAAGCCCGCCCCATAAGTTAATGCGAAGCTTGTGATGTTGAAGCATTTGTTAAACCTTTCCACAAGATCGGCGTGCATCAAAGTGTTTTCTGCAACCCCAATATTGACAATACCAGTGGGATTATCGACTTCATGATATGGATTCGCCATGAGACGCATTGCATTTTTGAATAACGGATTAGGCTTCAAATTGTCAAGTCCTCGCTGGGATACATTCCCTTCATGAGAGTTGGGTTCTGTCATTTCGCATACAATCTCCGTTCGAAGTTGATATAGGTTCTCGGATGCGGCTCAAGTCCGAATACAAAATCCCAACGATACCCAATTGCAGCTGCAGTGTAACGAAGACTGTCACGTCATTGAGCAGCCGGTTTCGGGGCAAAAAACATTTGTTTGAAAGATAAAGGGAAACATTCATTTTGTAACCTACGAAAGAAAGGATCCTAAATCATTTCCAAATGAGAGGTATCACTACAAATATTTGACTGCTCCTCTCTTCGGCTCCCAAGAAAAGGCTCCAATTCGTGCAACAGCCAAGGCTTATTTGGCACCTGTGTTGCCAAAAGTGACACTCTTGATGACAGTGTACTCGTCCAATCCGTACTTCGAACCCTCGCGGCCGAAGCCAGACTCCTTGACACCACCGAATGGCGAAACAGCGTCAGAGATGATGGCGCAGTTCACACCCACCATTCCAACTTCCAAAGCCTCGGCGACCCTCCAGATCCTGTTCACATTGTTACTGTAGAAGTATCCAGCAAGACCAACGTCGGTATCGTTAGCAAGAGCAATGACATCATCTTCGCTCTCGAACTCGAACAGAGGCGCGACAGCACCAAAGATCTCGTCCTTCGCAATGCGCATGTCGTTGGTCATGCCACCCAAGACGGTGGGGGGCCAGAAGTTCTTGCCCAACTCAGACTTCTCACCTCCTGTGAGGACTTTAGCACCCTTAGATGTGGCGTCATCCACGAGCTCCTTGACCTTGGCAACAGCCCTGTCGTGAATAAGAGGACCATGGGTGGTATCAGGGTCGAATCCGGATCCCAACTTGAATCCGTTTACCTTCTCGACAAACGCCTTGGCGAACTTGTCGTAGATACCCTTCTGGACGTAGATCCTGTTCGCGCACACACAAGTCTGTCCGGATGCACGGAACTTGCAAGCAATGGCACCTGCAACGGCAAGGTCGATATCGGCATCGTCGAAAACGATGAACGGTGCGTTTCCTCCGAGCTCGAAGGAGCATTTCTTCATGGTAGACGCAGATTGTTGCATGAGGATCTTACCAACTGCGGTGGAACCGGTGAAGGAGATCTTGCGTACAGAAGGGTTAGTGGTGAGCTCAAGACCGATGTCCTTGGTGTTCTTCTCGCCAGTGACAATGTTAAAGACACCTGCCGGGAGACCAGCACGGATACCCAACTCCGCAAGGGCAAGAGCAGAGTATGGGGTCTCGGCTCCAGGCTTACAGACCACAGTGCACCCAGCTGCGATGGCAGCACCGACCTTACGGGTAATCATAGCAATGGGGAAGTTCCATGGCGTGATGATTCCGACAACACCAACGGGCTGCTTGAGGGTGATGATGCGGTTGCCCTTGGTAGAGGAAGGAATAACGTCACCGTACAACCTCACGGCCTCCTCAGCAAACCACTCGAAAAAGGCGCTTCCGTACTTCACCTCGCCCTGGGCCTCCGCCAAGGGCTTGCCGTTTTCCCATGTTAAGATCTTGGCCAAGTCATCAGCGTTCTCCATGCAGAGCTGGTGCCACTTCTTCAAAATCGTAGAGCGTTCCCTGGGTGTAGTGTTGCGGAAATCAGCGAAGGCCTTGCGGGCAGCATCAATGGCTTCGGCAACCTCCTTCCGCGTCATCTCGGGACAGGTGCCGATCTCGGCGTTGTTCACAGGATCGGTGACAGTAAAGGTTTCTCCGGACTGTGCGTCGGCCCACTGTCCATTGATCAAACCCTGCTGCTTGAACAAGGACTGGTCCTTGAGCTTAGGTGCTTGGTGTGATGAGACCATTCTGATTGAGAGTCGAGCGTAGTTTTTGGTGATGATCGCAGGACGTTTAGCTGTTGATCTGAGCAAGTAATGAAGTTGCAATGGCATAACCTTCGAGAATTGCGGGTGGAGGGGGGTCTGATTTATACTCGAGGAGCAGCGTTGGTTGCCGAGTCGTTCCGGCCGTCATTCGAGGCGCACGCGGGGGGGGGACCCCAGAATTGGGACACCCGCGGAAGCAGGTAAGCGGCTGGGCACCGGCACCGGGTGAGGCTGGTGCGTGGCTGAGCTGCTCGCTGAGCCTGTCTACGTTACAAGTCCAGTCCAGCTCATTACAACCTCCTCGGGAATATCCGGCGATGGCATCACTGATCCAAAGGGCGGGCATCAGGCTGGCCTCAGCAAAGGCATCGAGCCAGTATTCAAGCACTTTATGCCTGCCGAAGACTGACTTCCCGTTACGTTCCAATCCTGAAGAGACTGCTGCGAAATACCTGAGGTTATGTACCGACGACCTATACGCCTGGCAAAAGGAAAACCTACCGAAAGATTCCCTCTTTGTTCTACATGATGGACCACCGTATGCCAACGGTGATCTACATATCGGCCACGCATTGAACCGTATTCTCAAGGACATCATTCTTCGATACCGGATCCTTCAGCGCGATCGTGTCTCCTTCATTCCAGGGTGGGATTGTCATGGTTTGCCAATCGAACTCAAAGCGCTTCAGGGTGGTGAAGCTCCAGTCAAGGGTAAGAACGGCTCTCAGACGATCTCGGATGCTGCCGCCAAACCAAAGATGCCCCCTCTTGAGATCCGTGCTGCAGCCCGTAAATGGGCTGATGACGCAGTAGCGAAGCAGATGGCGAGCATGAGGGAGTGGGGTGCAATGGCTGAATACCAGAATCACTACCGAACGATGCATCTCCGTTATGAGCTCAATCAGCTTGACGTGTTCAAGAAGATGGTTAAGAAGGGTTTGATTTACAGGCAGTTCAAGCCTGTATACTGGAGTCCAAGTTCGAAAACTGCGTTGGCTGAAGCAGAGTTGGAGTACAACGAAGACCACAAGAGCAAGGCTGTATACGTCAAGTTTCCTGTGACTCAACTAGGTGACCTCGAAGGCGTTGACGGTATCAACAAGGACGCCCTTTCCGCGCTGATTTGGACGACAACACCCTGGACGCTACCGTCAAATCAGGCTGTCGCATTCAACCCTGAAATGGACTACACCGTGGTTAACACGCCCAGTCACGGTCAGCTCCTAGTAGCTGAGGCTCGTCTCGAAGCGCTCCTTCCGCTTTTGCCCGAGGGCACTACCACGACCTCCACTTCCATCCCTGGCACTACGCTTCTTCGCAGTGCCTACACTCATCCTCTTCTTTCAAGCAAGCCGCCGTCGCCTTTCCTGAGCGGTGACCATGTAACGTCTGATTCCGGTACCGGTCTTGTTCACACCGCGCCCGGTCACGGTATGGAAGATTATTTGGCTTGTAGGTCTCGCGGTATCGAAACTTTCTCACCTGTGGATGACGAAGGCAAGTTCACCTCTGAAGCTTTGGACGGTCAATTAACTGGTATGTCCGTACAATACGAGGGAAACAAGGCTGTTGTGGAGATGCTGAAGTCTAAGGATGTCCTTCTGCATGAAAGCACCTACAAGCACAAATACCCTTACGACTGGCGCACAAAGCAGCCAATTATTCTTCGCGCAACAGCCCAGTGGTTCGCTGATCTGACTGGCATTAAGAATGATTCTTTGAATGCTCTGGACTCTGTGCAGATGATCCCAGAAGTCGGAAGGAGCCGTCTCACGGCCTTCGTCAAATCCAGAGCGGAGTGGTGTATCTCCCGGCAGCGTGCCTGGGGTGTACCAATTCCCGTCTTGTACAATGTCGAAACGGACGAAGCACTTCTTACGGATACGAATATTGACCATGTCGTGAGCATCTTGAAGGAGAAGGGTATGGACGCCTGGTGGTCAGAAACCGATGACGAGGTGTTCGTAGCGCCTGAGTATCGTAAGGAGGGACAGAAATGGAGACGTGGTTATGAGACAATGGACGTTTGGTTCGACAGTGGCACAAGCTGGGGTGTAGTTGAGGATCAGGTGGGGAAGCGCGACGGAAAGCCTGTTGCAGATCTGTACCTTGAAGGTTCAGATCAGCATCGCGGATGGTTCCAGTCATCGCTTCTCACTCACATCGCTGCTTCCGACGCAACTACGCCTGTCGCGCCGTTCAGCACTGTGTTGACTCACGGTTTCGTCCTAGATCAGAAGAACCGTAAGATGTCCAAGTCTATCGGTAACGTTGTTGATCCGAACGTGATCATCAAAGGTGGAACAGACAAGAACAAAGAACCCAGACTTGGTGTTGATGTCCTCCGTCTGTGGGTAGCCAGTAGTGAGTTTACGAAGGATATCTCCATCGGAAAGGAGATTTTGGGCCACGTTACCGAAGGTGTGCGCAAGATTCGGACGACTGCGCGATTCTTGTTGGGAAATCTTAATGATTGGGATGGAAAGGAAGTAGCGTATGACGAACTTACATCAATTGACAAGTTCGCGTTGCTTCGTTTGAGCAAAATTGAGAAGGAAATTAGGGAAAACTACGAGCAATTTGCGTTCAACAAAGGTACGTGTTCTTTTCAAGAATGCACATTCCCTTGAGCATGCTAACAAGTTCTAGCTACACATTCCCTGCTCAGCTACACGAACGCTGACTTGTCGGCTTTCTACTTCGACGTTGTCAAAGATCGCCTGTATGCAGACGCACCCAACAGCCTCAGCAGACGTTCCGTCCAGACGGTTCTATACCACGTAAGTGAACATTTCATAGATTTCATCTTGACACGCGTTACTGATCATGGCATCAGATTCTCCGTGTCTATCTCGCAGCGTTGAGTCCTCTAATTCCAACCTTTGCAGAGGAAGTTTGGGCGAATGCTGGAAATATTATCAACCCCGACTCCAACAGTATCTTTCAGGTCGGGTGGTGCGAAACGAGGAAGGAATGGGATGTGGCTTCACTTGCCAAAGATTACGAAATGTTGGCTGATGTAAGAACATCTGTGGGGCTTGCTGTGGAGAAGGCCCGCAAGAACAAGCATATCCGCACTGCCTTGCAAGCCGAGGTGGAGTTGGTCGTTGAGAATGGTTCTCAAGCGGAGACTTTCTTGAAGAAATATGGTAAGTTTGTGGTCATCTCGTCATGGTCGTTGCACTAATACTATACCTAGCCGATGAACTGTCGTGTCTGTTCATTACCTCAGGCGCTAACATTACAACCGAGCTGAAACATGCAGAAGGTTGGGAAGAAAAGGAGACTCTGAACATTCTTGGAAATCAGGTTCTCGCAGTGGTGCGACAAGCTTCTCGTGAGAAGTGCGTACGATGTTGGGTATACAGTGCAGAATCGGAGGGAGGAATTTGCAAGCGCTGCAACTCCGTGGTGCGCTAAACATGAAGAAGTTGAAGGGTTGTCCTTACTGGCTATGAAACGACACTGATGCCCATGGTCACTCTAACAAAAAACTGAAGGCGTAGCCACAGATTTTGATACAAGTGTCTACGAAAGATTCTCATCAGTGAATCTATATCATTCAAATTGCATGAAGCCAGTGTGTGATTTCCACATCGTATCAGTGTTTTGCAACGACTACTTGCTTGGTAGAAATGAATCGCATGGTTCCGTAAGTTCGCAGATATCATGGATGACCAGATCCTGCTGATCCATGGTTTTTCGATAACAGGCATACCACATATTTCAGTCAGCAAAAACCATGATATTCCACGATACAAAGTGGGCAATCCGTTATCTGATTCTGGATAATCCACAATAGGGGTAGTCAAACTTGGTAGATTTTAAGCAAGATTAGATTATAAGCGAAATTATGATTTTTCAGGTTTGACCGCCCCTACATGTGCTATGCTTGATTATTCTAGAATCCCCACTTTTTATTACCCAAAACGTATGATCTGCTTATAATTTGATGATTTTCTTTTTTACACGCACTCAACTTTGAGGTAGCAAAAATGATTCATGTTGGGGCCTGGTTTAGCGCGATACTATGACAAGAAGCGATTATAACTCAAGTGGATCACTTCTTACCAAGGCTTGACTACTCCCAATGAGATTGGGTTCAATCCCATCCCAGAAAAAATCATGAATTAAGCGTAGTTTTTCCGAGGTGCGCGCGTAATCCACGACCGAATGATGGAGTAGTCTGGGATTAGACATGGATTACGCAGTCTCCCATGAATTACTATCCTGACAGTAATTTCGGACAAAATCGCACATACATGACATCATGTATGTTGATCATGTCTACATATGGCAGGAAGCTCCTCTGGTTCAAATACATGAACACTGTTGTGTATAGCAAGCATTCAAGGTTCTCGAGGCATATAGGTGTTATGTTCACAACTTTTCCAGATATTTTACAGCAATCTTTTCTTTGACAGCGATCCATAATTTTACCGGGGATTGTGATTCATGACACTGTTTCTGAGCTTGTTTCATGATGATGGCAAGGAATTTAATCCACAATTTTGTCTGGGATTTCTGACAAGATAGTAATCCATGACAGAGTAGGTAAACCACGACTACCCAAGATGAATCCACGATTGTGACGTGGATTACGCACTTGCTAAGAGCATTCGGGTTAAATACATGACCTTTGAATTCCTAGGGCATTTCAGACAATTGCAACTCACACCCAGCTGACCTTTCAAGTGTATTGTTGCCCAGACACATCTTTTGTCACAAAAGACTCAAGATTTTCAGAGCACCTTGTAGTGAGCTATGAGAATGCAGGTAGACTCCTAGAAATCAATTTTGGGGGAAGCCCGAAGTAATCAGGCGCTATCATAGAAAATTCATGGCAGATATCATGGGATTTCCACGAAGATAAACCGGGAATTTTCGTGAGCAAAAGTCTCACGTTCCCTGAAATGCATTGACCCTACGTCGAGCAGGGCTGGCTCCAACGAAGAGCCACTTGCATCCACAGCTACTTACGTCCCCCATCGCCAACTCTACTCGAGCCCCTGACCCGACACCAGCTTCACCTTACAATCGTGCTCCTCAGCCAACGCCTGCCTCTCCCCCACCTCAACCTCAACGAACCGTCAAAAGGACCTATGCTTCACTGCGACAGCAACAAGCTGCGAAACCATCGCCTCTGGGAGAATCACATCGTGCGAATGTTGGAGCTCAGAAGGACCGTGTCAAGAGGTTCACTGCGGAGAGGAACGCAAGTCGTGCTAAGATCCTTTCGCAGTCTCAGCAGAAGTTCCAGGTCAATGACGCCTTTGACGATTGAGAAGTTCGGAGCTGGTGAGTAGGATTGGCGAGGAGAGCGGAGGACGTTGGGGTCGTTGTCATGGATGGAGAAGCCGTGCGTCGATGGAGTTCGAAGTCGTGCGTTGGTTGCCGTGGATTCAAGTCGTTGCTGGAGGGAGGAGCCGTGCGTTGACGGAGGTCGAGGTCGTTGTTGTTGGTGGGGGTACCGGTTGAGGTCGTTGTTGCAGGGGTTGTGCGTTGAGTGAAGGCGGCCAGGAGCTCGGAGGAGGTGGGCGTAGCATGGGTCTACCATTATGTATCGTTAGGGAACGCAGTTCAGGTAATATACTCGCTCATGGAACTTACAGAACCCGCTCATGGAACTTACAGAACCCGCTCATGGAAATTGGAACTTGCTTCTGGTTTTTCCACGACTTGCTTCTGGTTTTCGCTTCTGGAATTTCCATGAGGAAAAAGTCTCACGTTCCAGAACATGGAATTTCCATGAGCAGGTCTGAATTGAAAACCAGAACTGGCAGGTCCGTAGGGGTGTAGTGGTGGTAAATCATATGAAAAATTCTACTTTCAAGACGAATTGTCAATTTAGATTGTGCCCCGAATATCACACTAACTCGAACAACTCTATTCGTGATACTGGATAATTTTATTCGTGTTTTGTAATCGTGTTTGGTAGAATTCGGGGGTCTCGTAGGGTCTGGGATGACACAGGGATTACGCACTCCATTGTGGGTTACTATACTGGCAGAAATCCCAGACAGAATCATGGATTACGATCCTTGACATTATCATGGAATAAACCCCCAAAAAATGTCATGGATTACAATTCCAGATAAAATCATGGATCACTGCCAAAGAAAAGTTGCAGCAAAATACCTCAGAAATTGTAGAAATAACATTTATATGCCTTGAGATATATTTGGGAACTTGCTATACACCACTGTTCTCATGGGTCTCCATCAGCAGCAAAGCTCAAGGCCAGGTATGGATGATGTTGCTTGTACATCATCGAGCAGTTGCTTACATGCTAAGGTATAAGACCATAGTTATTGCTACTGTAGCTCTATTATGCTACTCATAATACAATGTGTTTACCTAGTAATCTCGTTTTTTTGTCCTGATCATAATGCATTTTCCCACCATTTCTCTAGGACTAGATCAGATTTCATCGTAAATTATGCTTCATTATATCGCGGATTATACTGAACAAAATCGTGGTTTGTGAAATCCAGAATACGATTGTGAATTCATTCACAATGGGGGTAGTCAATCCTCTACAAAAAATAATCACTTAAGTTTTAATCGCGCGGTTGCCATGGCTACTATGCATAAACATCGATTATTTTTACGAGAACGACGGGCAGGGTCGTAAAAATAATCGCTTAAAAAAATCGCCTAGGGCGAGCGGATGCGCCCAATTAGGAAATTCATGCAGATGTCACTCAGGGTCTGCGCATGATCTGCGTAGCCACGTTGCTCAGCCTGTCTCGAGGCAAACTCACCACCATGGGTATTCACGTGAGCATGCCTGCTGAAAAAATAATCTGTCTATGTTTTGTAAGGGTTGGTCAGACCTTAGCGTATTATCCCCTGGATTATAATCTCATTCGCTGTAAATTTTGTAGAGGATTGACTACCCCCAATACAAATCATGGATTAAACGGGATTTTGTAATCCATGATTCCTAGGACCGTATGGACATTCTGAGTAACGGAACCCACGCCATGATCTGGCGCTAGAGTAATCTATGATTGTGACGTGGATTACAAACTTGCCTGAGAGAAATCGTGTTTGATCCATGATTTTATCACCTTGTAGGGTATGTTTGGGCTTTTCCAAGCTAAAAAAAAGATTGATTAAACCTGACCTAGTAAATCCTGATTTTCGCGAACGTAGGGGCTATTTGGACGGAACGGAGCATTCGTATGCACGAGTGCAAGTATTAATGTCTAGTAAGTATATATATTGTCTATGATATTGGATTTCAGAAGATTCAGATGTGTATGCGAACGAAGCCCTGCGCCCTCGTGGTGTCATCCAAACGTGGCCGTGGCTTGGGAACACAAGCCTACACTATGGCCTAGCGTACAGCGTACTTCGACCAACTCCGGATGTGCGCTCCGTATCTGTAGAAAATGAAAGGGATGGGAATCATTGCGACAGATAGGACAGAGGAATTGTTAGCTCGGCATAAAATCTCGAGAAGGTAGGAAACTTACAGGCTAAAAAGCTCGCCCCCCAATGATTTCCGATATGCGTAAAAAGCGGGGTAGTTGCAAGAACCCATCCTCCACTCGCGTTGTAGCGGACAAAGGTCAGGACGGCCAGAGCTGATGAAGCGTTCTTTCCGTAACTGTCGATACAATACTACATAGCAGGTTAGGTATCGCGAATCGTCAAGTTAATGTGATGCTTTACCTGATACACAGCGATGAAGACGAACAAGAATCCAAAGCCCAGAGGAACACCACTCATCAGCGGACTCCAATACGAGACACTACTATAGCATGTCCAAGCAAGCCAAAACAAAGCGATGGGCATCATCAGACTTGTAGGCATAAGCTGCACCAGGCGAGTTTCCGGAGGCACGATATCAGTGCCAAGCCTCTGTCTCGTGCGATTTTCATGCCAGTACACCAACGGGGTAGTAGCGCAACATAAGAAAACGCCAACGATAATGGGAATGAAAGCAAGGCCTACTTCGCCGGTATTGAAGTTGTAAACGCTGAAAATAAGAGGATATGCTTCGAAGTCACCAAACAAGACGATGTAAGCGACAGAGATATACCTGCAGAGAATGTTAGATCGCTCGTGCTCTCAATTCTTCGAGTTCACTTACAATGTCATGAAGATGATAATCGGTTCCCTGACCATAAACACGAAGGGCCGACTCATGGCAGTCTTAAACATAGCAACAGTCTGGTCTTCACTGAATTCTGCAGCTGCATGGTAACGCGAATCTCCGGTGGCCTTACGAAGCGCCTTTGCCTTCTTCCTGAGAATCGCATCTGCCAGCGTCTCAGGTGCAAATAAGACGACCAACACCAAAACTGCCATACCCCAAAAGAAAGTAACCCAGTAGGCCCATTTCCAACCTGCCTCTTGACAGATCCAGCCACCGATCACTGGGCCCAAAAGAGGTCCTAGGAAACCGCAGCTAGCGAAAATGGGGAAGATCAGGGTACGCAATGACGGCGTGCACATGTCGGCAATGGATCCACCCGCATTTGAAAGCGGTGTAGCGCCAAAGAAACCGGCGAAAAACCTGGTGATAATTAGAGTTTGAATGTTTGGAGCTAGGGCGCCGCCTAACTCGAAGAGTGATGAAATCAGAAGAGTGGCGGAATAAACAGGTGCACGGCCGTATAGCTCACTGAGAGGCGCCAAGGGAAGGGCTCCGAAAGCAAAGCCAAACAGGAACACAGCTGTTTGCAGATTGGACGTCGCGTGACCAACTTTAAAATCGTCCTTCACGTACTCGATCGCAGCACTTGAGACGGAAGATGCGAAGGTGAGGTTCACCGTGAGCATACTCACGAGAAACACGGTGCGCAACTTCTTAGATAAAGGCCAGTTCTTGGGGTTGTCCAGATCATTGGGACCTTCGAACTCGACGAGGAAAACGTCCTTGCTCTCGGACAAATGGTCTGCTCCGACAGGTGTAGAGTCGCCGGTGAGAGTATCCGGCGGTGGAACAGGAGGGAGGTCTTCTTGATAATACGACATGGCCGGATCCGCTGACCTGAACCGTCTGAGAAAAGTCGAAGCTCGTTATGGTAATTGGGATGTTCGAGGGATCCATTTTTTTCCATAGCAGGATCGGTAATCCATGCCGGGTAGCCAGGGCGACGGTAGGTTATTTCGGCACACCTTATCCGTGCTCGTCCGTGCGCAAGTCGTCCAGGTTAGGCGATGACCAAGTCGGTCGATGAACCTTCCACCTCTTCCCCAGAGAACAGCATACCCTCTACTATCGCCAGAAAACAAAAACATACGAGCTGGAGAAAACCGACGACTTATGGACCCGCCATACGTCATGGCCGTCGCCGGTGCTGCACAGCCATGCAGGGCTGATGTCGTACGTACGATCGCGCGCGTATACTGAACTGAACTCAAAGAGACGAGATACGGGAGCATACAGTTCAGCATACAGCCCAGGATCACAACATGGTATGGGTGCTCGAAGGTACAGACGGTGGCCATTTTGCCGGCAAGCTCCTTTGGCTACAGCCTGGGAAGATCTTCAGGCTTGGGCGTCCCAGTGCGACAAACCGTGCGTTACCTCATTGTGCGCTCCATTTCGCATGCTAAAGGTTGCTTCTGTAGAGGTGGACATTCCTGTGGAGCACAAGACGGTATCGAAGGCCCATCTTGAGATCACCATTGCCGTGCCGAATGAGGGAGACGTGGTGAGTAGGAATGACAGTGTCGACTTTACCCCCTGACTGACCACAAGCGCCTTTAGTCGCAACCATCCAAACGGTCCGAAATCACGGTAACAGACCTTAGCTCAAAGTTTGGGACAAGACTGGACGAGAGTGAAGTCACCGGACGTACGGTCAAGCTGGAAGGCCTCATTCATGTGTTGCATGTCGGAAAGTGTCATGAAGATCTTCGGATGAGATGGATCCCTATCGTCTTTTGTCCCTCAGGATTGAAGAGTCCAGAGACCAAAGCTTTACAACAGAGACTGCAACCTTATGACATCAAGGTGGCCAAGGAATACAATGCCGAGACCACCCATATCTTGACCGCAAAGCGCAATACTGGAAAGGTCCTGCGTGCACTTATCGATGGGAAGTACGTGGTTTCTCCCACTTACATCGACGTCATACTGGAGAGTATTCCGTCTATAATCGTCGATTTCAACCTGCCAAACCCTCTGAATTACCTTCCGAGCGCCGTCGAGGATCAAGATAGCTTATTCTCTCCAGACAACTTTGCCCCACGGCCAGAGAGAAAATCTGTCTTCCACAACTCCACATTCATCTTCTGCGACAAGAGGCAACATGGACTACTGAGTGAGGCTATCGAAGCAGGCCAGGGACGTTCATTGTTCTACGACCTTGGCAATACCGCAACGGCCAAAGACTTAGCAGCTTTCGCAAACAAACACGCTAAGGGCGTGATTGTATCTCCAGTTGGAGCGGAGGACAAAATCCAACTTGCAGAAGAAGCAGCCAAAATCATCTGTCAAGCAACAATAACACAGGACAAGTTCCTGGATGCTGTCCTTACTGGAGATGCGTCAATCTTAGTCAGACCCATGGAGGTCGAGAACACCGGTTTTGGTGCGCAGAGAAGAGGTGGTACGATTAACACGGAGGATTCCAGAGTTCCAGAAACGATCGCGGAAGCCCCCGTCAGTCATAGCAGCCGTGGGAAGCGCGATGCACCTCTTGGCACGGACTCACATGCTGCCCAGGTGCAGATTGTGGAGACTCTTCCAAGGCACACCATTACACGTGCAGACAAAGAGCAAGCTGCGAATGATACTGAGGCGTCAAACGTCGTGGTCTCAACGATTCCCCAAACATTACCACCCGCTGATGCCCCAGTCGATGATCCCGATTCAGCACCAGCATCGCGCCCGACATCACAAGAAGGTGGTCCAGTCAACAAGAGAGTCAGAACGCGACTAACCACAAAACCGTCTGATATTCTTGATGATCTGTTTTCCTTCAAACCGCCATTAACGCAAAGAACGGGTACTAGCGCGGCTTCGCAAAGGACGACTGGGGCGACGCAAAGCAAAGCAGCTGCTGCTGAAAGTCAGCGTGCACCTTTGAATGATGATATCTTTGGCCTTTCCCAAATGTCTCGCACCCTTGCCGGGCAAGCAGCAAGTCAGCCAGCTCCGTCTCAGAGTATAGCAAATACGCCAATGCCTCACAAGCGTTCGCGCCCTGTCGCAGAAGAAGAAGAGGAAGACTACGATATCGCACCCGCCGCGACAGCCCTCAAAAGACGCAAACTCGAACAGGAATTACGCGAGGCAGCGACTCAAAGCTCCGCGACGCCGCAACTTCAGGCTGCACCTTCGCAAGCCGTACCAGAAACCCAAGATGCAGCCAGTGGAAAGAGCAAGAAACGCAAGGCCGATGATAAACCTGATGACATGATCTTAGCTGTGGCACGAGAAGCCAAGAGGAAGAAGGAAGCCGCGGCCGAAAACGAGAAGGAAGACCTCCTTCAAAGCATAAAGGACATGGAAGGGCTACGAAATATGGGCACGGTGGAGTATTTCAAGATTGATCCTACTAGACTTGGCGGAGATCAGTGGCGACGTGGAGAGAGGAGTTCTCGGTGGAAGCCAGAGTGGGATGGGCGACCAAATTATAAGAAGTTCCGAAGGGCTGAGCGCGTCACTCCTACGGGGCCTACATCGTTCGTCCGTATGGTCGAGCACAAGTCGAAGGATTTTGGGATCGGGGACGGCTACTGGATGGCCGGCGAGGCGCCCAGAGCAGCCAAGAGTGCAGTTCGATCTTCGGCCGCCCGCTCTCAAAAACAGGCGTCACCGGCTGGGGACTACAACAGTATGCAGGATGATACACAGTTCTCCTATCGTCGATCTACGTCGCGGAATACTCAGGCATTATCGGCGGATTCGGGGCCATCTACCATTACAAAGAAACCACCTCTGTTCATGCCCCAAGATAGCGATAAAGAGGACAGTGATGACGAGGACGATTTGAAGTTTAAGTTCAAGAAGCGTTAGGTTAAATGTCGATACCCAATGTATTGGAGTCCACATAGGATGTACTGTACTTAAATGTACCTGGGAACGAATTGGTTGAGGCACCGCGCCAGTACTACTCTCAGTTGCACTATAGTTTATGCATGCGCCCCTGCGCACGCCCTGTAAATGACCATTTCATCCACAATGTGATCTATTCAGAGGCCCAGGCGTAGCGGGAGGGGTGTTACCGACGGTATCCATCCCTGGACTGCTTGAATTTTACGGTTTGGTGGTTACCTTGAGCACCGTGGTGGGACCTGCATCCACAAACTATATTGCAACTGAGAGTAGTAGCTGCGTAGGGCCCGTAGGGACTTGTGATATGAGCCATGACGACCCGTATAACCTGGATCTGAACTCTCTTCCCCCTTGCGCTGTCGATCGGTGATGTGGTTGGTTAAAAAAGAAGGAACCGGTCGACCGCGAGGAGAGGGCGGATAGTTCTGTAGACCCGCCGTCTTAGATAGTGGTAATTCATCTTCATACTCCCAAACTTGATTATTCCGTTGTGTTACTGCTCATCCGTGCTCATCCGGATTTAGGTACACCTGGCGCTGTTGTTCTACTTTTCTAACTAACCTCCATGATTCGCCTTAAGCAATCCGTAAAGTTCGCCCTTTCTTCGAACGAGCTCCACAAATGTCCCCGACTCCACCAGATCACCGTTCTTCATGACGATGATTTTGTCCGCCATGCGCATCATATCCTCCTTATGCGTAACAATGACAGTTGTACGTGAAGCACTTTTGACAAACGAAGAAATGGCTTGCATAACCAAATAAGCAGATTCAGAGTCCAGAGCACTTGTGCATTCATCCAGAATCAAGATGCGGGGATCACGAACGAGAGCACGTGCGATAGCTATGCGTTGTTTTTGACCTCCAGAAAGGTTCCCGCCGTCCGCGCCCAGGCGAGTGGCATAACCTTCTGGTAAAGAGATGATGAAGTCGTGGATGCATGCTGCCCTTGCGGCTCGCTCGATATCAGTTTGGTCATACGTATCCGGCCCATATGCAATATTTTCTGCGATTGTCGCATCGAACAACATGGGAGTCTGACTGACGATGGCCATCTTGCTCCGCAACCAAACCGTGTTTAACGACCCAATACAAGAGCCGTCGATACTGGCTTTTCCCCATGACTCCATATCTGGCAGGCGATAGAGGCGCTGGAGCAGCCCGATGATAGTCGACTTGCCGGATCCAGACAGCCCCACAATAGCAACTGTCTCTTGAGGGGCTATGTCGAAGCTCACGTTGCGTAATGCGAGCTGCGGCTTAGTTGGCGAGGTGGTATCTCCTGATGGATATGCAAAGCTCACGTTGTCAAACTTGATTGTGCCCCGCAGTGGGAAACGCACTTCTCCAACACCTTCCTGCGATGTTCGGGGAAGATTGACGAGGTTATGCACATTCTTCGCACCTTCCTTGCTTTTGCTGATCTGCGGCACCATGCCAATGGTCTGCGATGCCGTGGTAAACGAGAAGAGAATGAGCGTTACAACTGTCAACATCGTAGTGACAGAGTAGGTATGCTTCGCAATCAAAACCCCGCTGTACCAGAACATCAAAGCCTTCGTTAAGTGTTCCATACCTTCCAATAAACCGTAACCCATGCCGGTGTATAAAGATTTGCGCATACCGGCCATACGTGCAGCATCCACCGATCTATCGTAGCGGTTCTTAAAGTACGCCTCGAGACCGAGGACCCTGATCGTTTGAAGTTTGAACACGGACTCGTGTAATGCCCCACCCGCACTGGTGGAAGCCTCCTTGCACCTTCCTTCGCATTTGTCTGTTATCCATGTATAGAGTGTTGTAGCCAAGTACATTGCTGGTGCCAAAGATACACCAACGGCCGTGAGTTGCCAACCAGTAGCAAACGACCAAACAACACCGAGCAAAACCATTGCACCAGCAATGATATAGGCTCCAGCAAAGCGACCCACAATGTTGCGCATTTCCTCCGCATCGTTGATGATGTACTGCGAAATAGTAGCTGCGCTGTTGTACGTACCAGGCGACTTGTCGTCAAACCACGATTTATCCTGGGCTAGAACGCTGACGAGAGCATCCACACGAGCTGTATCAACCCACGACTGAGCTGCGGATTCGAGAAGATAGACCTTGGCGTACGTTGAGAGTCCGTCAACCAGAGAGATTCCAAGTACGGCCAAAGACCATTTGGTAGATTGCGAAGAGTCTCCAGCAGAGGAGATAAAGGTAGCGAGGAGCTTTGCAAGACAGAATGAGAAGATGGGAGTGGCAAATCCATTCACCACACAGGCTACGAAACCACCGACAAGACCAACCTTCTCTTTCACAGAAGGCCAAGCCGTGATAAAGATACTGACAATCGACTTGGATTTCGTTTTAGACCTTTTCGCCTCGACGAATTTCTCAGTGATGGTATGTTTGTCATGCTGATCCAGGAGAATGCCCGAATTCACTGAATTCCTCAATCGCGTTTCCCTCATTTCTTCACCACGCAATCGCCCTGTATTTGTCCCAAGATTCAGTAGATCTGCAGAAGCAGTGACGCAGTCATTAACCACCTCAGAAATGTTGTTCATGCTGCCCATTTGACTTCCACCAAGCATGGTTAACGGTCGTGGGGTCATACTCAACCTGTTCAGTGCCTTGGTCGAGGCCTGGCTTTCGGATGTCTTCATGCTTGACTGAATCCAGCTAGTCGGGAGGACACTTAGCCTCGACCCTCCGACGAAAGCGCTAGCTATCGCATGGGGTGCAAGCTGCGGCTGCGACCTCGATGTAGTCATACCCGGTCTTGTTACAAGTGATGATAACCGGTGCGCCACATTGGGCTCCGATTTCGACGTACTCATGCCCATACGAGAGCCCGGCCGTCCCGCCCGGGTCATCGTTTTCTGACTCCAATCATCCGCGTCTTCAGTCTCCTTGTCGTTGTCCCCACGACCTTGAGCAAGGCTGTAAAAGTGACCATGCTCATCCTCCATCAGCTCATGACGGTAGCCTTCCTGCACAAGCTTACCGCCCTTCAAGACATACGCAAAGTCGTCCTCCTTGATCTGCGAAATGTCATGCGTAATGACAATTGTAGTCTTGTTCTTCCTCCACTTGCGAATCGCCTCGTTCACGAGTCCTCGACTGATGTAATCCAACGCACTGGTGGCTTCGTCCAAGATGAGAACAGGTGCATCGCGAACGTAAGCACGGGCAATGGCGACTCGCTGCTTCTGACCTCCACTCAAGCTACCTTCGTCAATGAGGGTATCCAGACCATCTGGCAGGTTGGCCACTGTTTCTTGCAGTAACGCCATCTGCACAGCTTCTTTGACCTGATCAAGCGTGACATGCATGAATCCAGATCCGCCTTTGCCGAAGGCGATGTTCTTGAAGATACTCTCACGGAAGAGCACGTTCTGCTGTTGAACAACGCTGATGTTCGTATATAGCCAAGACGACTTGAGCGTCTGAATTGCATTGTCATCGATGTGAATGTTGCCGGCGGCAGGATCGTATAACCGGAGGAGAAGGGCGGTCAATGTGGATTTACCGGACCCCGACGAGCCGACGACGTACGTTGTCTCGCCAGAAGGAAAGAAGACACTGACGTCGTCGAGTACAAGCTGGTCAGGTCTTGAAGGGTATGCAAAGCTTACATGCTTGAACTCAATGTCGCCATGCACTGTATCAAGTTGTACACCACCTTGTAGCGGTTGAATACGCCTTCCTTCCTCGTCCAATGTTTCCATCAGACGACGCAATTCGTCACCCGCGGCCTTCCCCTTCTCGAGGACGACCATCTGAGGGGAGATGTTCTGCAAGGTATTGCAAGCTGTCAAGCAAGACCAGAACACCGTCATAACATCACCTGACGAGAACTTGCCTTTCCTGACGAGATACGATCCAAACCAGAAGCCTTGCACGAACATGGCCAGTACAATGAATCTTATCACACCATGTTGGAAAGCGGAGACATTACATAAAGCTCGGTAAGAGCGAGCAGCGCTTGCAATGACGCCTGAAAACTTGTCTGTCTCACCTTTCTGCCCGTTGAAGGCCTTGACGGTGGTAATCGCAGCAACAGCCCTGCTCACGATGCTGGAAGCATTGGATAGATAGCCCTTCTCCTCTTCGATATGTTTCTGTAATCGCGGCGTGAAGACAGTGATTACAACGATCACAAATGGGATCGAAGCCAAGATAACAAGCGTTAACGACCAAGAGTGCCAAAACGCCACAGCTAGAGACAAAACGCAGGTAACTAGTGACTGAATGATTGAGCCCAGAGGAAACGAAGTCGATGTCTGTAGATCCTCCACCAACTTCTGACAGCGCGTAGTCAGTCCACCCACGCCTTCCTCTCGAAGGTCATACCACATCATATTCTTCCCAACCAAACCCTCAAACAGCTTCATACGCGCTCGAAAAGCCTGAGCCTCACCGAACGCTTGCCAAGCGGCCATGAAGAGCCATCCAAAAAACAGACTGATTACACCCAACACCGTGAAGCCGGTGACATACTTGTTCGTCTCACTCGTAAGCTCTGAGGTGTCGATCAGGCCGATGGAAAAGAGCGAAAAGCCGTTAAAGATGCGACCGAGCAGGATAGTCATGACCGGCATCAGAACTCCGTTCAGTGTCGCAGTTACCACGGCGCAAAGCAGCGGAATCATATCAGATCTGTCGGTGAAGTAGAAAATGGCTTTGAACGGCGGCGGTGGAAGCTGCCGTGTAGATGATTCCGAAGTAGTCGGCGACGGCGGCACAACCTCCTCCTCCTCTCCCTCCTCACTTCCCTCCACCACATCCATCTCGACAGTAACCCGATCCTTCTCACTGTCCCTCACAATCGGCGCAACCGAATCCGTCGGCGAAAACGGCACATCGCTAAACACCCCAGTTGACGTATCCGGACTTTGCGGAATGGTAGGCAAATCAACCAATCCTAACCCACGATCCCGAAAATGCGCTTCAAGCCTCGAATCCGCCAGCGGACCCGAGATCGAACTCTTCTTCCACGCATGGTATTTCGAGGTTCTGTAGGAGCGTTTACCGCCCATGACTTCGAATTCGATGTCGCGACGTCGTACGAAATGTGCGACTGCGAAACTACGGCGCAAGGCATCGCGTACAAGTATCAGATATCAAGCCCTTTGTTTCATGATTTCATGCTGTTAACGGGCGGCTTCGGGCGTACGAAGGTGTACCGGAGAAGCATTGGTCGTGTTTGTATTGTTCAGTTTGGATTGTTCCCCGAGATGAATGCTGCAAGCACCCCACCATGTGCGCGCGGGCTCAACTGCCCGAAAGTGAGGACACTGCATCGTTCCCAAAGATAAACGCAATCATTTTGACGCTCTACCTGCACTCCTTCACCTTGAAGGGTCTTTGTGATTCCAAGTTTTGCTATTCGCGCGCACTTGCATTTCGCGTCAAGAATTTTGCACACAGCAGTAGACTATCACCCACCTCCCTCATCGTCGTCGTCGTCGTCGTTCGTCGTTCACGGCCGTGCCGGAACGCTTAGTATACGGCCGTTTACATGTATTGCTTTGTGAACGGCCGCTGCGGAGCGCTTCGGATACGGGCATTGTGGATCACTTCAGCTGATACAGCTTGTATCGTATTCAACCCAAACTGGGCATATGATCGCTGTTGATGAATGGATGGTACTGTTCCAGTGGTATGGATTCCGTAGGTTTGTAAAAGCAAGTCCTCCCAGCACCACATACCAGTTATTGCCAAGCGTAGGAGAGTACTTTGTCAACCCGCATCATCCACTCTCTTCGACCGTCGCCTCGACCCTCACCAACCGAACCTGCTTCCGCTGTGTGATCCGAGTCACCACGTCACGGAAAAACTTGATGTTCAATTTGAGACGGGCCATATCCAATGGTTGTGTCGTTAGGTGCCTCCGAGCCATGTACCATGGGTGCTGCAGGTGACGAGAAAGGACTTGGCCCCATTTCTCACGTAAAGGGTAGCTTGCTGCCGTGCGCGGCTGATATATCACCAGCGTAGACAAGCGCGACCGAGGAGTCGTGGGAAAGTCGAGGAGAGAGGAGCAGGTTACGAAATTGGTATAAAAGGATTAAGAAATTAATATCCAAACACGAAGAAGTCCATGAAAAAACAGGCCGTCGCTATCAGTACAAAGTACACTCATTACTCATACTCATACTCATACTCATACAGAAACCAGCCGTATGCTCGTCCGCTTGCATACTTTGTCAAGCATAAACAGCAACCAGCCAGTTCGCTTTCCAATGTCTATAACGTTGACTTGACGCTTAAGCCTCGTACATGGCAGGACCAGCAACGACGTGGGGGTCGATCATGGTCAAGTTGTGAGGAGTGACGTAAGGGTCAGAGTCAGTCAAGACGACAAAGACGGAGCCGTTGACGATGGCATCGGTGGTGTTGGGGAAGACGTAACCACCGGGCTGGCGGGTGCGAGCAGTCAAGGAAGTCATGTTGACGTCGTAGAGAGGGGTGTAGGTAGTGTTCAACTGGGAAACCCAAGCGGCGAAACGAGGAGGGCAGGTAGCGTTACCGGTGGTGTGGTACAACTCCTGGGACTGGTTGTAACCAGCGACCTTTCCGGGAGCATCCCAAGAGAAGACAACCTCGCGACCAGGGTACGACAAAGCGGTGGTGTTGGTGGAGACGGAAGCGTTACCACCGAAGAGGGTAGCGTTGGGGTTGTTCAAGACGTTCAAGGTGGGGTGGATGGCAAAGTCGATGTGAGGGTTCTCGAGAGGACACTCAACGATGTAAGGCTGGAGAAGAGTCCAAGCCCAAGACTGGGGAATACCGGTGGTAAAGTAGAAGGGCATGGGGAAGAGACCCTCGAACTGACGGAAGATCATCTGCTGACGAGCCTCTGTGGTGATGGACTGGAGGAGGAGCTGAGCGGCAGCGCGGGACTCGAGGTGCTCGAGGAAACCGTAGACGCCAGACTCACCCCACTTGGTGAGACGCTGAGAGAAGTCGATGAACTCCTCGACGGTGTGGAAGGGGTAGCGGTAGACGCACTGCTTGGCAGCGCGAGGACCGAGGATGTTGGAGAGGAGGGTAGCGTGACCGACCTCCTGGTCAGCCATGAACTCGAGCAAGTAGCGGTCGGCAGCATTCAACCCGGCGGCCTCGAACTCCTCGTCGGAGAACATGGCCAAACCGTGGTGGAAGAGGTCCAATTCGATCCACTCCTGGTTCAAGGCCAAGTTCATGGACTGCCAGTCGAAGCCGTGGACATCAGAGTAAGGGTGGTAGATGGGAGGGGTAGAGTTGGTGTTCAAGCCTCCGGGAGGGGGAGGAGGAGCAGGGAACTCGGCGCCAGAGTTGTTGCAAGCGTTGGGTCCTGGAGCAGAGACCTGAGGAGCGTAGAGAGCGCTGCCGGTAGGGACGGGAACGTAAGATCCAGGGGTCCACCAAGCGGAAGAGTAGGTGGAAGCAGAAGCCAAAGCAGCAGAGAGCTGGGAGGTAGCAGCCTCAGTAGCCCATGAGTTGGAAGGGGTGACGGTGACGCAGTTGACACAGTCAGACGCGGTCTGGGAAGGCTGAGGGGAGACAGTCGAGGCAGTGGTAGGAGCCAAAGAGTCGGGACCAGACGCGGTGGCGAAGATCTGAGGAGCGGCGGCGGCGAACGGAGCAAGCAAAAGGGGAGCAACCAGCGAAAGAATCATTGTGGGTTTTTGGTATAGGGATTGGTTTTTTGATTGTATGGGAAATTGGGGGGTTTATATAGGGGAGATGGAACTACGCGATGGTGACGTTGTCGACTGGAGGGCATCAACTTGTCGGGTCAGTGGCGCTCCATCCCACACTTACGTCAGACTGGCAATTAAGGGAACATCTGCCGATTGATCCACCCATCGATTGGACCTGCATCCATCAATTGAACCTACGATGGAGAACAAGGAAGAATTCTACGGAAAGGCAAGGCTCTACTGGGATGCGGTACCGCCCACGGTCAATGGCATGCTAGGCGGCTACGGCTCAGGCAAGGTCCCCCGCGTCGACATCCAGGGCTCCATAGCCTTCCTTTCCAAACTCAACGCCCGTCTGCCGTCCCGCAAGTCCGCTGAAAACCACTCCGAGTTCATATCAGCAGACTGCGGTGCAGGAATCGGCCGCGTAACGAAGGGTCTCCTCTCAAAGTACTCGGATCACGTCGACCTGGTTGAGCCAATTGAGAATTTCGCAGAGGAAGCTCGAAGCGGCGCGCTACTGCAAGAAGAGCGGGATGCGGGAAAGGTCACTGTGATTCAGAAAGGTCTTGAAGAGTGGACACCAGAAGAGAGTAAATACAGCCTGATATGGGCGCAGTGGTGTCTTGGACATCTCGAGGATGATGACCTCGTGGCTTTCTTCAAGCGGTGTCAGAAGGGGCTGAGGGAGGGAGGATTGATTTGCGTCAAGGAGAACATCACCATGGGGCAGAACGTCAAAGACGAGGAAGACAGTTCTTGGACGAGAACCAGAGATTCGCTGTTGACCATATTCAAGGACGCCGGATTGAAGGTCGTGAAAGAAGACTTGCAGCATGGTAACCCTCCCTTCTCCCTAGTTCGAATCGCATGACCTAACATTGGAGCAGGCTTCCCGCAAGAGCTCTTCCCAGTTCGAATGTTTGCTCTATGCTAGTCTATCTATTCTCAAGCACATCTACTGACAAGCACTTGCTTTGCCCCTTTCTCACGAGTGTTCACCGTCTCTTCGATCACATCAATCACAACTTTGTATGTTCGCGTAGACGTAGCCATATTGTTCGACCATAAGAATATCAGATAGTGGATGGCCTCCTCTCGTAGGTATTTTTGTGGTTCGAGGAAGCTGAATGCAGGGGTGATGCACATCGTCATCGGTGTATCGATTACCTTCGAAAATATGAGTCTTCTGAAAAGAGGGTACTCGCTGCTATTCTTTGGAGGGCTGCTATATGCCGGGTTTCTGTTGTGTTTGACGTCGCCGGCATTACAGCGGAACCTGCTCTACCTTCACCGAGCGAAGCCATTTTGGGGTGCGGATCTGACGAAGCCAGAGTTGTATGGCTTTGCGAACGGCAGAGTGAGACCGTTCCATATTCAGACCCCAGACGATGAGCGTATCTTCGCATGGCATGTGTTGCCATTTAACCTCTACTCCGCACACCGGGAAGAATTGGAGGCGCCGAATTATGATTATGCCAAGCATACCGAGCTGTTGAGGAATGATCCAGAAGCGAGGGTGGTTATCTACAGTACTGAATGCTTGTTAAACGATGAAATCAAAGCTGACATTGTAGTACAGTGCATGGTACAGCTGGAACAATCGCAGCAACCGATAACCGTTTAAACACATACCGGACATGGTCACTTCTTCCCGGCAATGTTCACGTATTGACGATTGACTACCGAGGATTCGGGTTGTCTACTGGTGAGCCTAGTGAGGAAGGACTGGTTACGGACGGCATTTCTGCTGTACAATGGGCGATGGAGAATGGGGTCGCCCCGGAGAGGTACGAAAGTGTTCGGGTCTGCTTGTCAGGATGCTAACGCGTTCGTACAGAATCGCCATCGTGGGACAGTCCCTCGGCTCCGCCGTCTCCATTGCCGTCGCCAACGAACTAGCGTCTCAAGGCACATACATCCGTGCTCTCCTCCCCATCTGCGGGTTCGCCTCCCTCACCCAAATCGTTACAACCTACCGCCTCGTCGGCTTCATCCCCATTCTCTCGCCTCTCCGTGTCTACCCACTCATCCAGAACTTCATCATCAACAACTTCCTTTACGAGAAATGGGATTCAGCGACGAGATTAAGGAGTTTCGCGGAGAAGACGAGGGGTAAGGATGTTAGCATTACGATTATGCATTCGGTTTACGATATGGATATCCCGTATGCGTCGTCGCGATTATTGTTCCAGTCTGCAATCACTGGGTCTCTCCATGCCGGGCAAGATATGACATGCGCTATGGATGATACAGATCCTACAGTTGCGCCCGATTTTGCGAAGGGTCTTGTGGACAAACGAACGATTGGCAGTGGTGGTTCCGTGTACACGTTTAAAGCCGGCGAAGGGGAAAAAGAAGGACGGATACAGTATGTGGAACTGGACTGGGGAGGTCATAATAGAATGCAGAAGGCGGACAGCGTGTTGATGGCACTTGGCAAAGCATTGGGTGTTTTGTAGGACAGGGGCATTGATAGAGTAGCATGTTCAATTGACTCGCAGGGTTACGGGACCGCGGTGAGCTCCGGCGTAGATGTCGGGGATTTCAGCGGACGAGTTAGGGAAGCCGTTACAGCGAGTGTGTGATCCGCAGCTTTTGAGAAAATCTTTAGATCAGGGAACCCGGAGGATCTGGTTAGGATGTGCAATTAGGATATTTTCTTAGAACTTCATACGATATATCAATCAAAACTTTCACCTATGTGACATGTCACATACGACGAGTGCATCGTACCGACTTTGAACCGCGATCACTGGGCATCACGATCAAATCTTGCTCGCTTGGAGGCATGACTGTCTCCCTCCCTAGGCATCTGCCGGCTGTCTCCATCACTCCTTCTCATTCTCTGATATCGCTCGCGAGCCTCTCGCGCTTGATGTTCTCTTTTCCGCTCCTGCTTCTTCTTCTCTTCCTCAGCCGCCCGATACCTACGCGCCTCTTCCGCCTTCTTTTTCCTGTTCTCCTCAGCACGTTCAAGTTCTAGCTTCTTCTACTTCTTTTTCTCTTCTTCCGCACATGCACGCTCAAGCTCTGCCGTGGCACGCTCCAACTCAACTTCCATTTCGGCATTGACTGCTGGACCGATGAACGAAATGACTGTTCTAGAACACAGTGGAGTAACGTGTGCCCTGAAATTCTATACAAGTGAAGTTAGTATCTGCTGTCAAGACTTAAGGATTGAGCACGTACACTTGACATAGTGTAACAAAGATGAAGCCCGCAGCACAATCACATCTCCAGGCTGGAAATCAAACTCAATACCCAACCGAGGAACCACCAAGGTACCTCTACTAAAGCCATCCTGATCAGAGAACACCATAAAAACTGCCGAGGAGTGTTGAGGGTCAGGATCATCCCGATGCATATCCACTGCTATAGTGACGTTGATAGCCAAGGAAGAGTAGGCTTGAAGGTAATAGTCAATCAGTAGTTCTTGGTGTTTTTCAGCCGTTTTAGGATCTGTGAACTGTTTGATACTCCAGGGATCCATTCATACCAAGTACATACCGTGGGAACCCGCACGTTAGCAAGAGTTCCCACGCATGTGAAGGGCCCGAGGAACACACAGAGAACTCTGGTAGTAACACACCCTTCTTATAGGCAAAGGGAAGTGATGGAAGAGGCGATACATACCAGTTGACAGGATACCTGATGTTTTGCTAAGCTTTTCATCTATGTTGATCAGTGTTTGGTATGACTGTTGCCACGCGTGCACGGAAAGGAGGGTCAAGACGATAGAACTACGAGGAGATAGGCCACAAGCCTTTGGGCGACACGTACGGTAAGACGGACAAACATATCTATTCTTGGAAACAGTAGATCCAGTGGCAAGCCGAGATCGGATGGCTTTGCAATACCCAAACTAGTAGTAAACTCCAAAACTCCAGAAACCCATGAACCAAAATCGTCAATCAATGTAGCACATCACTGTTTGGAACTCTTTGCCTTCTTCGCCTTCCTTGCCAAAACAAGGATCTCCTCGTCAACATCGGAAGCCTCTTCGGCGTCCAAGTCTGAGCCGGACTCCATCTCCTCATCTTCATCATCCTCCGCATCCTCCATCTCCTCGTCATCCTTCTCCAACGTAGCAGGAATGATTCTCTTCCTCTTCTCCCCAAGACGACCACCCTCTGCACCGAAAGTAGCAGAGGCAGTCTCGGTCTTGGTCTTGGTCTCACCCTCATTCGCGGTAGAAGCAGCACCCTCATCCTGCTCAGGCTTGGGCGGCGCAATGAACCATGGGATCTTACCCCTCATGAAGTCATTCAACACAAGCTTCGCGACAGAGTTCTCGTCTGCCTCACCACCATTCAATAGCCTACCCATCTTCCTTGCAAGCATAGTGATGAACTCAGTGGAGTCTTTCCAGCCACGAACATCGTACGTACGCTCCAAATGCTGCTGCTTGCAGCGACCAAGGACAGCGGGCATGTACTGAGCAGGGTGCTCGATCTTCTCAACACGAACAACACCACGCAACAGAATGTCAGTCTCAGTATCGCTGGCCGACGGGGGTACAACACCAGGACAATCGATGAGGTAGATACGCTTCATGAGGGTAACGTATTGCCAAACCTTGGTCTCTCCAGGAATAGGAGCGACCGTGCAGACCTTCTTCTTCTTCAAGGTGTTAATGATACTGGATTTACCAGCATTGGGATAACCAATGAATCCAACGGAGATTTGCTTCTTGTCTTGGTGAAGCGATGAGAATTGACGAAGAAGTTGAATCAGCGAACCTTTACCGAAAGAGTTGGTGATCGAAGCGTGGAAAGCAAGCGTAGGATACTCTTTGGAAAGGATCTTGACCCAGTTGGCCTATGAAAATAACAGTCAGCACCTCGTTCAGGGAAGAGCAATGCATGTGAACATCTGTGAAGGCATGTGTGCTTCATCACTAAGAAAGTCGGAACCTATGTACCACGAAGAGGACATCCGACTTTCAACTCAAGAGAAGCATCTCACAGGTCCTAGCGAGCTGTCCCAAGACGGGACGAACTCTAAGGCGGACCCGGTCTCGATCTCCCAAAGTTGTAACAGACTCACTCTGATTGAGAATCGCACCCTCTGAAGAGGATGTCGACCGCAATCACCGTAGCCAAAAGGCCGTAGTAACCGCGCAAAGGAGCCTTGACTTAACGATGGGATCCGCAAAGCGGAAGTTGGGGAAGGAAGACACAGACGAAAACACAACAAGAAGGGATGACTTACCGCTGCCCATGTAGGAACCAAATCACACTTGTTCAACACAAAGATCAAGTGCTTGTGCGGCTGCTCCTCTCTCAAATACTTCTCCACAGTCTTGCATCGAGTACCAATCGGATCTCTGGCGTCGATAACCATAACCACCACGTCGGAAGAGTCGATGACCTTGTACAACTCGTTCCAAATACGCTTCGATTGACCCTTCGAGAAGACAGGCTCACGGGCCTCAGAAATCCAGTCAATGCCCTGAGCGTTGATAGGCTCCGTCTCCTTCTTATCGGAGTAGGTCTGCTGGACATCCACAACATCCTTAAACAACTCCTCCGTCGAACCAGCAATGATCTTTGGCTTCTTCCTCTGTGCTTTGGGCCCGAAAGTGTCGGCGAACGGCTCAGTCTCGACAATCTGCACGCGCGGAACCTTGGTGTTCTCCTGAAGCAAACTCATGGGGAGCTTATTCTGCTTCAACAAAACCTGGTAGGGATCGTTGATCTTTGCGCCGAGAGACTCACGGAACTCCGACAGCGCGTTCTGAGCAATCACACGAGTGTTACCGAACCACCTACGGTCAGGTTGGACACGCGCCTTCGGGATCTCCTTCGACTGGTACGTAGCAGCTTCAATGATTTCTCCCTGGGCATTGCGTACCGCCTTTCCCTCCTTAAACATATTCACCTTGGCCACCTTCTTCGCATCTCGGTAAAAGTTCTCTCCCTTCACCCTAATATTTCCCGGCTTCTTCTCGCCAGTCTCCTTGGCACGACGATTGGCTTCCTTCTTTCCCTGACCCATTTTGAAGATGAATTGATGAGATCGGAGGGTAAAGGGTGGAGTATTTCTCAAGCGGGCAAAAGTTCGTAGCCTGCAACTTTTTCAGCCGCGAGGGTCTGTGGCGAAGCAGGTGTCGTGTGGGAAGCTTATCGCAAAGTTCTTTTCAGAAAAATGAAGAAGTAAACTTCTAGTTCTAAAAGTTATGAAAATGATACTAGCAAAATATGAGGTACCGTAGGTAGCCCTGACGCCGTCGTTCCCCCTGACAACGGCCGGTACGTGAACTTACATACACGCGAATACGAACCAAACATTGACATTGGAAAGAGGTCCAAACCAGCATTCACTCCTTCAAGGCCGTCAACACCTCTGCAACTCGGAAAGAAGCTATATACTATCTGCCTTGCCCATAGCTCTCCCTACCCTCATGCAGATTCTCGCAGTTACTCCTTCATCTGTTGGTGTTTATACTGAAGCTTTGCAAGAGCTCATTGCGGAGGCACAGGGGCGCGACGGATTTGATGAGGTCTGCTGTGCCACACAAGCAGTTGACGGTACAGTTGCTGTGGGGAACCGCAATGGGTTGTCAATTGCCTCCTTGGGCGGCGTCCCAAGGATCGTCGTTCATGCAGAGATTGCGGTTCGTGAGCTATGATCTCGAATGAATTCCCGCTGACCTTTGCATAGGGGATGGTCACGTCTGTAGCATTCACTCAGGACTCAAGGTCTATTCTGTTCGCTTCCTCTCCGCTAAATGCTGTCCGGACATATAGCATCCTAGAGAACAGGATCACTCACACCGACACAGCGCATCCATCCAAGATCACTGCTCTCGCCGTATCAGCCGACTCTACATACGTCTTGTCTGCCTCGTCATCACCACCTACTGTCCAGCTCCATAATGCAGTGCTTGGAACTACGAACAATGTACTCGTGCCTGCTTCTACATCACCTGTGGTCTCTGCTGCTTTCCATCCTTCAAGAAGACATATATATGCGATGGGGTTTGCCGACGGGGTGGTCGCAATTAACGACACTACACGAACCCGACACCTATGTGTCTTTGACGGCTTGTTTCCGGCGAATACACTGACCGGCTTGGTGTTTGCACCTGATGCACAAAATACTGTGGTTACCGTCGGGAGGAACGGGACAGCGCATGTCTTGAACTTTGAAAGCCGAAAGGTCGAACGGACGATATCTGTTGGGGCACCTGCTACTTGCTTATGTATGAACGACGACGGAGCGCTCGCTGTTGGAACGGTACACGGACGTTTACTGAAATTTGAGAGCATGGACTGGCCTCCGCGCAGCCTCAGCGTAAGTCGCAATGGCGACCCTGTGTTATCTGTGCAGTGGTCGAGCACCCGGCCTACCGCACGAAACACGAGCACGCATGGACGGACAGACAGTGTCTCTGCAAAAATGAGGACGAGAAGTGCTTCACGAACCAGCGCTTCTGATGACGAGGCACCTCTCCGCCCTCAACAGCATGTACGTAGCAGGAGGACGCATCGCATTCAGGAAGAAGCAAAGCCCGCCTATCTCGATATGTTTTCTCCGGTCAAGAAGGCACAGCCAGCGGTGTTCTCCAGGACCTCTCTGGAAGATGATGCGGCAAGTTCAGGGATGGAGTCCACACCAAGTCGTCCAACAGCACTTCGCTCGCCCAGAAAATCGACGCTGATTGGATCTTCTTTGCTGAGCAGTCGTGTCGGACGAAGTCAAAACCTAGATCGAATTCCTTTACTGCAAGCTACAAAGACGCCGAGCAGGGACCGTGCGGAAACTGCGCCAGAACCTAGCGATGACGTCGAAAGTCTTGCAAGATCACGGCCGTCTAGTGGAGAAGACATGCTACGTGCTCTAAGACTCGAAGAGCTCAACCTTCTTGACTCTTCACCCCCGAAAAAAGGGTCCGGCTCTGGATTGGCTGGTTCAGACCTCAGAAAGCCGTCAAAGACGATAGCCTTCAACCCTGAAGACGACCTTCAGCAAGAAGTGAAGTCTATAGGCCTGGAACGTGAAGAAAAGAAGTCCGTATCGTGGGAGGCAGAAAGGGGAACCGAAAGTGCGTTGACGAGCCCAAATGACAAGGACTACAGCAAATTGTCCATGCCGTCACATCTACGCCCGACGTCTGGCACTGATAGTAGAGAGACGCCAGCACGGCCTCCTCCGCAAATTGCGGTTGCACCATCTCCAGTATCGCGAGATGCGCTCACGGAAATGCGTGATATTTTGCGGCGTGACATACAGGCAGTGCATGTCGAACTTCTGAGACAGTTCTCTAAGCGTGATGGCGAAATGGAGCAGCTACAGGCCGAGAATGCGAGACTCGTTGCTGAGAATGAGAGACTGAGAAAGGAGTTGGAGGAGATGAGGAATGCGGCGGGTATAGCTGAAGTTCGCTGGTATTGATTCATTCAGCTGAATTCGAGGGAAATCCAGGCTGCTCCCTGTGATGCAAAGTCATGCCAAGTCATGCACGGTTATTATACGAATGTTTCAGACCCGCGCGTAGACGAGCAACCAATAATTGCAACGCGTACGCCGTTCAACCCCTAAGCTTCGTCTATCCTGGAGATAGGTGCAAGTGAGTTGATCTGCAGCTGCGTCGAATGTTGAGACCTCGCTCTCGTCGTCTCTGCAGCAGCTGTCTCCAACCAGCTCAGCCCTTTCTGATTCGTCTCAACGTCTTCGCCTCCTCAAACAGTCAGCTTCTCCACCGTCCTTTTTCATCTACACGGCGATCCTACGTGAAGTCAAGCGGGAAGAACTTGGGCGCGAAGCTACTACTACGACCTGAAGAAATGTTTGATGGACCGCAGTATCCGCATTTAGACAGTCTCAATGCTTCCCAGCTGACGGCGGCGACGTATGATCCGGAACTCTATCCGGTTTTGCAGATCCTTGGTACATTTACGACCGCATATTCCAGACCTACAGCTAACCTGAAGGTATAGCTGGCCCTGGATCAGGGAAGACGCGTGTCTTGACCACGCGTGTTGCGCATTTACTCCTTCACCATGGTCTCTCTCCTTCTTCGATCATTGTGGCCACTTTCACGAACAAGGCGGCGAAGGAAATGAAAGAGCGCATTCATCGCATCCTTGGAGTAGAAAACTCTGGGCTGATTCTAGGGACCTTTCATTCTGTTGCATGCCGTTATCTCAAAAAATATGGCGATCACATAAAACTGGAAAAGGACTTCGGAATTGCGGATGCTACTCAAACTACAACGTTGATGAAGATGGCCATCAAGCAAGCTGATTCTGAAATTTCGGACAAAATCGCTAAGAATCGTATATCACAGCTGAAGAGCAAGGGACTAACTTGGCAACAGCATGCCGAGGATGAAGCTCGAAAACGGAGATCATCAAAACTTCCGCATTACGCCGGTAACTCTAAATCAGACAACGACGTAGTTGACGTCTATAGGGAGTATGAGACGTTACTAAAACAGCAGAATCTCTTTGATTTCGATGACATTCTGATAAAGTGTCTTGATTTGCTCAAAGCACGCCCTCAGTGCGTCGGCAACATTCAGCATGTGCTCGTCGACGAATATCAAGATACCAACTTTGTTCAATACGAGTTGATGCGACTTTTTGCACAAAAGGCCAATAGGATCACCATTGTTGGTGATCCTGACCAAAGCATCTACGGCTTCCGAAGCGCAGACATCACGAACTTGGAGAAGATGTCAACTCATTATCGCGACCACAGTGTCACCGTTATCAACCTGGAAGATAATTACAGAAGTTCGGGGGCAATCTTGGAACTCGCTTCCCAGGTTATCAGCCAAGACCGGTCGCGGCCGCAGAAACAGCTCATGCCAAATCGACCTGACGGTCCGAAGCCTGTGCTTCGAGTGCTGGCGGACGCAACGCTTGAGTCTGAGTGGATTGCAAGAGAAATCAAACGAGTCATAGCATGTACAGGAGGTATGATAACCTACAATGACGTGGTGGTGTTATTGCGATCAGCAAGGCCGACCCTTATGCGACTGGAGACAGCATTCACTCATGCTGGGATACCTTTTCACGTGGTTGGGTCATTTGAATTTTTCCAAAGGAAAGAGGTGCAGGATATCCTGGCATACCTTCGCGTAGTACAGTCTTCCTCTGATCTGGCAAGCTTCACACGCGTTATCAATGTCCCTGCGAGAAGTTTAGGGCCGAAGGCATTAGAGAAGTTGCTCGCCCAAGCACAAACGCGAGGATTGCCTGTTTTCGAAGCAGCCAATAGGGCCGCGAAGGGCGAACTTGGTTTTGCCAGCACCGCCTTGAAGTCATTGCAGGATTTTGCTTCGGTGATCAATAAGGCACGTGCAATGGCCAACAACAACGCTTCTGTCGAGGAACTCATCAAATTCATCACTGCAAACATCAACTATCGGGAGTATCTGGAGAAGACGTATAAAAAGGATGGTGAAGAGGGGTATCTTGAGAAATGGGCGAATGTAGAAGAGTTGAGTATCTACGCAGACCAAGTTTCGGCTGCGATTGCGGAGGATCTGCCTGATGTGGAAGGCATTGACGGTAACATCGCAGATATGTCGAATCTCGAGGTGTTCTTGAGTGGCGTATCACTTGTATCTGATCGTGTGGAGAAGGGAGGAGAAGCCATCCAGGTATGATTTTCGTTCATCCGTCTGCTCGGACCATCTAACGCTCCTGCTAGCGAGTCACTGTCTCAACTATCCACGCCTCGAAAGGTTTAGAATGGCCAGTTGTATTTATTCCGGCTGTCTTCGATGGGTCGATCCCGAATTCTCGAGCGGAGGATCAGGATGAAGAGAGGCGTATCTTGTATGTTGGCCAGACGAGAGCACAGGCTTTGTTGTATCATTCCTATCCAGAAACGAGTACGAATTATGGTCAACAGGAGGACGCGCGTGTTTCCCGCTTCTTGAACGACGTTCGCGAACGAAAGCTGCTTCAGGCCAGAGGTCCCTCATTTGCTGGTGGTCTTGCCGCTGAGGTTAGCAGACTTTTGGACAGGCCGATGCCAAGCCTGGAGAAGATTGAGGAGATGACGTCTAGGTTGTCTTCCGTCGAGGATGAAGGCTTGGGGGGGGCTCCATCACCTGTCCGCGGGCGCCGCAACAGTTTCGGGCAGAATATTTTCCGTCGGTTTAGCCCTGAAAGAGCGGTGCGTCATCAGTACAGTACCGTGTCGTCGTCTACGGATGGTATCTCGCACGAACAGAGTGGATTTATGAGTTCCAGAACTGCACTGAACCAGCTACCTGTGGAACCATTGAGCGCGGGAAACAACCGCCGAGCGTCATCGTCTGATCGGCGTGAGAAGCCTATCACTCTGAAAAAGCAGAAGACCGACCCTAAACAGGGGGTCTTGGCTGACTGGCTTGGTGCCAAACAACAAGTGAAAGCACCATCTCATGGACAAGCTGCAATGCCACCGCCCGTCATTGACCTTACGGAGGAGGACCTCCCACTTCCTACACCTTTGGGTCGCGTCGAGACGGTTACTACCACTATTGGGGAGGAACGATATGTTCTTCTTTCTTCATCCCCACCGCGGGAGTCTCCCGTGGTTTCCAGGTCAAGGGTTGTCTCGAAAGGGTTACAGCATACCAAAATGACATACACAGTACCAGCACCAGCACCTGCACAACCCAGACCGACACTGCCACAGGGTACCAGTTTGCCGGGCAACACAGGATTGAGGAAGCCTGGCAAGAGATTAGGGATGGGTAGACCGAAGCCATGGGGATCTAAATAAAGAAATTTACATAATGATAGAGGGTCATATTCGGTTGGACATGGTGAGTACGGCGTTAATTGAAATTACTGTTACCTACGATCATGGCTTCTGAACGAGAAGAGTGATGGGGGTCATAGACCATGTGTTACGCATTCTAAGCAACCTCGTAGCGTAGCTTCTGGTAGATATCGCAACACAGAACACACAGAGCAAACTAGCTTCTCACACTTGACGCAGAGGGTCCCGCCCTCTTGCTCCGGCGTCACGGCTTGTCCGCAGTCCGCGCAGTGTTCAGCATTCACTTCCACGCTTTGACCGCTCTGACTTTGTGCTACAGCCCGCTGCGCCGAGAATAGCATGTTGAGCGTATTCGCTATGAAATGAGTCAGCTTTGTCCGAATGTCGTACTTCTCGTGTGCAATAGGAGCGACGGACAGTAAACCTGCTGCTGCTCACTCGCAGTGTTACGAGGAACCCGCTTCAAAGTCCTTCCCGACTCATTCCGTGAGGGTGTATCCTGACTCAACTGAGAAGCCTGTTGCACAAATGAACTAGATGGTGGTGATGAAAGGTATTCCTCGTCGCGATGTCTCTTCATGACATGGTTTTGGGTGTTGCAATTGTACTTTTATTTAAGGTTCTTGAGGACGCGCTTTGAGACACGCTTGGGCATGCACGGCTATATTTCTGGGGTTTTGATCATTCCACACCCCTAAATCTTCAAACCACACCCCCGCGCGCCGAAAATTGAGGAGATCAGAGCATAACAACCACACAAAACAGCATTAAACTCAGCTGTAGGAGACAGAAATGGATCCTCCACCTGATGCCTCTTTCCCTACCCTGGAAGAGCTCAAGAATTATGCCCAGGCCTGGGCCAAGCCCCGTGGCTATGCCATTTCAACTGAGCGATCCAAACCCGGCAAAGTATGGCTAAAATGTACCCGTGGCGGCGAGTATAGAAATCGCCATAATCTTGACCGCACTTCCCGTCAGCGCAAATCAAACCACAAGGCCCAGGGCTGCCCTTTCAAGCTTGTTGGCAAGCTCTCTGGGATAACAGGAGATTGGGAGTTATCGACAAAGAACTGGGAGCACAACCATGAGCCCGTAATCGATCCCACGGCACTCCCCCAGCACAGGAAACTCACAGCCACCCAGATCAAAGACGTTGAGAGGATGACGAAGGCAGGTGCACTGCCTAGGACTATTGCCGTGGCCCTACGCGAGGACCCGGAGGGCAACCCAGACTTTTTGCGCCGCAACATCTACAACGCCAAGCGCGACCTTCGCGTCAAGAATCTTGCCGGGCGTACACCCATTGTTGCCTTGTTGGACAAACTCGAAGAAGAAGGCCTGCCTTTCCGGAAGAGGGTGGACAACGAAAATCGCATTACCAGCCTAATCTTCACCCACCCACAATCTGTTAGTTTCACGAAACGCTTTCGAAACGTCTTCGTCATGGATTGCACCTACAAAACCAACAAGTTTGAGATGCCCCTCCTTCATATCGTCGGGATGACTTGTTGCAACACTTCGTTCACCTCAGCATTGTGCTTCCTCTCTCGGGAGACTCGGGAGGACTATCTCTGGGCAATGTGTATGTACTCGGAGCTGATGGATTACTTTACACCTCTTGTCATCGTCACAGACCGCGAGCTTGCCCTTATGCATGCAAATGCTAAGGTATTCCCCACCGCCGCCAAATTGTTATGTCGTTGGCACATTGAGAAGAATGTGGTGACGAACTGCAAAAGTGCATTCCGCACTAAGGAGGAATGGGATGGTTTCTTCAATACCATGCAGGAGCTCATGAAATCCTTGACGGAGGAGAAGTTCGAGGAGAATCTCGCTGATTTGATGCGTGATTACGAGAGGTATGAGACTGTTACTTCATACGTCGAGACCCTTCTCCCCTACAAGACTTACTTTGTCTCCGCCTGGGTTGACCGTGTCACTCACCTCGGATCGTCAGTCTCTTCCCGTGCTGAAGGTGCTCACAGGTGTCTCAAAGGTCACATTGGAGTCAGCACAGGCAATCTCTTGACCGTCGTGGATCATTCCCGGGCATTCATGGAGGAACAACACAAGGAGATAATAGGGAAGATAGCCAACGAGAAGGTGAATGTTCCACCGACTTTGGGCACTTTCTTCGCCGATATCAAGTACAAGGTTTCGGGCTTCGCATTGGGGTTGATTGAGGAGCAGTACATTCTCGCACATCGTTCGCTCGCCACCAATTTCACCCTTTCAACCTGCCGTGGTTACCTGAAGAGGGTTTTCGGTTTACCCTGTGCGCATGCAATCACTGAAGCATTGGCCGACGACCGGGTCTTGACAATGCACGACATACACAAGCACTGGCATCTTGTCCTCGACGAGAACTACATTGAGGCACCCACATTGGACACAACTCAGGCTGGTGGAAACCTTCCCATGGGTGCTCCGGGGCATCAAAGGTTTTACGGGCCTCCTCCGGGCCCGCCTAGCAATTATTTTGGTCCATATGGACCTTGATGGAAGCGTGGGAGCGTCAGGAATTTATTTGTGTACATATTGCTACTGTAAATAATTTTATTTATCTTGTTTCTGCTCTGATCTCCTCAATTTTCGGCGCGCGGGGTGTGGTATGAAGAAACGGGGGTGTGGAATGATCAGGACCCTATTTCTGCCATAATTTGTTATGACGGAGAGTTACGATACAATTATCTAAAGCAACGGCTGGAAGAACTTGACAAACTGGGCAAAGGCCTTCTCCTTCGCAACGCGATTCTCCTCCACCGTGATATCAGAACGCACGGCGAAACCGTGCGTCACTCCTTCGTACGTGATCGTCTCAAACTTCGCACCGTTGTTCTTCAAGACAGATTCAACCTGCTCTTTGAGTTCGGGGACGTAGATAGCTAGGTCGACAAGTTAGCGGAGAGAACCTGAGGAACGGGGATTCTTGACTCACCATCCGTCTCGGCAGCGGCAATGCTTACAGGGACCTGAATACCCTTGACATCGTCGAGCGTAACAAGACTTGGGTGAGCTGTGGCTCCGCCGGCAATTATGCCGTCCCTCGCGAGTTGGAAGACGTACTTTCCGCCGAAGCAGTAGCCAACTGCGAGAATTTTTGAGGAGCTATATCATTCCTTAGCAAGTGTAATCCGCAAGTGGTGCAATAACTTAATACTTACTTGAATTCTGCTTTCACACTAGCGACCGCTTGGTCGATAATTGGCCTAACCTTTGACTCTGGATGGCGTCCAAGCCAGATGGGAATAGTCAAGGTCTCAGCGATAGCACCCTTGACACGGTCGATCAAAGGTCTCTCCTCGGATTCTGCAGGCTCCAAAGCCTCCATTGGGAAAGGATCACCCTCGAAATAGTCAGGCATGACGGTGAACAGTCCATTACGGGCGAAGTCGTCAGCAAGAAGCTGGTTGTTGATCAAGTCAATACCGAAGGCATCAGGGAGGAAGAGCAAGCAGTTGCGTGTACTGCCGTCGGATGGTCGAGAGATGTAGCAGCGGGCGTCGCCGATGAATTTGATTTCGCCAGTAGGTGTGCCTCTGTTGATCCATAAGCGATTGAGATGGTCGGTCCGTCACGGAGGACTCACTCATGACGGACACCTGAAACACAGCAATCTCCCAGTTGTCCAGACATCATGATCAGCTTAACAGTTATGAACGTTCAATTGAAAGTTGCCGTCGGAGCTCTGTGCCGGAGGAAGCGGGATCGATTGTGCAGGGACCCCGCATGACGTCAGGGATTGCTCACAAGATGTATTTCATTCAACGATAGTTACAGCTATCCTAATTTATTGCTGTCCAGTAAGCTCTGGTACCGCTGCCGGAGTCTGAGGAACTGCAGGCGGTACCAGCGATATGTTCATGGCCGGTGGAGGCATGGTCTCTTGTGCGCCCTGTGGTATGGTAGACAAGCTCGCCCTCCGAGATTCCGGACTTTTCTGCGGTGGTGGATCCAATGACCCTCGCCCGCCCTTCCACCGAACACCACATGCATTACACAGCGTGTTGGGCCCGCTGGGTCCACGACGGAACATAGGTGTATCCGCAGTTCCGCAGTTTTCGCATGTCTTTCCTCTGCTGTTTTGCTGTACCCGACGCTTCGGTGCTGATTTTGGTTTTGACGATAGTCGCTCGTGAACTGGCGTGTGCGCTTGAGCAGTTGTAGATGAAGCCTGCCGTGGTATAGAAGGCTTTGTCGGCACGGGCTCTGCTGCTGCCTCAAGTCGATGCCCTCTTGTTCCCTTAGGTAAACGGAATTGCAAAAACGTCGGATCAGCTCGCGGCATATTCGCCATAGCTTCGCTCATCTTCTCCCGTACTAAGTTCGGATTTTCCACTACAGCAACAACAGTATCTCGAATCTTTTTCGTGCATCCCTCCATGACCATAGTCACCGGCTGCCACGCCATCGGCTTTTGTGGATCTTTCGTGGGAATCGTCATCATGAAGGAAGCTATTACTTCCAGCGGTTCGTTATCGTCAGGCGCCTCGACAATGGACATCCTTGGGAAGAGCCAGCGATCGTTGGGATTATCCTTGAATTCAAAGACCACATCCTGACTTTGCAGATATTTAGGCATGGCCTTCTGCGCAGCTTGTTGCTGCTGTATCAGCAGTGCCTGTGCTCTCGCCTGCGCTTCGGCCTGAGCCCTTGCTTGAGCCTCTGCTTGTAAACGAGCAGCTTCAGCAGCTTGTCGAATTGCCTCCTGTGCCTGCGGAAGGGTATGGATGAACGTAGTCAACTGGCTGATCTCTGCTGGACTCGCGTTACCTCCAGCTACTACCGTCAGCAACTTTTGGAGAGCTGGATCTTTAGCGGCCGCAGCACGTAATCCCATGATAATATCATTGTTCATCGGTGGTAGCGCTGTGGGGGCAGCCGTCGGGGCTGGTGCAATTGCTTGAGGTGGCTGTGGAGCGACAGGTGCCGGTGGAGGTTGATCAGGGGCAGGTGTTGGTGTCGCAGTCGGCGCCGCGGACTGTTGTAGAGGCGTTTGCGGCAAACTCGCAACAGTTGGTCTCCCAGCAGCTGCCGGCGTTGATAGTGGCTCCTGTTTGACGATCTGCGCCGGAGCAGTGGAATGAGGCGGTCCTGGAGTTACCGGAGGTGCCGTAGCGGGAGCGGCAGCGGTTTGGCCCGGCATCTGAGGTTGTTGATACTGTCCCTGCAACTGCGTTTGTGGAGGATATCCAGGACCAGTCTGATAATGGTATTGAGGGGGCAAGCCTGATGCAGTAGCCAGCGGTGATGGAGAATGCGTAGGATGCTGATGTTCAGGTAAATATCGGATACTGTAGATCTTCGTTTCCGGAAAAGAGTGGGGGCCAATCGTCAAAGTGCATTCGCCAAGCTTGGACATATTGTGTTTCGGTGTATGGATGACATCGGCTTGTGATTTGCGACTTCTGGTCGGCTTCGTCCAAAACTTCTGCACGACTCCTCCAGTAGTCCACTGAAGTCGAGACTGGTTGAGCGCTGCCGAGAATACACGGCTCTCGACATAGTTCAGGTAGCCGGGCAAGTCTCCCGTCGTCTGCGGTTCCGGTGTTACTGGAAGGTCGCCATTACCAATTCGTCTCAGAATAGTAGCAGTTGACTGATCCACGTCTCTGCTTACTTTGCTCAGGCCTGGTGCGACAGATGGGCTTCGTACGTCTGATACTTTTGGCGTTGAGGTTGAAGGAGACGGCGAAGGAGCATGAATCTTAGTGATAGACCGCTTGCGTTTTGCACCCGCCGTAGACATTTGCGCTTAGTTGTATGGAACACTATGTCGCACAGCCGTATGAACTTGCGAATAGTCGATTTGCGCCTGTCGTACGCGACTTCGCGTACTGCATCTACATGCTTCGGCTGCTGCGGTGTAACGACGATACAATCACGTGAAATGATTATCCAATAGCACCGAGGAATATACTCAAACGTAGTGTCTGTAATTCTGTCGTGATTGAAGTACCGAGGCCGTTTACCGTCACTGGAGGAGCAAGGAGCACAGACGAGTTCACGTTTTCAAGTATCTACGCACAGGACTTATAGCGATTCTTATTAAGAGCCTGTTCAGTTAGACCAAGCAGATAAGTGATAGATGCTTCCTTCACACAGCCATCTAGCGCCTCTCAACCAGTAGGAAATGCATAGCAAGGTAGGTCATTACCATGAAAGCACCTACTAACGAGTTAACATAGAGATACAAGATGAGAAAAATAGGACACATACCAAACATAATGACTAGGCCCACGGTGTCTGGCCAGAACGCAGCAACATCGAAGCCGAATGTGCTGAGGATCGTAGCACCGGGTACCTCTATGGACAACCCAAACTTCTTCTCACGCAATGTGAGATATCGCACTTCGTTGACCAAAAGGGCTTCGTAAGCATAGTGGAATATCGAGACTTTCTGCAACCATGACAGCGTCTTGGGCATGGAATCTATCAGACGTTAGCACATGTAACCTAGACACATTTCGGGAAGACATACCTGAGTTGAGGAGCAAACCGGCGAAGAGCAAGCTGAACAGCATCACCAAGCTTCCAATCAAGTTCGCCACACTAGTTTCCTTGCAGACCACACCAATGAAGAGACAGATGGCGGCCGCAGTCAAGTTGAAAAGCACCAAAACCAACAAGAACTTGAAGAACGTTTGAACCTCCGGAACGAGACCAACCATCGGGTAGATGATTAGAGCCATCACTACCGGTGGGACAATCCGCAGTGGAATAACATCGAAAATGACTTTGGACAAGAAGTAAGCCGCAGGATGATAATATCCATTCGCACGCTCGCGCACGAACAGGATACGTTCACTGGCGAACACGTTCAGTGAAGTCAACGTACTGAACCCAAAGAGAGCAAGGATAAAAAAGAAGAGTCCAAGTCGATCTTGGAAACCCGAAAGCTCGTTGGAAACACCGAAGAAGAGGTATCCACACAGCAAGGCTAACGTGATCGCAATTGCATAGTGCGTCATCATCAACATCGGGTTACGATACAAGTTTTTGAACATTCTTTGTGAAAGAATAACAAACTGACCCCACACATTCTGGCGTTTGTGCTGAACCAGAGCTTCAGGTGCAGGGGTCTGGGGATCACTGCTCTCAGCAATTGCTTCTTGGATTTGGTCACGAATGCCGTCCGATGCTAGACTTGCGGCATATGCCTCCACAAGGTTGTCGAGGTGCGCCTGTTCATCCACAACGGGACGAGCCCTGCGGACAGACTTATTTGACTTAGGCTTTCTGGATAAGGTGGCAGATGTATTTTGAGATAACCTGGCCCATTCCTGCGTACTTTCGAGATCCTCGTGACTTGTACGTCGGCGAACCAAGCCGGGTTCATCATCGCTCGGTTCTCCGGATGTCTCGTTGGGAGCTTCATCCGTTGTTCCCATAGTGAGATCAACCAAGTAATCAGCAATATTGTAGCCCGTCGGACAAGGGTGACCAATGGCAGCAAGATACTCTTGACATTCTGAAGCATCGCCAGAGTACACGACCCGACCCTTTGCCAAGAGCACAAGTTGGTCGAACAATGCAACAATGTTGGAACGGGGTTGATGGATGGTAAAGACAATGGTGCGCTTGTAGTCGCGGGCCAACACGGAAAGACACTCGATGACGTTGTACGCATTGTATGCGTCCAATCCACTGGTCGGCTCATCCAAGAACAGGATACTTGGGCTGGTGACCAGCTCGCAGGCAATACTCACACGCCTCTTCTCTCCGCCACTGATCCCGCGTTGTCCCTCAGTTCCAATAAAAGAGTTTTTGATTCCTAGGATCCCAAGTTCGTTCATGGTCTCGAGTACACGATACTTCTTTGCCTCAACACTCATGTCTTTCGGTAGTCGCAACAGAGCAGAGTACAAGATTGTCTCGTACACGGTAAGAGTAGGCATCAACACATCCTCCTGATCAACAAACCCAGTGATACTCTTGAACTCAGACTCCGAAACTTCCCGTCCATTGACGAAGATATCACCTGAGACTTGTCCTCGCTTATTCTTCTTCGCCAAAATATCGAGGAAAGACGTTTTACCAGCGCCTGAAGCGCCCATGATCGCCATAATTTGACCAGGAGCAACGGCACCCTGTACATCGTTCAGGATGGTCTTCCCAGCAACGTTGTATGTGATGTTCCGGAACATAAGTGACGCTGGGGTGTGGTGCATCATGAGCTTATCCGCTTCGTCATCAGGCAAGCGAATCTCGCCGCCGGAAACCTTCGCTTGCCGCTGCGATTGACGGATCAGGTACCAGAGCAGCACAGCGAGAAGAATCAAGAAGACAATGGCACCAGCCACACTCGCAGCGATGAGCTTTGTGTTCGACGGTTTCTCGGGGCGCTGGTAGCCGGGTATTTCCGTGTAGTGCAAGCATTCACCGGAGTTACAGTCGAGGGTGATGGAGCTGTCACCGAAGACGGTCTTGATGAGGTCGTTCATGGCGGGTTCCGAGAATCTGCATCCACCCTTCTTCCCGGAACACTCGAATGATCCAGGTCCCCTGATGGTCTCCGACAGGAACTCGGAGATATCAATAGAACCTTCCTCTCCACACAACATACGTCCTGGAACACAGCTGCAGTGAATGTTTTCACATCGGTATCTGGTGACGTTCTGATCATACTGCGTGTCCAGCTCGAACGTACAGGTATCGAGCCCACAGTAGAAGCTCTCAACCTCGTCAACCCAGAATTGAAAGTTGCAGGTCCTGTCATTTTCCTTGCATGAGAACGTCACCTCCGGTACCTTACTTCCCAATTGATCCAAGATCTTCCTGTTCGTGACGGCACACATCTGGAAGTTCTGCTTGACGGTCAACCCGCCCCGGTAGCAAGTTCCATTGATTCCTTCTGGCATGAGGCGATTACACGCAGCATCAATCTCACACACATTGCAATTGATTCCTGACCACCCTTCTTCGCACTCGCACTTCTCCCCATCTGGACGAATTGAACGCCTTGATCCGTCAGCAAGCGATCCACACGTCGGCTGTGAACAGTCGTCGCCACCAAAGCCGGGTGGACAGATACATCTGCCATCATATTCGCTGCAATTGGCGTACTGCATACACTGAAAGGCAGGAAGAAGACAATTGAAGCTTGGCCATAATCAATTAGCTTGCGACGACTGGTAAGGTGATGAGCGGAGCATACCATGGTGGACAGTCATCGGGTCGGCCATCGAAGAGAAGCGGATCCACCCCACCCCACGGCGACTGGCCCATTGCCAATGCGCCATACTCTGTATCGATCGTCTTTGCATAGCAAGTCGACAACGTCAACGCCGCGACGGCGACTGCGGCACCAAGAAAGGAGAAATGCATCGGTATTGCGCCGCTGGAAGAGATTGGCGGGGATGTATGCTGTTTGAATAGATAGATATGGTAGTAGATGCTGGTGATGAGTGCAAGAGATGAAGGATAGCGTCCAGGAAGGCCGAGGGATTTCCCCCAAAGCGAGCCCCGCGTCGAGATCGGGTGCTGCGCCGCCAGCCACGCGTCATGGGCATCCAGGATGGCCCTATCGTTTATCGATAAGCCTTGGCGACCAATTGTTAACGTGATGGATTAATTCAATTGGGTGCTTCTTTTAATTGCAACGGGATTGTCAGTGATTGAGAAGGCTCATGGCTCATGATAGATTGAAGTACTGTATGTTGAGCTCGGATCTAGTTGTGCAACTTCTTCTCCCTGATGAACAATGCAGAAACTGCCGCTCCAGCAGCGACGAACATGGTGCAGAAGAAGCAGATTCTGATGGCCGCCAGATACACGCCCACAACAACCCCCTTCATTTCTGCCGGGAGATCAGCAATATACGTCACACTCTGTCTAACCTTCTCAATGATATCTGGTGCGCCTGGTCCAACAATGACCCTAGGCAGTCGTGTCTTCAAGTAATTCTGGAGTATGGAGGAGCTGAGCGAAACCCCGAGCACAGTTCCCGTCGCTCTGAACAGATAAGAGAGACCAGTCGCAGTAGCCTGATCTGCCTTGGATACGTTGTGGATAATGGCGATAAGAGTAGTAGTAACCCCGATGCCGTTGCCCAAGCCGATTGGAACCAGTGACATAGTATACTGCCAGAACGGGTTGTGCCCATCCCAGAGAACCAGTGAACCTTGACCAATCGCGAGGAGAGTGTATGAGATCACCTACATTGTCCCGTCAGTCACGAAGCACACCATGTTTCCGAGGTCCGTACCGTGATCCAGTAATAGCTGCCGGTCCAGTGCATGAAGAAGCCTCCCAACAATGAACCGGCTGACCCAGCGATGATAGAGGGCAGCAATCTTGTTCCACTCTTCGAAGCACTTTCGCCCAGAAGCTGAAAGTACAGGGGTACATTGTAGATCATACCAAAGTAACTCATGAACGCGCAGAAATTGCAGATAAGTGCGGCGAGAGGAGTCCTTGCAGTCACAACATGAACGGGCGCAATTGGTTCACGAGCGTTCTTGGCCTCGACATAGCCAAAGGCAACGAAGAAAGCAATAGACAGAGGAATCGCAGTGAGTACGAGCGGGTGAGTCCAGGGAAGCACATTACCGCCAACGTCGAAAGCTACGACGAAGAAGCTGATAGCGACCACCAAAGTGGCTGCTCCTGCAAAGTCAACACGCTTGAGCTTGGCAGACCTTGGTTCTTGCAAATGCACTGGGTGGGTCTTGAGGGTGAAATATACGCCGAGGAAGGCAATAACTGTAACAGGAGCTTGTCCCAAGAATGCCATTCGCCAGCCGATGCCATCAGCGAGCCATCCACCGACTACAACCATGGTTAGCAGTTCCAACGCAACGTTGCAAAGCTGAGGACAACATACTTGGTGCACCCAACCCTGCTCCCGTGGCGAAGACGATATTGACAATCCCCTGGAACGTCCCTCTCGCCTTAATGCTCACCAAATCACTCAACAACACACTCGTGACAATCGTCATCCCACCACCTCCGACACCAGCAAAAGCTCTGGCAGCAACCAACTCTGGCAAGTTCCGCGCCAACCCACATAGAAGGCATCCCAACCCAAAAATCGTATACGACGTGAGCAACGCAAACTTGCGACCGAAAATATCGCTAAATCGGCCGTATAGAGGTTGGAAGGCGGTAACTGTCAACATGTAGGACGTCACGATCAGATTTGCTTCATTCAGTGCATGAAACTCCGAACCGATCCGAGCGTAGGATGCAACGACGATGGTATTGTCGAGCGCAGCGAGGAAGACTCCGACCATAAGCGCGGGCATGATCAATCCCAGCCGCGCTTTTCCTGCCGGATCCACATCTGAAGTGGGATTGGTCTCGGCGGGAGTACTGAGAGGAGGAGAGACGGATCCTGAGCCGCTCCCGCTTTCCGGATCGTCGATCGACTTTGCCAGTAGCGGCGATCTCTCATCATGAACCTTCGAGGACATGTTGATGGCCTCAGTGATTGAGAATCAGTCTCTGCCTTTATGATTCAGGCAGTGAATAGCAGACCGTCGCTTGTAAGCGCTTCAAGATTTCCGGTGTTGCCGACGGCACGGTGGACACTCGAATTTGAAGCGGCAGCGGCGCGCGGTACCAAGCCGCTGCACAATTGCCAATCTCGGGTCTCCCATACAATATTAAGGGCCAATCACGAGGGGGTCAAGCAGTCCGTATACAGGTAAAGGTTGGTATATTCCTCTTCTTTCTTTACTATCTTTGCTATCTTTGTACCCACGTCAATTTCTTAGAGAGGAACAAACCCAACGGAACTCCTCCCAGCCTGATCCAACTGTCCATTGGGCAAGAATCCACCAGTCATCGGTCTCGCCTTGTAGTTGAACAAATAAAAGTTCAAATACCCATCACCAGCTCCAAACTTCTGCTCATCTAAGAACATCGCGTTATCCGCCAATGAAAGCGCGTTGAACACGTCGAACTCCAATTTCTTTGCGAGGACAAGGGCGTCGTTGACGAGCTCGTTGAGACGCGCCGACAACTTCGGACGAAGATCGTGCTCAGGAAGCTCGAGGAATGCGGTCTCAGTAGCGTAGTAGAAGAGGTAAGCCGCATTGAGCACCTTATGCTGCGGGTGTCCAATAATCGACGACGGAAGCGAATAGAACGAGAAGAAGTCCGTGATGTTCCCAGCCCCATCCTCCACAACATATGCCCAAATAACACGATCCTTCTTCGCGATGCTCTCATTCTGCAACATCCAGTGCGCAACTTCCGCATCATCAAATCCCTGACTCATCTCAAATCTGGACAAGAACCTCCTGAGCAAGTTTCCGACCCGCGGAACATCTGCGTACGTCATTGGTCTCAAGCCCTTGGTCTTCGTTTTTTCGGGCAATTTGTACTTCAATACCTGGCGAGCCACGGTAGAGCCGCGGGGCAACGCCGAAAATCCAACGTCACACAACTTAGGCCAGTTCAACGAGCGGTGGTAGTACCTGCAAACAGACACGGGCGTCGGCAGAACAACACCACCAGTGTAGATAGCCTGGAACACACCCTCCAAATTACATCTTCTCGTGATCTCCTTGATGAGGATCGGTGCCAGACGCTTACTTCTCAGCTTCTTGTGTACGCACAAGAAGTTGATCTCAGACGCCTTCAACACGCGGTCTCGTACTCTCAAATCCAACGGAATACCACTGATGAACGCAACCAACTTTTTACTGCTGGCGACACGCACACCGACATGCCACTCCTTCAACCATCCCGGAGACTTCAGGGCCCAGTCCAGGAAGGAAGCGGAGTAGTCGAAGCGGAACATGGCATCGTCATCCTCGACATAGTTTGCAGTAAGGAGTTCGTACAGTTCCTTGAGCTCTGCGGGGTCCTCGAGGTTCATCGTCACCCACTCGAACTCCTTGTGCATAGGAAGAGGCTCCTTTGGAATCTTGGAGACGTTGCCTTCCTGAATGACACCATCCTGCTCGACGTTCTCGCCCAGTGGTGCTACCGGCTGTGTCTTCCAGAACTTGTAGTCCGCCATATCCTTCTTATTCTTTCCTCCAGGCGCCATACCAGTCAGCAACTCCTGCAATTTTACTTGCTTCAGGAGTTGCTCGAGACTCTGCTGTCCAAGCGCCGGGTCCAAGCTCATATTGTTCTTGGTCAACAGCTGCGCACTGTTCTCCTTCGTGACACTAGGATCATCCATATTCCCAATAAACGCCTCAGCAGTCTTCTGCGCATCACTCTTGAGCAAGTTCGAAATCTTCTTCTTCTTTGACTTCTTCTTCTTCTTCTTGGGCACCGCGGAACCTTCTGTTGGGGATGCGACAGCGCCGGTCTCGGCAGTTTGGTCTTCGACGTCGGAGCCAGAATCGACGTCCTCTACGGCGGGATTGAGGGGCTTCGACTCCTCAGACATTGTCAATTGACTTTCACGCGTTCGTCGCGGCTCAGGTGCCGTTGATGTCGCGGGTGGGCCCAACAGCAGGGGGTGCTGATGAGTGCAGCTCTCGCCAGTGGGGAACAGAGGTCAAGTGTCGATTCTTTCAAATGACTCTGAAAGAAAAGCTCCCTAGTGCGCAACCCATCGGAGTATCACGTCGATGATGTCACCAGCAGACGGGCCGGTGCATCGATCTGACATGATGGACGAGCTTACTTGAAGCCCGGCCCTCTTATCTTCAACGACAACACCAAGACACCTTTCATCAAATATCTCCGTCAGCAGCTTATTAAGGGATTAACGTCCTCTCATAACTGTTAGCCATTCCTATCCTCTTATCTCTCCTCACAGGACACCTCGGCTGATCGGTGATCTCCTCCTATGCCCAGTTCAAAGAAAAAGATGTCGTCAAGGTACACTCCGGTTCATGAAGCACAATGGCAGGACTCGTCTCTTACGCTGAATCTCTCGGAAGAGTAACAGGAAACTCGACAAGCAAACGCGATGAGGCCAAAGGGTACCTCCCGATCGACGACTATGGTTTGATCGGGAACCTTCGGACGTGCGCTCTAGTCAGTTTGGATGGAAGTGTGGATATGATGTGCTTTCCGGAGTTTGATTCGCCCAGTGTATGGTTGTGGAAATTGATTACACGTTCGTGATCGCTGACAACAACGTACAGATCTTTTGTCGTATGCTCGACTGCAAGAAAGGCGGTCATTTCTCTATCATGCCAACCATTGAGACCACGAGCAAGCAGCAGGTACACTATACCCAAAGCCCCACACATACTGTGCTAGTTTCTCACGGACGGTGCAGTACCTCCCTTCGAACGCTATCCTCAGCACCAAGTTCCTCTCCGAGGAAGGTGTCGGTACGATCACCGACTTCTTCCCTCGCCCCGATCCCAAGTTCTCCAGTGCGCCTCTGTTCCCTTGGTTAATCAGAAGAGCCGACTGTGTCCGTGGGGAGATGACTTACCACATGGAGTGTTTCCCGGCTTTTGACGTGCGTAGATCAAGAACCTGGGATGAGGAGCTCTGACTGACGAGTGAACTCAGTATGCGCGTGCGACACACGAGACAAAGATCACATGTGATGGCGAAGATCATGAAAACCCAACAGTTTTGTTTTCTTCCAAGGACGCTAAGCTTGACCTTGAGCTTCTTTACGTCGTCGAGAACGGCGAGGCAGAGGATATGCCCAAGTTGGAGTTCAAGATTGAGGATCGGTCAAGCGTCGGCATGAAGGGAGCTGGTGTTGTAGCTAATTTTACTCTGAAGGAGGGACAGGCCGTTTCTTTCGTCTTCCGCTCGAAGCAGACCATGCAAGAAGTGCACAAGCTTGAGCCGAAGAGCAATGTGGAGAAGGCCGTTGCTTACTCGATGACCCAAGAGAAGCTGACTTCGGAGTTTATCGACAACCTCCAGAGAGCTACGACCGCCTACTGGTTCAAATGGGTGACTCGTTCAAAGTACCGCGGCCGCTACGACCACCTCGTCACACGCTCCGCAATCACCCTCAAACTCCTTACCTACGAACCAACCGGCGCAATCGTGGCAGCCCCAACCTTCTCCCTCCCCGAAGATTTCGGCGGCACCCGCAACTGGGATTACCGCTACGTCTGGATCCGCGACTCCTCTTTCGCAATCTACGCCTTCCTCCGCCTTGGCTACGCCCAAGAAGCCGACGACTTCATGCACTGGATCGAAGAACGCCTGAAGAACCGTAATCCTGACGGTTCGATTAATATCATGTACTCTATCCGCGGTGAATCCGATCTTGAGGAGATCGAGCTTGATCACTTAGAGGGATACCGTGGGAGTACGCCTGTTCGGGTAAGAAGAGTCAATGCGTCCATGGATGGAGCGGAGTATTGTTCGTATGAGGATGGAAGAAGAGCTAACATGGGAATGCAGATTGGAAATGGGGCGGCGGATCATTTGCAGTTGGATATTTATGGTGAGAGTTGTTGGCCTCTATGCGGCTAAGCCGTTCACTGACACATTCCTACAGGTGAATTGATGGATAGTATTTACCTTTACAATAAGTATGGAAAGCCCGTTAGCTGGACGATGTGGTGCTATGTTCGGGAGCTGTGCAACTGGGTACGTCTAGTATGATCTCTCATTTGGAAAAACGCTCATCGATGTACAGGTCTGCGACAACTGGCAGCGGGACGACATGTCCATCTGGGAAGTCAGATCCAAAAAGCAACAGTTCACCTACTCCAAGATCATGCTCTGGGTCGCCCTCGACCGTGGTATGCGCCTCGCGGAGAAACGCTCCCTCCCATGTCCCGACTTTGACAAATGGCGTCGTGTACGTGACACGATCTACGAAGAGGTCATGACAAAGGGATGGAACGAGGAGAAACAGTGCTTCATCCAAAGCTACCAAAGTCCGGATACTGTTGATTCTGCGGTGTTGATCATGCCGCTCGTGTTCTTCATCTCCCCTTGCGATCCGAGGTTTTTGAGCACGATGAACCAGATTCTTAAGCCCCCGGAGAAGGGAGGACTTACCTCCAACGGTCTCGTGTTCAGATACAACCATTTGGAAGCCGAAGACGGTGTCGGTGGGCGGGAGGGAAGTTTCTCGATGTGCACGTTCTGGCTCGTCGAGGCTTTGAGTCGTGCTGGAAAGTACGATAGCAAGCTCTTGGAGAAGTCGGTTGTTATGTTTGAGGATATGTATGTCACCTTTGGAGTCTTCGTCGAACAAGCTAACCGTGGGAACATAGGGTCGGATACTCCAATCATCTTGCGCTGTACTCTGAGGAAATTGCTCGTTCGGGAGAGTCGCTTGGAAACTTCCCTCAGGCTTTCACGCACATGGCTTGTATTAGTACAGCCTTTAACCTTGACAGGACTCTGAAATAGGTTGGGTATCGATGGATATGGTTGGCCGTACGATTGTTGTGATACCCGATGTATGATATAGCATGGCGAAAATAATATGATTTGTTTTGTTCTTAGATCCTGATAAATCTAGAAAAACCCGGTTTTCGTCGTCTCAATCGTTTGCTTAAAACGAACATGTACTTTACATCGTATTAATGAGTGCCCTGCGTGAAGATGTTGACGGCGTTCGTGAGGAAAGGTAGACCCGTGGATCAACGGCTTCATCCGATATGGAAGGTAGCTTAGCAGTTAACCCTTTCTGGCCATGAAAAAATCGAGGACGTACCAGCTGATGGCGTGGTATTTTTGCTCGAACCCGGCAGCTACCAGCATCCTCATAACCTTCAGCGCATGTGCAGAACGTTTAACATATACATACCTCGACGAGCAACGCCGAGGAAGTGAAGACGAAAGATGCAGAAGAGAATGAACAGTGCATAAGAAGGGTCGAGAGATAACCGTACAAGACTTTTCCATTGAACTAATTAGACTGTCAAAACAACTGCAACATGAACATTTGAATGAAAAAGTAAACGATTGACTATACTCACCACAAGCTTAAGTTCTAGAGAGCCTTCGCCCTCCCAAACCTTGCATGGTAAACAGCATCAATAACCGGACTCACCGCCACCGTCCTCCCCCCAAAAAACCTCCCATTCAACCCTAGAATCGCTCGTTCCCCAGCCCCCACCGTCTCAAACTTGACATAAATCTCACCAGGCCGAACGGAGTCCTCGACATGTATGTGGACAACTTTGCCGAATTTCGATTCACATTCGGATTTGACGTCTTCGGCGAGTTCTTGTTGCCAGTTCTCGCCTGATTCTTCGGCTGGGTCGAACATGTTTTTGAGTAAGACGCAGCGGCTCGCCATGACCTCCGGTGCCGGCCTCGCCGCCGAAACCACGCCCGATGCAGCCTCAACTTGTCCCTTCCCCCCATTCTCTTGACCAGAATCTTCCTCACGCGCCAATTTTCTCATCAACGCATCCCTCGAAATATTACTGAACGAAACACCTACCGCATCACTGTCATCCAACCCCCCGACATTCCCTCCCCCACCACCAATCTTCTCACCCCCGCGTCCACGGGTATCCCTCGGTACATAGGCACTCGCATACGTCGAGAATCTCGCTAATGCCGCCGCGGTACTCTCAGGCGTAAACTTATCATTCCCGAGCCCCACACGAATAGGTCTACCAGCGAGCTCAAACCCATTCATCTTCTCGAGCGCGTCACGCGCCGATGACGGTTCTTGATACTGCACGAACCCGTACCCCCGCGAACGACCTGTATCGTGCTCCTTCTGCAACTGCACAAACTCCAACTCCCCAAACGGCTCAAACACCGTCCTCAAATCCTCCTCCGTGAGCGAGAAATGGATGTTACCGACATAGAGACGATGAAACGGAATTTCGGAGGGACGGGCTGCGTTGCCTTCAGTTTTGGCTTGGCGGTTTTTTTCGGCTTCGGTTAGTTGTGCGATGATTGGGATTCCGAGGAGTTTTTGGCCGGTTAGGTTGATTGCTTTTGGGACCGTTGCTTCGTCTTTGAATTCGACATAGCCAACTCTTTAACACTTGTCAGCATACGCCCCTTGCCATACTGAAACGAGGAAGAGACTTACCCCTTCGACCGCCCACTTATCCTATCCTTAACAATCTGCGCCTCCTGAACCGGCCCAGCGCCCTTCTCGAAAAACTCCATCAACTCCTTCGTCCGGAGGCGCGCTGCCAATTGCTGGACGAAAACGGTACGTCTATCACGTTGTTCTTCAGTCAGTTTTGGGCGGTCATCGCGATTCCTGTCCGCAGCAGGGGAGCGAGAACGGCGCCTTGAATCAGAGGTAGGGCGGTCGTCACGTCGTGGTTCGGAGCGTGGGTAGGAGCGGCGATCACCGTCGTACCGGCTGTCGCGGCCATCGTAGCGGTCGCGGTCACGTCGGTCGTTGTCGCGTCTCGAATCCCTATCACGGTCAGAACTGCGATAGGTGTCGGCGCCACGCCTATCATTTTTGTCGCGGTCGTCATAACGGGAAGACGAAGAACGGTATCTATCACCACCACGGTCACGAGAACGCTCCCTATCACGTCTGTCACCACGGTCACCACGGTCGCGAGAGCGGGAGGAGCGACGGCGGGAGGAGCGGTGAGAGGAGTGTCTACTCGAAGAGCGTTCACGGCGTCGAGAGGAGGAGGATTGCGAGTGGCGACTACTCGCTCGTTCACGTTCGCGGTCTACATCGCGAGGTTTCTAAACATATTCCCATCAGCTTCGTCCCACCCATAGCCGCCAGCAAAACTTACATCAGCAACAACAACATCAGGGGTCCCATTCTTGACTTCGTCGTTCTTGAAGGGAGCCTCGACCAGGGCTTCGACGTCGAATCCTCCGGAGGACATAAGTCAGATTAAGTGGATCGCGAGAGGAGAGAGATCTCAAGTAGGCCGTACAGGTATAATGACTCGATCGACGTAAAACGTCCGTCCGATGTTGAGTGTTGGAGGTGATGCTGCTTCTGGTGGAGAGTTTTGCCGTACAAGATGCTCAGCCTGTATAGCCAGGGGCCACGTACAGCCGGCGCTGTGTTTTTACGACGGGATGAGCAACCGACGTAAGACGAAAAGAATTCGCAGAATGGCTACCGAGCAGAAGAAGTTCGACGCTGAGACCGCAGACAACCTCGAGGAGATCGAGAAGCAGTTCGCCGTCAAGGCGATCGAGCATGCCCGTATGTCCTTCCCGGTGATCCCTCCAAACTGTCGACTAACGTGTACCCACCAGAGGTCTACTGGAACATCCTCGAGAAGATGCCCGGATCCCAGCTCAAGCTCACCAGACTCGATGACGAGATCATCGAGCACCTCAAGGAAGTCTTCCCTGACCTCGTTGCCTCCAACGGTGCCACGATCGATGAGAACGAGATGAAGTCGCACGCTGGAAAGAACAAGTGGAGACCATTCTTGATGAAGTACGAGAAATTGGTTGATGACTACAACTTTGGTACTTTGCTGAGAACAGACGCTAAGGCTGAGTACGAGGAGCACACCACCATTTTCGGTACGTCCTGTCACCGTCAAGTCTGAGAAGTGATCGTTGTGCTAACAATCGGTTTCAGTTCCCCGAATGCAGTTCTTCGCTATCGAGATCCTCCGTAACCGGGCTGGCCTGAACGACTGGATCTGCCAGAAGAAATAGAGCAAGATGTCGTTCACTGACGAGGAGACGCGGTGTACGATACTACGATATGCGATGAAATCACACAAAATAATAACTCGATATAATACCTCCTAAATGACTATGATTGTCCATGCAGAATGCACAAAAGAAACCAAATATCAAACGCCGGGATGCCGTACGTATACGGGGTATCTCATCCTCTTTCGCTGTCGACTCTTCATCCTATGAAATCTCGTCTTCGTTGCCAGAGCTTTTGTTGGAGGCTGACCAGCATGCCCTCAAGTTTGTAGATGCCCTCTTGATCCAAATGTTGTACATTTTCCTCCATATTTGTGATTGTGGCTTGGAATTGTTCCAGAATACTGTCTGCCACAGTGTCATCTTCTGGCACACGCTCGGCGATCTCGGTCCCAGGCACTGCAGGATCCACGGGTATTCTATCTGTCTTACTACCATCGCCGTCGACAGATGCACGGCTTACGCTGCCTGAAGTTTGCGGCGCCGAAGAAGCTGCTTGCTTGCGAAGGTCGGTGGTCCTCCTACGCTTGCTTCGAAGCCTTGACGGTGAGTTCTGCTCCGAGAAATCATCGCTCATAGGTTCAGCGTCCAATCGAGGTTTCAGAACGGGTACGACCCTTGGTTGCTCAGTAGCCGAGTCGTCAACGGAATCGTTGCCACTCTGCTTTTCTTGCACAGCTGCCAAGGCGGCCATCCTCTTTCTCTTACGCTTCAGAGCGCTCTTCGAGGCGGATGATGGTTGTGCAGGCGAACTGTCAATCTGCTGCAGTAATTGGAGGACAGAAGGTTGTACGCCCTGCTCCAATTCATTGCTGGTAGTTGTTAGGGTGTCCTCCACCGGCGGTGCGTCAACCATTGCTTCGTCTTGTGACTCCACAACGTGTTCTACAACCACTCGCTTCACAACAACTTCCTCAATCTCTTCAGCGTTGCCTTCTTTGACAACCTCTTCGATTTGTTCCTTCGCCGCGTTATCGGCGGTAGATGAAGGATCGTGCGGAGCCTGAAGGCTACTGTTCTCCAGCACTTCTTTGAAAGTTTGTACTAGATCTTCGGGATACTGCAATCCTTCTTGCCCATCGTACGTCTTCACCCAGGTTTCAAGGGCCACCTTCTTAATCAAAGGGTTTGCAGACCTGAATCCCATCTGGAAGAAACGTGAAACCCTGGAAAGTGTTTGAGAATCGTGGGCAGGAGCAGACGAAATCGCTTCCATTACAGCACCCCACAACATGTTCAGCAAGTCCATATTGTCTTTGGCGGCACCATTAACCCAATGTTCGATGCCGGGTTGGAGAGCTTCCAGAAACGCAATGGCGTGTTCGCGTGGGAAAGCGTGCACGAACGCCGCTGTTCTCTTAAGGAGTGTATCCGAAGGGACCTTGTCTGCGAAACTGGAATGACGACTAAGTACACCCGCCGCCAGGTTCACCAGCGATTCTTGGACTTTCGGGGCGTTCTTCTTGATCAATGCCTTTAGAAGACCGGTTCCTGACACATCCATGCTCGCCGCTGTGGGAGTGATGAAGCGGGCGTGCACGAGCATAACCTCAGCATACTCAAGCAACGTCTCGTTTGGAAGTTTTGAATCATGCAACAGAGCATCCGTAAGTGGAACGGTTATGGCCGCGGCAGCAGCCATTTCGTTATGTTCCTTCGTAAGCTGGTCTCTGAAGACGACGCACAAGCGGCTCCACGTATCCACACAAACGGGTTCACCATAATGGACAGCCCACTCTAGAACTCTCATGACAGACTGATACTCGACTCCATTCTGAGAGTCGTCGAGCACCCGTGCAGACGGACTCATCGTGCCTTTTACTGGTTCCTCCCGACTCAAGATGATATCCATGGCAGATGTTATAGCGATCCAAGCGTAGCACTCGGCTTCCCTTCTGTCCCTTGACATGTCGAACAGGTCGAGCAAGCTGCCCAACAATGTGAGCGCTTTGCGCGGGCTACCTTGGGCGGTGCTGATGATATCCAGCAAAACCCTCAGAGCAGCGGCAGAAACTTCATTAGGCTGCATGTTCACCGGAGGTCGCAAGAAGAAGAGAACAAGATGCTTGAAAGGACTCCGGGTCATTGATCCTGAATCGGCACCTACGTTGTTCGTTGCTCCTGGATGCATTGAAGGAGTGGGCGCCGGGGCGGGAAAAGCACCTTCAGTGAAAGAAAGCACTTTGTCTGTGAATGTCTTAGTACCTAACGATTGCACCGAGGCAGTGGCAAGAAGGATAAATCGTTGAACGCGCGTGTTGGACGCGATGGCCTGTTCACCTTCGGGAATGACACTGCTTTGGTAGTCATCAGAAGTCCATACCCGCTCCAGGAGCCACATCAGCGTGGCCACAGATTCCATGGTCTCAGCCGATACCAGAATTTCTTTACGGCCAGCTGCACCCAATGCTTTGGCAAACGCGATGAAGACACTCATAGCACTTTGGGTAAGTACACCAATGTTCTGTCCATCGACAGGTCCAGGTACCCACTGATCGCCTGGCTTAGCAACCTTGACAGTCTGCAATACCTTATCCACAACTTCTGCCACCTTTCTGCTGTTATTCCGGATCCACTTCGGCTCAAACCTTGGAAGTTCCGCAGGATCCACCTCACCCTCAAGCAAACGATCCTCCCTCCAGGTCTTCGTTGGTTCTGGATCAAGCAACGACACAAGAATCTTGCATGCCGTAGCGCAAGTTTGCTCATGTACCAACATTTCCGGGCAAACGAGAGGATTGACGATTTGATCCCATACAGCAGTCATCTGTTCCGCATCAGCGTTAGGTCGCAACGCTGCATACAATAGAGCACAGGTGGTATTGACTGCCGCCTGTTTGACTTGCGGTCCGTTCCTTCCGCTTAGAACGAGCTTGATGGGCTGACATATGAGGGCAATACGACGCTGAGAGCTGGCAAGCCCGTCCATCCCGAAGGCATGAATAAGTTTAACCCACGCCGACTGCGCCGCAATCTTCGTAGCAGCGCCCACATGGTTGAAACATGGCTGTATCACTTTTAGGTAGTCGTTGATTTTGTCCCATTTCGGGGCATCTCCGCGAAGCAACAGGATGACTCCCCAAGCTTCCGCTACAAACACGCCGTTCTTCTCCTCCGCCATGATCTCTTGGCACCGTTGAATGACGATCTCAAGCATGCTCCGACCATCCTGGGCGACTCTTTTCATGAAAGACGCAGTCGCACGGGATACAGCCTTGTCTCGACCCAAGGTCTTCACCACCTCAATGGCACAACTCAATGCTTTTGCTCTCACCATGCTGGTCGCATCAAGCATACCACCGATGATCACGATCAGGAAGTCATTAGCACGTGCTGAAACGACAGATGGGCTCTGGTTCAAAAGTCGGCTGAGTACAGCAAGACGCTCCTGAGCGGTTGACACAGACTGAATCCTGATGTTTAACGCAGCGGTCATGATTTGATCCGCAATGACCGGAGTGATGATGTTCGGCGGCAGTTTCTGTGAACCCAGCAGCCAGAGATGAAGGTTGGCTGTTTGTTTCGAAACTTTGTCACCAGAGAGCACGTTCAACGAATTAGTAATGAAAAAGCTGGCATCTATCGGGCTAAATGCGTTCGCAATTTCACTATGCCATAGCATGAATGCAACTGCTTTCAGAGCATATGATGTACTGTAATGCAAGTTAGCATTGAGCAGAGCACATGCGCAAGTCTTCTTACAGTTGAAAGTCCACGTTCCCATTCTCATCCTGTGCTGTGATATCTCGTCGAATACACTTCGCCAACGTCGGCAACTTGGCGATCAATGCTGGTAGGTCAGGGATACTCTCATATCCTCGCAGCGTGTATGAAAACGTCTGATACGCGTCGAGCTTCTGAACCCTATCCTCGCCAGCCAATGCTTGGGTAAACGATTCCAACATCACAACAAACGGTGTTTGGCTAGCATTGGGTGTAGGCGAGGCCGTAATGTTGGTGGAGTAATCGAGGACCCGGGCGGCGGTGGTCTTGAGAATCGAACGGCTGGGCGTCTGTACAGTGAGACGAGACGGCGAGGAGTCAACAGAGGGTTTGTGAAGTTCTGTACATAGCCAGATCAGCAGCTGAAACAGCATAGATCACTGGTGAAGCGTGCATACCTGGCAGTGGGCTCCAGACAACCGTTTTGCGAGCTGATGCGAATTTGGAAAGAGGAGTGGTCTTCGGTAACTCAGGCGATGCTGCTACAGGAATGTCCTTGGCCCCAGTCATCCATCCAGATCCACCAGAGGCCTTTCGCAATGCTGTAGAGCTGCTCGTATCGTGTCGAGACCCGTTCCTTCAAAACGCGTTTAGCGCGTACATAAACGAGATACCAGATTTGGAGTAGTAATTAATCAGGGTTCAATTAACGGAAGAAATGGGAATTATTGCATTTGAATGGAAACCTTGAGATTGTCTTCTAAATTGTTCGAAAGCTAGCTAAGTGGACCTAACGGAACCAAGAATCTCTAGGCTTCGGGTCCAATGGTCCAGGACTTCTAATGCCAGCATCTGGTGCGAAAATACCGTGGTTCTCGATACCGAGATCGCTTTTTGGCGATAGCATGCTCTCCTCCATATCATCATCGTAATAAGACACGTCCTGCTCCTCAACCACATCATCTGCATCCTTCTCCACGAACGACTCGTCGTAGGTATGAGTCGACATGGTTTCGTCAGGGCCATAACCCTGGTACATGGGCGACGACGGTCTGGGCATGAATCCCGGAGCGCTGCTCTGCGGCCTGATGAAACCGTCAGCGGTAGCAGGCCCGACAGTTCCGTACATACTGGCAAGGCGGCGAGCCCTGTCGTTTTCGCGCTTCACCTTGCGCAAGTATCCCCTCTGCCACTCCTCCCACAACTTTTGCGGTACACTGGCAGCCAAAGACTCTCCAACCACGTCCTCGTGCCCTCCACCCTTCTTCTCGCCAGCAACTTTACGCGTGTTACCCCAACTAAAGTCATCCTGCTTGAGCAAGCTGTATACTGGAAGCAAGAAGTTCCAGATAGGGAGCGCAAGAATGTAGACAAGCATCCACAGGACATAAACAACACGTCGGGTGGTGATCAGGATGAGAATAGCGGGTAATCCCAGCACAATACCCAACATAAGGATCGGGATCGCATCCGCGAAGTCCTGGGGCGGCCTCATTCCAATCTGAACAAGAAGATAGATCGTAAGAGCAATAGCGCAAGGCAACACAATCGTTCCGATCAAATCCGTGAACACAACGAACTGCATCGAAAAGCAGAACGTGCCACAAAGATTCCGAACACGCACCAACTCAAACAGATTGTGAATTGTCGAGTTAATCCAACGACGACGCTGCGACAGCAACATAGACATCGTGTGCGGCACAACGGTGACACAAACAGCCTGCGGTACAAATACCATCTTTCTGTGCGGGAAGTTGCGCAACATCAACGTAGTCAAGAACCGGTCCTCACCAAGAAGCAACAAATTCTTCTGGTGAAGCGACACAACCTGACTCTCATTGATCCCATACTCCTGCACAATTTCCGGCTTAGCAAGAACCGGAACATAAACCCTTGATCCATCGAAATCAAGCTTGGGTGCCTTAAGACGATACATCGAGAAACATCCCGGCAAACAGGTGACACCACCAAACACCGACTCGAACCCCTTCGACAAGTGATGCGAGATGTAATACTCAAAGACCTGAATCATGGTAACCCAGGTCTCGGTCTTATTCGCAATACGCGTCTCACCACACAACCCCATGATAAGATCATCGTTCTGCATGGCATTACTCATGAGCTTCAACGAGTCCTGGTAAACACGCGTATCCGCATCGACCATAAGAACGAGCTCAAAGTTGTCCGGGGTGGTCTTCATCAAATACTGACACTTCCTGAACAAATCGTAATCCAAAGCAGTCATACGATCATTATACAACACACGCGCCATGAAGTTCATCAAGATGAGCTGACCATCACGCTTACCACGGTTTCCGGGCTTCGCAGCCGTAGTCTCCTCCTTATGCGTAGCACCAGACTTGATAACCACGATAACCGGCGTACGATGACCCTTTGACGCAGTATAGTGCCCAGTATACACCTTGGCCTTGTTCACAGCCTTCTCACCAGGTCCGATGGAGATATAACTCATAGGGCTAGGCTCTCCATAAGGGCCGTCGTCACGCTCAATCATACTCAAGACAATGTCGGGGGTGCTCAACTTCTCACCCTTTCCTGTGACATATCCATCACAGACAATAAAGATGAGCTTACGCTCATCAGAGTAAGCAGTCTCAGCGAGAGAAGAAATGGTGTTGCGAAGACCGCCTTCACCCTCAGAGTACGCCGTAACAAGAAGGAGTGTATAAGGCTGGGTAGAAAGGTCGTGGACACCGATGTGAGAAGGTTGCCTAACGAGAGCGTTGGGCGCTGAACCATTCTCGTAGATCGGAAGCGAATCGGTCGAGACGGCGGGGGTGACAAAGTTAAATGGCGTACCCTCGCGCGTAGGCGAAGGAGAAAGCAAATCCCTCCGTGTAGGCGACGGCTGCAACTCCATCACACTCGTCTGATCGTACCCATCCTTCCGCCTCGAGTTCATACTCCCACTCCCAACCGCCGTTCGACTCGAACTCGTCGGACTCAAAGAACCCGCAGCTCCCACCCCACCCATATTCGCCGCAGTCTTCGGCGTCCTCGCAAGCCGATGACTCAAAAACCACGAAAAGATACATGCCATGAAAAACCTCGCCAGAACCAACAATAAAATCACAATGAGCGTCACATACAACACCACATCCGACGCCAAACAACCTGGAGATTTCTCGATGTAGCCTTCGATGTACTTGTCCTGCAAGCACTCGATGTTCTTTTTGAGGGCGGTGTGGGAGTAGAAGAGTCGTGTAACGTCGCGTCCGCCCTTCTCTCGCCCGGCGCGTAGAACCATCCTGATGGCCTCGTCGACGGGGTCGTTTTCGAGGGGGTCGGGGTACATGTTCATGTACGGATCGAAGTTGAGGACTTTGCCGTTCAGCACCACCGCGTTGGTAAGCAGCTGAATCTGATCCCAATCAAACCCAACCTTCTTCGAAGTGTTGTACAACTGGTAAGTGTATGTGAGAGAGAAGTTGCTGAGACGATACAACGGACACCCCCCATATCCGTTATCATCAAAACACATGGTCAAATTACTCGCCGCCGCCGTCAAGTTCCCACAACTCTCTGGAGCATTCTGAATAAAGAACGGCGTGATATCCTGTCCTGAATGCTGATTCGCGAGAGTATAGAAATTGGGTCCACTCGCCGGGATCAGCGCCTGGGAAACATTGAATTGCCACCCCTTGATGCCGAGCGTCTGCCCCGCTCCATCAAAATGGATGTAATTTTGCGCTCCGTCACGGTTGTTGACGGGACACAGCAACGGTCTCATACCGACCGTATAAAACCCAACCACACCCCACATCAACACAGCCAACAGACACAATGTGACTTTCTCCCTCCAAGCTTGCCTAACAGCAGGTGTCTTCATCCGCCCACACGCACTCAAGCTCCAATTCGGTGCCCAAAGCGTGACGATTCGACAGAAAATTCTCCAAGCATCCCAGCGGGATTCAGGGAGTGGGGCATGAACCAATGGTGTCTGCGGTTCTTGACGTTCGGGTCGAGTGAGAGTTTTGACTCTTCGTAGATGGGTATTTGCTCGAGAGAACGAGGTCGTAGGAATTGGCGCGTCCGGGTCGTTCATATTGAAACTGGTGAACTGTACTGTTCAGCCGTCAAGGCTTGAACCCAGGTGATAAGAATGCAAGTTGTAGTCGTAAGTGACAGAAGTCGAAAATGAAGGGCAACAGCTTCTTCGTCGAGGACAGTCCAGCTTCTCTCGTCCGAGGGCGTTTGGGATATGTTCAAGTGGATCAGCAACTTCTCTTCATATATCGCGGGGGTCCTAAGTCCTCGAGGGGGGTGTAAGTTCAGTTCAGTAAGGGGTCCGGGCGCTCTGAAGTCCAAAGTCGAACTCCTCGCGCGAGATTGGCAAGGCATGCGTCTGTGCGCGTTGCACTGTAATATATTTAGAATACCGTTAATCGTGAAATACCACTCCCTCTCAAAACCTCAAAAATCATATTCGGCCATCCATACAACTCTGTCGTCGCCCACGCAGTGTTGGACATCTCCTTCCCCTCTTCACCGTCACCGACCAACTCGCACGAACTCGTCGGCGAATTGGATCCTCTGTTCAAGATCATGGGATCACCAGCTCCACCATACCGCCTCGACAACTTCGTCTTTACCTGCCCAAACTCCATCTCGGACGTAATCGAATCCTCCGTATGGCAATCATCCCTGTCAGGAATCTGCGCCGTCCACTGTACCCGCCTCCACCTCTGAAAATCAAACGCAGCCGGCAAATTCCCATGCAACACGACCTGTTTCACCACATGCTCCCGCCCATCAAACAACACATCGATCCCATTCTTGAAATAGTTGTAGAAGTAGTCAGCTTCGGCATGGTCGTCGCTCTCGATATCACCAAGCGAGGAGGATGGCGACGCCTTCCGATCCACACGGTGAATATTCATCCGGTTATCATACTTCTTGAACACCTCCTCGGGCGGACCAAGCTCCATAACGACATCCTGCACCGTCGAACTTCCAAAATAAATGGTCGATGTCGGTGTATCCAACCCAGTCTCAATCGCGGCATGACTTCCAACCTGTAAGCAACTTGTCAGCGCGCCTTACTTTGGTGGTTGAATGAGTTTCTTACATGTACAACAACCCTTTCCACATCCCCACACCTCTGACTCCCCCTCGATCGACTACTCGAACTCTGTGGCCGCCCCACAATATCCCCCAGCTTCGCCTGTGCCTCGCCCCAATTCGAACCCTGAAATATCGCCATTGCGGTCGCAGGCAACGCACTCGGCGCCGAAAGCGTCGACACAAAATCCAGGTCTTTCTTGTAGAGGTGAATTGGTAATGGGAAAGTAAAGGCGACACCCTGTAAGATCGTAAGTCAGCGAATTTCGACATCACGGCACTGCGTATCTTACCGGCCACGAAACAACGTACTGCTCATGCTCCTCATCATAGTCCCCCGGATACGTGGGTCTGTAGGTATAGCGACGGTCAGTATGGTCATCCAATCTTGGCCGGAGTTACCACACCTACCCAAACAGCTTATAGACACTTCTAAAAGACGGCTTTCCCGACCGACTCACTTCACCCCCATTATAAGTCATCCTACACCCAGCGAAATCCAACACCTCAATCAACCGTAACTTCTGGCTCGCACTTTCGAACCGTAACCGGACGCCGATATCGATGTTGACGATGATATGTGAGCTATGTAGTGACTGTACATCCCGGTCAGCGCCGCCCAGCTACATAGAGTCAACGGATATACCTCATCGCTATACACGACAGAAAATCCAGAGAACGACTTCCGCCCCGCACGGAGGAGGTTGAGGACGTGGTAGAGGGAGTCGTCGAGGGCTGTGAACTAGACATGAGCAGAACTCGCGAGCAATCTGTCATCAGGATTCACCGATCTGGCCCAAAGCGCTGCCTGGAATGACTTGTAGTGTTGGATTGATCATGATGGTTACAATGGACGTACGGCGGGCGGCTGGTGCTTATCCGGCACCGCGGGTTTCTTATCCCCTAGCGGCCGACGTCGACTGGTGGTGCACGCGGACCCGGGAGCACCGGCCAGTGCACAACAAGCGATTTGCTTGGGGAGAGGACCCGAAAGCACGACCTTCGGAACGGCCATGCTAATCCAGCTTCTTGGAGCGCTTTCCATGTACACGGAACGTCACCGGATAAGCTCCGACCTTGCCCGTGCATTAGGCGGTGCCGAGAGTGAGCACCCTCAATAACAGTACGCTCCACTTGGCATTCATCCCCTCTAGCAAATACATTTGACGGATCAAGCATGGCTCAACCTCAAGTTCGCACAGCTGGCTCTACGAGCCGGTTCTTCCAGTTTAAGCTCGTGCTTTTGGGTATAGCATACATCCCCTATACATGTCAAGATCCATTCTGACGAGTGGTGTAGGTGAATCAGCAGTTGGAAAGAGTTCGTTGGTGTTGCGTTTCGTGAAAGATCAATTCGAAGAGTTCCGCGAATCAACAATTGGAGGTCCGTCCTCTTCTCCCTGCCCCCGTCCCTTCCTCACCCAATGTTAACTTATCACCGTGCAGCCGCCTTCCTAACTCAAACAATCTCACTAGACGACCAAACCACAATCAAATTCGAAATCTGGGACACAGCCGGCCAAGAACGCTACAAATCCCTCGCCCCAATGTACTACCGCAACGCCCAAGCCGCAGTAGTAGTCTACGACATAACCCAATCCGCATCCCTCGACAAGGCAAAATCATGGGTAAAGGAACTCCAACGGCAAGCTTCTGACTCAATTATCATTGCACTCGCGGGTAACAAGGCGGATCTGAATGAGAGTAGGGCGGTTCCGACGCAGGAGGCGGCGGCGTATGCGAAGGAGGCGGGGTTGTTGTTTTTTGAAACGAGTGCGAAGAGTAATGAGAATGTGAGTGAGTTATTTGAGGCGATTGCGAGGAAGTTGCCGTTGGATGCGAGCTTGAACAGAGGACGGGCTGGAGGGGCACCGGCGAGAGGTGTAGATTTGTCGAGGGGACAAGCTGCACAGCAGGGTGGGTGTGCTTGTTAAAGCGGTGGTTGAAGATCATCACAAGGGGAGTTTGGGTCTTTTTCATTTTCATTCCTTTGATTTCGGCAGGTGCCTTGGTATTCTTTTTCGTATTGTTTTCAGACTATGTCAGGTCGTATGTGGTAATAGAACGGTGCCATCGATCCACAAACCCTTTAACATCAACGAGTGGCACACATCATATCAAAGTTAATAGCCATCCCAAGTACACACACATGAACAGCAAATAACACAATCGAGGAACGAGTATCACACCTATTCCATCACGTTAGTGATCTCCCCTCAACAGAAAGAAAGAACGAGGGTTCGCTAACAGCATGAGATCAGTAGCACTGAGCATCAGTAACGGGTATGCAAGCATGGAGCTTGGGGTATATGGTGAGCAAGGGTATAGCAGGGAAGCGACCTGTACCAAATGAAGTTAGCTTACGAGTTTGATCTCGATGCGTACGTATTTTGGTACTTTCAGGAAGAAGACTGCGGCTTGGACTATGTTGGCTGGGTTTGGTATGCCCGGTAGCGTGAGTGCGGTTTGGCGTTTGGGTTGTTCGTCAACTTGGACCAACTCTGTCGGAGGCCGTAGGACGAGCGCGGAGACTTCCTCCGCGTTCTCCTCCAGGTTTCTCTTCTCCTCCACACTCGTATTTGGCGAGTCAGATAACTCCTCAACCTGACTCCCCCTCCTCCCCCTCTCCCTCGGCGACCGCGCTCTCAGCCCATCAATATCCCCCTCCATCCCGCCCTCCATAACCTCCAACAACTCCTGACAACTCGGCCGATCCTCTGGCCTCACCGCCAATAACCTGTCCATGATCCTCTCCAACTCCACCGGCACCACTCTGCCAGGTTTCGGCACTTCAGGGTCCGCGTGAATGAGGAAATGTAAAACCCTGCCCAGCGAATACACATCACTCCCCGTCCCCGTCTCACCTCCTCTCACGGCCACCTCCGGCGCCCGATACCCTTGCGTACCCGTGTACCCCGTGCCACTCCGTCCCTCCCCTACAAGCTGTACCTCCCCAAAATCCGAGATCAAAACTTTTGGGATGGCCGAAGGGTGGGCTTCGAGGGAGACGAGGACGTTGGAGGGTTTGAGATCGTGGTGGATGACGCCGTGGGAGTGGAGGTAGGCGAGGCCGGTTAGGATGTCGTGGAAGAAGGAGAGGATTTCGCGGAGTTCTAGGCCATCGGGTCGAATATCCTCCTCGTGTGGTGGGGTGATGGTTCCCTTTGATCTTCTTCTCCGTCGAGCTTTGATCTCCTCAATCGTCTCCTCCACCATTACGTGGTTCCTTTTGAGAACGTATTCCTCCAAGTCCCCACCCCCCACAAACTCCTGCAACACATACAACACAGGCACAACTCCCCCTCCCAACCCAACCCTCCCCCTCTCCATCCAAACATGATAATACTGCACCAAATACTCATTCCTCAAACTCCGTCTCAACAAATGAACCTCATGCAAAACCTGAAGGAGATGCGCGTGGTCCTCGCCGATGGGGATGCGCTTGACGGCGAAGGAGCCGAGGTTGAGGGACATGAGGGTATGGGTTACGAGGAGGACTACGCCACGGGCGCCGCGGCCGAGTTCGCGGGTGATTGTAAAGAAGCGGGAGAAGTAGCCTTGGTTGAAGCCTTCGTCGCTGAAGGATGGGCGGCGTGGTGATGAGGTTGTGGAAGGCGTGGGAGGTAGGGAGTCCGTGGGCGTGTTTTGGGTTGAGGTCGCTAAAAGCCTGAAATAGCCTTGATCAATGAATGATGCGCGGGTTTGACGTGCTCTTTCGTCGGTGTGGCGGGGTGATTGTGCTTGTTCGAACGGTCGATGACAATATGGGCACGCAAAGGGTTCAAAGCTCTCGTGTCGGGGTATCGGCGGTCTCTCAGCTAGAGCTGGACTTGTGACTACACGATTAGGCCCATTTGGTGTCGGTGCTCGGTGTTGGTAAATGGAAAGTTGACGAGCGAGTGGATCATAGAGCACCACTGCGCCGGACGCTTCATCGCGGCTGTACGTCAGCTATTAGCAGATTGCATGGCAGCAGTACCAAGTAGCAAACGTACAGAACAACGTTCGAATTCGCTTGAGGATCAGCTACGGTACCAATTCCATCCATGGTGGTTTGTTCAACGTCGTCTTTTGGAGTTCAGTTCGTTCAGTGCACGTGAGATTACGTACATGCTCGGTTAAATCTCCACACCTTAAATATCATCGTCGACCTCGACCTCGACCTTCATCGCCAACTCCAATTGATCCGTTCCTTCTAAGTTCACCACCATGGCACGCATCGTCTTCACCGGCGGCTCAGGAAAAGCGGGCCGCCACTGTATCCCCTACCTCCTTGCCCAAGGCCACAAAGTTCTCAACCTCGACCTTGTCCCCCTCCCAACCCCCGACGGCACCGGTCTATCCCAAGATGTCTACACCCTAAAAACCGACCTCACAGATTCCGGACAAGTCTTCAATGCCCTCTCCTCTCACTTCAACATGGCCGGCTACGAAGGGGAAAGAGTAGAGAAAGTCGACGCCGTGATCCACTTTGCAGCATACGCCCGCAATATGCTCGTCCCGGACAACGAATGCTTCCGCGGAAACGTACTAAGCACGTACAACATCATCGAGGCTGCCGCCAAACTGGGAATCCCCAAGGTTATCATCGCATCATCCGAAACCACTTACGGCGTCTGCTTTACCCAAGGCGATAGCGACTACCACGAATTCCCACTCGAGGAAGATTACGATGTCGATCCCGAAGATACTTATGCGTTGTCGAAATTGTGTGGTGAGAAGACGGCGAGGACGTTTGCGCGGCGGTTTGGGATTGATATTTATGCCCTTCGGATCGGGAACGTGGTTGAACCACATGAGTATGCTACCCTCTTTCCCTCGTTTTTGGACAAACCCGAAACGAGGAAGAGGAATGCGTGGTCATATATCGATGCACGGGACCTAGGTCAAATCTGCGATCTTTGTTTGAAGAAAGACGGACTCGGTTTCCAGGTTTTCAACGCAACAAATGATACGATCACAACACGGATTCCGACGGCGGAGTATTTGAAAAAGGAATGCCCAAACACCCCCATCACACGGGAAATGGACGAGTGGGAGGCACCCCTGTCCAATCGTAAGATCCGAGACGTCCTGGGATTCAAGGAGGAACATAACTGGAGGAAATACGTCCAGTAACGGCTACGCAGATGTAGAATATACCCATCATTCCATCTCCATTGTTGAATGTCTAGATTAGGGTGACTACATTTCGCTAAGCCTCCCGCTCTCAACAGCCTCCCGTATAGGATTCTGCACATCTACAACCCCCGTCTTCCTCAACCTCTCAAACAACACAAACAACCTCTCCGCTTCCCTCTCTTTTTCCTCATCTGTCATATCCCCCAACTTGATTTTCTCTTCCTCGGATACGAGTTGTCCAGTAATCGGGTTCACTGATTCAGAAGAAGATTGAGGGAGGTCGGAGAGGGCGGGGGTCGCGATACCGTGGTTGAGGAGAAATCCGGCGGCGTTACCGTAGCCGATGTTTTGGATGAACTTTGTAGCTGTAAACCCTGTTAGTCACATGCCCAATTAACTATGGGGATTGCTCAACAGGTTACCGTTGCTGTCACTCAATCCATATAATAGACCACCAACACACTCCTTCACATTCTCCACTCCGACTCCCGCACCCATGAGCTGGATCATCTTCGCATTCAGCCCGTCTCCCTTTCCCAGCGGGTTCTTGCGCTCTTCCGTACTCGGCAACAATCTCGACTTGATATACTCGCGAATATCTTCAGGTGCGCCAGAAGCGACGTTATTGAGCAGCCCGAGGAGTGGGGTGAGGCCTTTGTCTAATGTGGCGGAAGTGTTGGAGTCGAGGTTCTTGATGTCGATTAACCTAAGGGAGAGGTCGAGGATGTCGATCATCCTCTTGACATTTTCAGGACGCTGATATACCGCCTCTGACGGTGTCAACCCAAAGAGGGCATCGATAACGTGTGAGAGTGGAGCGGTTGGAGGGCCGGAGGAGTGCCGTAGGTTCCGGAGAAGGCGGAGGAGAGGGGGGAGGGTGCTGTGATACCAAGTCAGCAGTTGCTCAAACGCAGAAGAAATGATCCAGTACCACCTTTGTAACGTTGATACCCTTTCTGGCTCGTTCTTCGCGAGGTTAAACAACAACTTCAGAGTCTCCGCTAACGCCATCGCCGCCATCTGCAGTTCCTGGACGTCCGTTTCTGATGCTCGTTCCAGATGCTATGAACTTGGTTAACGGACAACTTTGAAGAAATCCCGCAACAAGAACATACATTCACGATGGCAGTCTGTACCACCGCCCTCTCCATCATCTCCCCAATGACCGGTCCCGAACTTGCTGTCACTAGGAACAATATCCGGCCGAGAAGGAATTCTTCGTCGATGTCTGCAGACTGTTCGAGACACGAATTAGCTGACCCAATAGGTAGTGGTATGAAGTCCCAAACCTCATAACGCTTCAGTGTGTTCTCGATCCCTCCCTCTTCGACATATGTAACCCGCGCTGGTGGATGTAGGAGGAGTGCGTTTGCGAGACATCGTAGTGCTTCCAGTGAGGATGGAGTTGGTTGGCCGTCAGGGAGGCCGATTGACTTGAGGGTGGAGATACCCTGTGAGCTCCTGGTCAGCTTCGGATGAACTGCATTTGAAGGCCAGGCAGCACACGATTTGTGCACAAATTGGACCGCAGTTGGATGGTTCACGACCAAGGACTTTTAGGGTCTGAAGTTGAGGCAGGATACCTACTCGACACTTGTCAGAATCAGGGTTGTATGCTCGGATGAGTGACGTACTCGTTGACGATACGGTTCCTTCTCGTACATGGTTCGCAAGGACATTGATCAATTCCTGAACGGCCTGAAGCCGAGCTGATGGCATTTATCCCTTGATCAATTGTTGACGTTTGTTATCGCGTACACCAACGCTTGTGCAGGGAGCATCCTGACTCGCCAACCTTATTTCGTGCGGGGTCCAGCTGTCCAGCTGTCCAGATGTCCGTGCGCACCCTCGAGCTCACCTCCAACCTCCCACTACCCACAATGATGCTCGGTGCTCTGGGCTCAATTGCCCTAGCCTACGCGTTAATATGGTAACTGCGGCACCTTTCTTAACTTAACCGTTCTGGCTAATGCTGAAGTTCCAGGATCTACACCCTCCTCACCGTCCGCTCTCGCCCCGTCCTCGAAGGCAAGAAGATCCTGGTACTCATCGCTCACCCAGACGATGAAGCAATGTTCTTTGCGCCGACGATGCTCGGAATCACGAATCCGAGCTCGAGGAATGATGTGCGTGTGTTGTGCTTGTCGACCGGGAATTCGGCGGGGTTGGGTAAGACGCGGGCGAGGGAGTTGGAGAAGTCGTGTCAGGCTATCGGTGTACAACCTGGCAAAATCGAGTCTCTCGATCACCCTGCTCTTCAGGACTCGATGAGCATAACCTGGGACCCCACCGTCGTCTCCCAACAAATCCAGAAATACCTATCCACCGAAAAAACCGAGGTGGACGTAATCCTCACCTTCGATACCCGCGGAATCTCCTCCCACCCCAACCACAAATCCTGCCTCATGGGCGCAAAATCCTACGCTTCCTCCACAAACAAACGCGCAGCCCGAAAAGACACGCCCATATCGCTGTATACCCTAACCACAACATCCTTCTTCCGAAAATACGCCGGGATATTCGATTCCCCTTTCACGCTGTTCGATGCCAATTTCGCTCTCGGACGACAGATGAAGCACTACAAAGCCGAATTGAGGAAGCGAGGGATTGATACGAGGGATGAGCGTGCGAGGGGGGTGTTGGTGTACATGAACTCGCCCCTCCAACTCATAAAATCCCAACGCGCGATGCGAAAGCATGAATCACAGATGGTGTGGTTTAGATGGGGATGGATTTTTCTATCGCGGTACATGGTACTCAACGACTTGCGGCGAGTGAGCCCAGTGGATATGGATGATTGAGTTACTGTAGAGGAGAAGTGGTGAAGGAAAAGCTTTTTATTTACGGGCTAGATATGCTGGAATGTCCATCTACGCCTTTTTGTCCCATATGGGACGTGGTATATATGTTTGTGTCATCGACTCATCCACTCTTTCACCACCACCCTCCTCACGTTGCCTCCTCCTCATGCAACGTTCAAACTCTCCAAAACAGCCTGCAACTCAATGACCTATCGTCTCTTTGTTAGTAATCACCTCGTAAAGATAGAGAATGGAGACGACATACCTCAACAGCCTGCTTCACCTCCAAATGCCTCCTCGCCTGCTCCAACCAATCACTCACCAACCTCTTCGGCCATCCCCTCAACTGGTTGATCTCCCTTGCAGCCTGATCCAAACTTCCCTCCTCCAAATACGTCTCAGCCCTTGCCAGGATACTCTCGACATCATTACCAACCGGCATGCCAGTCTTCCTCAACATGAACTTGGATACCAACCATGAAGCGGCGTGGCCAGCAACACCCGCGTTCTCGGGGAGGAGAGAGACTTTACGGACTTCGTTCGCAACAAGCTGGAAGCGGTCGGCGAGTTGTGCGATGGAGGCATGTCCGCGCTCGTACGTCGCGGGATCGATCGTGCTAATAGCGGCCTTAACAACCTCATCATTCCCAGCAACCTCCTTCAACGCCGCCAACTCCTTCGCGATGCTTCGTGGACGGGGAGCCTCGACAGCAGCCTTAACAGCCTGAACAGCAACGTGCAACTTCTGCGCCCTCACACCCGCCTCAATGAAGTCTGCAGAGTCAGCCGTCAGAGCCTCGAGTTGCTTAACCTTCGTCTGCAACGCTTCGAGACGTCCGAGGCGGCCACCGCGCTCTTCCTCGACACGAGCCTTGATCTCGCGGATCCAGCGTCTCTGCATCTCGATGTTCTGCTCGACCAACTCATTACGCGTCTTCTGCTCAGCAAGCTGAGCTTGGGTGTTGAGCTCAGTGTTCAAACGCTCGGTATACAACTTTGTCAAATTCTCCCTCTCGAGCTCAAACTGCTCACGCCACTGCATCTCCTGAGCCTCAAACGCGGCCCGAACCTGCTGCTGCTGCTCTTGAGCAAGCGCAGCAAACTGCCTTCCTTGTTCCGTCAAGCGACGCTCGAGCTCAGCCTCCGCCTCCTTGTGGAGTTCGGCGAGCTTGGTGTTCAAGGCTGCGAGCTCGGCTTTCGCGGCTTCGAGGTTGGGACGGAGGGCGTCGACCGCGTCGCCTTCGTTTGCGGCGGAGATGACGCCATTGACAGCTTCAGCGAGGGATCCGACGACGGGATCGGCGAGGGAGCCGGTCTCGAAGGCGTCGACGGGGGTGGGCTTGGGCTTAGTGACGACGGGCTCGGGAGCGGCGACAGGGGCAGGAGCAGGAGCAGCAACGGGCTCGGGAGCCTTCACGACAGGTGCTGGCGCGGCAGCAGGGGCCGGCTCCAAATCGAGAAGACGTCGCTGCTGTACAGGAGGCTCGGGCTGCTTCTCCTCGACCTTGGGGGCAACAGGAACGACAGGCTCAGTGGGCTTGATAGGCTCAGGGGCCTTCGCCTCCTGAATCTGCTGCTCCCCGGCCTTCTTCGTGGCAGCCTGGTGAGGACCCTCCATGTTAGTTAAGTCCGATCCATGCGCGACACCAGCGGGGACGAAAGTTGAGGGGACATTGCCGGAAGTCTGAGCCGCAGGCGCCGGAAGAACACGACGTCCAGCATTAGGGAATCGCCTCTTGAACTCCTGCTCCTCGATGTAGGTGATGATGTCCTCGGCAAGGGGGACGTGCTCGGCGAAGAAGTCGGAGAAGTTGTCGTTCTGGAGGGAGTAGTAGATTCCACCAGCGTATCCGGTCGATCCCAAAAGCAGGAGCCAGAAGAGAGCACGGCTGAAACGGCTCTTCTTGGGTCCGACGGGTGGAAGGACAGGGGCGGTCGTAGGCTCGGCGACGGGGGAAACGGGCGAAGTCTTGATGACGGGTTCTGCGGGAAGAGCGTGGCCGGAGCGAAGGTTCGATCCGGTGGGGGTGACGGGAGTGATGGTTGTGGAGGGAGTGGGCTTAACCGTACGAGCAGCGGCAGCCTGAGTAGCAGCAGCCCAAACATCGGGCGAAACAACCGGGATCGAAGGAATACGGTCCATGGACACGAAGGAGTCCTGCTCGGGGTACGAAACGTCCGGGATCACTGCAGAGCTAGTAGCAATGGTGGGCTGAGAAATAGTAACATCACCAGCAGCGGTGGTCTCGAGCTCGATCTTGGGAACATCGGGGACCTTCTGCTCACCGGCTGGGTTTGGTGGTACGGGGATTTGAGTAGCGTATGCCTGTACATGAACTGTCAGTGGGTCGATCCGGACGGGGAGAGTCGGCACGCGTACCCTGACGGCAGCAGGAGTAGACCTTGCGACTCGGAGTCGCGAAGGAGCAGCGATTGAAGTCAATCGAAGCATTTTCCGTGGTGGGGGGGTATCTGCTGCTCTCCAGCTGCGCTTAGGCACGAACCGACTTTACGACGTCGGTCCCGGGGAAAGGTCGGGCAGAGTAAGTTGGATAAAGAGAGCATTCTGGCTCTTCTCTCATATTGTACATTACAATTAAGAGCTTCTGTCAGATATGTACCTATGTATTTGTTTCGGATCGATTGACGTCATGCTCGTAGGTTGAGCCTGTGAACTGCTCTCCGAACGCTCAGCTACAGCCATTGCACCCTTCTCAGCTTCAATTACAACTGCCATCATGCCCAAGCTTATCCGAGAGGCTTCTCATGCCGGATCATGGTACTCCTCGTCCAAGAATACCCTGAATAACCAGCTCGACGGCTGGTTGAACGCCGTTGATCCATCCTGCTACAAGATCGAGGGAGCGCGGGTCATTATTGGTCCGCACGCTGGATATTCTTATAGCGGTCCTTCTGCTGCGTGGGCTTACAAGTCTCTTGATACTTCCAATATGTAGGATGGCCTCCTGACGCAATCTGGAGATTGCTAATCAGGCCTTCTTACAGAAAGCGTGCTTTCATTCTCGGTCCCTCCCATCATGTATACCTTGACAAATGTGCTTTGAGCCGCTGCTCCGAATACGAGACACCCCTCGGAAACCTCAAGATCGATAGAGAAAGTGGGTTACCTTCTCCATTCTGTCCTTGCACGAAGGCTTACAAGGGATAATCGACAGCCACTGATAAACTGTATCAAACCGGCGAGTTCGCATGGATGGACATCGGTACAGATACAGACGAACATTCCATTGAGATGCACCTCCCATACACTTACAAGATCCTCTCCGAATCCTCCTCCTCCGTCCCTCCCATCGTCCCAATCCTCGTCGGTGCAATCACAACGCCAAACGAAGCGAAATTCGGAAAGATCTTGGCGCCATACCTAGCTGACCCGGAGAACATTTTCATTGTTTCTTCAGATTTCTGTCACTGGTATGGCACTGCTTCTTCCCCCTCCGTTTGAACACGAGGCTCACGAAGTGGTGACAGGGGCACCCGCTTCTCTTTCACCTACTACTGCGACGGACCCAGCGAACCGATCCATCTGGCACGTCAACCTATGCCTGCAGAAGCCGAAACGCCAATCTACGCCTCCATCGAGGCCCTTGATGGTGAAGGAATGCAGCTTATTGAAGACGGCTCTCATAAAGCCTTCGCAGACTACCTCAAGCGAACAAAGAACACCATATGCGGCCGACACCCAATCGCCGTGGTCCTAGCAGCAATCGAAGAACTAAAGGCACAGGGCAAGACAAATGATGGGAAGTTCAAGTTCGTGAAGTATGCACAATCGTCCAAGGTGAAGTCAGCAAGGGATTCAAGTGTGTCATATGCTTCTGCATACGCTTGTATTTAGGATTGCAGTTAGTTGTTCCATCGGTATACCACATATAACCTGCCTGTTTCATTACGCCAATTTCCTGCGCCAGTCCAGTGGATCCGCTTTCCCTTTCGTAGATTTGATTTTTCCGTTCACTTTGAGCCACAGTTTCGCAAAACGTCCCATCTCAGTGTCGACAATTTCCTCGTCTTCTTCCTCAAGATCTGGGTCAATTGCAGACAATCCCTCTTTAGCCCTTCGCTCGGCAAGGAACCTCGCACGGTCCTTCTTGATAATCGTAGCAATATCCTCCTCCGGTGCCTCAAGACCCGAGAAATCCGGGATAACCCGAGGGTACTTCTCTTTCGTCTTAGGCCTTTTAGCCGCCATTTCATTAGACTTGCTTGCCGCTGGCGATGCAGTAGCCACTTCAGACGAACGCTTTCGTTTAGCCGTTTGATTTGCCAATTGGATCTTGGAAGAACGTAGCCTTACCAAATGTGACGGTTTTGAAGTCGCTTTCGACGTCCTTGGGGTGTTTCCCATGATGGCTTCCTTGAAGAGCGAGGATAGGGAGGATTGCCGTCTCACCGAGGGCTCCTTCGCGAGGCTTTGTACGGCGGGAGCTGGACTTGCATTTGCCGGGGTGGACGGAACGGTAGCTGCTGCTGCTGCCGCCTCACCAATGCTATTGTCAACAGTCTCAAGTGGCTTCTCAGATGTCTTTTCACCATTCTGCTCACGTACAACAACCTCACTTCTATTTGGAGCCGTGAAACCCTCAATTGGCTTCTCCACCACCAGCACATCCGCCATGTGCACATCCCCAGCCCGCTCAATAACATCTAAGACCGCCTCCGCTACGTCCTCAGCAAAAATCTCCCTCGTAATATCCTGCGTCTCGGAGCCTTGAGTAGGTGCCGGCGGTGCCTCCTCCTCACGCTCCTGTAGTGGTGCGGTCGCTGCTTCTGGGGGCTGTGATACTGACTCCTGCAAAACCGTATCAGGGATCTCAATCGTCCGCTCAACCTGCACCTCCTCTCGTACCTCCAACCTAACCCCAACATCCTCCTTCGCCGGCTCCGTCACCAGTGTTGGAGGTGGAGCAATAGGTTGCTGTGCACCCGAGCTCGATACGACTTCCTCAACCGAAGACTGGAAAATTCGTTCAACGTCCCCTAGACCATTCTCCGCGCTCTGTTCGATGAACTCCTCGGACTCGTCGCCAATCTCGGGTGATTCGGGTTGAGAGGAACGGGATGGAGCTGGTTGGGAAAGGAGGCGTTCCTCTTCTTCCATTTCGTGGAGTTCCTCGATGGTTAGGTCCAATTCTTCGAGGAGTGGTTCTGGTCCTGGATGATCAACCATTTCCGTATCGTCGTTGGCGTATTGCTGGCTCAGTACTTCTTCTTTGATGGCCTGGACTACCGTAGTCTCTACCTTAACCACAACATCTTTGGCTGGCAGGTTATCCTCATCTGCCTCTTCCTCAGGCTGTGCCTCTGGCACCGGACTAGTCGCCGGCCAGTCTTCTTCCCCGTACGGCTTCTCATGTGAAGGCACGGGTTCATCTGCTTCTGACAACGCTGAGTGTTGCTGAGTTCTTAGGTCGTCTGATGAGGTTGGATTGTGCTCGGATTTTTGAGAGAGGTCCATTGGGGCTTGTGTCATGAACTGCGCGGTGTTGTCTGACTCCGCGGTCACAACCTCGTCAAGAGCTGGAGCATTCTGATTTGACATCGCAGGTTGCGCACTCGAAGGCATCACTTGCTCCTTAGCACCCTGCAATCGCTGACCGGCTAGCGGATCATCATTAACGATATCCGGCATAGCCAAATTCGCATTATGCTCAAGATACACCTGTTCCTCATCCTCTAAAACTTCCTCGACAGGGTCATCACACCCAGGCCAATACCAGGCGTCTTCTCGGTCAAGAAGTGCTTGCTGATCAGGTGGTATGCGGATGTCTTCCCACTTGAGGTTCTCCCATCGCAGGCCTCCCCAGGCTGGGTGGAGATACTCCTCCTCTTCTTCCTCTTCTTCCTCTTCTTCTGATTCGGAGTCCGGCTGAGGCTCATGATCCTCTGCGAGCTCGCCGACTTCCTCGTCTTTCGATTCGTCTTCTGGTGGTGCTTGCGTCGTGAATTGAGACTCCATCGGCATCTGAGTCTGATATATTTGCGACGTCAGCAGCGGACTGCTCTCCGGAGTCTTCTCTTTTGGTGGTGGCAGCGGCGGCGTCACTTCCTTCTCCTTCACACTCTCCAACGGATCCGGTCCCATCAACCGCTCAATGTGATCCATCCTCAACACCCTCTTAATTTCAGGATAATTATGCGCAGCCTTCGGATCCCCAAAAATAGCTTCCCCCTGCGATGACTTATACGCAAGCTCGTCAACCTCGAGGGATATAACGCGTGTTTGTTTGTGGTGGGCGACGTTGAGTTTGTAGGAGAGAAGTTTGACGAGGGCGCCTTTGTGTTGGGTGAGACGTGATTCGCGGATCCTATGGTCAATGTTGGTGATTGGGTTGTGGGGTACATGGAGAGGCAGAAACATACTGTTCGAACTCTTTCTGGCATTTGAAGGTGAAGTAGCAGTGGATGTAAGTGTCCTTGTCAGAGAGTTGCGCACTGATCATCTTCCCAGCGCTGGGGTCCGCTTCGTAGTCGGTGAACTGTGATCGCACGCGTCAGACTGGAGAACCTTTAGGACTGAGCAGACATACCTTCTGAATCTGTAAGATCCCGAGCCTTCCCATGTCGATGGGCAGCTCTTTCGCGTCGTTGAGCGCTTTCAACAGCTCTTCTTTAAGCCATGGCCGCAGAGCGCCTGCCATGTTTGATTGATCCGTCTACGTATCACAAAAAAGTACCAACAGCCAGCCTCTGGATCAAGCTGGAATAGACAGATGTTGTCGCCAATTGCTCACGCACCTGGGCAGTCTGTCGATTACCGAATTCGAGAACGCGCCTGTCGCCGTTACTAGCGGCCTTGTCCTGACTCGTAGTAGCACCCTGAAACGGCTCAACACCAAAGGACTGTTCATACCCCCCCATACCGTTTTGCCAGGATCATCAGGAGCCTTGGGGGTGTAATAGTTCTGCTCAAATGGCTTCCGAGCGGCTGGGGATGACCAGCTTTCCAAGTGAAATACGCAAATCCTTGACTGAGCCTCCAGCACCTCCCTTACTCAGCGGTCTTTTCTCGAAAGCGAAGGCACTTGCTTCGACAGCGATCAATGCCGCCACGACAGCCATTGAGACGCCTACTAGACCTACGAGTAGTTCATTGCGCTCGTCAGAGGTCACGCCGTATGATGTGGGAAGTTCAGTGCATGACAGGGGTTCGGCAACGGAATCTATTGGACGTCAGGGTGGGCCGTCGCATGGCCATGGTGCTCCGGCTCAATTGAAGATCATTATTCCGACGAAGACATTGCCGAGTCTCGCTGTGTCGACCGACGAAACTGCTCAAGATGTCCCGTCCACCTCGATTCCTCCCGTCAGAATTGACGCACCTCAGCGACAACAGCTAGATACCCACATCCGTCCTCCAGCCTCCGACAGTACCGGTGACGCCATCGCACTCTCACCATCAACAATATCCTTCAACGGCACTAATTTCCCTGACTCCGACTCCCTCCTCCACTACCATTCCCCCTCCTCCCCAGCCCTCTCCACCACCGGCATGACCACCATCTCCTCCGCCCTCCGCCGCCTAAAAGCCGGTGCCAGCTCGTTAGAATCCAATCGCGACTTCTGGATGAAAGACTCCCTCTGCCGCGAATGCTACCTCTGCGGTCTTCCTTTTACCGTGATGAGGCGAAAACACCATTGTAGGATTTGTGGGCAGATCTTTTGTGGGAAGTGTACGATGATGGTTGCGGGGGAGAGACTACGACAGGGGAAGGGAGTGAGGGGGTTGAGGGTCTGTGGGAGTTGCGTGAAGATTATGGATGAGATTGAGGACATGGGGGAGGAGGACGTTGGAGTGGGTGATGATCAGGTGAGTATGTTGTCGGAGGGGGATTCGACGATGATGTCCTCTCCCGCAGACGCTATATCGGGAAGCCATTTCATCATGCCACATGGACCAGCGTCAACACCACTCATGGCGATCCCGATAAAGCGAACTCGAACGGCATCAGCAAACGGCGGTCAGGAGTCGCGGAGTAGACCTGCCGTCGAGATCTCCGCACTCCCCTCCATCCGCTCAGGCACCGAAACAGACTTCAAACCCCGTTTGAATTTCGGACGTACCCCTTCTGGAAGCACCTATACCTCCAACCCCCTCCCATCCTCCTCCTCACGACAACGCACCCCAGCAGGTGCACTCCCCGGGGCCGTATCCGACGACCACCTCTCCACCTCTCTTACGATACCAGCGCCATTCCGCCGCGCAATGACACAAGACACTCTGAATCCCCCGGGATTCGGGGATATCCTCGATGGGGAATATGCACATGGTGGGTCGTCGTTTATTTCGGATGAGGAGGGGAGTGAGGATGAAGGTGATCCGGCGGTGTCGCTGTTCGCTACACTCGCGCCTCGGAGACTCAAAGGTCTTGAGACACCGGGAACTGGGACGGGGAGTAGTGGTGCTTCTGTGCATAGTCGGAGTCGGGACCGTCTTGGCGGGGGCGGAGGGGCATTGCATCCAAGAGACACGGGTAGTTCACAGGGTGGGAGAAGCCGGCGGCATAGTTTTAGTGGTGTTTCACGCTCTACACAGCGGCCACGCTCACGTAATTTCCTGCGACAGTTAACGAAGGAGGGGGCCAACAAATCCTATCTCGGTGGGCCCTCGATAACTGCGTCGCTGGGGTATTCTGGGAGGACTTCGAGGGCTGCGTCGGTTCAGCAGGGTTCGCCAGCTGTGGAGCTGAATACGGCGTCATTACAGCACGTCCAAGATCTTTTGCGGCAGTTATTGGAGGACTCCAACATTCCGGGGGTGGAGCGGTGGCAAAAGGCACTCATGCCCGTCCTCCTAAAGGTTGCGGACTCCCTACAACCTGATCTTCGGTCAGACGATGCGATTGATATCAGACATTACGTGAAAATCAAGCGTATCCCCGGTGGGAGGCCGAGTGATACGAGTTATATCAGTGGAGTGGTATTTACAAAAAACCTGGCATTGAAGAAAATGTCGAGATCGATATCGTATCCACGGATTGTGATATTGACATTTCCGGTTGAGTATCATCGGGCAGAACTCTCATTCATGTCTTTGGATCCGGTGATTGCGCAGGAAAAGGAGTTTCTCCGGAATCTTGTCAACAGAGTCATTGCACTGAGACCCAATCTCGTCCTTATTGAGGGCTCGGTGTCCGGGCTGGCGTTGCAGTTTTTGGCTGATGCGGGGGTTGCTGTTGCGTATAATGTTAAGCCGTCAGCGATTGCGGCTGTTGCGCGATGCACTCAGACGGATATCATCTCGTCGATTGATCGGCTCGTGTTGGATCCGAAGGTTGGGCGGTGTGCGAATTTTAGTGTGAAGACATTCGTGCATGACGATATCCCAGGGAAGCGGAAATCATTTCTCTATTTCGAGGGGTGTCCGAAGGAGCTTGGGTGCACGATTGTGCTACGGGGAGCGGATATGGCGACGTTGAGCAAGTTGAAGATTATCACGGAGTTCATTGCGTTTGTGGTTTACAACCTCAAGCTGGAGACGTGTTTGATGAGGGATGAATTTGCTCTTATTCCTACTGCACCGCCGTCTCGTGAAACGTCTGCGACGACTGTAACGATCAGTATTGATGAGAATATTGGGGATTTACCGTTGTCGTCCAAGCCTCTGGATGATACGTTGGATACGTACAAGAAAAAGATCTTGTCGGCCTCTCCGTTTGTCAAATTTCTTCCGCCGTATTTGTTGTCGAGGGCACATGATGCTTTGAGACGGTTGTCTCAGCCGACGGAAGCCATTGAGAAACCGCGAGAGTCGTCTGATCTTCCGAATGAAACGGAAAATTCGGATCCGGAGAAGGTCGATGAAACTGAGCCACATACCAGTGTTGTCCTTCGCAACCCTAATCTCCAGACTCGTATTGATGGGATTCTCATGAATGAACTTCATCGGAAAACCCTTCGCGAATACGAAACTAAACTTCGTCAATGGGAAGCCCATGTCGCCCAGAATACAGACATCATTAACCCATTAGCCCACCAGAATATCGTGGTCTTGTTTTCTCGCGTGAACTCAGCAACAGCAGTCCCTTGCGAAGGTCCTAAGATCGACGTCATCGAGTATTATCGTGAGACCGATCGTACGTTGGGTCAGTACATCGAAGAAATGTGCTTCAACTACAGAACAATATGCAAAGCGGCGACTTGCGGGAAGTCGTACATGGAGCATTACAAGAGTTACGTGCACGGACGCGCTCGACTTAGTGTTGTTCTTGACAGCTTCAATTGTCCTCTTCCGGGTCTTCAGAACTCGATTTTGATGTGGAGCTTTTGCAAGATATGTAAGAAGACGACGCCTGTGATTCCTATGTCTGACGATACGTGGAAGTATTCGTTCGGGAAATATCTGGAGATTTCCTTCTACAGCTCCCGGATTTCATGTCGGGCGGGTTTCTGTCCTCATGATGTAAACAGGGATCACGTTCGTTATTTTGGCTTCCAGAACCTTGCCGTACGATTTCAGCATGATGATATTGACCTCTATGAGATTGCTCCACCTAAGATGAGGGTGTTTTGGAAACCGGATATTACTGTCAAGTTACGTGAGCAGGAGTATCTTATCATTCAAGCTAAGATAGATCGCTTCTACACTTCTTTAGAAGCGAGGATCAAGAGCATCACGCAGGAGGGCATTGCTCCTGACAAGGTTGAGCTTTGTAAAAGCGAATTATCGAAGATGGTCACTCGTCTCAAGGAAGAGCGCGAGAGCCTTGCACAAGAGCTTCGTCAAGTTTATGAAGGGCCAGACCTCTTGGACATCTTGCCGCTCAACCGGATTATGCGGATGGCTCAGGAGCTTGTTGTCCAGTGGGACATGGACTTCACAGAACTGGAGCGTGTCTGCTTCCCTTCGGAAAAGGACATTAGGCGGCTTACAGCGCTGCAGCTAAAGAAGCTATTCATTGATCGTGACTTTTCTTCAGACAATTTTGAGAGGGGTTCTTATACTGGTGCTGAAACAGAGCTTCTGGACATGAAGTCGCCATTGCTGGAAGACAAAAAGCTCGTCGAAGAAGCTCCGACGCAGGTAGAGGGGACTTCGACACCGGCAGGTTCCCCATCTATGCCACGCCCTTCGCCAGGACATTGTTCCATTACCATCCACAAGTTGACCGAAGCGCATGGCGAAGCTGAATTGGCTGGCTCTTCCAAAACACCTGATAACGCATCTGCGGGACAGTCTGTAAAGAGCATCCCGCCTGCTAAGCCCTCGAGATCTCAAAGTTCACCTGTGATTCCATCCATCACCTTGGATGACCTAGTTGCTGCAAGAGCAAAGCTTGCACCCTTTTCAACTCAGACCCCGCCTGCAGAAGTGGAAGGCAAGTTAGTAGCGTTGGAGCCTTTGACCTCGGGTGCTCCTTCTGGTTCTGCCAGCATCGCGTCTGACAAGGAAGGTGCCGGCCGGGCTCCTAAAAGTCCAGGAGACCAACCTGAAACAGAGGGGAAGACCACTCTGCAGAAACGTCGGACTCCAAGCATATCTCACATACCTTTACCCATCCGAAAAGACGCTCACATCCCCCTAGATGGACCTATCAAGTCATCAGAGCGACCAGAAGGGAACCGTGTCTCAAGTCTTGCAAGACACTTCAACCGCCTTTCAATGGAGTTGGAGAGGGACCGTACGCGAGAACATCGCATAGCGATGGCGAGAAGGAATAGGGCTCATCCTGTCGCTTCGTCCAAGCCTATTGTCGAAGTCTTCAGCAGTGTGCGTGAGGCTGTTGATGAACTCTCGGACGAAGAGATTGATGAAGATCACCCACGACTGAAAGCATCAGAGGCGCATCCGTTTTCTCCTGCTGCATCGGGCAACGTGGGTAACTCGAAGGATCAAGGTCCAGATGAGGAAACGGGAAAGAGTACCGAGCAAACGGAAGGCTCGGCTGGCAAACGCCGCGATGACGATCCACATGAGGACCGGTGTCCCGAGTCATCTGTGCCTAAATCTGACGGCTTGTCTACCTCCGCGAACTCCTTCAAGTTCGAAAACGATGTCCCTGGTCATGGTGCTGAGCGCATGTCTATCATCAAGACGTTGACAAATCTGTGGACTGATCGTTCTTCCACCTGGTCACCTTTGGAATATCCACTCAATCCCTCAGAGCATATCTTTACGGACTCTGATGTTATCGTCAGAGAGGACGAACCTAGTTCGTTGATCGCATTCACGCTAAGCTCTATGGATTACAGGACAAAACTCAGTGATATGCAACGTATGGCCGGAGGCTACCCATCCTCTCCGGAAGTGGGTACCTCTCCGCCAGAAACTGTGCATACGCCGGATCAAGCCGAGATCGAGAGCGCAATGTTGAGGTCGACGGGTACTCACATGAAGTACCAATTCCAGGAAGGCTCCGCGAAGCTATTCTGCAAGATCTTCTACGCAGAGCAGTTTGATGCCTTCAGACGTATATGTCATTGTCAAGACAAGTACATCGAATCCCTAGCTCGGTGCGTAAAGTGGGACTCGAGTGGCGGAAAGTCAGGATCGGCGTTTCTCAAGACGCTCGACGATCGGTTGGTCGTGAAGCAGATGTCCCGCCTTGAAACCGACGCCTTCATCAAATTTGCTCCGTCGTATTTCGAGTATATGTCGAAGGCGCTCTTCCACGAATTGCCGACTGTCTTAGCCAAGATCTTTGGATTTTATCAGATTGGCTCGCGGAATCCTTTGACTGGCAAGACGATGAAGATGGACGTTCTCGTGATGGAAAACCTGTTCTACGATCGCAAAACGTCTAGAATCTTTGACCTGAAGGGTTCGATGCGCAACCGTCATGTGCATGCCACCGGCAAGGAGAATGAGGTTCTGCTGGACGAGAACTTGGTGGAGTTCATTTATGAATCGCCTCTGTTTGTCCGTGAACATGCGAAGAAGTTTCTGCGTGCTTCCTTGTGGAACGACACCCTGTTCTTGGCAAAGATGAACGTTATGGATTACTCTCTTGTCATCGGCATTGATGACGATAGAAAGGAGCTCGTTGTGGGCATTATCGACTGCATTCGCACATTCACGTGGGACAAAAAGCTTGAAAGCTGGGTGAAAGAGAGAGGTCTTGTGGGCGGTGGAGGCAAGGAGCCTACTGTCGTTACTCCGAAGCAGTACAAAAACAGGTTCCGCGAGGCCATGGAGCAGTACATTCTCATGGTTCCAAGTTGTTGGTTCACTGGCAACACTACTCTGAACCATACAAGTCTCCGTCTGGAGAGGCCTAATGAAGTTGAGTAACGGGGATCTATCTTGGCGTTATGTTTGTTTAGGATATCATGAATACCCTCGAATACGAAATTTTTTTCGGCTTGCTCGTCACTATGTCTGCAGTGTAAATCAGTCGTTGCATGGGGGACAAGAGATGGCAAAATCGTAAGAGCAGTATCAATGTTCCCACGCTCTCACACCACGGTATCGTACAAACAGATAAAACCCTAAGCAGTCATTGCCCCAAGAATATGAATGCAGCGTATCAACAGGGCAAAATGTAGCCGCTAAAGGTCATCCTTAAGTGTACCCTCTCCTGACGGCTTGTACTCGCTGTCGGGCTCCAAGGGTTCGGGTCCGCCATCCTAACCACGCGATTAGAGTCTTCATGCGCAAAGCAAACGGGTGTACAAGGGCACACACCTCGATCGTTGCTTGGGTACTGGGCCCTCCATCAGGAGCAACAGCACCAGACTCGATGACTTCACCATCCTTGTTGGCGCGCAAGTGCGTGTGACCTTGTCCGACCTTTGAAGACTCCGTGACTTGTTCTCCCTACGCCAGCGTGTTAATAATTTCTGCCTTTTGCCAAGGCCCATTACATACGAATTTAGACGACATGGTCTGATCTGGATCTTGCGATTGAAATGTCGTTTTCAGTCGCAATGGGGAGTGACAGCCTTTTTATACCGGCGCCGGCGGGCCGTGCCGTCGATAATCGCAACCGAACGTAACACTGATAACATGACATCAACCCTTTCTATATTGCACGGGATTAATATCGTCATCATGTCGAAACTCTATACTCAAGGACATGGGTATCTGCAGCTGGCCGGCGCCGCTGAATTCACTTATAGCGCCAAAATGGGACGTGATCGGCGGGCGGTTCACATGCTCAATGAATCGGAAGCTGTGCAGCTGCACTTGGAAGTTCAAGAAGGAATTCAAGAAAATTGAGATTGAACAATCTTGCTATTTGAGAGTGTCGTAATGATTTCGCTCGTACTCATTATCCATCCAAGGAATTTGCATTCACCGGTCCATTAAACAATATCGATATCAGCACATTAAACATAGTAAAGTCCGAAAAATGCAGTCCAAAACGCATACTCCTCCCCAGGGTATCCTTCCCAATCGTCGCTAATCTTCGCCATTAATTCATTCCCTTTATCCTCAATTCGCTTTGTCACCCCATGCTCAGGCCTCCATCCATGCCCTCATGTTCGCGCTCCTCCCCTTCGGCGCCGGCTCATCAATGACACTTCCTTCCTCCTTCGCTGCCTCGAGCACATCATACAACGCATAGATCTGATCCGCCTTGGCCTCCAACTCCTCAATGATATCCCTCAAACGAGAAGCAACCGCCTTTCTCCTCCTCTTTCCAACCGCAGGATCCATCACCTCGTATTCCTGCAACAACTCCTGGTAGTGGAGCTTGAGATGACGGAACTCGTCTTCAAGTTGAGAGAGGACGGAGGTGAGTGCGGTGTGAGGGTGCATAGAGGGACGGATAGTAGCCTGAGAGTCGTCAACGCCGTTCTGTGCCGATGAAGCGGGAGCAGTCTTGGCAGCAGCCTCCTTCGCGGCCTGTGCTTGCCTCTCCTTATTCCTCTTCCTCGTACAAACGGAGCAGGAGGCTGAGTTGTGGTGCGCCAATCCTTCAATGATCTTCTGCACATTCGAGTTGACATTGGGCTTCTCGACCTTCTTCTGCGTCTGCGCCTTGCCCATAGCCTTCGGCTTCTCACCGATCCAGGTAGATCTGGGCAAGACCTCGACTTCCTCCTCGCTCACGTACTCAATTTCAGACTCTTCTTCCTCCTCCGTCTCCTCCGTCTCCTCCATCTCGGAATCTGTCTCCTCCACGACGATCTGCCTGATCACCTTCCTTACCCTCTTACCGTCCTTGACGACTACCTTCTTCGTAGACTTGGGCGCCTTCTGCACCTGAACACTCACGCTCCTTACCTTCTTGACAGGCTCGGTGCCAACAGCCTTGCTGACGGTAATCTTCTTCGGTACAGGAGCAGACACACTGCGCCTCTGGAAAGCAGGTGCCTTCTTCCTTCTCTCGCTCTCCATTTCTTTGCGGATAGACTCAACCTCTACCGCATCGACAAATGACGACGAATTCTGTCCCGACCTCTCAACACCTTCGTCAACAAAGCTCTCAACATCATCATCATCTTCGACAACCTCAATCTGAACCTGCCTTGCTTGAGGCTTGACCTTTCTCTCCCTCTCCACCCTCTCGTGAATGCGGTCTTTCGCACTCCTTTCCTGGCTCTCCTTCACAGACCGTCTCAGTTTGTCAACTTCAGCACGGAGACGCTCGTTCTCCACCTTCAACTTCTCGGCATCATCCAAAGCGCCAGCCAAAGCCCTGACAGCCTCGTCCCTCTCTTCCTCAAGGTTCTTAGCAAGGACCCGGTCAGCATCCAACTGTCTCTCCAAGCTAGCAATCTTGGCCTCCAAACCCCTGACATTGCTCTCGACTCTCCTCCTCTCATCCCTCTCCCTTGCCAAGATCTCCGCATGGTCGGTATCCGAGTGCACACCAGAGTCAGTTCTCTGCAACCTCAATCGGCTCTCCTCCTCCGCGGCCTGCGCGCGCTTTTGTTCAGCGTAGTACAATCCGCGGACATGCCTGAGTTCCTCCTCCAAACTGACGACTCTCTGTCCGGCATTCGCGTTTTGGTTCTCCAACCAGTTGATCTTATCCTGGAGTGTTCGCAATGCAGTCAGAATCTTCTCATCGTCGTCGGAGACGGGAACAGAGTTGATGTTAACGTGCTTTGCGCCGTCGCGTCTAGCACCAGGAGAGGGTTTGGGGCCCTCAGACATAAGCGCTGAGATGTTGGTCATGTCCGGGATACGGAAGGACGCGGTGTACTGCTGAGTTGGATGGAATGACTTTTCCGCGCGAGACTTCTGGTCCAAACCGATTTCTTGCATGAAGCTGGTCTGGTTCTTGAAACCCTTTGGCACAGGGGAACTGGTCTGCTTGACGCTGGTGTATCTCGACGCGTCCTTCGCTCGTGGAGTCGCGGCATCATCGTATGTCGACTTCCTGTACTGTCCCGGTACTGGACTCTTCGCGCCCGCGAACCTTGAATCCATCGCACTCCGGGGCCGCGCTTGGTCAAGACTCTCCTCACCAACCACCTTCTCCAATGCGTCCATCAACCTGCTTCGTCCAGTGTATCCCTCATTCGTACCTGCAGAAGTCGTTCTCTTGATCTCACTCGACGCGCTTTGCTTCTTCTTGTCCCATTCAAAGGACAGATCGCGAGTGTTCTCGATAGGCGACCAAGAGCGCTTGATGTTTGTTGCTAGACCGCCGAAATCCGATCGAGATGACGCGTTGGAGGGGGATTGCATGTTGAGGTGACGGTCGGAGACATATGGTGGTTTGGATGAAGACGCAGAGAAGGGTCCGCGCACGCCGAAATCAGATGACTTGATTCCGGGCGTTCCGAGCTCCTTCGGCACACCTCGTCCGCGTTCAATGCTGAAGCTCAATTCACTAGCACCGTCTCCAGGACCTGCCATGCTGAAATCTCGGAAGTGCCTGTCCAAGTCTTTCGCGTCTGGCGAGTCTTCGAAGAACTTGTTCCGTTGCATTGAGTCTGGGGTATTGTCTTCTCCGCGGAAATCGCGTTCGGGACTGTGGTTCAGAGAAAACTTGTCCATCTCGTCGGTAATGGCCCTTTCGATAGAGCGACGAGTCTTCTCGGTGTTGTCGTAGTCGATAAAATCAGCGTTGATTGCGCTGGACGGCATCAGCGGTGTGTGTTGCAAGGATTGGTAGGCGGCTTGTTATGACTTGATCGAAGCAAGGCTGAACCCGTACTGCAAGCGACAAGACGAAACGACGGGAGAGAGCGACGGACGGTCGGCGACTGATCTATTCGTTGGTATAAGCGGGGGATGTATGGGATGTATGCGGTCTTGGTGTTGTCCTTTGCATGCTGTGTTTGTTTACGGAATGGCCCAAGGGGCTCGTGCGCATACGGTACGGTGCACCAGCCACAATGTGACACACGGCGACGCTTATCGATAAGGAATCTCGAGGCCAGCGAAATCCGCAGCAAAAATGCATCGGCCGGGAGTCGAACCCGGGTCGCGCGCATGGCAAGCGCACATCATACCGTTGGACCACCGATGCTGATTGATGTGTTGGGCAGAATCAATACCAATACAATAGTTACTTTTCGGGAGGTATTCTTCGCCTGTGTCGCGGCCGGTTTTCTTCGGTGCGGCAATTGTGCTTGCCACCTGACAAAGCGACTTCAGACATGGGTGAATCGTCACATTTTGCATGCTCGGGAAACGCCTCACTGGTGCTTCCGGTCTCATGTCACAGGACGATGCGATCTAAGTATGCATCTCAGCAAATGCCCTGCACATGTTTCAAGGTTTCTTCCCGCAACTCTTCACGCGGAGAGACGTCATTGGAAGCCATGTTCATCGTGCACATTGAAAGCCCCAGAACCGCGCACCTCGCTTTCATTTTTTGATTGGAATCATTCTGGGTTCCGTTCCCACGGGTCCATCTTCCTCACACGTGCCCCCAGAATGAAGGTGCAAGTACAAGGTTCCGCCGGCGCCGCCAAACCTCGGCAGAGGTCGATCATGATGCTGCCCCACGGTTCGGCCCCGGTCGAGATGGATGACCACGTCTAAGCACACGCGTGGATCCATCCATATGCTCAGGTTAAAGTGCCAACGCTTGTGTGATGCAGATCTACAAAGCCCGCACGTATCGCTATGATCTGGTGATGCATATAGAGGGAGACAGTCCTCACAACTCTCCTTCGTTTCGCGAAGTCGTCCAGTTGAACGGCCAGGATTAAGATGACCGGCAAGTCGTTTGATCTGGAGCTCCAGGAGCGCAGTGGAATGGATGAGGCGCTTGATGAGCTTGCGTACCGACTCCCGAAAGACGTGGGCAAAACCGGACCGATAGAAGCGTCAGTCCTCGAAGTTACGGAAAGCACCGACGGTTTAAACGACACCGACAGGGAGGCCCGGCCTCCAGTCCTTCGTTCACTTGCACACGAAGTCCTCTTTCTTATAACCTGCGCCACTGCAACAGCCCTCTCCTCCCTCTCCGTTGGCAGTGCCAACACCGCCTTGATATCAATTGGCAATGACCTCAATATGCATGATGCGTCCTCACTCTCCTGGATCATCTCAGCCTTTTCGCTTACAAGTGGGTGTGTGATGCTCTCTTCCGGGCGTGCTGCGGATTTGTATGGACGGCAAAGGGTGTTTCTCATTGGCGGTGTAATCTTCACCATTGCATGTATCATCTGCGGTTTTGCAGTGAACAAGGAAATGATGTATATGCTGCGTGCAGTGCAGGGCTTAGGAACTGGCATTTGTACGCCAGCTGGTGCAGGCATGATTGGAGCAATGTATCTCCCAGATACAAGAAGGAAGGAAAAAGCTTTTGGATTGTTGGGAGGGGCATCTGCTTTGGCATTCTTGACTGGTACTGTGCTAGGAGGGATCTGTTCAGAACTGTTAAATTGGAGGTGGATTTACTGGATAATGGCCGTTATTTCTGCCTTGATGACTCTGGGTGGAGTGTTTGTTGTTCCAAAGGGGTGCAATGAGAGAAATCCTGGACAATTGGATTGGATGGGGCTCATTCTATCAGTGGTTGGCATGTCTTTGCTGACATACTCTGTCACGTAAGTCCCCTCCATCACTTTTCAAACAAAAACTAACTCTCACGGTTTGCTACAGTGGTTCCACTGGAGCTCCATTTGGCTGGCGAACATGGTACATCCCAATTCTCTTCGTTGTTTCAATATTTGTCATTGCTCTCTTCATCTGGTCCCAGCACCGGCAGTCAGATCCAATGATGCCCCTGTCAATCTGGTCGTTTCCGAATTTCGCTCTTATCATGGTCATCGTCTTTCTCGCATGGGGCGTCTTCGAGGTAATCACTGTTTATCTTGCTCTTTATTTCCAGAACATTAAAAAGACGACACCATTACTTACCAGTGCATCCTTTGTACCAGACATGCTGTTTGGATTGATTTCAATCCCTCTCCCAGCGTTCATGCTGAAGTGGTTCCCGAAACGCTGGGTCCTGTGCATCAGTCTCATTCTTCTCTTTATTCCTACCATTCTCTATGCATTTGTTGACGAAGACACTACCTACTGGGCCATCCCTTTCCCTGGTATCAGCATATCCGCAATTGGAGCGTTCTTACTGTACAACCTCGCAAACCTGTTCTGCTCGTCTTCTGCTCCGCCAGAGAAGCAGTAACTCATCAATGGGGTGTTCAACACTATGTTGCAGATCAGCTCCGCAGTTTCGTTGTCTTTGGCCGCAACAGTGGCAAACTTGACAGGTGCAAATGGGAAGCATGTACGTGAGCTTGCAAGAGGGTATCGGACAGCAAACTGGATGTGTTGTGGGATGATGGGCTTGGCTATCGTGTTGTGTTTGTTCGTTGAGGAAACATGGAAGGAGCCGAAGGTGGACGCAGAACAAGCATCTACCGTTCATAGTTTAGAGGTTTCGGGCGTGGTGGAGTTGGACGAGGAGTGCGTATCTCATTGTAGCAGTGCTGGAAGTCACCTGCATTCCTCGTAGGGAACGCGTGGGTGGCCCGAGGATCGTGGTGACAACAGATGGCGGAACGGTCGGACAGCGTAGGATCTCTGCATGATCATGAGGGTGCTTGGGAGGCAATATCATCTTATCATTGCTGCTTGCAACAACCATGCCCCGCTCCGTGATCCTTACCCGGCTCCTTCATTGGCATGATGCCGCTGTCCCCAAAGGATGAGTGCCGTATTTAACCCTCTCGTTAACTCCCTGGACGGCGTAGCTTACGCCATACCTGGTTTTGTCTCTTTTCACCATTCTAGCTCCGACATCACATCCACGCATTCGCTGTTAGTCTGAATGTTCTTCCTGCCGTCCTTTCTGAAGAAGCCTAAAACACCGTTCCAACACAGTCAATCCACTGCATAAGCATCCCTCCCTCCTTTCCTCCTCTCGTAACCAACGCCTTAAAATCTTGGAACGACACACGTCCTTCCGGCATCAGCTCGTTGCACATCGCATTCACTGCTTCCATGGCCATCTCTTCCAACAATGCTGCTCGTGCCGGTGCCGGATCATCGTGATCCTGCGACGCATCATCCTCTCCGGGAAGCACTGGAGCATCTTCATCCTTTTCCGTCGTCTCGGGTATGCGTGGATCAGGCATGCTTCCTCCGCCTAAGAAAGTGCTCACCGGCATTCCAGGATTTTCCAACACCGACCGAGGAAGCCCAGCAACTAGCGGTCCAGTCGCTCTCTCATTCCGATCAAATGCTTCATGCTGAATCTCCTCCACAACTCCCGCCACCAAACTTCGTGTCAATTGCCATACACCTCTCCATACTCTCACAACATCTTCTCTGCTGATGAAACCATCATTGTCGTTGTCGTATCCTTCGAATGCCATTTTTATTTTCTTTGCACTTGCGACTTCGGACTGGTCGTTCGATCCTGGACCAGAGGTAGTCAGAACTGCGAGTCCGTGGATGTAGTCCCGGAAACTAATGTGCGTATGCGGTGGTGTCCGTGCATATACGACCCGGAAGAGCAGGTCAGTGACAGGATTTGGTGACAGTGCTGCACCAGAAGAAGTGATACACTGGTTGAAAGTATCCCGAGTGATGGCGATAGTCCCTGGTGTGTCGTCCGTGGCGGGAATTGTTTGGGCAAGGTACGTAAACTGGGTGTAGTGTGCTTCGAGTTCAGATGGTGTAACTGTACGCAAGATTTAGTCACAGGCAATTAATAACAATCTCCCCACGTACATTGTGTTCCCCTTCCAACTTCCAGTATTTCCGCCGTACTTAACCCACCACCCATGAGCTCTTCCCGTATTCCCACCCCAGGATACAACACCTCACATCTCGCCATTCGTCCCCTCATGCTTGGTACAGGGACTTTGATCTTCAAGAAGACGTGTCTGGGGTTGTGTATGCCACCCGCGACCGCTGCCTCACAATTCTCGCACAAATCGTAATCCAAACAGTTTGCGCAGCGATATCGGATACCACGGAGAGGAGAGGTGGAACACCCATCGCACGTAATCCCTCGATGAATGTACGAGTTCTTCTTGGAGTTCGACTCCGCAATTGTGAATAGCAGATTCAACAGATCCTGGTTCTGTGCGCCGGCGCCTTCGGCACCTTCTGAGTCCAGTCGACTTGCCGGTTCAGTCTCCTCAAACACGATTTCCGGACTCGATGTTAAGACACCATCAGGAAAGACGCGCGCTCGTCGTCGAGATGCCTTTCTTTCCGATATTTTGTAGGACTTGTATGCTTCGATACAGACAAGGGCTACGACGACACCGGTCGCAACAAGTAACTGTCACAAAACCTGTCAGTCCTGAGCCACGGAAGGCAGATAGATAGCATACATGCTCGGCATATCTTGGTAATGGCATTTCCCTTGCAACTGACGTTCAGGCTCCCGAGTCGCAATACGTACGGAGCCGTGCCGATACAATGCAACTGAGCTTTGGCGGTTACGTCGGCCGCATGCACGTTCCTCGCGGGGGATGCTGCCGTTGCAGTCATGAAACACTTAGAAAAACGAGATGGAAGAAATGGTGATGAATGAATCCGAAACTCCGTCATAAGCTATGCTGTCATTCCTCCTCAAACTCCTCAAGTGTCCTAGTCAATCCTCTTCACAGGTCCTCCAGGAGAATCCGCCTTCCTCGCCGTCAAGATCTCGCACCCAGTCTCGGTAACCAAAATCGTATGCTCAAATTGCGCACTCCTCTTTCCATCAATCGTACTACTCGTCCAGTTATCCGGCCACGTAACATCTCTCCAATCTCCACCGCTGATCATAGGCTCAATGGTAAAGCACATACCAGGCTTCGCGACACCGATTGCCTTGTTCTTGGCGTAGTGAGGGATGTTGGGGGCGCAGTGGAAGAGCTGGTTGATGCCGTGACCGCAGTAGGTGCGGACGACGGAGCAGTTGTTGGCTTTGGCGTGAGCTTCGATGGTGATACCGTAGTCGCGGAAAGGCATACCAGGCTTGACGAGGGCGAGAGCCTTCTCCAAACATTCACGGGCGGTCTCGACAATGTTGACAGACTCCTTGTCGGCCTTGGCCTTGTCACCGACGTAGTAAGTCTCGTTCAGGTCACCGTGGAAACCGTTGTGGTAGAGCGTCACGTCGAGGTTGACGATATCACCATCCTTCAGTGGACGCTTGTCCGGAATACCGTGGCAAATGATCTCGTTGACGGACGTACATACTGATTTCGGGAATTCGTAGTAGTTTAGTGGTGAGGGGTAGGAATTGCGCTCGAGACAAGCATTATGGACGACGGTGTTGATCTCGTCAGTGGTGATACCGGGTCGGAGGGCGGCGGCGGCGATGTCGAGGACTTCACGACCGAGACGACAGACTGTGCGCATACCCTCAATCTCCTTCTCATCCAAGGTCTTCATCTTCGTACTCCGTGCCACCAATTGCTCGGATCGGGGAATCGAAGTATCTGCGTAATCTGGCTTCTGTATGCCTTCGGGAACCTTGTCCATCTTGCCAATCGGGTAACAGGCCTTCAGATCACCCTTGTACTGGAAATTCGGGAAGGGATCATACGTCCCCGCCGGTCCATTGCCAACATTGTGAATGATCTTATGGGTTCCCCATGACTTCTTGAAACAGTCCTGCGAACAGAAAAACGAACCAGCAATGCCCAACTTCAAACAGGAGGGACACTGAAGGGTGCCCGCGGGCTTCTCACAGTCGAGGCCCTTGCAAGGAATAGCAGTCATGGTCTGTCGATACCCTTCAGCGTCCTCCGTCCACCGCGGCTCCCCGTATATTTCTGCTGCGCGCGGTGCCCCTGATGTCAACGCTACAGGGCACATTTCCCAACTCACCGAGAACAGCAATATGGCATCGTCGGAGCCATATATCAACAATAACCCGAGTATGGTCCAGGACTACCTTGAGGCGAGCATGCCAACAGTCGCAATCATTGGCGCCGGTCCAGTCGGTGCTTTGGCCGCCATCTACTTTGCTCAATCCAATTATGCCGTCCACCTCTACGAACTCCGCTCGGATCCGCGACTCCCGGAGAACCAGCTCAAGAACTTCTCTAAGTCTATTAACTTGGCGCTGAGTGACCGCGGTATCGAAGGCTTGAAAGGCGCGGACAAGGAGTTTGCCAGGAAGATCATGAGTGATGTGATCCCTATGCATGGACGGATGATTCACGACGGGAAGGGCAAACAGGAGTCGCAGCTTTACGATATTCACGGCAGGGTCGATGCACCTCAGGAAATTGCCACTGGATAAAGCTGACGTGCATTGACAGCATATCAACGCCGTCGACCGCGGTTGGCTCAACGAGGAGTTGTTGACTAAAGCGGAGTCATTCCCTAATGTCCACGTTCACTTCAAGCACAAGCTCCTCCGATGCGACTGGGACTCAAACACTTACCATTTCCGAAACACAGCTACCAACGAAGAGGTCTCAATCAAGGCTGATCTCCTCGTCGGTGCAGACGGCGCTCATTCCGTCGTACGAAACCAGATGATGCGACGAATCCCGATTTCTTTGTGTGTATATAGTCCAGCCGTGATACACTCGTAGCTAACCAATTGCATACAGCTCTCAGCACTACATCGACTCAACTTGGTGTGAATTAACCATTCCGCCTGTCTTTCCTACTTTCTCTGCTTCTCTTTCTACCTCCCTTCAAACACAAACTCCACCAGCGCCAAACTTCGCTCTCAACCCCAACCGCCTTCACATCTGGCCACGCCAAACATTCATGCTCATCGCTCTACCCAACACGGACCGAAGCTTCACCTGTACCCTCTTCATGCCACAAGCAATGTTCGACGCACTCACTACCCCCGCCGAGCTCCTCACATTCTTCGAAAAGGAATTCCCCGACGCTGTAGGCTATATCGGCAAAGATCGCCTCGTCCATGAATTCTTCCGTAACCCGAAAGAACCCCTCGTCTCCATCAAAGCAAGCACTCATGTGCTGCCCGGCCGCGCAGTCATCCTCGGCGACGCCGCACATGCCATGGTCCCCTTCTACGGCCAAGGTATGAATGCAGGTTTCGAGGATGTCCGAATCTTGCATGAGCATCTTCGTGCGAACCCCGGTGATATCCCGACTGCGTTGGCGGCGTACGATAAGGAACGGGTCAAGGATGCCCATGCCATCTGTGACCTCGCGCTTCACAACTACGAGGAGATGCGTGCGGGCGTCAATTCGCGGGCCTACCTCCTCCGCAAGAAGACCGAGGAGTGGTTCTACGCAAATGTACCCGCCCTCGGTATTAGAACGCTATACACCATGGTCTCCTTCGACCCTGCAGTGCCATACTCCGCTGCTCTCCGTCATGCGGAGTTGCAGGGCACGTGGTTCAAGTGGGTTGGTGCGTTGGTGAGCGTGGGTGTTGTCGGAGCGTTGATTACTACGGCCAGGGTCGTGGCAAGGATGATGGGGTGGATTGATAGGGTTGATAGGTATGGGCCTATGGGACCGGGAAGGGTGTGGAGGATGGGTGTGGGTATGGCGAATGATATTTGGAGAAGGTGGGCGTAGGAAAACTAGCAGTGTCTCTATACTCCAAATGCATCGCATATCAGCAAGACGGGTTAATTCTGTCCCTACAAATCATTTGTCATAGAATATACGTACCAGTCCCTGCCTCCTGCTAGCTTCTACTCACGGCCCCTCACGTGCCCAGCACCTACAAAATCTCCGCGCGCACCGCGTCCTCCGCTTCCTCACCCACGGTACCCTGTCAAATTACGTCGCAGCGATGTCCGGATCGGCCTTCCTTTGAGGCTTTCCGTGTCAAACTACTTCCACAGCAGTCGACGTGCCGCTGTTTTGCCGGTACCAAGAAGGACGCTTATACAGATCATCTTAGTGCCATTGCTTGCTCTGCTGCCTTTGGGCGTGGTGAGGGAGTTGGCCGGCAGATCTCGACATTCTTTGTCTGATATGATAGTCAATTGAGATATGTTTGCACACATCGTTTCAAATCTGCCATTGCCTCCTGCATTGTCCTTCGATGTTACAAGTTACACGCACGATTAACATCCGTCAGCTTTCAGCGATATCAGAATCGGTAGAGAACAGCATTCATCAGATAGAAGCAAGCATTCAGGCTCTTAAGGTATATGGTAATGCAATGACTTCACGGTGTCCATATGCTCAGTTTTTCATCCGATCCTGACTTTCATCACGATACCCATCCGTTATGCAGAATGCGAGTAGTTTCCATCGGTCCTGTGCAGACCCGGGTCTTGACCGATCTCAAGGTCTCCAACCGACCGTTTCATGCGATTGTCAACGTCTGTGCGTCCTTCTTCCGCACTTTCCACTTTCGGCTTCGGCTTCTCTGTCAGCAATAAGCACAATACAATAGCCAACCCTATCATTCCACAGCACATCCAGTTCGCCGTATGATACCCCCTGGCCTTCTCCTCCTTTCCGCTCTCATCTGCCCCAGTTGAGTTTGCTGCAGTTGCAGCTAATGCCAATGTAACTGCTGTTGTGATCTGCAACATAGTATTGAACACCCCACCAACAAGTGATTGTTTCTCTGGTGGTGCGGAGGAGGAGCAAAAGAGATTTGCAATGGTGTAGAGGAAGAAACCACCAACTGCAGAGATAGAAATGGCGGGGAAGGGGATGGCCCAGTAGGAGGTGTGTTCGGTGACGAGGGCGTAAAGGATTGTTGGGATGAGGAGAAAGATGAGGCCGATGCACAACACCCAACGTTTCTGTAGCCACCTCAGCAAGAGTGCTGACAGGGGAATCGAAAGACATCCAAATATCACGTCCGGGACAAAGTATGCGCTCGTGAGCAACGGTGTTGCCTCCTTGATGTTCTGGAAGTATAGGACGATGTAAACAGTGATTACCTCGAAAACACCCCAGGCGAGGAAGACAATTGCCATCATGAGTGCAAAGTTGGGGAAGGTCCAGACTGAGAGAGGCATCATCGGGTCGGCTTGCCAGTGCTGGGAGGCAATGAATAGGGCAATGACAAGGATTGAAATAACGAGGAGGGTTGGGATGTACCATGTTCGCCAGCTGTGTGGAGCGTCGGTGGAAGCACTGTTGAGAAATGTCAGTTAACCTTCTGAGATGCGAGACGAGAGAATGTACGTGACGGAGTATGTCAACAGCGAAATACCAACCACTGACAGCCCCAATCCAATCCAATCCAGGTTTCCAGGATTTCTGACATCACACTCCTTTGGAACAACAAAGACCCCGCCTGCAACCATTAAGGCCGCAAAGATCGACATAATCCAGTAAATCCACCTCCAACTCAACAATTGCGAACAAATCCCTCCCAGCAACACACCCGTCAAAAATGCCAATGCGGACGCCGCTCCCAACAACCCAAAAGCTTTCTCCTTCCTTCTCGTATCTGGGAGGTACATCGCTCCAATCATCCCCACTCCAGCCGGTGTACAGATTCCTGCTCCCAATCCTTGCATTGCACGTAAAGTGTACATCATCTCCTTGTTCTTGGAAAATCCACAGATGATACATGCAACCATAAATATGACACCTCCCACCAGAAAGACTTTGCGCCGTCCATATAGGTCTGCGGCACGGCCAGCGGAGAGGAGGACACATCCACTTGCAAGGGAGAATGCTGAGACAATCCAGGAGAGAGAAGAGGCGTCATACATGTGTAGGTCGTTTCCAATTGATGTTAGGGCTGTGTTTGCGCTGCCGACAGAGAGGGAGGAGAGAGCTGTTGCAGTGGCGCAGGTAATGAGGAAGAGTATTTCGTGGGTGAGCGATCGGAGCAGTGGCGGCCGTCCTTCTCTGTCAAGCGTCACTTCCGTGAATGAAGCTGTAGTCGAATCGGCTTTTGCTGCATCCATCGAGTCTCGAAACGCCGATTGATCCACCATATCTACCGTCCCGATGCGATCATCGAGCTCCATTTCATGTCCGGCCATCTCAATCGATCCCGTTCAGCGGACTCTGCAGTACCGCGTCAAAGCGAGTGTGGTGTCGAAGGGCACTGCGATATTTTCTTGTCCATTACCTAACAGAAAACCCGACGAGATTAAAGGTGCTGCGCTACCGGAAAGCTTGGGTGTTCGGTAGCCTCGGTTGGCGCAAGCGATGTCGGCCGCGGTGCAGATTGTGCGTGCGTATGGGGAAAGTCGACCCGTGGGAATAGATCAAAGTTAGGCCTATTTGAAACCAGAGGCACATCACTTGCTCTGGTCCTTCGTCTCTGCATCCTTAAAGCGTCCAAAATTGGAAATAGACACGGGCGTTCGAGCAAACTTAATGGTGATCGAGCAAGCCTTCAGATATCCGAACAGCAGAACGTTGACAACGAAACGATGCCACATACCCTACGGCAACCGATGGTAAAACTCGTTGCACGACTAACTCAGTTATATTGCGTGAGCAGTTGTGTCCTGCCACCAAAGAGGTGAGAGAAGATGAAGACAACGTTGTTCAGGTTCTAATTGTTATTTTTGTTTGCAAAAACTTCAAAGCATCATCCAGCATCGGTGGTCCAACGGTATGATGTGCGCTTGCCATGCGCGCGACCCGGGTTCGACTCCCGGCCGATGCAGGTTTTTCCATTGGTTTTCTGCGTCCTTTTGCATCTTTTCCTTTCTCCAGATCGGCACTTGTCACCAGCGGTTAAACACTGCACAGATATCTGTTCCGTTTAGCAGTCTTGAGATCGCCGTCTATGTCCGTGCCGCAACATCGGCCTGTCTCGGGCCTTCGCCGAGGTTATCTGTGATCATTACATAAAATAGTAGTAGTATTTGTAATAGCTTGTGCTTACATGACTCCTCTAGTTGCTTACGTGTAACCCGTTATATCAACCCGAACACCTCACGCCAGAAAACCTCACGTCATCGTAGACTCCCACGACCTTCGGCATGTCGGCGCCGGCGCGGCTGCTGTGTCAACGTTCCACCCCGCACTCGTCGAGGCGCGTCTCATCGACATATACCGGTTCTCTTTCCGCATTTTGTCCAGCAATTTTCAGGATGGAGTTGAATGAACAGGCCTTGGCTATGGCGGACCGAGTCGCTTGAAGGTTGAGAGCCTGGTTAAGACGGAGGTATGGCTTGGAACGGACGGCCCGCAGGAGGACCGGTTTGTCCGGTTTATATTGAGCTTTTGAGAGGTGGGGAAACCAAGGAGATGGGCATCTTAATGACATATTGCTGGACGTGCATGTCTGGCAGAGTTGAACAGCCCTTCAGCGCGACCTTTCAGAGCCGACCTACCAGTAGGCCTCCTTAACCAATCGTAAGCCCTATACTACCATCCATTCTTCGAACCAGTCAACAACCATTTCTCGTTCATACCTCGGCGTTCATGAGCTTCTAGATTACTTCAGCGCGGGTTCTCGGTTTCTGGATCTGCACGGCGTCCTCAAGCGTGAATTCAGATGCTGTCATGTGGAGTCATCTACGTTACCCCCCCTAAATACTACACCATGGCCATGTCCGATCTTTGAAAGAGGATCAAACACGGAGCATACAATAACAACCAAACCAACGACTGTCTCTTCGATTACGACTGGCGACGTGTGTGTCATTGAACCGAGAACGCTGCATTTATAAACAAAGACACCGATATCAACATAGACCACCAGCGGAACAACTAACATGCCGGTCGCGCAGTGCGTTGACGTCGTTCTTCATCCGTGGAAGACTGCTAAGAGGGTTCGTAAGACGTAGAGATGCGAGCGAGGTAGACGGCCGCTGACTGGGGCATACAGGCATGGGCAGATAATGTCAGCGACCGCGAAAATGCTTTGAACCGCCGGCTTTGGCTCACACGACTGAGTGCTGCGAAGAATTACGAGGAATACGCCGAAGCATGTCGGGAACTGGATAAGATGGATCCTCTGGTTGTGGCTTGGAAGAAGGATCCAGCATCCCCGTACTACAACCACCTCCTGCTTCAACGACTCATCGGAACCATGCGACGCATGCGCGAAGAACCGGAAACGACGACCTCAAGACAGATGTTGTGGTTCGTGCGCTCAGTTCTACGACGAGACGTCGGTGGAATCTTACATCCAGGACTATACCGACATACAAGAATCGGCACAAAGGACTTGATCATGGAGTTCAATGACGAGGCGATAAAGTTCCTGGAGACTTTGGCAGGTGGGATACGGTCGGAACCGAACCCGTCGTTGGATGACCTGATCTATTTGGAGCGGGAGTTGACTGGGCTAAGGAGTGCGTATGGTCAAACGGCGTTGTTGTTGTCTGGAGGTGCGAATATGGGCATGACACATATCGGAGTTCTGAAGACGTTGTTCGAGGCCAAGTTGTTGCCAAGGGTTATCTCTGGGTCGAGTGCGGGGTCGATCGTGGCTTCAGCTTTGTGTGTCAGGATCGATGAGGAGATCCCGGATTTCCTGAATGCATTCAGCAAGTTATTCAACCTCGACGTATTCGGCACCGAGAACTGGTTGGGACGGTTATGGAATCTATGGAAAAAAGGTGCACTGCTGGACATCACCAACCTCCGCCTCACGATGCGCGATCTTATCGGCGAGATGACATTTTCCGAAGCATACAACCGCACACGACGAGTCTTGAACGTAACTGTCTCGTCAGGTGGTATCTACGAGATGCCCAGATTGCTGAACTACATCACCGCACCTAATGTCCTCATCTGGTCCGCTGTCTGCGCATCCTGCTCTCTACCGTTCGTATACCAACCCTCACAACTCCTAACACGCGACCCCGGAAACGGTACCGAAGTCCCCTGGGATCCGAAATCCGCACCCGTCATCGATGGAAGTGTCGAAGGAGATTTGCCGCATCTCCGACTCAGTGAGTTGTTCAATGTAAACCATTTCGTGGTGTCACAGGTTAATCCTCACGTCTTTCCTTTCCTTGCCTGGCAGCAACTCGGGTCACACGAGCCATTGGACACGGATGCTGTGCCTGATCTTGATATGCTCGAGGAACGACCCACCATGATCCAGAAAGCCTGGGAAATGTGGATGGGGGAAATGGAGCACGCGTGTCGTATGATTGGTGAAGTCGGCGTTGGGCGGATGGTTACCTCCAAGGCCGCAAGTGTGTTGAGTCAGAGGTATTCGGGCGATATTACGATTTTGCCGGATATGACTCTGAACGACGTACCGAATCTCTTGGAGAACCCTACGCCGGAGTTCTTGGATGAAGCGACGAGGAGAGGGGAACGTGCGACATGGCCCGTCGTCGAACGAATCCGGATGGGGATGAAAGTCGAGGATGCGGTTGATCGTGCAGTTGCGGAAGCCCGAGCAAGGGTGATCGATGCCAAGTGGGCGCCGATCGTCGGACCGATGCAGGAGGAGGTGTTGAATGTCCGCAGAGAGGAAGATGATGGGAATGGAGGTAAGATTAGAAGGCGTGTTCACCTGAGACGACGGAGTCATGACGCGTGGAGGAGTGCCCCGTTGAGGATGACTGCGCTGGTGAACGGCAACGTCAAAGCGAGTAATGTGCTTCCGTTCCATAACCTAGCGCTTAGGGGTTTGAGGCCGGAATTGGAGAGGACGTGGTCGAGCCCGCCGTTGAGAGGGATCGTGGACGCTGCGGAGAATGACAAGAAGGCTGGGAAGAAGGAGAGGCCTGCTGTCGACCGCGCGTCGAGTCTACCTGGGGTTACAAGTCCGGGGAATCTGCGGAGCCCAAGTAGTGGGAGTGAGGCTGATTTTGAGGTGGAGAGACCTGGCATTGGTAGGAGGTTGAGTAGTCCTGAGACTGCGTCATTGGATGTTGATCAAGACTGGCACAAATTGGCAGTGAAGGAGAAGGAGAGAGCGAGGGGACTGGGAGTAAGGTTTCAGATTGGGAGTGGGATGTCCAGTGAAGTCACCAGTCCGTTTTCTTTGTCGGAGAGCGTGAGCGTCGCGGAAGAGAGGCGGCGACGCACCCTGCCGAGCCTTGACCTTGGTTCCGTAAATAGCTCTTTGCTCGATGAGGCGTCGAGCACGCTTGCGGAAGCACTTATTGCGCCGCTGCCGAGCAGTTACCAGCCTACGCCCACGCTGGAGATGTTTCTACGTCGCCACGAATCTGAAGCCGAGGCTGTGGCTCTTGCAGCAGCTACACGAGCCGCCGAGGCAGCTGCAGCTGCAGTGAGTACGAGTCCGGACATGGACATGGACAGCGATGATGGCGGGAAAGTTACTGAGATGACGAGTCCGAACATCTCTCCTCCGCCCATTGGGTATGTCGACCCTGTGATTCTCGAGTTGACAGGCAATGAGCCGTTGTGCATGGATGCGGATTCTTTCCCGTTTCCGGATTTGCGGAGGTTAAGTGCGTCATCGTCAGATTCTAAGGAGGATGAAGATAAAGAAGAGGAGGAGCGGAAGAAGAAAGAGGAGGCCGAGAAGAAGAAGATGGAGGAGGCCGAGAAGGCTAAGGTGAAGAAGAGGACAGTGGGGCAAACCGGATGGTGGGCAGAAGAAGGAGACTTGTTCCCTCCGGTCAAGAAGGACAATGATTTTGATGGACTTTTGTAAGATTATGTATGGACAATGAACACTGGCAGATGAGGGCTGTGCGATATGACACGGACATTCATGGACACTACCAAATAGCGTCAGGATGGGAAGGAGGTTATGGACAAGGCGTCGTCTTTTATTATTATCGGGTGTACGATACTGGGACGTAACGGGGCATACGGACATTGGTAGGCATCTCTCTTTATTCTTCTCTAATGAATGCGATTCCGCTTCATCAATATCCCATCCAATGCATAGGGTACGTCATCAACCATGCAACAATGTGAAACGCCCTACTTAAACTCAATCTCCCCCTCCAGCTTCTCCAAGTCTACCTTTCTCCCCATCCTCGCCGCCTTAAACCTACTAACCTTCTTCTTCGGCGTCCCATCATACTCAACCGCACTCTCCGCCTCCTCTTCCAGATCCCAATGCGTCACGGCATCGTCTTCTTCAGGCTTGACGTACCCTCCTTCGCGTTGAATTCTGCGTTCACGGAGTTTGTGGTATTGTGCCGCGATCTCTTTATAGTGGATCGTGGGTTCGAGGGATAGGTCTTCGTCTGAGTCGAGCGGTTCTGGGGGTGGGGGTTCGCGTTCCATGACAGCGCCTTTAACCGGGTTGGAGGGTTTGTCATCATCTTTCAATTTTGGGTCTTCTTCGGTGGCTTCTCCATTGGAATCTCCGTTGGTCATAGGCGTCGATTCAGTAGAGTCAGCAACATCCCCATCGGTAGCCCCATGCCCGTTCGTTACCTCGACCTCAGTTCCGTTAGACCCAGTCTTCTCCTCCCCCTCCTTCTCCTCCTGCTCCTTCAACTGCTGCTGCTTGAACTTCGAGACCTTCTTCGGCTTCGCAACAACCTCCCACGCCTCATCCTCCTTCTGCTTCTTCGCCACCTCTTTCTCCGCTGTCGCCTTCTCCTTAGCTTCAGCATCAGCGGCTTCCTGTGCCTTCTTGTGTTCGCTTTTGTGGGACCCGTTCCAGGCTGCGGTTGTTTCGAGTGCTTTTTGAACCTTGGCAGCGGCGATACGTTGTTTGACGGCGGAGGGGGCGGCCGGGGCGGTTGGGGCGGCGGCTGGTGGGGGTGGGGTACGTTCGGTTACTTGCGACATGATTGGGCATTCGACCACCTCGTTAGCAACGGCCTTGGGTTGTGGGGTGGTGGGTGGTAGTAGTTGAATCTTTGGCTGAGATGGCGCCGACTGCGGCGATTCAACTACCGTTTCCATGACCGCCGGCGGGCCGGCAGATCTCTCCTTCTTAAACCTCGAAACCTTTATCCTCCCCACCTCCGGCGCTTTCGGCTCAGTCAGCATCCTTTCCACCACACTCTCTGCCATCGTTGGAGGGGCACGCTCAACAACCGTGTCCGCAACAGTTTTGACCACTTCAGGGGGTGGGCTGGATTTTTTGAGTACACCCTTCGCCGGCTCCTTCTCCGTATGCGTCGGTTTCTGCTTCGGGCTCTTCTTCGTCTGGATATCCAGCTTTTTCGCGAACTTGACCTTCTTCTTCTCCTTACTCTCGTTCTCCGTCTCCTTCTTCGCGTCATTCTCCACAGCAGCCATGGGTTCCTCAACCACACCCACTCGTGCCTCCGGATCCGGCAGAATAGCCCCAATCCTCTCGATCCTTCCCGTATGCACAACACCCAGCGCACCCGGTTGACCAGGTGGGATAATGTTGCGCATCAGACCTCTTACACGACCATACTCGTCCTCCTCCAGATCATCGTCCGAGCTCCTCTCTTCAGCATCCTCATCCCATTCTTGTTCGTCGTCGCCGTATATTTGAGACATGAGGTCATTCATCTGCTGTAAGTCAGATGGACGGGACACATCCCAATCACCACCATCGTCGTCATCGGAGTCACCAGTTGCGTCTTCGGAGTGGGAAACGGAGGGGGAGTCCATGCTAACGGAAGAGGCCTCTTTGCTTTGTATTGGCGAAACAGGCGTGGTGGTTTTCGATAATGTGGCGTGGGTTGTCATGACTGCTGCCTTTGGCACAGGATCAGGTTTTGACTTCGTCTCTTCTCTTTCCAGGGTGATAGCACCGTTTGTGGCGGTGTTTTGTCGAAGAGTTTCCTCTTCCTCCTCCTCCCTCTCCAACTCCGCCATCAACTCATCCAGATCTTCATAGCTCTGAGCCTTATCATTCTCTCCACCTGTCAGGTCAAGCAGCTTCCCGACTTCACCCCTGCCTTTGCCACTCGTGCTTGCCTTAACGACATTCCCCTCGTCATCCAACTCTTCCGTAATCTCGACAATGGGCTCACCCACCTCATTAACGTCTCCCACTGTCTGCCTCTCCAACTCCTGAAACGCCCCCAACCTCTCCCTCACCCCCTCCATCTCCCCTTCCACCTTCTTCACAGTCTCCTCGACATACTCTATCCGTCTCCCGATAATCTCAGCAGCCTCATGTGCGGATCGCTCGACGAACCAGTTTTCGCCGAGGAGGACGGTGATTTCGTTGGTGTGGATTAGAGTGCCGGGGATGGAGGCGAATTTGCCGAAGGGGACGCGGATATCTCTGGTTGTCTTCTTTGGGAGATCTGAGATCTTTTCCTGTAAGGCAGCGTACTCCTTTTTGTAGTTCCGCCATTGATCTGTACCGAGGTTAGCATGCTATAGAGAGGGGAGGCGAGGAAGTAGGAGTACGTACCTAGTGAGTCTCGGAGGGACCTGAGCTGATCCTCGAGCCGTGCTCGGTAGAAATTGACGGCGGCCTGTTCTTCTGGATCCATTGCTCCTCGATCCTTGCTGCCGGAGGGAGGGTCGTCGAGGAGGTGTTGAGTCTGCGGAATTGTTGCGGGATGAAATGAATGGTTCGGGAGTCCCTGCATGACGCAACCGGCACGTACGGCGGAAGATAAGGTTGGGAAAATCTTGAGTTGGGATTGGAAACGGAAGGGAGATAGGGAGTGGATGGAGATAGTAGATTTTTAGGTAATTGGCTATGATATCTTGTCCCGCTCCTCCTGCGTGCTTCCGGCCAAGCAAAGTCCTGGCCTCGCCTAAAGCTGTGTGCGAGCCGTACGTATGTGCTTGCTGTTGACCGGCCGCTCCAGGGCCTATCGTACATCTTCAGTTGAGGTCGTTCATACTCAAGCTTGGTTCTGCTGCTTCTTATGCTCATCCTCATCCCTCAAATACTCCATATACAAATCATCCGCATGCTCTTTAATCTTCCCCTCCCTAACCCCAATTTCCCCTGCACTCCCATACCCCATCGCCTTCAACGTCTTCTTCTGCAACCTCATACAAGCGTGAAACTTTTTCGAATACTCATGACAACCCATAGCCCTCTCCCACAACGACCCATACCGATTACAATTGAATAACGCGAGTTCTTCAACTGCGCAATTTGCCCATGCAGCTTCGTGGATTGCATTATTTTGGGCTTCGCGAGAAGCGAGGGAAGCGAGGGAAGCGGCTTTTTCGGCTTCGATTTGGGCGTGGAGGTCCTCGAGTTCGGATTCGTTTGTGGGGATGGGAGGGGCCGGAGTGGATTGTGCTGTCGCCTTGAACTTGGGTGGGAGGTTGAGATTAGGGAGGGGAGCAGGTTTCGCTTCGTCGATGAGGGCTTTGAGGGAGGGGTCGAGAGAGGCGAGGGGGTCTTCTGTGGTTGTGTTTGCAGCCGGGGTGGATGCGGACTCCGTTGTTGGCTTTGATTTCCAGAACCCGGACATGGTTGTGTTACTATCTGGGGATATAGAGCGGGGATAGATGCGTTCAATTGATTTGAGATGTTGACTGAAGATGCTGGCTCCAGCTTTTGATAGAGTTCCGGCGACTGCGGGTTCATGCACGACCATGCAGTCGTCCAAGCTGTACACAATACCGAAGTCAACGTTACACCCCGACCGTCAATACCAAATGGACCCTCCAACAGGTTTGTAACCCGTCTTCATCATTGCTATCTTACGCTGACACCGTGCGCAGTGCCCAATTCACGTCAAGAACGCAGAGAAGCCCGTGTTCGAGGCGCAAAGTGCGTACCAGTTCGCGCTCCAGACGACGCGTTTGGTTGACATTCGGTGTAGTACACATAAAGTCCAGGATGTCGCGTTTACGATTCAAACGGGCGCAGGTGGAGGCGCGCCGCCGGTGAGGACGCCGGGGAACAGGAGGACGGTAACACAAGGTTTCCCTCCTTTGATGACATTGGGTTAAACATTGGCTGATGAAAGACGGCAAACAGCCCCAACGACAGGGAAGAAGAGTGGGAGTACGGTTAAACGCAACGCGACAAATGCCGTACAACCCGCGTCAGCAAAACGCACACCAGCACCACAACTACCCGCGAGCGTACAACGACCTGCAGCCCCATCCACCGCCAAACGGTCCGCAACAACAGCAGCCCTCCACCCGACGCGTACAAGCACGGCGAAGAAACTCTCTACCTTTGGACCTGCATCTCGTGGAGTAGGCAGTGTGCGACGACCGACTGCGCCCGCGGTGATACCACGGAACGGAGGTGCGGACACACCGAGTAATCGACGCGCTGGGGGACGGAGGCGGAGGCAGCAGGATCCGGAGGGTGTGGACTCTCCAATCAAGAAAAGTCGGTTGGGTGAGGAGGTGGAGCAGGAGCATGAGGAACAACAAGAGGGAGTGGAGGAGTCGGAGAAGGAGGTCAATGGGGATGGAGAGGAGGGGTCGGCGGAGATGAGTTTGGTTACGGAGGAGAATGTGGTGATGCCGATACAAACAGAGCAAGAGGTCGATGAGGAAATACCAGAAGTGGAAGCTGAAGTTGAGCCTGAGCAGGAGCAACCGGAGCAACCGGAGCAACCGGAGCAGGAGTCGGAAGAAAACGTTGACGAGGAGGAAGACATGGCGTCAACACTGCCAACGCCGAAAGCATTGAAGACAAACGGCGTTTCGCGGAGCAAGACCGATCTACCGAGACGCGATACGGCAAATCTGAATGGCGACAGACCAGTATTGGCACCAGGACGGGCTCCAGCAGATGCGACGCGCCCAGCGACATCGCAAGAGAATGGAACGACGCAACAAAAGCGCAAGGCAAAGGCAACGGACCCAACACCTTCTGCAACCCCCGCAAAGAAACAGAAGTCACGACCTACGCGACCAGAACCCACCACAACCCAACAAACCGACTCTACCCTCCCTTCTCAATCACAATCTCAACCTCCCCGCAAAAAAGCGCTCGAATCCCGCTCCGTCCAAATCACAACCCACAAATTCTCCGCCTCCAACACCACCCGCGCCCCCACCAACGAGCTCGACATCATCCTCGCACTCCTCACCGAACAACTCGACCGTCTCCGGCAGCGCACCACAATCGACGCCCGTACCCGCCTCATCCTCGACGCATTCACCGAAGAAGTAACGATCCGTCTATTACAAATGACTGACGCGTTGGATTCGTATCATAGTTTGGTCGTGGCGAATCGGAGGGCGGGGAGGAGGAAGGGGGAGTTGAGGGCGGAGCTGTTGAGGGTGAGAAGGGAGAGGGCGGGGGTTAGGGATAGGATGACAGAAGTTCGTCGACAGCATGCCGAAGCCGTAGAGATAAACGAGGAGATGGAAGGTGTTGGACGATTCTTCGAGGAGGTGGTCAAGATGAGGGAGGAGGATGCGGGGGAGGTACGGGAAGCAGAGGAGATGAAGGGGATGGAGGGGTTGTTGAGGGTTGTGGGGCCGGTTGTTACGGGGGAGTATGCGATTGCGAAGCGTTTGAGTGTGTTTAATGGGTTTTTGGAGAGGGTTGAGGAGGCTATTCGGAAGGCGTAGGATAGGAAGGCTTTACAAAATATCTGTTAATCCATTAATATTTATCCTCCCAAATACGGTCTCATGTATTTTGTAAAGCTTGAGCTCACGTGAGCCGACCTCGAGCGCAGGAACTTTTGTTCCCACCAGGCGGCCAACGCCCACGCCTCGTGAGAGTTTGACCCCCCCATCGTGAGAACCAAAAAACACAAAGTGATCCGTCTGAGATGTCCAGCCAAGATCAGCCAGTCGCTGCCAGCGCATCAACAGCCGTGCCCGTGCCTGCTACTCCGCCCTCTGCTTCGGCTCCGACCAACGACGAACGGGAGGCGACGACTGTTCCGGAGGAGAAGGTAGTCGTCGAGGCAAAGGAGCCTACGGAGGACGACGCTCAAGCTCTTCTTGGCTTGCTTGGGAACATCAACGCGGGGATCGCGACACTGGCACCCGTAACTGAGAAGGACGCGACGACGTCCGCGGCGGCTCCTTCTGACGCGCAAGCATCTGTGTCAACAGAGCAAGCGACGAATCCCACTCTTGACAGTCTCCTGAGCGTATGTCACACTCACAATTTATTTATTTTGAGCGTGTATGCTAACGAAAACGCGTCCGTTTAGTTGCACAACCTTCCTACCCCCGCAGAGAGCCCAGCCATCACGGACGCTGCACGTCAGGAAGAAACGGCGAAGATCCTGGCTTTGTTGAATAACGGACATCAGTCGGCACCTAACATGGATCCTTCCGCTGATTTGGATACGTTGTTGCAGAACGGTGGCGGTAATGCCAACGGTAACGGTATTGGGAACCAGCAGGCTCCGATGGCGCCGGTTGAGTTCTCCGATGCCGATGCCTCAGGGAAGAGGAAGCGTAAGTGGTCAGGCAAGGAGGAACCGCGCCGTGAAGCCGCCGCTGCGCGTCACGAGATCATCAAACAGGCGATTCTTGACCACATGCCTGCGATGCAAGAGGCTGCGAACTCTGCTGGCATGTTGTTCTCTCCTAGCGCCGTGTTGCCCGAGAACAACAAGTTGACCACCATCACCTGTTTGTATGCCTCTGTTGCGCAGAAGTCGTATGGTACTGAGAAGCGATTTTTGTGCCCGCCGCCTGTTGTTGCGATTCAGGGTGCGCACCGTCATTCAATGGGTGATATTCCTCAGGGTCGCATTTCAATCTACGCGGAGGACAGCCCGGTGCCCATCTCGCACCACAGTGAGTCCTTTACTGCGCAGAGCTTACAGGCCACCTTCAAGCAACTTCACATCTCCAACGTCGCGACCGCCAAGTCGAAGCACTTCAACCTTCGTCTTCGTGTCGCCGCGCGTGGACGAAGCGCGAGTGACGAGCAATACTTTGCTGAATGGGACTCGCCGCCGATCAACATTATCTCCAAGCCTTCGAAAAAGTCATCCAAAGCGAGGAACTTGGCGACGTGCATCCAGGCCAGCACTTTGGTGTCCTTGTACAACCGTATCAACTCGCAGACAGTGAGGACCAAGTACCTCCGTACTGAGGGAGGTCGCCTGTGTGCCAAGAGTCACGAGTGGTCACCGTTCTTGATTCAGGTCATGCGTAACCCTGAACTCATGGAGGATGGTGTGGTCACCGATGAGCTTCCTGAGCCGGGAGAGCCTGTCATGTACGGGACTGTGGTTGTCTTGACTGACACCATCACCGGTGTGCCATCACAGCCCCTCATCATTCGTCGCGTCGAGAAAAACGTGATTGTCGACGATGCGGTGGGTCCTGTCTCGCAGATGGGTAAGATCGCGTTCGAGTCCGTTCGTGAGGAGGACGATGAGAGTGGTGAGCGCATGTTCCTCTCTGCTCTTGGTGCTCAATCCGATACCGGTGCCGCACGCATGGAGAACGTTGACCCGACTGTCGGCTGGCAACCTCCCAAGGCTGGCTCTACGACTCGCGTCGAGGACCACGTCTGCTGGACCATCGTTGGTATTTCCCAATTCCGCCACACCTTCCTCGACGCATTCGGACAGCCAGACGAGGCTCCTATTCCTATGCCTGGACAAGCTCCAGCATTGTTGCAGGCTGGTCAGCCCATGCCGAACATCATCCAGACTCCCGCTGGACCCATGGTTGATGACTACAAGGGCCCTGTGACCCCCTTCCCTGCTCTCGCGACGAATCCGGCTTACCTTTCCAACACCCACACTCTCGAACTTGTCGTGGGTGATTTCGTCTCTACCAACCCCGCCATCCCTACGCCTGAAGTTTGGTTGGGTCACGTCGGACCGCTGAACGTTCGTGTTAGTGCTGCTCCGGCAGAATATCCTAACACGGTAATGCTGCATGTCGAGTTGCCTTCCTTCAAGGACTTGAACGGAGGCAGTATGCCGTTGCTGTTCGTCAGGCACGATGGTATTGTTAGCAACCCGGGTTGTGAGGTCGTCGTTGACTACAAGGAAGGTGAAGGAGAGGGCGGTGAAGAAGCAAAGGAAGGCGAAGAGGAGGTTGCTGAGGAGGCGTAAGTTTTGGGAAACATGATCAATTACGGGGATAAACAGAGACGTTCGTTTTTAGAGAGATGTGGCACGATCCGAGTTGATGGTTACAAATCTGCTATGTTTGCTTTGAGTACTAGTACACGCGTCTTTATTCAGTTGTCGTCATATCCAAGATCTTTGTGCATGTACACCCAGCAATGCTTTCCCCAGGTTGAAATCCAAAACTCCGAATGACCAGTGCGAACGTTTGCACGAATTAATTCACCCTGCACAATGCCAATCCGCCAACACCCTTCTCCACAGCTTCCAGTGCGTCCATAACTCCCAGGCTAGTCTGCACCAACAAAACCTCGCCCACATTCAGCGGCGCAATCTCCCCTGCCTTCTTTCCCTCGATCACATCCTTCAGATCCCGCACCGTCATCATAATCTTCTTGCTAGGCTTGCTGATAAGCTTCATCTGTGACAGCACTTTCTCGTTGTCTCTGTATTTCATTTCAAGCCAGAGTCGGCGTCCGGAGACGTTCTGTTTGGTAGTGGGGGTGTAGATCTTGTCGGGGGCAGTCACCGTGCCTCGCGTGATGGAGGAGATAAATCCATGACGTTGTAGTGCGAGACAAACTTCGAGGTATGCTTTTGTTTGTGGGATACAGGTCTGCTTCAAGCGGGCCGTCGAGACGTTCTGCAAGTGAGCGCAGATGTTGGCCAACCGCACGAGCGACATTTTGGAGGATTCTGATGGGAGCGCCGGGGAATATGTAGAGCTGGTCGCTGAGACGTAGACTGTCGCTGTACTGAAGACGAGCCTTTGAGCTTTCTGATTGAATGATCTTTACAGAACTTTCGACGTTACCGCTCGCACACAAAATCCAGGACGTTAGTCCGAGGCTCGAGGTGGCACACCAGGGGCAGATATACGTCGTCCGTTTCCCGCCGTGTTGAACACAAATACAATTCCGAGATATTTCAGGATGTTTTTCACCAAGTATATCGTACTTGCGCTCTCTGCTGCTGTTGCCGCTGCTTCTGCCACTAAGGAGCCTCCTACCACCCTTCAAATCGGTGTCAAGCATCGCGTTCCCGAGGAGGAATGTCTCAGGAAGACGAAGAACGGAGATCAGCTTGCCATGCACTACCGTGGTTCTCTGTTTGATTCTGGAAAGGAGTTTGATGCGTCTTACAACCGCGGAAGGCCTTTTGAGTTCACGATCGGCAAGGGCCAGGTGATCAAGGGATGGGATCAGGGATTGCTTGAGTATGTCATGTATTGCCTTTCTTAAGTTTGTCAATGCTAAGAAGGTACATAGTATGTGTATTGGGGAGAAGCGCAAGCTCGTTATCCCTCCTGAGCTCGGCTACGGCGCTCGCGGTGCTGGAGGTGTTATCCCAGGAGGAGCCACCCTTGTCTTCGACGTCGAACTACTGGAGATCAAGGGCTGGACTCCCCCGCCCAAGGAGGAACTCTGAAGAACGATTGCAAAGGAGGGAACTTGACAAACGATACCCATGATATGAATTTGGTATATGAGATATGCAAGATATAGCAATGGCGCCTAAAAGAATGTGTGCCCCCCAAGAACGAAAGATATAACTCCACCCATCCCAACGAGCAACAAAAATAATAAAAAAAGACCGAAAGATAGCAATGCTAGATATTTTCTGGTAAACCGGCCAGCGGTCAAGTTCCCCCAGGGCAGATTAGTATACGCAATCCTTGGGTGATCAATAGATATGCCTCAACCCTTCCCTTCCCTTCGCCTACCCTCCCTGCCATTACCTCCTCTCGCCAACTCAGTTCTCCATCTCACCGTCCGGCACGAACTCGCCACTCCCATCCTCATCCTCAAAATCCTCCCTCGCTCCCCTTCTCTGCTCCGCTTGTGGCCTCCTCCCCCTCTTCACCGGAGACTTCTTCGGCGCGTCCACGTCACCCTGACCCAACAACGTCACCGCCCTCCCACGCTTCCGACCCTGAGCTTTCGGCGTAACGGGTGATATCGGCTCGTGATGACCCATATAATTCGGCATACTCGCTCGGCGCTGATTCTGATTCGAAACACTTACGGTATACCCTCCCATCGTATTCATCGAAGCGGTGCTGGTACTTTCACCCATCGTCGGCAACATCGCCTGAGGACCCATATTCGACATTGTCGCAGACGTAGGACTCGCATAACTCTGATCATACCCATGCGCAACATAGCCATGACTCTGCTCCGACAACGTCGGATCCATATACGATCCCTGCTGGTGCTGGTGCTGGTCCATTCGACGAACAGCTGCGGATGGGATGCTGCTATGACTCAACGTTCGTGTCAACGCCGGCGCGGCCATCGGTACCAGTGCTTCATGATAGTACTGCGTAGGCGAAGGTTGTTGGGCGGAATGCATGTGTTGCTGCATCATGCCCACACCCATACCAGCTGCTCCCATCTCCTCGAATCCGTTGTATGGTTGCATTTGCGAATACGAGGGTGCCATCGCTGTACTCATCCCAATCGCGGTGGGACTCGGTCGATGCCATTGACCGGGTACCGGAACCGGTACTGGAGCAGCAGCTTGCGTCGGAGCTGGTACGGGACCCATATCCATGTGCATACTCATCTGGCTCAGCGCTGGTTGCATCGCGACGGCGGCTTGTGTTGCGTCCAAGCGTCGATTAACATAATTGAGGAGTTCGGTAAAACGGGAGTTGATCTGCGTAACAAGGTTCTGGAGTTGGTTGGATGTCGTCTCAATCCAATGTCCCTGTTCGCGGGATGAGTCTTGGAGGAGGGAGACGGTGACCGCGAGAGAAGGGTTGGTGGGGCTAAGAAGCTCTGACCGTGTCCTTCCCTGCGGTGAGTCTTTGGGTGAGTTTGTCTTTTGAGGCTCTGGACAGCAATTGTTTTGTGTTTGTGCGTCGCCACATTGCTTGTTGACACTTTCCGGTTTCAACCCACACCCATTTCTCACGGTTTCTTCAAGCGCGAGGAGACGCTTCTCTTGCTGGTCCATACGGTCTTCCTGAGACTTGATGAAAGAATCCTGACGTTGCAAGACTTCGGCACGGAGCTTATTGGCGGCTTCGACGGCTGCTTGGAGAGATTGAAGCTCGCTGGAAACAGTCTTGATTGTTTCAACCGTTTGACGACGGGAGTTTTCGAGGAACCAGAGACATTTGTTGAACCTGAGCACACTGCATTAGCCGAGTTGTAAACCAGCCCGACACTCTACGGACCTTGTGATGACACTCTCCAACCCCTCTCCCTGCAACAACATCGCCTTTTCCCGCTTCATCCCCTCAATTGCCTCAGCTTGTCGCATAACCTGGTCCTTCATCCCCAACAACTCAAGCAACAAGTTGTTGTCGACAGTGATATGTGGCTCCGTTTCGAGCGCCGGCGCACCAAGAATCCCACTCAACCGATACTGCTCTGAATGACTATGACGAAGCTCACTCGAAGGTCCGGAGAATGAGGTCCGTGCTGTGGTTGTTTGGATACTTTGCTGTGACGTACTCTTCGGTGATGGCGTAGCCATAGGCCTCTGGAACCCCCCCGCGGCCGCCGGTGACGACATCTCATTCCCAAAAACGGGAGGTTGGAGGGTTGGAATCTCAGCCATTCTCTGGGTAGGAGAAAGAGGGAATTGCTGGTGCTGGTGCTGTTGGGGATACACGACGGCTGCTTCGTTGAAGGTGAAGGCGGGGTCGGTAGGAGCTAGCCCGAACATAGCTGAAGCACGTGCGAGATGGTTAAAGTTGTCAGAGACAGAGTCGGTGTTTCCGTAGCGGTCGCGAAGTGATGGGGAGTCTGTTGCCTTTATGCTCCGCGGTCGTACTTGGGTGAACGTCTCGTTTGAGGTTGCGATTCAACCGCTTGGGTTCGCGGATATCGATCGTGGTGCAGCAAGGCAATAATATATCTGACCTCAGGCCGCTGCCAGCTGCGAGGGTTTACCGCACCACACGGCCCAACGGGACCAATTGCAAGGATACGTGCACGCGTACCATCCTAATGGCAAATTGAGCTCGATAAGCTCAGCTGTGCGTCACGAGTCGTCCATAAGATTGCTATCCGTCAAGACCCCGCAGGCCTCACCCGCGTTTCATTTCGCCCGCTGCGGCGCCTCCCGAGGCCAACCTTAATTCTGTGGTACATTATGAGGGGATTCTTTGGACTGCTCCGTGGTGGCAAAAATAGGGATACCATTTAGCCATTTCGCAATCCTTCCAATACCAGAGGTCTCACACACGTGCACGGAACTGAATCTCCGCCGGCCAGAACCTCAACTTTGAACAACCTCGGTGCCTCATTTTGTAACAGACTGATTGAGCGCGCCGAGTTCGAGCTGACTGATGTTGTACTAGACTGCCATAATAACGCAATTGACATGGGTTGAGAGGGTCCGGTTCTGCCCGTAATTGCGTGAGTAGTATAGAGTTTGAGTGTTCTAGGTTCGCTCAGTACAAGGGTTCCCCGCCAAACGTATATTAAGGACACGATGCAGGGGTGTTCTCATGATGCAGCGTATGTGATATCGTTTCATCTGCAAATCGCATCTGTCTAAGCATTCCAGACTCTTACCTGTCTCGTTTTCAACCAATTCCACTCTCACTTTTCGTTGTCTTGGCGGACCGCGTTGACGTCGCGGTGTCGGCCGCTGTCACCGCTCGCTCCACCTGCAGAGCGCGACACCTCGGCAGCACCACCCTTGATCCCTACGAGCAATTGATCCACCAACATGCTCCTCCACCACCTCCTCCTAGCTCTCGTCTCCACCTCCCTCGCATCCGCTGCCTCCAGCGGCTGGTCCGTCACAAACGGCAAAGCCTCCCTCACAACCCGTGCAAACTCCAAACTCTCCACCGAGCTCTTCGACTCCACCACCACCCCCTCCTCCTCCCACACCTTCGACATCGGCACGGGCGAACGTTTGAGTCTATTGTTTACCTGCAAAAACGAGGGAGAAGGCGCGAGGCCGCATCAGGCGTATGTGTTGGTTAGGGATGAGGTCACGGGGTTGGAGAGTGCTGTTGTTGCGAGTGTGAGGGAGTCGGGGAAGGCGAAAGTCGATGTTGATCCGAGGAATTTGCCGGCGCCGCTCAATGGGGTTGCGACGCCCCTCACACTCACCCTCGCCATCGCGTCGAAGGGGGATTCGAAACCCTTGCTCTACCAACTCGGCAAAATCGCGAATAAGAACCCTACCAAGCCGGAGGCGGAGGCGAATCCGGTGCGGTATGGACCTTTGCCAGAGATCACACATACTTTCCGCTCTGAGCAGGATTTACCGCCCAGGATCATCTCTATGGGATTTGCTGCTGCCGTGATTGCCTGCTTCCTCGCTCTCATCGTCTCCGTACGTCCTTCCCTCCTTCCCCTCGTTCCCTCCTCATTGTAACACTCTTTACTCACATAGTGGACCTCGCTCGACGCCAACCTGAGCCTCCTCCCACGCCGCCTCGCCGCTGCTCCCCTCTCTTCTGCGATGTTCATCGGCTCCTTGATCGGGTTTGAAGCTCTGCTTGCTTGTTATTGGTTGTGGATGAGGGTTGGGGAGGTGTTGGTGATCGGAGCTGGGTTGGGAGTTGTGGGATTTTTGGGGTATGTTGGGGTTGCGAGGGGCGTGAAGGAGTTCTAAGCTTCTGAAGTCTGGACTGTTAAGAATGGAGGAAGAGAGATATACCCAGCACATGGTGAGGAATGGGCAAAAGAAACTAGGAAGATGGGTGGTATTGCATGGCATCGGTCAGAAATACATATTGATATGTCAAAACGGGCTTTTTGGTTGAGAACTAATCCGGGTCATGTTCGGTGTACGGTGCGCATGGAAGTAGAGTACTGCCTTCGTTCATCGTCGTTAACGTTGATGATATATCCATCCACGTAAAGTGATCGAAGTGATCAATGCCAGCCATGTCCCATATTGTTAGTGCTCAAAATCAAACCGAAACATCATCCCTCCCGTTACAAATCCGCTCATATATTTTTATTAGGCTCTCCTATTTCATCCCAGGCAACTCCAAATCAGGTATCTCCGGAATCTTCGGAATCTTCGCCCTCTCCGCCCTCTCCGCGTCTTTCACCTGCTGAACCTCCTCCCATCCCGTCACCATGTTGAGAGGCGAGACATGCTTGTCGGCTGGCATCACCTTTCGCTCTTCACCGAGAACCACTGTATACCAGAGGTCAGATTCACGATTATGTCGTTGCGGGCGGAGACACGTACCTCTTCTGTACAAGACCCAACTTGTGACCAGGAAGAACGGTAGGGCGACGATGATGTTTCGAATGCTGCAACACCAAATCAGCACCCGCTCTTTGCTCTCACTTGCAATGATCGACTTACTGCTTCCCCTTCGGGGGCAATGGTGGTGGCTTCTGTCCGAAAGGAAAGAACATTGCGCTGGATGTGATTTCTTCGAGGGGGGTGTAACGTAGACTTTTGGTGTACCGGTCCCCCGGATTTCGGCTGGTGAGGAACGGATGGGGCGGCGCGGTGGATGGAGGGCCCGGAGCGTATACTGTACGTGGGAGTAAACTCAACACAATCATTTGAAGGTACCCAGGTATTCTCTTCTCAACAATGACATTGACATTGCGCAATTGCTGATCTGAACGACAGCCATGGCAAACTGCTCAGCGCCCGAAATCGCCGCCGCCTACGAGGACGTCCGTTCCGACAGATCAACCACAAACTGGCTCCTCCTCGACTACGAATCCGAGAAATCAGATACCCTAGTCCTGACCTCCACCGGCGACGGTGGCCTCGATGAGTTCAAGTCCAAGATCACCGAGGACGGGAACAAGGGGAAGGGGAGGGCGAGTTTCGGGTATGTGAGGGTGACGTATAAGAATGATGAGCAGAGTGAGCGGGTGAAGTTCATTCTTGTTATTTGGATTGGTGCGTCGACGGTGCGAGCTTCGTTTACTCATGGCTGATACTTGACGTACAGGCGAGTCTGTGAAGATTATGCGTAAGGCGAGGATGGGTGTTCATACCGCCAACGTCAAGGATGTGTTGCGATCGTTCTCCATTGAGGTTCCTGCGCACAACGAGGATGATCTGAGAGAGAAGGACATTGTTGTTCGGTTGAGGAAGGCTGGTGGTGCTTCTTACGATGGCGTGTAGAGGAGATGATAAACCGCAAGAGGACCATTTATGGGACATGTTTTAGGCGCATAGCGAGAAAGAATTTGATACAAGATGGGAATTCGAATATACCCAGTTTTAACACATCACACTTTACTCTGAACACAGTTGCAGACGGCTAGGATAGCAAGAAACTCAGTTGATATCAGTAAACAACAATATAGTAATCAAACACACAACACCGAACGAGCATTCTGTCTTGATCTTGGCAATGTCCCAATCACTCGACTTTATGTCTCCCGGAGCCCCCGAAAACACAAAAAGCATAGCAATACACATATCGTACACTCATTCTCACCACACAACACAAGACCTCAAGGCTTAGAACTTCGCACCAAGAGCCTGCGCAACCTTCATCCCCTGCCTCATCATCAAATCCTGCATAATCTCCTCACTCCCCCCAGGAATAGCATAAGCCCTGACATCCCGATACAACCTCTCAACCTTATCACCCTGCCCTCCCCTCGAATAACTCAAACCACCGAAAACCTGAGACGCCTCACGCGCACAAAGCTCAAACACCTTCGTACTCTGCGCCTTGAGACCAGCGACTGCACCACCGAGACGCAACATAGCTTCCACGTCTCCCATTTTTTCCATTTGGTAGATGACGAGTTCGAGGTTTGCGTGGGTTGCTTCGATTTGACGAGCCATGTTTGCGAATTTGTCGCGGATGACGGGGTGTTCGATCAATTTCTTCCCGAACGTCTTGCGTTTCTGTGCGTACTTGAACGCTTCTTCATAGCAGACTCGCGCGAATCGGTTAGCTTGGATGATAATCCCGATACGCTCGTGGTTGAAGTTGGTCATGATCACTTTGAAGCCTTTGTTTTCTTTGCCGATGAGGTTCTCGACAGGGACTTTGACGTCGTCGAATTCGACGTAGGTGGTGCCGGAGGCCCAGACACCTTGGCACTTCATTTGGCGGGTGGTTACGCCTGGCATGGTTTTCTCGATCAAGAGGAGGGAGATACCGTTCATGCCGGGGCCGCCCGTGCGGACGGCGACAGTAAAGTAGTCGGAGAGGAGGCCGTTCGTGATCCACTTCTTCTCGCCGTTGACGATGTAGTGCTTCCCATCCGCCGTCTTCTTGGCAGAGGTGACGAGGTTGGCGACGTCAGACCCCGCATCGGGTTCCGTGATGCACAAACAAAACCTCTTCTTGCCACTCAAGACGTCGGGAAGAATACGCTTCTTCACCTCCTCATTCCCAAACTTCAAGACAGGGGGACAACCGATACCGTAGCCACCCAACAAATTCCAAACAACACCTCCAGATCCACAACGCGACAACTCATCCGTAATAACCAACTCACAGAAATGATCCCACTTCTCAGGCGGAACGGACTTACACCTAACATCCGTATACTTCGTGGGATACTTCACACCCAAACACCCCGCCAACCATCCTCTCTGTCCCATCTTCTCATAAATGGTGTTCGGCATTCCCTTTGCCTCATCCCACTCGTGCACGAATGGCTCAATCTCCGTCTCGACAAACTCCCTGATCTCGGCGCGGAGAGCGTGGTGGTGGGGCTTGTAGTAGGGTGAGTGCCAGCCTTGGTACCAGGAGGGGTCGGCGTAGGGGTTCATGTCGCCAAAGTACTGGATTTCGGCTTCGTCGTCTTGGACGGGGGTGGATTTAGAGCCGGAGGGCATAGGAGCAGCGTAGGAGGTGGCGGGGGTGACGCCGACTTCGCCGGAACCGGACAACGTACCCTTGCCGGGAGCGGGAGCCTTGGCGGAGGAGGTCTTGGGGGAAGAGGAGGTAACGGACTGAGCAGCACCCGGAACCTTCGCAATCTTCGCAACCTCGGCCGAGTCCTTGCTCGACGCAGCCTTTCCGGGCGCCGGGTTCGCACCACCAGTCGATGTTCCAGTCTTGCTCTGCACGATGGTGTTCGGAGTCGCCGAACTCGCTCCACCTCCAACGGAGCCAATATGCAACTTCGCCTTATACTTGTTCAGAATCGCCTGATTGTGGTACTTCCAAAATGGTTTCGAGGCATCCGTTCCAGCGTTACGCAAGAGAATCTTCTTACCGCCGGGATGCTCGTCGGCGAACTTGGTGAGGTCGTAGACTTCATTGTCAACGATAATCCAGAGGCCGGAGCCGCTGGGGTCTTTGTGGGAGGCAACTTCGTCCTTGGTGAAGGTCTTTGGAGCCATTGTGAAATGGTTGTTGGGGGTGTATGCTCTCGGCTGGGGGTGTATGCTCTTTTATGTTCGTGCGGTCATTGGCTGTGTCCTGGTGTGGAGTTGGCGGATGCGGGGAAGCCGAGATGCAGCGTACGCGGCCCGGTCACCTGAAGGGGAAAGACATGTGAAAGTCGATTGCGATGAAGAGGAGTGTTACAGGTTGATCATTCGGTTTTATTCAAGACCATCTCGTCGCATTGCTACATCTGGAACGGCACCGTAAGTGATGTTGCACGCATCGAACTTCCCTCGGCCGCGTTTGGATTCATGTTCGCAGCTGAAATTGACGTCCCTATGCCCGCCATTAGCTTTGCTCCGCCTCGCCTTTCTGCTCACCACGTGAAGGACTCCATACGCTGCACACACTGTGAAGTTATAAGAGGAGCGGGATCAGGAGCGTGGGAATGGGAACGGGACTTGCAAACCAGACCTTTCAACCGCAATAGCAAGAACAATTCATTAAGCGACTATACAGACTCATGCACAATACACGCAGACTATTTCTTCGCCTTCAAAATAACCCAGGTCAGCAACTTCATCCCCAGAATGATCCCAAGCAACACCGCAACCCACTTTCCCTCATTCACATTCCCATACCCGTTCTGGTCCAAGAACGTTTGTCCGGAGATATATCCCTCCCCGGCCAATGGATTGTCGTAAATACACCTTTGTCCCTCACAAGAGTACCTCCTATTCGCAAACTCGTTCTTCATCATACCCTCAAAGACATAGCGCTGATAATCAATGTACCGGAATGTATACCTCCAAAACACATTCAACTGATTTGGCGAGACCAGGAAGCCTCCCACAGCCATGAAGAGCCCATTAACGAACGCCGTAATCGTCAACGCCCCAACGAAAATGGGTATGATGGCCGAGATGAGCACGACCAACGACTCCGCAGCGTACAAATCCAAAAACAACCACATAACATACTTCCAAAACCCCACCGCCGTAGGCTGAAACCCGATCATCCAATAACTAACGACCCCAACAACCACCACAATCCCCCCCAAAAAGCCCACACCAACGACCCCGCCACTAACCAACAACGCTCCAGGCCCGTACAATCCCTCCCCGCCTCCCCTCCCGGTGCCCTCGCGTCCCCACATCACTAAATCCTCCAACACGGATGGGATAGCGGCGACTTGCATGAATGACATAAACGCACCTCCGAAAAAGATCGCGTTCGTGAGGGATTGGAGGGAGGATTGGGTTGCGGGGAGACGGAGGAACGTCGTACCCATGAGGAGGGCAAGGGCGAGGTACATGAAGAAGCGGATCGTGTAGGCAAGAGGGTCGCGGTAGGATTTGAGGAGGGTGCGGTGAGTTAGGGTGAGGATTTGGTGCCAGAAGGTTGAGTGATGGTTGCGGCTTGAGGAGCGTGGGAGGTGGGAGGCAGAGGCAGGGGAGGGGGCTGTGAGGAGGTGTTCGAGAGTGGAGGCTTCGGGGGAGGAGGACCATGCGTTGGCCATCTCCTCGACGTGACGATTTCCCTCCTCCTCATCTCCCCAAAAATCCACGTTCGTAACGTCGAGCATGTGATCAGCAATACCCACACCCTTCCCAACCGGCTTTCCAATCCTGTGGAAATACTCCTCGACCTCACCCACCCGTCCAAAATAGATCTGTTTCCCACGCGAAAGTAGGAGAGTTTTGTCGAATAGGCCGAAGGTGGCCGAGGATGGTTGATGGATGGAGCAGACGATGATCATCCCATGCGCACGGGCAAATGATTGAAGGTGAGAAATGACCTCGCGACTAGCGGCCGAGTCGAGGCCAGACGTGGGTTCATCCAGGAAGACCAAGCGAGGCATACTGATGATCTGGCACGCGACGCTCACCCTCCGTTTCTGCCCGCCGGAGATACCCTTCCGGCGAGCAAGAGCCGTACCGATCTGGGTATCAGCCTGCTCCGTAAGACCGAATGCACGGAGGAGAGTTGTAACACGTTCAGCACGAAGAGCGCGGGAGAGGTCGGGAAGCGCCAGCCGAGCAGCGAACTCCAATGTCTCCCTCACAGTAAGCGAGCCAAGCAACGCATCCTCCTGCTCGACATACGTCCCAACCTCCCTAACCACCTCCCCAGTCAACCTAACTCCCCCATTAACCCACATATCACCCCCAATGGTCGTCTTTCCCCCATTCTGGTTCCTCTGAGCAAGGATGTTGAGAAGCGTCGTTTTTCCGCTACCGGAGGAGCCGAGGATGGCGAGGATTTCACCGCGGGGGACGTGTGCGGAGATGGAGGTGAGGATTTGTTTGGTGGGGGTGGAGAAGGAGATGTTGTGCCAGGAGAGGGAGGAGAGGGCGTGGATTGTGGTTGTGAGGGGTTTGGCTTCGATGTCTATGTCGAGAGAAGTCATGGTGGAAGTGTGTGAAGAGGATTATGACAGGCGATACGTGAACTTTATAGACCGCATGGTGGTCCCGTCCAAACGGCGTCTGCCTCGGTGTTTTGCTCCCACGGTGCCCGGTGTTCAACCGCGCGCAAAGGCCGGTATTAACTCGGATCGAATTAAAGCAGCGCACGCGCGTTCAAACACCGAGAGCTCTGCAGCGCCGGCGAGAGGAAGGCGAAGCAGAACCCCCAGGCCATTCCCCACACGTGTCGCCTATCCTCGGCATTCGAATTCGATAGATAGCCGTTGCCGTTTAAAGAGTTTCAAGGTAGCAGAAGATGAAGAAGAGGTCCAGTATGCCAGCGAAGGAACAGTGACTAACGGCATCATGGGAAACAGTCTCTCGATTGAACCGATCCGGGATCTCTCCCGTTCCGACCCACACAACGGCTGTCCTCACACCCAGGCAGGGAAACGCCGACCAAGCATGGACCACGGCCCCGACAAGAAAAAGGTTGCAAGACTAGCATGTCTAAACTGTCGCCAACGCAAAGTCAAATGTTGCGGGACGCAGCCAATCTGCGAGCGTTGCAAAAGCCAAAACCTCGTTTGTTCATGGTTACCGTCGCAGAGGGGTGGAGCGCGCGTTCCACGCAAGAAAGACAAGAGTCCCGAGAATGTACAAGGTGGTGGACGTCCGAGGATCAGCGAGGAGAGATCATCACCCGACGAGTCTTTCGTGTCTTTCAACGAAGACCACGACATGGGCGTCGACATGGACTACGACCAATCCTACGACTACGACCTCGATGAACAAATCGCCCTCCTCCAACAAACCTCCCTCAACCCTTCCACAACCTACCTCACCCTTTCTCCCAGCACTTCCACCACCAAATCACCCGCCTCCTCGACCCCCGGCACCGAACTCATCCAACTCAACTACGCCGGTGGCGAGGGCCTCCTCCCCCGCGAATACACCCACCTCATCGCGACCTACTACGCCCACTTCCACCACAATCACTCTTTCCTCCTACCTCACCACCTCGTCATTCCCCGTTTCAGGCGTAGCGGAGGGTTGTTCTGGGGTGTATTGTGGGTTGGGTCCCATTTCACCCATACGCTCTCCCCTTCATCGCCATACCCTAATGGAGAACGCGGGAATGAAGCGTATCTCGAGGATGCAAGGGCTGCGTTGGAGGGGAGGATGGATGAGGAGATGGTTGCTGAGGATGTACAGGCGTTGGTGTTGTTGGCTGTTGGGTGTTATGTCAACGCCCGACGTGAGGAGGCGGTTGGATTTGCCAAGAGGGCATGTGAGGGAGCGATTCTGTTAGGGTTGCATTTGTTGGATGATGAGGAATCGGCAAGCTTTGTACTTGCACAGTCGTCGGTGGAGAAGGAGAGTATGAGGCGGACGTGGTGGACCGTTTGGTGTGTTGACCGCATGTTTGCGGCATTGGGTGGGAAATCCACTGCGCGGATTCCGAAGGATTTGAGGATTCGGACGAGATTGCCGACTTCGGAGGAGGAGTACGAGGTTGGTCAAATGATCTCCACGGTGGGGTTCTTGGAGGACTTCAAACGAAACATGTACGTCGCGGATACCGGATACGAATGGAGTCCCTGGGCATACCTCGTCGCCGCTCTCGAGAATCTGGAAAACATTATCGCATTCGTTAACGTACCAACTTTCACGCTGGACGATACGGCAACGTTGGAGATGCTCGATAACCAACTCTACGGCCTCGCGATGCGTTTACCGGATTACGGTGCCTCCCTCCTCCGACGTCCGCCTCAGATGAGTGGTGTTTTGTTTTTTGCGCATATGGTCGTGAATACGACGACGCTCTACCTCCACTCCCGATTTGCGGCAAACTCCTTACCGTTTTTGGTACAGAGCCCGCATTGTGGAAAGTGTACCCACATCCCGGATTTGATGCACTACAACTCCTCAACGATTCAATCCATCAACCGCTGTTTTACAGCCGCTCACTCACTCGCGCGGCTTGTCCGTTGTTCACCGCTTGAGATGAGTCAACATACTCCCTTCCTTATGTGCGGTTTCTCGCTCTCATGCCTCGTTGACGCATCCGCTGCCGCAGTCGGTTGGGAAAAGGAAAAGGCCATGGCGGGCTTGTCGGTCGGTATCGGTGGTTTGAGGTCATTTACGAAGGTTTGGGCGGGAGCGGTGGGGTTGGTAGACAGCGTCGAAAACGCGATCAATAATCTGAGGATCTTGGAGGGGGTTGGGGAGGGTGTTAGGAACGTTACTGCGGCCGATTTTGGCATCAAGGGCGATGGGCCGGCAGGTGAGATTGTTGAGGCGGGAATCGTGGAGCAGGAGATGGCTATGTGAGTGAGATATGAAGCACGAGGGTTGAGGTGGGGCATTCATTCGGTTGGCAAAGGCGTTACTTATTACTATTCGGATCACTCGTCGTAGTATCTATCCCTCATCAATATACCAGGTATCACGGAGATGTTGTTCGTTCTGTTCACTCGCAGTGTTGTTGCTAGAATATACAGTGTCCCGATTGACGTCAAAGTCGTCGTCGTTTGCGTCGCTCACTGCACGGAGGCAATGCATAAAGTACATAAAGCCGTAAAACCCTGCTTCCATCCAGCGGTGCAATAGGTGATACAGATCGTACAAACCAATCAGTGACAGTCCATATGCCAGGCCTTGGAGGATACGTGGAGAGTCTGGAAGAAGCTCGTGCCGGCGAGGGTGAGGCCGGTGAAGTTCCCACGCTGCAGCTGAGCTGCAGGGGACGAGAACCTTTGCCTGTGAGTCTTGTTGGCAGATGAATTCGCCCCAAACGACACACTTTGGAAAACAAAGACGGCATTATCATTGGCAAGCTGGCCTGAGGCCTAAGTTTTATCGTGTTGTCGGACGTGACATGAAGGAAAGTCCGCAACTCTTTATACGCCGATACGCTCCATGTGGATACGGACCTGACATAACTGAACCACGGTTGTTTTACGTAGCCGTGTGAACTGAGTTCCCAGTTCTGGATGCCGTCTGACATGTGTCGAGTAATATACTGTTGCCGCCCATGCCTCGGGCCGGCCCGCGTCGAGGGCCATGTGCCCTTAGGGCCTAGAGGATCTCTGGCTGATCTGCCAACCAGCTCGTGAATTGTTAAGGTTGAAAACTTAATGTGAGGTTATATCTTAAGCTCCCCATAACTAGGTAGATATGCTGCGGGCCGTGCCGCCGTCACATGAACAAGCGAGTGGAGATCAGTGGCTTGAACGCATCTAGATCTTTTCTTGTCAACTGGTTGGGAAGTTACTGTACCTAGGGAAGTCTCCAACATGCTTTCCGATTCTATGATTCAATCTCTTGGCAGCCCGTTTCCGTGGTCTCACGAATGAATTCGTTCCCAAAACGACAATATCTGACCTTCAACAACCTCAAGTACTGCTTCATTTCTTCTCCTCCTTCTTGTGCTCCGGATCCTTCGTCTCCTCGTTGACCTGCTTCCCCGAACTCTTCTCCACAAACTGATGCAGCCACTTCATAGACGGGTCCCCACCCTCCTTATCCACCATAAATTTCTTCCCGTCACTCTTCCTCTGCCATGTCGCGAACCTCTTCTTCGTCGGCTCCAATTCACTCAACCTAACACCCGTTTTCTTAATCTGACCGAACAACCCCAAAGTTTCCAATACGAGGGGCATATCTCCCTCCGGCTCCGCCATGTACGCGTTGAAAGCCTTTCTGTTCTTTCGTGCGTCATCCGGGGGAAGAACCGATACACGCATAACATACGCAGACCCAAAAGCGTGACAAATCAGGAGCGGCATAGTACATGATGCAAGCATAGCCAACAACCCGCTCATAGGGGTCTGTGCTGTGAATAAGATCGCCGGAGCAGCGAGGTATCCGACGACCAGGAATGACGTCGAGGCAGCTTTGTACCCAGCGATTTTTGAGCCGATGTCACCGCGGTAGAGAACGACGGCTTCGGGGACGTCATCGGTTGTGGAGGGTTTTGCGGGCTTGACATAGGAGGATTTGGGTTCGGCGGATTTGCCAGGGATGAGTTTCCGGAGCCAGGATATTTGGCGGACATGGAGGTGTTGTTGGGCGTGGGGGACGAACGCCGATGTCCGTCCAACTAGGGCGATCCGCGAAGGACACGAACGGAGACCCAGACGTATTGATTGATTCAGCATCATCGCTTGTGACCGATCGAGGGTTCTGGTGAATGCCCTGCCGAATAAAGCTGGATGGTCCCTGTAACATCGTCTTGCAGCAAAACACGTGAGGCCCAACCCCACAAGATGCTGTACGGGTTCCGAGATTGGCAACCTAAACACCAAACAAGAGAAAGAAAGTTCGCACAATATCAAATTGAAATGGTTTCGAAACGGACGCAAGCACATTATGGATACGACGAGGGACAGAAGCCTGCTCCAAGACGGAGTGAAAGAACCAGAAAGCCAGCGGTGAAAGTGGATCAAGACGGTGATTCGATCGCGAGCTCGCCGTTATCGAGCGTACCGAGTAGTCCGGAGCCTGAGAAGAAAACCCCAGCGAAGAGAGCAAGAGCGAACAAAGACGAAAACGCCACCGAGTCGAAACCGGCAGCAAAGAAAGCCAAGACAGCTACAGCAACCGTGATCGACGACCGCCAACCCGGTGAGATCCGCTACTGGCTCATGAAAGCCGAACCAGAACCCCGCATCGAAAAAGGTCAGGACGTAAAATTCTCCATCGATGACCTCGAACGCCTCCGTACCTCAACCTGGGAAGGAGTCCGAAACCACGAAGCGAAGAAGAACATGCAGCGCATGCGCCTCGGCGACCTTGCCTTTTTATACCACTCAAACTGCAAAGAACCAGGAATCGCGGGTGTGATGAAGATCTGTACGGAAGGGTATCCGGATTTCACGGCGTGGGATAAGAGTCATCCGTATTTTGATGCGAAGACAAAGGAAGAGAGTCCGGTTTGGCATATGGTTGATGTGGAGTTTGAGAGGAGGATGGAGCGGTTCGTGTCGCTGAAGGAGTTGAGAGAGTATGGGGATAAGGAGTTGAAGGGTTTGGCGTTATTAAGGAGGAGTCAGTTGAGTGTGAGCCCAGTGAGTAGGGAAGAATGGGAGTTTATCATGGAGTTAGAAAAGAAGGTGGTGGATGCTGAGGATTCTTGATGGATGTTGATGACACGGATGATGATCTACTTTTACATATACCCTATATCTACGGTGGCATATCTTATGAGGAATCATATGGTGATATTAAACGAAGAGAAAACAGGTATAACCTAGCTATGGCAATAATGATGCTTAACGCCTATCCACAAACAAACTGTATCCAACAAGCAAAACCCAAAAGTACGCATACCATCCCACCTCTCAGGAGGCAAAAGCGACAGTAATGTTCAGAACCTCTCACAACTCCCGTAAGTTAACGCTTACTCCATTTCACTCGCCAACAGCTCAAAAACGTCGTCCTCCTGCTCCTCTTCATTAAATGCCACATCCTCATCCTGCAATCGCTGGAGCACGGGCTCAAGATTCTTAGCCGCAATCGCATCAACACCCTCCCTCACCTCTCCACTGACATCCAAAACACTCTCATAAGCCCCCTTGACAATATTCTCCATTGCTCCAAGTTTCTGCCTCAATCCCTCGCACTCGCCGACAATCTCCCTTCGTCCCTCAACCAACCTCTCATTCACGTGCCTCAATCTTTCCTGTTCTTTAAAAGCTTGATTGAGCTGAAGGTTGAGGTTGGCGGATTCGGCTTCGGCGGCGTCCGCGGCGTGAACCAGCACGCGCATTTCCTCGAAGAGCTGCTGGATTTGAGCGTCTTTCTCGTCGATGGTATGGTCGAGGACGGCAATACGCTCATTGCGTTCTCCATCTATTTCCTGCATCTCGGAAAGCTGGTCCTGAAGCTGCTTCTGCTTTGTCTCCGCTTCCTGAACATGGTGCTGGAGTGCAGTCATGACTTCTTGAGCTTCGTTGTACTCCCTAGTCACAGCCTCAATTTCAAACCGCAACTCCTCCACATGAGCGGTAGCCTCGACCAAGCGATCTTCCAGAACCGATTTCTCCGTCCTCAGGCTCTGCAGCTCCTCTTTACTCGTCAACTCCAGGACCTGGAACTTCTCGACCCACTCTAAATTCAAGCTCTCAAGATCCTGTTGGGACATCTCCATTGCCTCCTGAGCCGACTCTTCCGTTTGACGGAGTGTAGTATGCAGAGCGTCGCGTTCATAGGTGAGCTTACGTACAAGCTGTTGGGAGTGAAGAAGATCAGCCTCCACTTGTGCACGGGAAGCGAGCAGTTCCTCTTCCGCTGCTTGGTTGACTTCGACAAGCTCATCTTTCAACTTCAACAGACGTTCCAGTTGCGCTTCACGATCAGCCAACGTCTCCGTAATTTCGTTCTCACGGCCCTTGAGGTGAGCGATGACCGCTTCTAATCCAGCCACCTTAGTGTTATGCTCGCGTTGATCAGCGTCACGCTGGAGCCCGGTCGCCGAGATCTCGGCCTGAATAATCTTGATTTCCTTGTCCTGGGCCTCGATCCTCTCTTGATGCGCAGCACGCTCGTTAATAGCGCTTTGTTCTAGCTCCATGTTCCGGTGCATCAGTTCCATCTTCCCGGTCTCCAACCTTTCTAAGCGGATTCGGAGGTTACTGAGCTTTTCCTCGTAGGCTGCGGAGTCCTTGACCGCTTGGCTTTGAAGTTCGACGATCTCGTCTCTCAACATTTGCGCTTCGGCATCGTGAGCATCAACAGCGTCCTCGTGCAGGGTCCGGAGTTCGGCCAAAGACTGGTCCTTATTGGCAAGCTCCCTCTTCAGGTCACTCAGATCTTCGGCGGCTTCAAGAAGCTTCTGTTGGTATCGCTCCTTCTCATCAGAGAACTCGGCCTTGAGCCGCTCACTCTGTTCCTCCTTCTGAGACAGCGAGTGGTTCAATGTGACCATATCAGATACCAACAAAGCCATCTTCTCTTGCATCTCGGATTTGAGCGAGTGGGTCGTGATCTCATACTCCTCCTGCATCCTGAGCAACTCCTGCTCGTGCAAAACATTCATCTCCGAAACCTCCGCCTCCAACCCCGTCTTCTCCAGCTCAGCAGATTGCGCACGGTCCTCCAACTTCGCAACCTGAGCCCGCAAAGTAGAGATAGTCTCCCGAGCCTCCAACTGCTCTGCCTGGATCCCGGTCAACTTAGTCGTGAGCGCCTTGTAATTGGCATCATACAACTTCGTCGCCTCAGCCAACATCGCCCTGGCCTCTTCCGCCTTCTTCGTAGCTGCCTCGATCTTGGACTGTGCCTCGACTCTCTCCAGCTCCATGCTCTTGACCTTCTCCAACATCCCCGCCAACGCACTTTCCAACGCCCCAATCTGCCCCTCAACACCCTCGACTCCCTTCACCTGCACTCCCATCGCCGAGATTCCGCCTTGCATAACCTTCACAATCCTATTCCTCAACCCCTGCAACGCATCCTTCTCTCCCTCCAACCTCCTAACCATAGCTCTAGCAGCAACTGCGTCTGTCTTGATCGCCCCAACCAACTCCACCACATTCTCCCCCGGGCTCGCATCGACGACTTCTCCAATCTCTTGGATGAGGACTTTGTAGGAGTCGATGATTTTCTGGTGTGTGGAGCGGGCTTCAGTGAGGAAGAAGACTTCGTCTTGGAGGTCTTTGGCTCTTGCGTCCATCTGCATGACCTTGAATTTAAAGGTATCATTTTCGGCTTCCAAGTCCTTGATGTTCTCCTTCAACGGTGCGGTAGCCTCGTCGACAATCTCTTGGATGCTGCCTTCAGTCTGCATAGCCATGTCGACGACCTCCTCACGCACAGTCTGCATCGCCGTACTCACCATCTCGGCTACATCCGTCTGAGCTTCAGCAGTTGTCATCTCCATGTCTGCCTGTACTTCAATCTCCTCCATCATCGTCTCAGCTTGGATGCCAGCCTCGACGACCTCGACAGCCTCGACCTGGGTAGACGCATCGTCAAATCCCACGGTAGCCTGTACACTCGCCTCGAGAACATCGGTAGGCTCAGGCTCAACCAGGATCCCCTGATCAACCACCGCGTGTTTGGGAAGGTTAACATGTACCTCATCTCCCGGCCCCGGATACTTCCCTTCCAGAACCGAATCCGTGCTCACTCCATCCATCTCCGACTCCGAATCCTGCTCTGCGTCCAAATCCTCCTGAACATCCTGCGCATGATCGTCATCACTCTCAAACCTATCCTGCACAGCTCCGAACCCAATATCCTCACTGCTCAGATCACTGTTGAACACAACTCCATCGGTCTGAGCCTCTTGGTGCAGGCCGAGACTTAGACCAGCTTTCCTGACTGCGGGTGTCGGAACAGGCGATGGCAATGCTGGTTCATGGCCCATGTTGTGGAGAGCACGCTGCTGTTGTTGCGCCTGTTGCATCTCCGCAATTCTTGCCTCCAATTCCCGAATCCTCGCATCTTTCTCCGCCTCTCCCTCATCAAAATGCACATGCTCTTCCCCATCCCTATCCAACTGCCCCATCACCTTAGAGTCTGCGAGTTGAACGAGTGCCTCGTGCATGTCTGCCAGCTCCTTCTTCGTGTACCTCATCAATTGCTTCGAGCTCGAGCCTGGTGTAGCAGTACGGGCACGTCCGGTGGGCACAGGTGTAGAGAACGTCGACGCCCGGCGAGTGCGTTTCGTTCGCCTGGGTGTATCAACCTCAATACCAAAATCATTCGGTGCCGCGCTCGCCCTTCTCTTGCGAGGAGTAGGTCTGGCGGAGGGTGAACGTGTCGCACAAGCCGAAGGCGGCGAAGAATGTATCTTCGCAGCCACAGCATGATAAACCTCCTCCGCATCCGTATCCGGACCACCCCTCCTCTTCTCATTGGCGATGATACGTTTGAGTTCGGGGGTTGGGGTGTAGTAGTGTGAATCGCGAACCAAGAGATTCTGGTCGGCCAAGTCATGACAAACGTTCGTCACTCGGTGAGCCCAGTTGTCCCTTAACGGACTCCCATGCGACAAACTCTCCCTCTTCACCGCAGCCTGGATCGACGCGATATGGACGGTCTCCTTGTGTTTTGCTTTTCGTGCTTCATCGATTGCGTGCAGAGTTCGTTCTTTGTAGGTCGGAGGACGAGGGGGGGAGGTAGTGGTTATCTCAACCACGGGACGTTCGTTGGGATTAGGGGGAACGGGGTTGGATGTTGCCGCCACGTCCGCTGTGCTCGCACGGCGTTTCGATGGCATTGCTATATCTCTACTCGTCGGGTTTACTGATACTGATCTCCTTTAATGGACTTGGTATAGGGGAGGGGTACTTGGTGTTCTGCAATCTACGACTTGGCTTGGTCCAACTTGTGGGGCACACGCACGAGACGTCACCCAACAGCAATTGCAACCGTGAGCACTCAATTCACCCAACCTATGCCATAATAAATCTACCCATCAAAGACGCCGTAGGAATATCTTATAACTCAACAATGCACGACGCAAGAACGGCCTTCAGCTCCCTTAGCGTGCTGTCATTCACATCCTCCTTCCTCAACTTACACAACCACGCAAACTCCGACTGCATTGCTAGCGAAACAGCTTTTTCCTCACTCTTCCCAGCATCAATCGCCTTTGCTCTCGCTTCCTCCTCAAACCTTTCCGCAGCCTCCTCCGCACGGTCGACAATCTCACTCGGGACCCCAGCTCCGGACGCGCAGTGAAATCCGTAGGACTTGGGACAAATGCCGTCGACGAGTTTGTATAGGAAAACAACGGAGCGTGCTTCGTCATCCACGATTGCAGACATGTTCTTGAACGTGACTTCAGGATGGTTCTCGAAATCCGCAGCGAGTTTCTGGTAATGCGTAGCGAAGAATCCCATACATCCAACATGCGTCGCCAAATGCTCAAGCACAGCATATGCAATCGCCATTCCATCATAGGAACTCGTTCCCCGTCCCAATTCATCAAGAATGACCAATGACCTTGGCGTCGCCTCCGACAAAATTTTCTTCGTCTCGGCCAACTCGACCATGAACGTACTCTGCGCAGCAAAGATATTGTCGTTCGCACCCAACCGACTCATAATCCGATCAACCGGCGTCAATCGTGCCTTCGCCGCGGGGACATAACACCCAATCTGCGCGAGAATGACTCCGATACACGTCTGCCTCAACAACGTCGATTTACCAGACATATTCGGTCCAGTAATCATGATCAAATTCGCCTCATCCCCACCCAACTTGGTGTCGTTCGCAATAAACGAACTCGCGATCCCAGTGACCACACACGGATGTCTCAACTCGTCAAACTCCACCACACCCCTTTCCTCAACCTCCACCTCCACAAATTCGGGTCGACAACTAGGTTCACCGAGCGCGAGCGAACTCCTCGCCAAACTGCACAAACAATCCAACTGTGCAATCCCCTTGATACACCCCAACCACTCTGCATAATGCTCATCGAAACGTGCATACAGCCTTCCTGTCATTCCTTCCACAATCACCTTATGCCTCTCCTCCGCCTCAAGCAGGTGCTTCACACTCTCCTTCACAGCCGGAGGCCACCATCTCTTCACGGCCTTTGTCGAAGATAAGAGGGCCCAACTTGAGGGTACTTTGATGCTCACAGGCACCTCGACTTGGAAGATCTCCTTTCCGAGGTCTTTGTAGCAGATCTTCGATGATCCCAGCTCTTTCTTGATCTTCTCCAAGTGCTTGTCTAACTCGCTCCTGAGCCCCAAGATCGTACGCTGGGATTCATCGAAATCCTCTTCAACCCCAGGCTCAGGAATGAGCAACCCCTCTTCCTTCGCCTTGACATGATCAAACGCAGTCTCCCACGTCCTCAGCATCGGCTGAATATCCGGCATAGCCTCAACCAGCTCACCGATGACACTCCCTCGAATACCCTCCACCCCCTTCAACTCCGCAACAACATCCGCAACGACCTGGAACGATTCAAGCACCTTCACGAAATCCTGAACCTTACATTTCCCAGCATGAATACGTGAAATCAATCTCTCCAAATCGGGGAGTCCGCGTAATTTGTCTGTGAGGCCGTCACGGAGGTCCATATCCCCATTCAGTAAATCAACGGCATCGAGCCGTGCATTAATGCTTTCTGCCGCAAATAGCGGATGACAAACCCACTGCCGAAGAAGACGCTTGCCGAATGGTGTAACACATCGATCCAGGAATTTGAACAACGTACCATTAGCGCCTCCATCAAACGTATTCGCGAAGATCTCCAGATTAGCCAGTGTCTGCCCGTCCAAGACCAGCGAAGTCGCTTTTCGGACCGGATCATAGATATGGAAGTTGCCCAGACTGACCACCTCTTTATCCAGCTTCAACTGCTTCAAATACCACAACAAGGCACCAAACGCACTCATCGTAACCACATCATCCTTAATCTGTCTCAACGGCTCCGGCCAAGCGTTGACAGCACCAGCATCCGTTCCATCCCCAGAGGGAAAGTAATCACCGAGCATAATCTCCTGCTGCGTCGTCTCCGCATCCCAGAATTCGCGTTCGGATTTGATGTAGTTCCAGATACACGCACTCGACACGGTATTTTTCAACACCCTCATTGTCCGTGGCGTGATATAGCTCTTCTCCAACAATAACTCCCGTGGGCGGACTTGTGCAATGAGTGTCTCGAGCTTCGTACGATCCAGATCATCCTCGAACGCAGCAATCTGGAATTCGGCGTTCGCGGTATCGACAAAAACGACACCAAACGTCGGAAGCTGATTATCGAGATCACAGTGTTCCTTGATCGCCATACAATACGTCGAAGCCTCCGTCGTCAACATCATCGGATCGACCAACGTACCGGCCGTCAGGACCATCGTCAGTTCTCGCCTAATGATCTTGTCCTCCTTCTTCCCGCTATCCTTATCTCTGATTTCCTTGCCTAGTGCTGTCTCCATTTGATCCACCTTCGCAACTTTGTACCCCTTTGCAATGAACTGCGCAGCCCAGTACTCGAACGACTTTTCCGGAACGCCGACCATCCGCATATTAACCCTATCCGTGAGCTTAAGGTCGAATTCTTGGTGTCCAATCGTGGCGTCATTTTCATACAACTCGTAAAACTTGCCCTTCTTGAAGAAGACGACGGTATCCATAAGCTTACTCTTGATCTCCCAAAATTGAGTTTCGAAAGGAGAAAATCTGGACCAGGCGGATTTAGGGACAAAGAGCGTACGAGGATCATACTCCGGATCGGTGGGACGGCGACCCTCCGTATCCCTCGGGTCGGAGAGCCAGGAGTATCGTTCCTCGTTTTTCTCCTTGAAGGACTTTTGACGGTCGAGTTTGGCGGAGGCAGGAGTTGCGAAGGTTCGTTTTGAGGCAGTCGAAGCTGGCGTGGAGGCTTTGGGTGTGCGTGCGGATGGTGTCGAGTTTCCTGGTATTGAATTGAACCTTGATAGAGATGACACTTTACTCGCGGGCGTCGCTGCCACCTTTGCCTTGGGTTTCTGCGGAGTAGCGTCTTCTATAAACTCGTCCATATCTGTATCTGAATTAGCATCTGCCGGTTTTAATGCACGTTAAGACATGCCGTCGTCGAAATCCTCTGGTACATCCACATCTTCCATGTTAAAGTCACCATCCTCATCGTCATCATCCACAACGGTCTTCCTCCTCTTCGCCGCCGGCTTCTTCTTCGCCCCGATCACTTCGTCATCATCCTCGTCGTCCGATTCAGCATAGTTAACATTTCTCCTTCCGCCACGCGTAGGCGAACTCGGAGGGGGAAGACTGGATGAAGGCGGCTCCCTCTCTGCAGGAGTAGTAGTCGGCACGTCCATACTTGTCGCAACTGGCGTGATAGGAACAGGCAATATCTTTCCAGCTGCTTTCGCAGGCGTCGGTGTCGGCGTCTCCTTCGGCTCGATCACGCCATTACTCCTCTGAGGTGTCGCCGGTGGCTTGTTGAAGAATCCGAGAAGGGTCGATTGCTTTCCTGTAGATTTCTTGGCCGAGTCACTCTGTGAACTCGAACTCTTTGTTAGCTTTGCTGGCATGTTTGCCGGATATATGCCTGTAAGAAGTATGGGTGAGGGTGGTGGTTTGGTGGTGAGCTTCAGGGAGACGCGCCGCGCCGCGAAAGTCAATTCACGCGTGAACACGCACAAGAAGTTGGACGCGTAGAAAGGACGGGGATCGAGAGAAAGCCAGGATTGGAAGAGGAACTCGTTCAGCGACAGGATGACACGTACAAGGTCGTAAAGTTGTCACGATTTCGTTCTTACGTCCGCAATGAAACAGTGAAGCTACGATCAGAACGGCGTCGGTATAGAGGTATTCCATGCGGAAAGGGCAGATACCAAGAAGACGAGGATCGCTGAAGAACAAGACCCTGGTAATGTAGGTTTTACGAATGTCGGATTACTACCGGGGCAACTTTCTTCTCGTTGAGCGCGGGATCACAGAGCATGCATCGCACGAGGAGAGTCATGGCGAAGAGAGACGTACGCAAGATAAGACAAACGAGACTCGCATTGCACTTCTCAGCTAACCTACAAATCCACAACTCGTCCTGAGGACCGCATCGCCAGAATGCATTCCACAAGACTATCAAAGGGTCAGAGATTGAGCAAGACGTGCCATTTTCGTAACAAGGTTGTGCGCCGGCACGCCGTCTTCAGATAGCCTTCCACTTTCCCCGAGGGGCAGGATGGCATGTCGTGTTAACCGCTTTCAATCTTCATCATAGCATGAAAAATCATGTGGAAGGATTGAGGTTCAGTCGGTACGTCCATCCCGCAGCAAAGTTATAGGCGCGAGTCACGTGAGCAACTTCACCGTGGGAACTCGACCTGTCGTCAGTTTAACTATGGAAGAGGGATGGCTTCTACTGCTTCTGAAGGAGGTTCTTCTTTCTTATCAATAAAAAACCAGCATCTTGATTTTGTCTGGAAAGGTTGATACACCACGTGATATGGCTACGTTACCACCGAGTTGGGAAATAATGCAGATCCGGAGATCCCGCCAGACATTGAACCGAATTGATCATGAAGCGAGCGGCCGCCCATAACGTGCCGTCTACTGTGTCAAGAAACACTTTTCGTCTACGTTGCCCGGCTATTCGGCCGACAGCAGTGCAAGACGCTCGCCGACGGACTGCTGTACGGTACTATTCACCCACCAGTTTTCCCAAAGATCGGTCCAAACAGATCGATGCAGTACCTCTCGCAAACGGCGATGCACCTGGAGTTGAGCATCCATGGCTTACAGATGATTTTTCGGCAGCGACGCACACCATCAAGTCATTGTTACCCGATCATTACGGCAAAAGAGTAACTCTTCATGGCTGGTTCGTCTCAGGACGAGTTGTGTCGTCGAAGGTAGCATTCTTTACCTTGCAAGACACCGACGGCTCCCGGATCCAGCTGCTGTATCGTAGCAAGACTGCACCTGAGGAGCTCACTATCAAGGGACTCAAAACCATCAGAGATGAGACGCCGGTTGCGGTTACCGGCGTCTTGCAACCGAAGCAAATGTCAAAGCAGGAGATTGGGCGGGGAGAGCAGTCACACGAGGTCGTCCTTGAGAAGGTTGAAATTCTGAATACCCCTACGCACATCCCTGTGAAGGAATTCAATGACGACTTTGCACTTTCTCACCGTTACCTCTACTGGAGGGTACCCGAAAACCTCAAGGCTCTCCGCCTCAGATCTCGCGTAGCAAGTCTCTGCCGTGGGGTTCTTGAGAAAAACAACTTTCTGGAAGTTGAGACGCCTCTGCTGTTTAAGTCCACACCTGAGGGCGCTCGAGAATTCCTTGTACCGACAAGGAGCAATGGCCTGGCCTACTCCCTCCCTCAGTCACCGCAACAATACAAGCAGATCTTGATGGCATCTGGTGTCGGTCGCTACTATCAGATTGCGCGATGCTTCCGTGATGAGGACCTCCGCGCAGATCGACAACCCGAGTTCACGCAGCTGGATTTGGAGATGAGTTACGTCAAGCAGGAGGATGTAATCAGGGTCATTGAATATATTCTGAGAACACTGTGGAAAGAGGTTTTGGATGTTGATATCGGCAAGGTGCCGAGATTGACCTATGGTGAAGCGATGGGGAAGTTTGGATCAGATAAACCTGATTTGCGATACGAACTTGAGGTCAAGAACGTGACGGAGTTCATGCCCTCTGAGTTGCTTGATTCTGAGGCGCCTGTCGTCGAAGCAGTATTGATCAAGGATGGGGTGAAGTTACCTGAAGTTGCACGGGGAGGACTCCTACAACATGAACAGTTTCCTGCCCTCGACTCTACGAGCAGAAGAAGTATAACCGAATTTCTTGGAGCCTGTGAAGAGGACTTGGTTATCCTTACACGCCGAGCATCGCGACTGACCGGTGGCTCCACAGCAGCCGGTAGAGCCCGCACAGCCGCCATTGAGGCGATGACCACCGCCGGACTCTGGGAACCATCGAAGAAGTTCTCCTTCTGCTGGGTCGTGGACTTCCCGCTATTCACGCCCTCCACAGACAACGCTGCCGAACCTGGGCAGGGAGGTACCTTGGGACTGAGCTCGACGCATCACCCATTTACCGCACCGGTGGTCATGGATAGGACGAAACTGGCAGAGATGGTCAAGCAGGATCCATTAAGCATCAAAGGACAACACTACGATATTGTATGCAACGGTGTCGAGCTCGGTGGTGGATCGATCCGTATCCATGATGCTGTCCTTCAACGTACAATGCTGACGGACTACCTCGGCATTCCCAGTGAGAGGCTCGTGCAGTTCTCGCACCTGATCGCTGCGCTTTCGGCTGGATGTCCCCCACATGGAGGTATTGCGCTCGGTTTCGATAGGTTGGTCGCTATGTTGCACGGTACAACGAGTATCCGCGATGTCATTGCTTTCCCGAAGAATAGTGCGGGACGTGATATGTTGGTGGGAAGTCCCAGTCCGCTGGATAATGATAGATTGAAGGACTACCACCTGACGTTAGGTGCAAAAATCGGAAGGTGAAGGCAAGGCTTAGTCGGATAAGGAGGCATGATTGTTCCGAATAGCGATCGCGCTTGCGTCGGAGTGCTGGCACTCGAAGCAGAGTGACGCTGTCCGGCTTACAGTGGGAGAACCGACGTAGCTTTGTATTGGAGGAGGTGAAGGACAGAAGCAGATTCTCATAGATCTAGACACAGGTTCAACTCCCCTTTCTTCAAAAGTGCGGCAAAGCACAAACAATGATATGGTTAAACACTTGCATTCTTGACACAACCCTCTATAATAGTTTTTCCTAAAGCCACTCTCGGCTCGATACAGTCATAGTACCAGAAAGGACCAGCCTAGCCTTCACCTTTTATCAATCCTTCACCACGGTAACAACCCACATTTAAGCGTCCAAGTTCTCAGGAACCTGGAGGACGCGGATAGTGTTGGTGTTACCCAATCCGCCCTTCCAGCCCTGAATGACAACAATAGTGTCACCCTCAGTAACCAAACCCATCTCCTTAGCCTGCTGCATACCCCAGACAATTCTGCTCTCAACATCCTCCTGCCACTGGGTCAAGTCAGTAGGCTTGTGACCCTCGTACACGAATGGGTAGACACCGCGATACAGGTGGGCGAAACGGGCCATCTTGGCGTTGCGGGTGACGGTGATGATGGGAACGGAGGGGCGGTACTTGGAGCAGAGACGGGCGGTAGCACCGGAGTATGAGAGAAGGATGATGGCAGAGGCGTTCTGCTCGATCGCGGCGGAGACGGCGGAAGAACAGACGGTTTCGGTGGTCTCGGTGGGGCGGGGAGCAAGGGAGCGGAGCTCGTTGAAGAGGGGGAGATATGAGATGGCGGACTCGGCCAAAAGACAGGTGTCGCGCATCATGGAGACAGCCTCGATGGGATATGAACCCTTGGCGGTCTCTCCGGAAAGCATGACACAGTCGCAGCCGTCCAAGACAGCGTTTCCGACGTCGGAGACCTCGGCACGGGTGGGGCGGGGGTTGTAGGTCATGGACTCCAACATCTGGGTAGCGCAAATGATGGGCTTACCGGCCAAGTTGGCACGGGCGACCATCATCTTCTGGGCGATGAAGACCTGGGAAGCGGGGATCTCGATACCGAGGTCACCACGGGCGACCATGATACCGTCGGTCTCCTTGAGGATCTCGTCGTAGTTGTTGACACCCTGCTGGTTCTCGATCTTGGCGATGATCTGGATGTTCTTACCCTCCTCGCCGAGGACCTCACGGATGGCCTTGATGTCCTCACCGCGACGGATGAAGGAAGCGAAGACCATGTCGACACCCTGCTGGACACCAAATCTCAAGTCGGACTTGTCCTTCTCGGAAAGGGCGGGGAGGTCGATGTCGGTCTTGGGGAGGTTGACACCCTTGCGGGAAGAGATTTTTCCGTTGTTCAAGCACTTGACCTTCAAGTTCTTCTCGTCGACGATCTCGAGGACCTCGAAGGACAAAACACCGTCATCAACGTAGATAATACGGCCGGCCTCGATGACCTTGGTGATGTTCTTGTAGTCGAGGTACATGACGTTGTCGTCACACTTGGCAGCGTATGCCTCGTCGGTGGTGATGATCATCTCGTGACCAGCAGAGATGGGAATATCGGCATCTCCGACAGTCTGACCAGTACGGATCTCAGGACCCTTGGTGTCGAGGGCAATACCGAGAGGACGGCCCTTGAACAACTCCTCGGACTTGCGAGCGTTCTCGATGACGGAACCGTGATACTCGTGCGAACCGTGGGAGAAGTTCATGCGGAAGATGTTGACACCCGACTGACGGAGCTTGACCATCATCTCAGGGTTGTTGACCTTGGGACCGATGGTAGCAATGATAGCCGTACGACGGAAAGTCTTCTTGGGGAAGTTCTCGATGTTGAGACCGGCGGTCCATTCGAGGGTGGTCTTGGGGGATCCAGACTGGGAAAACATTGTTGATCCTGTGGTTATTTGATCTGAAAAGAAGAGGGGTGAACTGGAGGATATAAGGTTGTCCTTGGATCAAGGAGGTTGGGGTTTGCGGGAATTGATCCTCAAGCTGGGGAGCGTGTTGGTGTCGTGCGCAACTGAAAAAACCGAGCGCTGTCGGCTTAGCCGCAGATTAGCTCAAACATCCCAGTGATTGGTGCGATAAGCTTGAGCTTATAGATGGCCAATTAGAGGGAGATGTATGGAGTTGGATGCGTTGTAAAGGGCTGATTTCGTTCTGATCGTCGGGCTACAGTGGTCCTTTGAGTGCTGGATTTCGTGGTGGGTGGTCATGGAGATTGATAGGATGATGTCGCGAGATGGTCCCGGAGACTTCCGTCGGCCATACTTCCGCAGCTCAAGAATGTGACACGATCTACTTTTCTCTCGCAATTCCGCTATGATTCACCGTCTTTCTCCATGCTACCTTCACCCTACTCTCTCTCAATGTGACGTCGATCGCGGGACCCTGCACATCGCCTGCAGACAAGTCCTCCCATACAAACCTGAATAGGAAAAACTTGAATGGAAATCAACACATCAGCATGGAGACAACAGCTGGATCAAACCGAGCAGAACAGCTCATCAAGACCTTTGAAGGTACGAAGAGTGCGATACACATGTGCAATTATGATCGCTGACAGCCGTTTGTACAGCCTTCCGCGATCAACTCGACTCCCACAACGAACGCCGCGAACGCATCATCAAGATCTCCCGCGACGTAACCGCCCTCGCCAAAAAGATGATCTTCTCCCTCCATCGTCTTCCTCCGCCTTCTGGCACCTCCTCCCAGGTCATCCCCTCCGGTATTCAGAAAGACCTCGACAAACGCAACTCAGAAATCCACGAATTACTGAGGAAGGCAGCAGTGGATCTTGAAGGCCCAAACGCCTATAAATATCAGAAACAACTCTCTGGTGCACTGCAGGAATACCTCGAAGCCCTCACCTTCCAGCACTACCTCGAAACCTCAACCCTCCTCACTTACCCCGCCGCCTGCGCCCTCCTCTCCCCCCTCGGCATCACGCTCCCAGAATCAGATTTCCTCTTAGGATGGGCCGACACCACCGGCGAACTCATGCGTCGTGCCATCTCCCTCCTCCCAGCTCATCCTGACTCCGCACGGGAGATCTTGGTGGTACTTCGTGGGTTATGGGAAGGATTTGAGTGTCTCAATGTCGACACGGAGGGAGTGCGAGGGACGTGGGGCGAGATTGGGAAGAAGATGGGGGTGATGAGGGGGAGTGTGCAGAAGGTTGAGGATGCGTTGTATAGTGTTTGTGTTAGGGGGAGTGAGAGGCCGGCGGGGATGTTGGATTTGGGTGGTGGGGGCGGAGGGAACAAGAGGCAGAGGGAGGTTGATGATTATGTTGATAACTACTAAGAGAAAGATGGAAGTGGGTTGGGGCGGGGTGGGGTGGATGGGAAGAGAATACAGTATTGATACCCTGAGAACAAGGAGGTGAGAGGCACAGCATCCGGTTGATCCGGCAAATGAAGCATACGATAGCTACAGCTATATCACAAACTATATTAATACCAAGAAACAAACGCCAATAACGCATAACCGCCAAGATCCTTATCACTCCACGCGCAGGAATATCCCACATCAATCCTCTTTCTGCATGTCGTACAACCTCAAGTTCGCATCCAAGACTTTCGCCATATCGGTATCCTTCAACGCATCCTCCAACGCAACCTCTACCCTATCCCCACCGTTGCTGTTAGAGGTTGTTTGTACTTGCTCGACGGCTTTAGTGGAAAGGTCTGGGTTGTGGGAGTCAACGTCCGGGGCCATCACGATGCCTGAGTCTCGGGTCTCATAGACGTGGATGCTGGTTTCGTCTTCGATTACCGAGACCAGTTTCTCTGCTTGCCCGTCCTTCTCAGTCGCCTCTGCTTTGCTTGGGTTCGCCGCTTCCTTTTCTGGTTCGGCCAATTTCTCCACGGGGACAGTCGATGCCGCAGCTTCATCCACCGCCGTCCCCAGGCTAGACTCCCTTCCACTACCATCATTGCCATGACTGCTAACAGGACTCATGTCAACCATTTCCTCCCCCACCTCCTCGGATACAGACCCGGATACCTGCGCAGCCTTCCTCATCCCGGGCCTTCCCGTTCCCTCCTTCCTTCCCTTACTCGTGGCACCCAGAATCTTGCTTGGAGTAGTGGTCGCCGTGCCCGGTCTGCTACGCGTGGAAGTAACACTCGACAGACTATCCGCCCTACCCCTTCCTTCGCGTGCACGATTCGCGGAAGCGGTTGTGGGGCGGAGGAGGCGGTCGAGGCCACCGACATCGCTGGTGCGGGTGCTTGCGCGGGATGTTGTGCGGTTTGTGAAGGGGGAGGTGATGGGGGTGGTGCCGGGTGTGTTGGTGGATATGGGGTTTGAGGATGGGGTGCGTGGTGAGGTCGTGGTGGGAGGCGTTTTGGTGATGGAGGAGGGGGTGGAGCGTTTGAGGAAGGTATGACTCGGTTTGGGGGAGGGTGTGTCTGTCACTGCGGGTGGTACTGTATATGTCTTGGCGGTTGCCGCTGCTGTTTGGCAGTTTGAGGGAGCTTTCTTAATTCCAGGGGACTTTATAGAGGTTGGTGATTTCGTCGCAGCAGCCGGCAAAGTCGGGATGGTCTTCTTCGGCGTGGAGTGTCTCGAAGATAACGAAGACGCTTTCGCGGGCATCACAGACGACACTGATGACCTTCGTGGTTGTGGTCCCTCCGCTTTACCCAGGACCTTCGGTTGCTTTGCGTCTGACGTTGCTTGAACCTTCTCTGGCGCTGGCTCCACAAGAATAGGCGCTCCGCTAGCACCATCACCTGGCTCGATATCCTTCGCAATCTCTTCCACACTCACGGGCTTAGTCCCATCCGTATCCCGCGCCTTTCCCTTCTCCGAACTCGCGCCATTATTTCCATTCGACGCTCTTCTCTCCCCCACAGGAAAGAAGTTCGCCTTAACCTTCGCAACAGGAGGCTTCACCTTCGTGTCCTGTACGGCATTCGCCTTCGACTGGTCCTCGAAAAAGGCTTTCAGGGAGGAAAACTGTGCGTTGCTTGTCAGCTGGACTGTCCAGACGGCAAGGCAAACAACGGACCGGCTTTGCGTTTGAGTGGTCAGGAAGAGGCATGTCAAAACGTTCCACGAAGTTCGTAGTTGGAGAGGCCGTTATGACGATAGAGAGATTTCAGGGTGTCTGGAGGTTTAAAGGGGTTATGGGCTCTGTTATATTTAAGGTTTCGGGTAAAGTACCCCGATGTCGGCCCCTGATGTATGACGCTTAGATCGGGTTTTGACGTTGAAGATGAGGATATGGAGAATCGATGGATTGTCATCATGGACGTTCGTTTCACAAGACATTTCGCAATGAGGAAATCACATCGAAGGTTCTTGTTGGGTGCAGTTGTTTCCAGGGTCGAATTCGTCCGTAGCGCCGTAGACCTTGACGTCGCGTTCAGCGCCTGGGAAGACATGGAAGGGGCAGGTATCATGAACGGCAATGAGGATATTCCTTCTGTCTTCTTGCTTCCATTGTCCGCCAGGGTATGCCTGAACCAATTGGTGGTGCACGGTGACCGTCTTGAGGAGGTCCGTGCACCGTATATTGCAACGCCTCTTAGCCAGCACCTTCACTCCTTCTCACTCTATACCTACCAGTAAGCGACACTTCCACGACGATTGTTCACAATCTCCATGCCTCCGCCAGAAGTGGTCAACGTCGTCCTTGCTGACCGCGCGACGGTGCTGTCGACCTTCGTTACGCAGAAGTCGTCCGTAGGAGAACTCCTTTCGTCGCTTCTTGAGGAGAATGAGAGTGCATTGAGAGAGGCGGCGGAGGTGGACAGAATAAGTCCAAAAGATTGGGCAGTTATCAGGGTTACGGAGAGTGAGGAGGGTAGAGGTATATGCCGCCGTTGGGTGCGTGTCACCATCAGCTGGATGCTAACAGGTTATATAGTGTGGAAAGAGCAAGTACTTGCATCACTTCATGAACAAGTCGTCCTCGACCCTTTCACCATGGTATCTTCCCTTGTCCATCCTACAATCAACTCAGATTCGCAAGATTCATCGCGTGATGCGAGCACAGACGCCCTTGCGACACATCTTCATAAACCAAATTTCGCCCTAGTTCACACTCCATCACTCCTGAGCCTCCGCCTGGCCAACTTGCCTTCAATACCTCCAAATGTTGAAGTGAAGGTGTATGTTATGCCGAAGATGTCGGTTAACGAGGTGATCGATGGCGTCAAGGACCTGCTAGGTCTACGGACGAGTATCGCCGAGGAGGGCAAAAGCACGCGGAGCAAGATCACTTACGCCCTATACAGAGTCGCATCCGCTTCAAGCCGCGAGGAATCTCACTTGCTCGCGGAAGCCGCACCCATCCGCGCATTTCTCCAATGCGAGGATATCGTCGAACTCCGCGTCCCCGACTCCTTCTTCAACAAAATGGGCACCCTTACATCCTCCTTTACCAAATACTGGTACGGTATATCCTCAACTACCTCCACGGCGTCTGCCGCACCTTCACGTCAAGGTACTGCAACCTCATCCTTTTTCAACTACTTCTCATCTTCCCAATCCGAAGCGGGGGATACCATCCGCGCACGAGGGATCTCTGCTCCTCTTGCTATCGCGCCGGAGAAGAGTGGAGAGGGTACGGTTGCTAGTCGGAAGGTGGTGCACGTGATGCAGAGGGGGAATAAAGGCAAGGAGAAGGCAAGGTTGAGTCGGTTGTTTGATTTTGGTGGTGGGGTTGAGGATGGGCAAAACGTCCGTACAGAGGAAGAGGATCCAGGGAAGGTTTGGAGTCCAGAATCGGAGGATCTACCCATGCTCCCACCTGCCATCTCGCCCGTTGATGAGGCGGAGGCCGTGATATCTGAGGCTGAACGGAGAGAACTTGAGGCTGCTTTTGTGGGTTTGATGCAAGAGTTGAATTTCCGCTCTCCGGTCTTGGAGAACATGATGGCGTTGCCTCTCAGTCGGAAGAAGGTCTTGTTGGAGCAGCATCAGTTGTCACAGCAAGTGAGTCCGACGACCGTTTCTTCAGCGGGTGAGACAAGGTTTTCATTCGGTGGTGGGAGGACTATGGTAAACACTGTGCAAAGCGAGGATCTCCGCGATGGCGGGTTGTCCGCAGCTTCGAGCGCACAACCCGCCATCGCGGAGATCCTCGACAACGCCGACGCAGACTCAGCACCCCAAACGCCGGTGTCAACTATCTCCTCATCCAGGTGGGGCAATTCAGGTGGTCTGTTCGCCGGATGGTGGTCCGGAACAGCAGCTGGTCCGAGTGACGACAGCCCTGAGTGGTTCGTGGGAAGGATGGAACAGCGCAATGCTTCGGCTGCGTCATTGTCTAAGGACATGATATCTCTCAGGGTCCTGTTGTCGACTGCAAGTTTACCGTGGTTGAGAGAGTTCTTGGAGGTACATCCTGGGTTGAAAGCATTGGAGGGTGTGCTTGAACGGAGTACAGCGAAGCGGAAGAGTACTACGGCTACCCCTGAAGTGGAGGATCTCGAGGTGGTGCAGTTAGAGGTGGTGAAGTGTTTGCGTGTTATCATGAATGTTGAGAATGGGTTTAAGCAGGTGATTGAGAAACCGACGCTCATCACTGCTCTGACGGAGTGCTTTGTAACACCGAATCCGAAGTTACATGCGCTCGTTGGTGATGTTCTTGCCGCTATTTGTGTCATGTCGTACCCGGCGGGTCATGAGCTGGTGCTCGATGCTCTTTTCTATATGAGCTTCATGACCTCGGCTGTGTCGACTATCAAGACCAACGTGACTACGGTTAAGAGCATCGATCGTCGGCCGCGGTTCGAGGGGTTCATAACCTCTTTCACACCCGAAGCCATCGAGAATGAAGATTATGTTGACGTTCATGTGTGGGAATGGCGGCGTGCTGCTTGTACATTGGTGAATGCCTTGGTTACCACAATCGAAACTGTCGAGGAGCGTGTGTTGCTACGTGCTGAGCTCGACCGCCGTGGTCTTCGGAGGACTTTCGGTGCATTGCAGACTTTGGGTGCTCCTGAGGCGATTCTAACTCAGATTTCCTCTTTCTATGCGGAAGAAGCAGAGGATCAAGAGGAAATTCGGAAGGTGATCATGTTTGAGCAGATGGAGGCAGATGGTTTAAGCGGTGACCTTTTGGGTCTTCTCAGGGTTGCGAAGGAGCGTGGGATGCTACCTGAACTTGTTCGAGCTTTGGAAGGAATCGTGTCCGCTGCGGTGGGTAATGGCGAGAATCATGAGTTGAGGAGGAAATGGGATCTGCTGGAGAACTTCATAGAGTGCTCGAAAGAGCTGAAGAGTGTTGACGAGGAGCAATGGTCCGCTTTCATGGTGGAGTATCTGAAGTCGGTCCAGCACATTGTCGGAAAGCATGCGCTCATCAAAGAACGTCGCGTTGCTCATGCTGCTGAGGTACCGAGCAATGTCTTCGAGGAGTTACTTGAGCTTGAGAAGAAGGTCGAGCAAACATTGGCCGAAAAGGCAGAAGCTGAGAAGAACCTTGCTGAGAAGACTGCGGAGATCAACGTCCTCAAGTCAATCTCGCCCAAGACTGATGCACAGCCTCGTGAGAACTTCTCCGGAGTCATCCAGCGACTCGTACAGAAGGAGAAACAGGTCCTTGACCTTCAGAGCGAGATCGACAAGTTATCTTCGAAAGTCATCGATCGAGCGTCAATGGAGGAGAAGAACAAGAAGGAGCGGTCTGAGCGAAGCAAACAATGGTCGTCAATGGCGGACGAAATTGCTAAGCTGAAGAATCAGGTGGCTGAGGTTACGAATTTGGCTGAAGCTCGTGCAAAGGAAATCACATACCTGAAGCGAGCCTTGGAATCCGTGTATGCGCGTTATCAGAAGGCCCTTGATGAGAAGATTGATCACGATGATCAATCACTGAGCGACGCTTTCTCTCCGGAGCCAACGAAAGGAACCTTCGAAGCTTTGGCACAGAAGGACCAGGAGATTGCCCGTTTAACCGCTGTGCTGGATGAGCTGCGGCAAGATGTTAAGCGGAATATGATTCCCATGGAAGAGCTCAACACTCTCAGGCAGGCGTACAATAGTGCACCTGATATCGAACAACAGAAGCCTAAGACTATCAGAGGAGTTCCGCGACACCTTCGAGAAGGTACGCTGAGACGGCGGTACCCAAGTACTGTCAACTTTGCTCCTGAAGAGGATGAAGCGTACGAGTCGCTTCTTTCTCCTACTGACGAAGCAGAATCTCTGATCCCTGGAGGAACGGTATCTGGTGTGATGCAGCGCCTTGCAGAGCCTCCTCAAATCCAGATCACATCTGACGAGGAACTACATGTGCAGTATAAAGCTGTCCAGACCGACGTAGATTCGTTAGACGCAAGGCACACGGACGTTCTGCCTCCTGTCTCTGCGCTTCTGGCCGAAATTCGAGCTGCTCCACCTGCTCCACCGTTGCCTCCTTCACGGGGGTCTCTCTTCCCTGGCAGCCTTGCAGCACACCCGCCACCACCTCCTCCACTTCCATCGCTTCCTCAGAGCGCCTCAGGAAATGGGTTCAGTTCAAGCTTGCCACCACCACCTCCGCCCCCTGCTCCTCCTCCTCCTCCTCCTCCAATGGTGAACGGTGCACCTGCTGCACCGCCGCCTCCTCCACCACCGCCCATGCCGAACCTTCATCGATCAGCATCGTTACCGACGCATCTTCCTCAGATTGCTGCTGGTTTCCCTCCGCCTCCACCTCCACTGCCTCCAGTGGCAGGCAGACGTCCTCCACCACCGCCTCCTCCTCCAGCTAATATCCAGAACAATCTTCTGGGTAGACCAGCAAAGCCTCTCAAGCCCCTCTTCTGGAACAAAATTGCCCCGCAAGAGATTAGCGCGACTATATGGAAGGACATAAAGCCGGACGGCGACTTGAAAGTCGATCAAGTGAAGCAAGAGCTGGATACTTTTTTTGGCAAGGATGCGCCAGCACATGCGCAGAAGGGTTCGGAAGTGTCGACGAAATCTGCCTTCGCCAAGAAGACTCGGGTCACTCTTATCGACCTCAACAGAGCGAATACGTTGGCCATCATGCTTGCCAGGATGAGGCTGCCGTATCCGGTCATTCGGGAGTCATTGCTGCGGATCGATGATACCAAATTGAGCGTGGAAAATCTGAAGGTAATCAAGCAATATGCGCCAACGATTGAGGAAATGGAACTTGTCCGGGATTACACGGGTGACGAAACAACCTTGGGTAACGCCGAACGCTACTTCAAGCAAGTCATGACCATCCCACGCCTGAAGGAACGCGTAAGTTGCATGATTTACCGACGCCGTTTCGCGACGGAGATTGAAGAGTTACAACCGGAGCTTATGACTTTGCACGAAGCATGTCGTGAAGTCCGGAACGCAGCCAAGTTGAAGCAGGTTCTCTTCTCCGTTCTCGCTATTGGGAATTATCTCAACGCAGCTTCCTTCCGTGGGAATGCGTACGGCTTCCAGTTGGAGGCGTTACTTAAGCTGAAGGATGTGAAAGCGAACGGGCCGAGTGCAAAGGCGACGCCGACGTTGTTGCATTACCTCGCTCATCTACTTGTTAAGCAGAATCCGGACGCATTGCACGTGCTGAAGGAGATGCCCCATCTTGAAGCTGCAGCTAGGATCTCGTCGCAAACGATCTTGTCGACCGTGAAGGGCCTGGGGACTGGACTTGTTGGCATACATGAAGAGTTCAAGGCATTGAGGCGGATGTGTGCAGCGCCTGAGGGTGATGGATTCGACAAGGTTATGACCAAGTTCGTTGTTGAAGCTGATTACACCATGGAACAAGTCAACAAAGCAGCGGATGAGGTTGAGAAGGAAATGAAGGAGGTAATGGGTTATTACGGAGAAAACCCAGCGACTGTGAAAGTCGAGGAATTTTTCGGAATGGTAATCGCTTTTGCACAGGCTCTAGAGGTGAGAAGAGTAATCGGGTAAAAGCAATGCGTGGTGTGCTAACTCATCTCATAGAAAGCGAACCAAGAGAACTCCATCATGGAGGTGAAACTTCTGCGCGAGAATGGCGCGAAGGAGGGTGCGAAGAACAATCTTGGCGTTCCTTCACGAGATAATCGTCTGCGTATACCAGGCAGGAGTGGAGATTTTGATAATACACTTAGGGAACTACGGGGTGGCAGAAGGGTTAGACGAGAAGGAAGTCGGCCTATTAGTCGGGTGTTCCTTGATGGGTCGACTGCATGAGAAATGCATGGATATAACGGGGACAATGGAAAACTCGCCAGAGTTCAAGATAGTGCAGTAATGTCTTTCCGGAAACACAAACGCCATAACTCCAGTGTGCAAAGCATCAAGTACCCGTATGCCGTCTCGTTCTTCCTCCCGAATGCTGACCCATGCTGATTCCAGATATCTCGCGTCTATTCGTCATCGCTATCCTCCGGTTCAGGCACCATAAACCCAACCAAACACTCCTTTAGCAGGTTGTCGTAATTTACCCATGCATGCGTGTTCATGTATAGTTTCGTCCCATCCCTTCCGGCAGCACGCATCACCTCCTGTTCACCACCAGGATGAAACGGCAAGTACGCAGTAACGTTATACACCTTCCCATTCAGTGCCATCCACGCATCGTCTTTTCTTCTGTGCTTCTTCAACTCTGAAGGCGTGACTTTCTGGAAACTCGTCACGCCTCGCAAGTTTTGGCCTGACAATGTTAGACGGGCCCAGTCGAGTGGAGAATGCCCGGGTGTGAGGACGACTTTCTGTCGTGGTTTTGCGGGTATGACGGTTGTTGTTGGAGGCGGTGTTAGGCCTCCTGGAAGTCTTGCTGGGACTGCGAGACGAGGAGGACCCAAGGAGGAGGTTGGTGGCGGGAGACGGCCGGGTGCGACCATGTTACTTGGTGGCGCCAGAGAAGAAGATGCAGAAGAAGACAGACGTTGTGCTGAGTTTAGTGCCGGGAATGCCGGAGCGTCGTCCATGGTGGCAGATCCTGATATGGGATTTTGTTGACGTTTGTCTGAAGACGTCAATTCCCGAATGTGGGGTGTAGCGTAGACACGGCCGTTTTGCCAATGATCAAATGGCCTCGATAATGGATCAAAGTACTATCTAAAGTCATGAAATAAGATTTGAAGCAGTCCTCAAACTTCCAACCCGCCCGTAAATGGTCGGTTACGACATCACACATAATCGATACGGATAGCCGATTGCCGATGTGTATGGGCCTTGCCAGGATCCTGATTCACGGAATATCCATCCCCAAATTCCATCAATGTTCTCCGAAGAGGAGGAGCTGTTCAAGTCCCATAGAGCTTTACGATACCCCGTAACCATGTCCGGCTCATACGGCTTCACCTCCGACCCTCCCACGCCACCCGACTCTAATGAATTCGAAGCAGAGGAGGCAGGATCAACTGGACCCTCATACTTGTTGGCTCTACCACCTGAGCTGTTGCTAAGAATTATGTCACTTGCGGATGTCTCGGATCTTATAAGTCTCAGCCAAGTGAACCGTACCCTCTTTGGTCTGATCACGACGGACACCATCTGGAAACGACATTGTGCTCCACATACTTCACCGGCACCTTATAGCTCGTTCTTCGATATGTACACACACCTGTTGCATAGGGAGGGTTGGTTACAAGGTGTTTGGATAGGCGATCGGCAATTCTATGGATCGTTACTGGTTGGGCGGTACAACCCTTTCACTGGACGAGTGGAGCTATATGAAGTGAGAGCTACGAGGGCAAGTGGGTCAACAGGTGACGAAAGCCAGTTTCTGGTTTGGGACGCAGTGGAGGATCAAGTCGACGATACCGACCTCGTCAGTCACTTCCACCCGCATCTAGGTCTTCGGCCTGCACCATTGCTCGTTCGACACGGCCACATGCCTCCCATCGCTGATCAAACACCCCCGTGGACGATGATTGCGACGGAGGCTCATGCGGTACGTGTGTATCCGTTGAATGATGATGCGGTTGCGGGATTACCTGAGCGTCAAGTATGGCCGAGTTCGCATATCCCTGCGGTTGATCGAACACTGACCATGATGTCCCGCAATGCATCGATTCGGCATCCGGGGATTGGTGAGGAACCGTTTATTTCAAAAGATTTGTTCAAGTTCTTTCGTGGGGAGGATAGGAGCACGCTTAATTACATTACAATCGGGATGTTAAGGGTTGTCGTGAACGGGCGGGATGTTTATGAGTCTTTTGGCAGATTGCACCCAGAGTTGATGAGGAGGACGAAGGAGAAGCCCTTGCAGGGTTTGTGGGTGGGTGATTATTCAGCTCATGGACCCGAGTATCTGCTGCTTAACTATGAAGTGATGGAGAATAACACGGTACTTCATGCCGTGAAAATCACGGGTACGTGAACATTGTACCGGTCATCTCCTTCGATATCTCTCTCTGACTTGTTGTACAGGCGACCCTAACGTCCCACGCGGCGAGATCACCTTCCGAGTCCCGGATATCGTGAACCCCGTACGGACGAAAACGTCGGAGGATGGCACGACTCGCAAGTATTACCCAGCATGGGGACAAATAGCCGGCTACGGATTTACCTCTTCAGAATGGACTGAGGCTGAATGTACGAAGGTTCATCCTTGCTTTACGGAGTACGGTAGGCTGATAACTTCGTACAGTTGTCTGGATGAGCGATGAAGAGATTGTTTTGAGGTGGTTCTTGTTTGACCGAGGTGAGTTGGCCAGACGGCGTGGGAATTGCGGGAGATGAGGCTAAAAAGTAATCAGCGTCGACATTCAGAAGAGTTGAGTTGGATGACTTGCATTTGCCGGCAATGATGGCACAGTAGCTGCTATTAAGTATAGCGTGGAAGTTTGAATGGAGGCCTCGGTTTGGAGAGTGAGGTACGGTATCTTTGGCATACGTATGTCTTGCGTTGGAATGACAGTCGTTGTCATATGGCATTGACGTTGAATATTGCAAAGTTTGGACGTGCTCATAATCATTGATTTCATTGATAATGAGGTGCGTGGAAAATGCCAAGCTTATCTTTTATCGAATCACAAGACCTTCATTTGGACATGGTTCATTCGAATTCGATGCGTGTGCACAAGGTTTTTACCACACGGGGAGGCCCTCAACGGTCCCTAAGTCCATAAAGATCCACTTCTAAGGGTAAAGAAGGCAGCAATGCACAAGTCCCTTGATACTGCGACAAGGGGGAATACGAACCATGAAAACAAAAAAATGCATCGGCCGGGAGTCGAACCCGGGTCGCGCGCATGGCAAGCGCACATCATACCGTTGGACCACCGATGCTGGTAGATGACGTCAAATTTTTTGATAATTTGTTATCCTTTACTAAATGGGTTCCGCCCATTTCCGTTGACTTTATGCTCGAAGTAATACAGCCTTGGACATCTGCACCTTCAAAAGACCCGCATTTACCTTCTGGCAGGTGCTTCAACATGTAATGAGAATGGAAACCCGTGGGAAACCAAACTCTACGTTTTATGTCGCAGCCGTGGAAAACAGACGGCTGCCGTAGCATGGTTTTGATCTCGGTATTTAGCTAAGAGCACTTTGAATTCTTGAGGGTGTAGCGATGATTTAATCGAGCTATCGACGAAGCGCAGGCAGCACCTTCTTCTTCCTCACATCAAAAAATACCACCGTCCCCACTTCAAACACCTACCCCATACGCCCCTCATTACCTTCTTACTCATACTGTCCACTCCTGGCCTTAGATACCACTCATACAACTCCGACCATGCCTCCTTCCCCTCTGACTCGATGACATCTCCATGACTGGGGATCACCACCTCGAAATCCATCTCATATACCGCTTTCACATCCCGACGCATCAGATTGTCATCAACACCAGCCATGTAGTAGATCAAACGTTTATGCCACGTAGAAAATGGGTGTGCGGCGAAGGCGAACGCGCGGGAGAGGGGATCGGAGGGTGGGTAATCATATTGCTAATCACAAACGTTAGGTCACCGATAATGACATGAGGTTGTCTGAGGACACCAACCTCTGTACATGGAAGATTCATTAACAAGTCCGTACACACCAACGTCCGCGTCGGTTTATGCACCCATGCAACACACCACGTTATGAACCCTTCAAAAATCACAGTCTCCACATCGTTCCACCCAAACTCTGCCTCCGGTTTCTTGCATCTGGATTCGTAGACCACATCCCATCGTACGTCATTTCGCTTTTGAGGAAGTCCGGGAACTCCGATGGTTTTGGCCTCAGGCCACTCGTCTTGGTACTCTTTCACATAGAGGTGGTGGCCGAGGTCTGCTGCGATGTAATCTACACCACCCAGGGAGCGGAGCTTATTTCTGATGTCGTCATTGAGCGGAATGGGTGCAACGATAAAGATTTGAGTGGAATTGCCTTGCTGGAGACGAAGAGCTGTCATGCGAAGCCCGACAGCTACAAACTTTCGGTAGCCGAACGGAGCGAAGCGATTGAAGGGACAGGTGAAGCTAGTGACAGAAGGGTTTAGATCCCGAATGACTGTTGTTGATCTTGCTTCTGCCTCGGTCATGTTGCTGGTTGGGGAGCGTATAGAGCAAGTGTAGATGATGGGATATCGTCCGTCGACAATGGTAACGTTGAAATGAGTTACGTCATTACCACAAATGAGAGGCACAGTGTGTTTGAACGCAGAAGTACTTCTATGCTTTCGCTCTTTTGCCATTGAATTATCTAGGTATGCTTGATGCTCCAAATCGCTAGTTCAGCTGCCGCTCCTCAGGCCAAGGCCTTCTCCAAACTCCTCCCACACCCGCTACGCACCGGTGATCTTCTCCACCACCTCCTCTATCATCTTTACAACTTCTCCAGACTTATCGATTTGGATGAAATGACTAGCCCCTTCAACAGCCCGTAACTCCTGACTCCTCCCACTCAGCTCTGTCAATCCCTCAAAATACTCATGCCACTTCCTCTCGAACGCCTCCAGCAAAGCTCCTGCATCGATTCCCAAACGACACGCCGTAAGCTCTGAATTACGTACAGGATCATGAGACGCAACGATCAACACCGGATCTCCAGGTAACTTTGGCTCCGATGCTGAGGGGAGAACGGAGGCTGCGTTGTTCCGGCGGAGATGTTCGAGGCTGTCAACGTCTGGGCCTAGAAATGCGACGACGGCCTCACGTGCTGCTGTTAGTCTGGAATCCTCGTCCGTACATCTGGGAGGGAAACAGTCTGCGAAGTTGGAGTTTGCCATATACGAGTCGAGGAGGATGATGCCCTTGACATTCCAAGCATAACCCGTCGCCAATAACCTCGCCAACGAACATCCGATACTGTTCCCGATCAGCACAATCTCCCACTTGCTGTGCCCACCCTTCAATACTTCATGTAAAAAGGCATCTAGATCAGCCGTGGCTGTAGTCAAGTCATGTTCCTCCGCATTCCGTGGCAGATCATCGCTTTTTCCGCGATGCCAGCGGTCGTAGCCGACGATGCTCCAGTCAGGATGGCCTCGGTGTATTGAGTTCATGACTGTATACCAGCTTGCCGGACCATCTGACGCGGCAACACGCAGTCATCATGTCCTCCGCTCATGGCGCCCGTCTTTTACCCTTTACCCTTCCAGTCTTAATGCTTACCAGTCTTTGTGGTTAAAGATGTCCATTTCTCGGTCGAGGTTGAGGAATTGTACGCTCTTGTAGTAGATCCACCCCTTTTACATCATACCAGTTCATCAGAGCTGAAACTCCAGCGTGCAGGAAGACTGAAAAGGTCAATTGATGCCATATGAATTTTCATGACTAACAAAAAGGAAACCTAAAAATAGAAACGCGTCGCTTTACGTCAAACCATGCCCATACTCCTTATCATATCACAGCCCTCCCCTTTCACTCTCACACCATTTTCCCACCTCAAGATCAAGGACTAGCCGGCGCATACGACGGCTCCTCATCATCCCCACCCCACGGCGTAGCAGCATCAGTAGCCCCAGGCGTAGGCGCACTGATAGCCCCAGGCGTCTGCACCTGATCCCACGGCGCCGCCCTCTCTTGACTGGGACGATCCCACGGCGCAGCCGGCGTTCGGGCAGACGCGTTCCAGGCCGGGGTAGCACCACCATGCATGGGTGTCCGCGCTGAGGCGTTCCAGGCGGGTGTACGGCCACCGTCGTTCAAGCCATAAGCGGGGGTGCGAGAAGATGCGTTCCAGGCTGGGGTGCGGCCGCCGTCGGCCATGGACCAAGCGGGGGTACGCGAGCCTTGAGCCCAAGCAGGCGTACGACCACCATCTCCACCGGCGAAGCCGTTTCCTTGCCATGCAGGGGTCTTAGCAGCTTGCCAAGCGGGAGTAGCATTCCCCCTCGCCCATGCCGGCGCATCCCTGGGCGCAGCAGATCCTCCTCTGTCTCCACGTCCAAAAGCCCCAGGCGGCCCACGCTGTCCACCTCTCGATCCAACGAACTCGGCATATGTCAGTGACCGACCATCCTGAGTCTTGATCCTAAGCTTGTCCTTAGTGACGCTGATGATCCTGAACCCAGTATGCAACTCAACACGAGCCTGGGTATCAGTCGTATCCTTCACGATACCCATCAAGCCCTTATGAGGACCCTGCGCGATCGTAACATTATGCCCAATGACACGATCACGTCCACCACGACTCGGCATAGCAACATTCGGCGGTGGCTTCATATCGCGAGACATCTTATCACCAGCACCACCATCACTGGTAGGCCTCCCACCCTTCGCATTAATCGTAGCAACCTTGACACAACGAAGGACGAAGACAGCGTTCTCGTGGTATTCGTGGTTCGTCAAAAACACCCACGAACGGTAAATATGCAAAATCGTTCCATTCCTGCCCTCGCCGTCAACCTCCTTGACCTGATCACCGACCCTGATCTCGGAACCATGCGAATCCGTCGCAACAGGTTTACGCTGATCGATCTTCAGCGGAATCTGCTGCGGCAACAACGTCTTCTTGATTCCATTCTGGTCCAGGACACGCACGAGACCACGCTCGATATGCGTGATAACACCGACCGTCGTCGCATCCAACTGTACCAAATCCTGTAACTTGTACTGTCCCGCAGACTGAGGTGCAACACTATTCTCCGCAATCGTCAAATCCTTCGTAAAGACCGTGATTTCGCTGTTACTCGTGTCCGCGTACAAGATGACTTGGTCGTTGTAGGTCTTGATGACGGAACCGGTTTCGTCTTTGTAGCGTCCGTTGATGACCTTCACGCGGTCACCCTGGACGAACTTCTTGCGCAACGAACGGGTTGGGACGTCGATATCCCCGAGATCTTGGTCTGCGGGCTTGATGGTGATGATATCGCCGATGACTTGCCTGACTTTTCCGACAGTTCCGCGGGCTTCACCATTCGTGACCTCAACCTGATCACCAAGCGAGAAGATCTGAGTCTGTTCCGTCGACCTAAGCGACTGCGCAATCTGATGCAAATCCAATCCCTGTTCATCATCCCGTCCCTGTTCCAACGCAGTAATTTCCTCCAATCTCGGGTCAACATTATCCTGCGACAATGCACGAATCGGGAAATCTTTGATAAGATACCCATTCTCGAACGTATCGCTACCGAACTGGAAAACATTCTTCCCGCGACGCTGGAAAGTCTTATGTTGAGCTCCCTTTTGCGCATCCATTTCGTTGAACAAGCGCGGAGGGGGGCGGTTCTTGATGGTCATCTTGACCTTGACTTCTCTGCCGCTCGGACCCTTGGTCGTCTCCTCTTTAGCGTAGTTGATACGGGGAACGAGCTTCAAGGTCGCTGCGAGTCCGTTCTCGGAAATGTTCTCGACGCGTGCGAGATCACCGGCGTATGGACCGCGTTTAGGCCTAACCCACGCACCAGGAAGCAACTCCTTGATCTTCTTCTGTACGGTCAAGAGTTGCGTCATCTCCTCCAACGGGATCAACAAAGGCTTTGCGTTCTTACCCATGTAGACACCAAGGATACCATTAACAGCCGTTAACACCGACGCGACATTATCGGCCTCGACGTAGACATACCCACCCAAACTCTCACGCTCGAAAGCAGAGTAGATCGTGAGTGGCGTACCAGCTCTTTCCCAATCCTTTGCACGACGCAGCATAGTCATGATGATTGACTTTTCCTTCCCGAGCTTGACTCTGACACCCCAGATCTTGGGCCCAGAGATATCAGGCATGAGAAGCCTCTGCGGCACAATTGCCGAATCACCCGAATACTTGCTCCGAGCCGAACGTCCATACCGTTCCTTCAAGCGTGCCGCCATCTCGTGCGCATCCATCTCTGCCTCCTCGGCGCGTTGACGGTCGAGACCGCGGTGGATACGGTCGTTGTCGGCACGGAGGTTATCGACATCATCCGGATGCCCCTCTTCCTGAATGAACCCATCTTCGCGAGCCAATTCGTCCTCGTCGTCTTCGAGTTCATCTTCGTCGTCTTCGACTTCGGCTTCCATGTCAATGAACTGGTTGACCCTTCGACGGGCCTTCTTCCTCGGTCGGCGGCTGTTTCCTACTTCTCCGTCCTCGTCTTCCTCATCCTCTTCGTCATCATCATCCTCGTCGTCTTCTTCATCATCTTCTTCGTCCTCTTCGTCGTCGTCATCGTCCCTGGCTCGCTTCTTGTCGGAGGTTGAGGGGTGTTCGTCGTTGTTGTCGGCGTCGACGGCTGGAGCAGCGGCGGTGGTGACGCCCTCGTCGTCGGAATCCTCGACGAATTCGTTAGACAGAGGTTTCTCCGACATTGTCCTTGTAAGGATGAAGGTGGAGTATTGTTGGAGTTTACCTGAGCCTCAGCGTACTTGTACGCAGCGGGCGACCCCCGCGCAGGAGTCAGTGACCGGTGGTATACCGTCTCGCAAGAATTAGAAAAAGGTTAGATTGAGGATTTCCAAGTTTACTTTTGAGTTATTTGAACATCCATATAGGGTCGCGAAACTGTCTCCCAGAATTGGAACGTCATGACTCCACGTTACAGGGCTCGCCTCACTCCCCGATTCCCGAATCCAGTTATCGATACTGCCCCGCCGGTATCGCCACCCCCAAGATCTCTTGATCACCAACTCCTCGTCCAAAGTAACCATCACAACAATGCTCTGCCTCCCCGTCCGCGCCCTCCGCCCCATCATCCGCCAGATCCGCCTCAACAGCACCAAACCCTTCCTCGAATCCCCCAGTCCAGTCCGCCTCCCACCCCACGAACAAGCCGAATTCGAACGTCTCCAAAAAGCAGCCGAGGACGCTCTACAAACCCGGACCGTACACCCGGACGCACGGTCGTCTCCTACGAGGGTTGAGTTCGATGGTGATAGGTGAGTCTTTGGAGGAAGGGGGTTCAAGGGGCAGAGCGCTAATGGATTGGGAAACAGGAATCCAAAGACAGGCGAGATTGGTGGACCAAAGCAGGATCCCTTGAGGCATTATAAGCCGGGGCAGGGGGATAAGAGTAAGGGGGAGGAGTATAAGGGAGACTATTCCTTCAATGGACGCGTGACAGATTTCTAGCCTCCGTGTCCGTTTGTTGGATGGTAATAGAATGCATCTACGACGATATCAAGTGTCTAAGCGTCTCCTTTGACGATCAACCCCTCATCAGCACTCGCCCGCTGCGCCCACTCCGTCCAACTGCCATCATACACCGCACCCTTAGTTCCATCACTCCCGAAAGCGATGTTCTGTCCCAACCACAACACACTTGCTGTCACGCCAGTTCCGCAGGACATGATTACGTCGTCTCCCTCCTTCACGCCCAAGCCCTCCAAAGTCTCTTTCAGGTCTGATGCCGGTTTGTAGGTTGTGTAGGAAGAGGGGGTGGTGAGGAGTGATTGGAAAGGGAGGGAGATGGAGTGTGGGATGTGACCTGAGGAGAGGCCGGGTCGGGGTTCGGGTGCTTCGCCTGTAAATCTTCCTTTCGCACGAGCGTCGAGGACCTTTGCCCTCCCATCCTGTTTTTGTGCGTTCTCCCTCACTTCCTCAAAGGACTTGACCAACTTGTCATCAATCTCGCACGGGCCATACTCCACGCTCTCAACCTTCTCCTCCCCACTAACAACCTCCCCTCTCGCCTCTTTCCACCCCGCCAAACCCCCTTCCAACAAACTAACCCTCGTATGCCCGAAGACCTTACACATCCACACCACCCTCGCCGCCGAAAAGACTCCATACGTATCATAACACACGACCCAGTCATCCCTCCCAATACCCAGTTCCCCCATCGCTTTAGACCATGCAGAGGGGGTGGGGAGCATGTGTGGGTAAGGGGAGGAGGTATCGCACACACCGTCCAGGTCGAAGAATCGGGCGTTGGGGAGGTGGGCTTGGGTATACTCGGGGCGGGGGGAGCGCGGGGTTGGGGAGGGCATGTGCCAGGTGCAGTCGAGGGCTTTGTAGGAGGTGGGGGGTGTTGAGAGGAGGGATTTGGGGGAGATGAGGAGGGGGGTACGGGAGGTTGAGGTTGAGGTTGACATTGTGCGGATCAAGCGATTCATCTGGTCTGATCCGTGAAGCGAGTGAGATGATCCCGTCGGTACCCGTCGATCTGTATTACCAACTTCCGACTCCATGGAGGTTTCGTAGGTTCGCTCGGGCCGAGACGCCCAGCCGGTGCGCCCTCCGACAAATCCTGATGTCAGACCCGCGCACCTTGAGAAACCAGTACAGATAAAAAGAGAGTACTTCGCATCGATCTGTTGTACGAGGAGACGAGATGCAACTCACAACCCTCATCACCGCCCTCCTCGCCGGCGCCTCATCCCTCGCTGTCACCTCGGCCGGACCCATCGACGATGCCTCCCTCCATCGCATCCACAGACGTACTTCGCCCTCGGGGTCGTATGCCCCCGCCAACGTCTCCTGCCCCATGACCACCGGATTCCTCCGACCCGCCTCGGGCTTGTCGCCGAATGAGACGGAGTGGTTGCAGCTTCGTCGTCAGAATGTGCAGGAGCCGTTGGAGAACCTCTTGAGCGTCTTGGCACAGAACTCGTCTTCGATCAACACCACCGCGCTCGCCGAGAACTCGACCATCGGTCTCGCGTTTTCAGGAGGTGGATACCGCGCCATGATCGTCGGTGGTGGATTCCTCTCCGCCATGGACTCGCGTACACCCGGCCAGAACTCCTCGAACCCAATGAGTGGCATCATGCAAGCTGCCTCCTACATCGTCGGTCTCTCCGGAGGCAACTGGCTCGTCGGTGGTCTCGCAATCAACAACTTCCCCACGATCGAAGAGCAGTGGCACACCGTCTGGGACCTCGAGACGAACCTGGTTAACCCCTCTGGTATCGTGGATAAGGCCCAGTTTTACTATGACCTCATTGATGAGGTTAATCAGAAATCAGATGCTGGGTTCGAGACGACCATTACGGATTACTGGGGTCGTGCGTTGAGTAGGCATCTGGTCAATACGACGGATGGTGGGCCCGCGATTACGTTCTCGGATATCCGGAATCGGACGTTGTTCGCTAATGGAAGCATGCCGTTCCCGATCTCTTTGGCTGATGGACGTGCACCTGGTGAGACGGCCATCGCTGTAAACACCTCCACGTTCGAGTTCAACCCCTTCGAGATGGGTTCTTGGGATAATGACATCGCCGCGTTCACCCCGATTCAGTACCTAGGTACCTCCCTTAACAACGGTTCCCTTATCTACGGTGACGGGTCCTGTATCGAGGGTTTCGACAACGCTGGTTTCGTGATGGGAACTTCCTCATCCCTCTTCAACGCCGCCCTCTTGCAAATCAACGGCTCGGACACCTCCATCCTCACCGATGCCGCCGAAGCCATCCTCTCCCGCATCTCTGCGGATGAGGAAGACATCGCAGCCTACCCCAACCCATTCTACGGCTGGAAAAACTCCACGAACTTGTCTTACAACTCCACGCGTCTCACTCTCGTTGATGGTGGAGAGGATAACCAGAATATCCCTTTCTTGCCGCTCTTGCAGCCGGAGAGGAATGTGGATGTTATCTTTGCGGTTGATGCAAGTGCTGATACGGCGCATTCTTGGCCGAATGGGAGTTCGTTGGTTAACACGTATCGTCGGCTTACGGTTGCGAACCCGATGAATGATTTGGCGTTCCCCTACGTTCCGGACTACAATACCTTCATCAACCTCGGGCTCAACGTTCGTCCTACCTTCTTCGGATGCAACTCTTCCAACTTGACGACGGAGGGTACGGGTCCGTTGGTTGTCTACCTTCCCAACGCACCCTACACTGCTTATTCCAACACCTCAACTTTTATGTTAGAGTACCAGAACGACCAAGTCGCCGACATTCTTACGAACGCCTACAACGTCGCTTCCCGCGCGAACTCCACACTCGACTCGGAGTGGAACGTCTGTCTCGCCTGTGCCATCGCGCAGCGTTCAGCCGAACGTCAGTCGATCGATATCTCCTCTGCCTGCTCCGGGTGTTTCGACAGGTACTGCTGGGATGGATCCCTCAACGCGACTGAGCCCACTGAGGCCGAGTTGACACCGACTTTGATGGTGAGTGGGGCGGAGGCGAGCTATGAGGCTGCTCAGAATTCCTCGAGTGGGAGTGAGAGATTGGGGAGTAGGATTGATGGGTGGGTTATGGGGTTGGCTGGGTTGGCCGGTATCGGAGGTCTTGTTTTCTAGAGCATGAGCATGAACATCGTGGTCGTGGTCGTGGTCGTGCATAGCGAGTGATGGATGGACGATAATTATTCGAAAGAGTGCACAGGTGCATGGTATGCAATTGAAGCACGCTGGCGCTGGTATATGGTAGGATTGGTATGCGTTTATGTGTTTCTTGGTATGTAGTAATGGACTGCGGACTTATTCAACAACCGGTTTTCCTTTCCCTTTAACTATTTGTTCGCTCGTTCTTCACCTTCCCGGGCTCAGGCACTACAGCCAGGGCCTTTGCAACTGCAGCGCGTACGGTACACCGCCGAGGACTCCCCCAAGCAAACACTTCGCTCCAATAATGGCATGGGCATCCCAAAACTCTACGCACAAATCCGTCAACATGGAGTAATCACAGCATTCCCAGATGACTTGACCACCACCACTACCACAACCATCCCGGCACACCTCATCATCGACGGCCCAGCCCTCGCGCACCACATCTGGCGCAGAATCCATAACCCAGAGGGTATACTACCGAGATTCGCTCGTGCGGTCGAGGAGTATGTCGCGAAACTCCGGGCTGTGGGGTTCGGAATCACAGTCGTGTTCGATGGGAGTTTACCGATGCATAAGAGGGGAATCAGACTCGCGCGTAGCACGAATAGTTTAAAGTACCTTCCCTCCAATGGGGTTATTGCGGGAAACTCGGATGCACTGTCTCCGCCGTTTGCGGTCCCGGTGTTGCAGGATGTGTTGTTGGAGTTAGGTGTGGAGATGTTTACGGCGCCGAGTGAGGCGGATCGGGAGTGTGCGATTAGGGTGAGGAGGGGTGGGAAGGGGTTTTATTGTTTGAGTTTGGATTCGGATATGTTGGTGTATGACATTGCTGACGCTGGGTACATCCCACTCGACACGGTCGTGTTCACCGAAGGCAAGATCATTGCGTCCGTCTTCAACCCCGCGGAGGTGAGTGCGAAGTTGGGGTTGAGGGGTGTTGGGGATATGGTCGAATTGGCTGCGTTACTTGGTGCTGAGGGCGCGGACGAGGACGTGTTGATGAACGCTGCGCATCGATCCATATCGGCTTGTTTGAAGTTCATTTTGGCAGGAAACGTGGCGAACACGGTGGGCGCTGAGGAGTTGGACAGGGTACGGGCGTTGTTTGATATTGCGACGGCTGCGGCACAGGCACCTGAGGCGGATGATTCGCCGTTGGTTGCGTATGTCAAGTCGGGAAGGATGTATAATCGGGTTGCCGAAGTGGTCTTTGTGGATCCGGAGATGGAGGCAGCTGCGGTGCGGGAAATTTGGTTACCGGTCATACATGAGGATCTTGGACGTGCGTCGGCATGGGTCGCAGGACGACAAATGCGGGCGGCGGCGTACGGATTGCTTCAAACGGGTGGTACGGCGAGGGAGCAGATTCGGAAGGGAGCTCGCATCGTCGAGGAGGATGTGCCATGTGTGGCGGTTGGTACTGAGGATTGGAAGGACCTGCTGGGCAGCTCGGGTGAAGAGCTTACGAAACGGGTGTTTGTCACAGCGGCTCGGGAAGTCTGTACCATCCAAACCGAGAGCTCGGTCCTCCTAGACTTCGAGCTCGCAGCACTCGTCCTCACACTCCTCATCAGCAGCCTGCCATCAACGCAAACCGGTGACATACCCACCGACCTCAAATACTCGCCATCCAACCCAATCTCGAGTAACCTCCGCACGATCCATATCGGCGCACAATACCAAGCCGCCCTGTTCTCGACGTATGCCTTGCTCCAAGCATCACAAACCCCCTCTTTGCCACCGATATGGAAGTTTTGGGATGCGTCGCTGTTTACACGACTCCTCAATAAACTCAAAGGTGGGACGAGGGTTTCTGCGCTGCTACCGGGTCGGTTGGAGGATATCAAGGGGTTGTATGATGATATCCTGAAGGGAGACGGGGTTGAGGTCGAGGATGCGATTGATGTATGGTCGGAGAAGGCGAAGGGGGGCAAAGGGTTGAGTGAGGTACGCAGTCCGAAAAAGAAGAAGGTGAAGAAAATCAAGAAGGATGCTGATGGTACCGGTGCTGGAACACTGAGCAAGCCGATCGCAGTGGGGTCGGGGAATATTTATGATATGTTGATGAAGGGGTGTACGTTCTAGAGAGATGAGGGAAGATTATAGCATATAGAAATGCATTTTCTGCAATTGAGGATCAAAGAGAAAGCGATGTTTCCGCGGTCTGTGGCTCAAATAACCTCACCGTAGCTCTGGCGGTACCCCGCAATCCATCCCCCAACCCCCAACCGTGCGCGACCCAAGAACACCCGACTGCTACACATCTCCATTGATCCCATGAATCCGGAAGGTCAACACTCTTCAAGATAAACGAGATGACGGAAACGGAATCAAAACACGAATCCGTGACATCGCCTGAAGGGCAAGCCGAACCTAGATCGACGACCCGAAACCTCGCAAAACACGACAAAGCCCACTTCCGACGCGAACCCTTACCGTTCCTCCGCGAACTAAACGCATGGTACAATGGTGTCGGATGGCGCGGATATAATGACTACATCGGTCAACGTATTTATTACGACGGGTTCACCGCGGAGATCAAGTCACAGACCCTTTCAAGTCCGATCCTGCGGAAGAAGATCGTCGAGCTGGCGACGAAGCGTGCAGAGGTGGAGTACCCAAATGAAGCCATCCCAAGAGCCCGGAGACGAACGGAATTGGAAAATCAGTTGGGTGAAGTCGCGGATAAGTTGGCGGATGGTATGATCACCCGATTGGAGCACCACAAGTTCATCCGTGGTGCGTGCTGGATGGTGAATCAGATGTTGGCAAGAATGTATGATCAGGGAATCCATGTCGATGACGGCCAAGTACAACAGTTGAGAGAGACGGCGATGAAGGCCGAAAAAGAGGGGAGGTCATTGATTATTCTGCCGTGTCATAAGTCGCACATCGATTACATCTCGATACAGATCATTTTCTATCGACTGGGATTTTCGTTACCGCACGTCGTTGCTGGTGACAATCTCAACTTTCCGGTCGTTGGGCCGTTTTTGCAGAATGCAGGTGGATTCTATATTCGCCGGGAGTGGGGTGATGATGCGCTCTACTCGACGCTCGTTCACTGCTATATCTCAGTGCTGCTCGCTCGCGGGCTGAATATTGAATGTTTCATTGAGGGCACGCGATCACGAACCGGCAAGCTCCTTCCGCCCAAGCTTGGTATTCTTAAGCTTATCCTCGACGAAGTCACCAAAGATGGAACGAAAGATGCGTACGTCGTTCCTGTCAGCGTCCAATACGACCGTGTTATCGAGGCAGAATCGTACGTCAGCGAGCTTCTTGGCAAACCGAAGGAGAAGGAAGGCTTAATTGACATGTTGAAGAATTGGGATTTATTACAGCTACGACTCGGCCGTATCGATGTTCGATTCGCGGAAGCGTTTTCACTGAAGGAGTTCGTGAATGCACAGGAAACGCGTCAAACGGAAAGGTCAGTGACGGAGCGGGCTACGCCTCGGTCTACGTATGCATCATCTTCTGCTCTTCAGTTACGGATTCTTCGTGCGTTGGGGTATAAGGTGCTCGCTGATATCAACCGGGTGTCGGTCGTGATGCCAGCAGCACTCGTCGGCACGGTTATTCTTACGCTTCGCGGGCGAGGTGTAGGCAAGAGTGAGTTGGTCAGGCGAGTCGCGTGGCTTATCGAACGTGTTAAAGCAAAGGGCGGACAAGTCGTAGATTTTCATGGCGTTAGTCTGGAAGGGATCGTTGAGCGAGCACTTGGGTTCCTCGGCGACCTTGTAGGTGAGGTCACTGAAAAGGGTGTGTTGGAGCCCACCTATTACGCAAAGGATCGCTTTCAACTATCGCTGTATCGAAACCAAGTCATACACTTGTTCGTGTCAGAAGCGATCATTGCAGCGGCGATGTACACCAAACTCAAACAGGGTGGAGGACCGGCTCATCAGCGCATGCCTTTGGAGGATTTATATGACCGCTGTACATTCTTGTCGCAGCTTTTCAAGAATGAGTTCATCTTCGGACCTCAGGGCTTTGCACCAAATATGAGAATCTCGTTGGAGGAGCTGAAGAAAGACGAGGTAATCGACATGCAGCAAGGATACGTGGAACTATCGCGCGAAGAACGCGAACTCGGTAGAGAGAACTATGATTTCTATTGTTTCCTGCTCTGGCCGCTCGTGGAGACATACTGGTTAGCGTCTGTGGCGATGTTCGCTCTTGCTCCTCGAAACGGCAATGCGGGTGCCTCGTGGGTGTCTATGAAGGAGTTTGAGGATGCTGCCCAGAATCTGGGGAAGACCTTGTTTTACCAGGGTGATTTGTCGTATTACGAAGCAGTCAGCAAGGAAACTTTACGGAATGCATACCAGCGGCTTACAGAGGAGGGCGTGATCACAATCCGGCGGACACGCGGTGGACGTGCCCCGAATGTGTTGAGACTGAGTAAGCTGTGGTGGCCGGCACGCGATAAAGCGACTGGTGAAGTTCAGGTAGGCGGCAAGTTGTGGGATCTGGTGGAGTCTATTGCCGTGTCCCGAAGAGAAGGAAAGAATCGAAGGGATAATGCTACAGGTACATGACGAACTTTCAGTATTGGGTCTCCCTTGACTGACATTTGCTGCAGTTTCTCGAAGAGTGCTTTTCATCGCTGATGAAGTCGGAGCGAGGCTGAAGAGGCAGTCTGACCAGGGAATTACAGATAAAGCCACAAACCTAGACGTTGTCGAGAAGGGAAAGAAGGGTGCGCAAACATTGGAGGGACCCTTATCCGCAAAGTTATAGGCAGACTGAATTCTCAGACATGGAGCTCGTATGATGGTTTGATTGCAATACGGCTGGTGAACTACGCCCAAGCCATTACATTATGTACATAGCATGAAACAAACACGCCTGGATACCTAGGTACGTACTTGCATAGAAGACCTACTACCATAGCTTGACTTACTTGATTGAGCACTTGATTTGTAATGCTCATGAAACACTGAACCGCGCTAGGTAAGATGCACAATCTGCAAGGCGTGAGAATATATGTTTTGATCGCGCATTCTGTTTCTCAACAGTGGGAAGAAAGTTTATGCCGCGTTCATCAAAAACTTCTCGTTGGAACGGAATCTTTTCGCGACGATCGGGCCAGTCTGACAACAACTTGACACTCATGCCTGGTGTCGCAAGGAAAAAAAGAAATGCATCGGCCGGGAGTCGAACCCGGGTCGCGCGCATGGCAAGCGCACATCATACCGTTGGACCACCGATGCTGTATGATGGCTGGAATTTGGGGTTGCAGTTCCAGATTGCAACTGCGGGTGGGATGGGCAATTGGCAACCATCCTCCTTACGCACGGCTGAACGTGCTGCAAAACCCTGTATTTACATACTGATCCGTAGATATAATGAAAGGGAGGGGAAACCATATTGGTCATTGTCTGCCTCTGTCGTCCTGCACCCTGCATGAGAGGAACTCGGCATACAACGGCAGAGCTCCATAGCCCGGAGCAAAACGCAAAAGGATGTGGAGAAGCTGGGAGTCGAACCCAGTACCTCTCGCATGCTAAGCGAGCGCTCTACCAGATGAGCTACATCCCCGATTCGTTGCAAACTGTTTGCTGTTAACAAATAATGACCGCTCTGTTCTCCACCCACCGCGTTAATCGACCACCCCGGACGACGTACGGTAGCCATCATCAATCGTCAACAGTAAACAATAAACGACATGGATCCGTCCCTCTCCTACCATCAAGCATCAATCCTCTCAACACCTCCTCCCCACCCCTCACCAGGCCAACGTCCCCCTCCCTCCCTCATCCTCCTCAAAGACACACAAACCCAGTCCACCCGCCCACCCCGCCGCATCCAATACATCTTCTCCGACGACCCAGTCCCCTCCCTCCCACCGTCCTCAAAAGCTGTCATGATAGACATGGACCACGAAAACAAAGTCGTAAATGCGATGAGTATGAGCGAGGACTGGCAAGTCGTCGGAACCGAAGTTGCTAAATCCCCAAACTGGTTCGGAGAGCAACAGGAAGACGGGGGTGTCATGGTCACTATCCAAGGAACGGGCGTAGAAGGCGGTATTAGGAAAGGTGATGATATATTTGAGATGGCAAGGAAATTTACCGAGAGGTATGTATCGCCGAAATGCAACTTCATTATGAAGGTTCTGACTCGGTTGTGCAGAAATGCAACACTACGATCTATGATCGACTTATCGCCTGGAAAGGCAAAAAACGTGGAAGGCAAAGTTCTATGAGATATACGGCACTGTGAACGTCCAAGATGGCGATCATCGAATTGCTGTCCTTATGAGTATGCTCGTGTGAGCCACGGCCACGATCAACTGGAGGGACGGTCTGAATACTTCAGTTCTCAGAGCAGCGTCAATGTGAACTAGCCGCTCGTGGGACCATCAGATGCAACGGAACGAATATGAGTTGCGTTTCAAATGCTTGTGAGGCAACGGGTTACGATGATCCCACGAACCAATGACAGTTGTGTGACATGCCTGCGTTGGAACTCATGTTAGCGGATTGGTCAGATTACTACCTTAGGTGCCCACAGCTACAGTGAGTAAAGCTGGTTTTGAGAGAATAACTTTTCATTACAACCAAAAGTCCAGCGTCTGAACCGAATATCAAGACTACACCAAACCTCCAATAAAACATAGAACAGAAAGCGGCATTAAACGTATTAAACTCAAATAAAACCCACGTAAAACCCTCTATCACGGACGCCAAACGCCCTCTTATTCACAAACACCATCGTACTGTTTCCATCATCATCACATAGGCTTCCGAATTCTGTTCTCACGTCCAACAGCCGATGGGGCCCTCATCTTACTCTCGAAACTCCCTCTGGTCCGAGAATCCCTGGTACCATTCGCATTCGCAGCAGATGACTCCTGCATCACCTTTACCGGCACAGGCGGTTGCGCAAGAGGCGGCGCAGCAACCAACGCGACATCCTCCATCGTCTCAACAAGACCCGTAGCGTCCTCCATGACGTCGTCGATTGATCCATTCGCCTCGGCTGCTGATCCATTGGGCGAACCAACATTGGAAGAACCGTCCTTGGTAGCATCATCTCCAGACCCAGCCGTCTTCTCCCCACGGAACGCCGCCAGAATCTCAGAATGAGGCTTCGTAGTATTCCAAGTTTGGGTATACGTATACGCCTTCTTCTTCGGCGTCTGACCTGTCGGCACATCCTCCTTCAATTCCGACGTCGTAACATCCTTCCTGATACCCGCAACATGGTTCGCTGCGGCAGTCTGAAACGCACCGATCGTGGGCTTGTGTTGCTGGATGGCAGGAACGATCCTAGCACCGAAGGAGTTGACATCACCCTTGATGTTACCCAATGCACTCTGGAAGTTGGCATACGTAGAGGTGACGCCCGTACCGAGAGCCTCAACACTGTTCGCGTGCGCCTCATGGTGAGCAGCGACCTGAGCACGAGCCCTAGTTACAAACTCATCCAACTCCCTAACCTGCGCATCAACGACAGAAATCTGGTTATCCACGAGCGCAACAGTCTCGGCATGAATCGCTTTCGTAGACTCTTGAATCGCAACACCCTTCTCCATCGCATACTTGGCACCCGTGATGAGCTGGTTTTTCGTCGCCCCTTTCATTTCGACGAACTTGCGTGCGTAAGTCCTGTCCTTGTCCAGCCACGAATCAACACCAGAGTTGAACACAGATGTAGAAGCATCTCCAGCCTGTCTACTAGCCTCCAAACCAGCCTGAGCACCGGCGACCTTCTCTGCCCATCTCTGGTCTTGCGCAGCAGACATCGATCCAAACAACGCCGTGATCTGCGCAAGCATCTGCTCCCTCTCCCTCTGCGCATCAGCCTTCTCCTGCTGGAGCGCACTCGCCAAGTTCGCGCTCGTAGTCAAAAGGTTCGCCGAGGTAGCCTTGTTGGCAGCGACCAATTCTCCCCTCAAGCGCTCAATCTCATCTTGCTGCGCTTGAAGATGTCTCTGGGTATCCTCAGTAAGAGCCTTGAGCTTCGCACCGACATCATGGAAGGAAGTGTTGAGTCCCTGCTGGAACTGAACGATCTCCGTAATGACCTCAGTAGCGATCCTCTCTGTCGCACCGTTCAAGCCAGTCAACGCCTCATTCAACTTGACACTAATCCCCTCCCTAAGCGTCTTGATCTCACCCAAAACACCACTCATATCCTCCTTCGCCGCACCCAAGTTGCCCTCGAGCTCCTGCTTGCTCTGCGCGAACTTGGACAAGGCACTCTCCACATACACCTGCCCGTCGGCCAACTTCTTCGCTTCCGCAGCGACGAACTCGGAAATCTTCTCCTCCAACCCAGCAGCGAAGATGTTTTGCTTCTTCGTAAAGTCAAGGATACCCTTGTCCAACTCTTCCGTCATCTGTTTCGCGCGCCCCTGGAGGTTCTTGAAGGCGTTCTTGTTGTGGGCCTCTACCTCGGCCTTCCTATCAACCTTGGCATGCAACCCCTCCACGTCCTTCACTGTCGCACCGACAGTGCCGCGAAGTTCCTGTGCAACAGTATCCAACTCAAACTCCGTCGTCTGATGCGCCTTCCTGATGACCGTCTCCTCCTCCCACGCCATCTTCGTTACCTCCAGGTTCTTCTCAGTTCCTTCGAGTGTCGTCTGAGTATCCGCCAACGTCTTCGAAGTCTCAGTCAACTCCCTTTTAGTGTTTGTGAGCAGGAGCATATTCTGATCAAACTGCTCCCTCGTACTCTTCAAACTTGCCTCAATGACCTCAATCCTCCTCTGTCCCTCCTCAGCCAACAACCTCCGACTTTCACTCTCAGCCTTCATCTCCTCAAACGACTCTGTAGTGAGGTAAATACCATTCTTCGTCCGGGTAGCCGAGAGATCGCTCTTCAGCCTCTCAATCTCCTGAACGTACTCCTTGATCAACGCTTTCTTTGTCATCAACTGATTCGCCTGGGGTTTATTCCGGATATTCTTCGCGCGGTTGGCGTAATCAAGGGTACTCAGGGTCTCGTCCAAATTCACCTTCGCAGGCGAGACAGTCGCGATAATACACGTCTTCGTCCGTCCACCGAGCGAATCTTGCAACAAACGCGTCAACTTTGACTCACGATACGGGATATGGGAACTCCTCTCCACAAGCGAGTTGATAACACGTCCGAGCGTCAACAAACTTTGGTTAATCATACCAGCTTCGCGAGCGCGCTTGTTCTCTGCGCCAGACCTTTGGATGTTCTCGGAACCGGCCAAATCGACCAAATGGAGTTTCCCGACCTTGAGCATATCCTCACCCTCAGTCTTTTCTTTGACGTAGACAGTGATGGTGAAGACGGAGTGCGAACGAGAAGACATGTCGTTCATCTTCGTCGCAGCGATTTGGCGCTTGAGAGTACCGTCCTGCAAGACCTTCATTCCCTCTGCCGCAGTGCTGATCAAGGCCTCCTCAATGCCCTGGACCACAACACCCTTCTTAGGCTCCTCGATAATCCTGATCTTCGCAGCCTCATCCGTCGCCAGCAAATCCTTCAACTCCTCATTGTACAACTCAATATACGAGATCTTGACGCTGTACTCCATATCCTCCACATCCAATGCATGAAAAAGCCTAAACAACGTTCGCGGGATTATACCCGCACCATCCTTAAACGTTCCATTCGGGTTATCCTGTACATCACCAGACATGGTAAACGTCTTTCCCGTACCCGTCTGTCCATACGCGAAGATAGTACAGTTATACCCTTCCAACACCTCCTGCAAGATCGGCGCAACGACAGCATCGTAGACCATACCCTGATCCGCCTCGGGACCGAAAACGCGGTCGAAAGTGTACATGCGTGGGTTCGCGCTCGACACGGGGTTCTGGACACAAACCTCCCTTCCACGCGTACCACCCGGCAAAGACAACACAACACCCGAGTTCTCCTTGATCTCGCGATCGTTACGACCGCGACATCTCACGACGACTTGAATGTTCGTTTCCTCATCCGTCTCTACTTCCTTCTTCTTCGGTCGGGGAGCGGCGGGAGCGGCGGTGGTGCTCTGGACGGAGGAGGAGGAGGATGAGCGAGCGGGTGGTGCACGAGTTGTAGAAGCTGCGCTCGGACGCGATGATGTGTATGTACCCGTCCTAGATGCAGTACGTGATGGTGGGCGTGCCGCTGGTGGACGCATTGATCCGTTCGACGAAAGTGACGCCGACGATGGCGGTCGAGTAAGAGAACCAGCGACCATTTCCGCGATAAATGCTTCGATAAAAGCTTGACCTGGGTGAGTTTAAGCGAAAGTTTGTCGATGGATTTGGTGTTGATGGGTTGTCGAGTCTCCAAGTTCGCGCAACTCCAATGTTTGTTTACAGCGGATAGGGTCCCTCGGAAACAACGCTAACCAGATTTGGAATAATCATTACGACCGAATGTCAACGTTACTTCAGCTTCGCATTTTTGGTGCAATCCGGCAAAAGTCATATACCAACATCGAGATGGCTACAGCTCCCAAACAATCTTCAAATACTGCTGAAATCCAGGCAAACTCGATCACTCTGCCGCTGCTGTGCGCAAGTTGGTGTCTTCATGGTTGCCCGAAGAATCAGATAACAAGCCACGCATTCGGAGGTTGGGGAGAAGAAGGGTGGTAACAAGAAGGGCGGGTTCTCTTTTGACAGTTACAAGCAGGAGAAATCAAAGAAGGCGAAGAAGAGGACGAGAAATGAGCAGGCTGCTGCAGCCGCCAGCGAACGTCAATGAGAAGAGGCTTGAAGTATCATTATTGAGGAATGAATAACCAATACCTAGATGGTCAAGGTTCGAACAACGTCCCTCTGCCCCTCGGAGCGGGAGATCCTCTCGCCAGGATGACAGGGACCGGCCCTCCTCGTCCACGTGATGGTACGATAAACACAGGGGCAGCTGGCTCAGCCCTCGCAGTCCCAGGACTACCACCTGGCCTCCCTCTACCACCTCTTCCCTCACTCCTCGCACTCCCGGGCCTCGAACCACCGCCACCTCTTCCATTCTGCCTGCTCCCACTCCTTCCACTCCTCCCTCCAGACCCTTCCCTCCCATGCCCTGTACCACTGCTCTGGCCATACTTCGCCTTCCATTCCTTAACCCCCCTCACAACCCTCTTATCTATCTCCTCAAGACTAACGCATACAATCCCATACCAACTCGCATACTGCGCCAGTTCGAGATCATCCGTGACGAAGGGAATTGATGGGTTCTTCTCGTGGAGGAAGAGGTAGCAGTGGAAGAGGGAGCGGAGGTGGCGGGGGGTGTCGGTGTGTTGAGGGCCGAGGTCTTCCTCCTCCTCTTCTTCAGCGTCTTCAGCATGCTCCGTATCGTCTTTAGTCTCCGAAGGCGTATGTGTAGAGTCGGTGTCGGCCAGTTCCGGCTCAACCGGCGGAATGAAGAACCTCTCGCACGCCTCCCAACCCCCTTCCCACCTCTCCTCCTGCCCCTGAAACCTGAAACTCCCCTTCGTACTCGTTCCGCCATTTCCAGCAGCCGTCTTCTTCCCCGTCGGAGCCCTGTCCAGCCAGCGAATCGCCTCACGCGCCTTGATATTAGCCGTCTCCGCACCCTTCTTTAGACGATCCAAGTCGTCAAGTACTGTACATTTGCCAATCAGCATTTATTCGGCCAAGAGGGAAAAAGATGTACCAGCAAGAGGAAGAATCACGTCCACAGCGCATTCTCCAACCCATCGCTTCACAACATCCAAACCAAGCGTCATAGCGGTAGCATCAACCACGACCTCGCACCGCGGCACGGGCGGGACTTGGATATTGCTTCGCGTACTCGCGACACGGTCTTCAAGTTGTGAGACTTCATGTGTCAACCTAGCAGCCGCTATACCCCAACCCCACCATCAACACCCATCATCACAACAACGGACAAAAGAACCGAACATACCAAGGGCCTTTGAAAGAGAAGCTAACCGAGCAACTTTATCATCTGACATTTAATTCACGTGTACGTATTCCGAGTTCGGGTTAAGTAAGCATCGAGAACTTTCAATCGTTTGTTCAATTGGCCAAGATCTCGATTGATGATGTTTGGTTAGTTGCCGTAAATAAGGTTTTTTTGGCGGTTCGGGATTCGCCGCACAAGGCGAGGCACCAAACGGACCCCACACGTAAACAAAACACCAAGGAGATGAAGGTTACGATCAATTGTTCGTTGATTCTCACCGTTCAATTGGATGAATGCTGATGGTGGGGTATAGCCGCTCACTTCGCCGCGACTTGGCACTGGTCCGTCCCACCGGACGAAGTCTGCGGTATCTGCCGTGTCCCGTTCGACGGCTGCTGTCCCGAATGCTCCATCCCTGGTGACGACTGTCCATTAAGTATGTTCCCAATGCTTTCAGCCAAGCTTGGTGGCCAATGCTGATGGTTTCGTACAGTTTGGGGCAAATGCACACACGTATACCACTTGCACTGTATCCTCCGTTGGATCAACTCGGAGAACTCGAAGGGACAATGTCCGCTTGATAGACAGCCATGGGGTAGGAGGGATTTGCCGAGTGTATCACGGCGTACAGTGGCTAATTCGTCTTACAGTCACTGCAACATAGCGATTCGCACCCTCGTCAGAATGCTCTTCCAACGTTATACCCGGGTTTTTCATCGACATGCATACGGTTCGGACATCGGCGTTCTTCATTCTCATTCATCATTCGATTTCAATGCAATATACTATGCTATTCAGCGTCTATCGCTCTAGTCATTTCTGTACTATCATCGTTACCTGTGCAATTGTCTTCTCTTGGGTATCTGCGAATCACCCCCAATAAATCTTCCTCACAACCCCTCTCTTATCCCACATCCCCGGCCCTCCAAGCTTCCCCACAACAACTCCCAAAATCCACACATTGACCCCAAAGAACAACATCCCCGCAACCCACAACCCCGGAAAAAAGGTGTTCTCGCCCAAGAATTCAAGAGCATACGCCCGGTGCAGCCATACCGCCTGTGCACCCACCCACAACGCAAGAGCAGCCAGACCCTTGTACGGTTTCGTGAGGAGCGGCGAGTTGGGGAGGTACAGCGGTAACAGGACGAGGTACCACATAAAGTACTGTGACGTACAAACCTTGTTGAACGCAACAAACGCAAAAGTCTGTGCGAACATGGTCCCAGGTAAATCCCTCCCAGCAAATGCAAAGGGTAGAACGACACAACTCAACAACAACTGTGGCACGAACGCAAAACTATGGAACGGAATCCACTGCGAAGCCTTGATCGCCGGTGAAGCAGACAAATATAGTAACAGTTGGTACGGCGAGAAATTGTGTCGGTGGTCGGAGCGCTTGAGGTGATGGAAATACGTGTGTTCGAGAAATTCGGCGTCATAACTGTGAGCGTGATTGTTAGCATATCTGATAGCAGAACGCCTGTCGTACTCACAGGTAGTACATCCCGCACGTCAATCCAACAAACGTAACCGCACTCGCAAACGCAAAGTTAAACCTCGACGGATTAACCCACGCCAACCCCTTCTCCACCCAAGCCTTCTCCTCTTTCGATACCTCCTCCTCCCCATCAACCTCCGTCTTCACCCCTTCTCCAGCAGGGGCCTCAACACTCCCCTCATAACTCTCATCCATAGCAACCAACACAGCCGGCACATACACAATCGGATAAATCTTAAAATGCACAGCAAGCCCCATGAGTACACCAGCCGTATGCGTCCTCTTCTTTACCACCGCCAACAAACTCCCCACGACCATGGCACCCAACAATCCCTCCGCATTACCTCTGGTCGAAATAACAGCAACGAGGGGGTTCAACAGCCACAATGCAGAAAAATTGAGTGCCCTCGCCGTCCGCATTCCCCGGAGTTGCAGGATTCTGATGGTACAGTATCCGGCAACCAAATCACCCACGGCGAACAACACCTTCCCCCATGCAGTCCACGCACCACCCCACGCAGTCGGCACGACCATCCACGCCAACAGCGGCGTATACCGATACGTATCCCTCTCATACGGACTCCCACCCCTCCAGACATATTTAGCAGCATCCGTGAAGACCTGGTAGTCGATATCCGTATACTTCAACGGAGAATGCGCATCTTGCCACATTCCATAACACAACAACACAGCCCTCATGACCCCAGCCGCCCACATCATCCCTCCCACACTCCCCACGCCCTTCCACCCCATCCCCCACTCAGCCACCGAAATCTCCGGCCGATATATCGCTTTCACAACAATCCACAACCGCTTCCACCTCCCAATCCTCGCCCTCATCGGATACACCCCATCCCCACCCTCCTTACACACCCTCCCAACCTCCCCCCCAATCGCCCAATACGCCTCACAAGCACTCCGAACCCCCGGCCTACACCCCCTCGGCAAACTCCCAATCGCCGTCCAACTCCCCTCATACATCCCCCCCGCAACCCCCAACATCCGTCTCGCCCAACTCTTACACCGTCCCGCTAACCCATTCTGCCGCACGACGCGTTCGAGTGCGGGACCGGGTGGGTTATGGGACGCGAGTGCAAGGAGTTCAGGGAGTTCGCCGGGGGAGGTATAGGTAAAGGGTACGTAACACCGACCCATTGCTGCATCTGTCAGAATGTCGCGGGATATATTGACCAATTGCAACACCAACCCCATTTCGCGCGCTTTCTGCATGACTTCCGCCCGTGGCATGGGACCACAGCTTTCGTTGGTGTTGGGTAGCATGAGCCAGACGCAGATTTCGGCGACGGTGGATGCGACGTAGGAGGAGTATTTGAGGAGGTCGGATTCGGTGTGGACTTTGCGTTTGCCTTCTAAATCCCATTCGTAGCCTTGGAAGAGTTCCAATAAAGGCTCTTTTGGAATTTTGGTCCGAAGTAGGCGTCCCAGGGTCCGGAAGGCTGGATTCTCATGCTTCACCTCACCCTCTATCTTCTTGACCTCCCCTACCTCCAGCTCTTCTCTGGAAGGAAACGTGTCGGCAACCCACCTCTTCATCTCCCCCAACTTCTTCTTCCGCTCCTCGACAGTCCCGTGCGAGGCTTCATCAGCAACATCATCCGTAACGCGACAAAACGCGTACACAACGCAGAGATTCTGCCTCATCTCCGGTCCAAAGACGAAGGAAGAAGTGTAGAATGACGAAGACGCTTCCCGAAGAATATCTATCGAGGAAGCGATATCATCCACGAGTAACTCATCCAATTGCCCAAATTCATGCGTCAAGAGTGCTCGAACCAACGCGCCGAAATAAGAGAGGGAGAATGAGGGAGTGGTATCGACGCCCTTGAGTGCAGGTGCGACATCAGCGTAGGTGTGTAGTAAAGCAGCTGCAAGGTCGAACGCACTACACCCAAGTACCACAACCCCCGTCGTCACCGCAAAGAACACCGCTTCCTCAACTGGCATCCCCCTCCACACCTCCCACTCCAAGCTCGTCCTTTCGCTAATATGCCACACGCCCGCTCTCATTGCGACCGTATCGACAACCCACAGATAAACCGTAGGAAGGGTGAGTGAGAGGATGAATGAGAGAGGTCTGCGGAGGGTGTAAGAGGCTGAGAGGTACCAGAGGAATGCGAGGACGGGGGAGATCCAGGCGACGATGCAGGCCATATAAAACGTTTTCTCGCCTGGGATTGCCAACGAGTACGCCCACGCTCCGAACGCGAGTAACACCGCACACGGCACCACCCTAACACTGTTCCCCATCGGCCTCACATCCAAAATCGGTAACCGCTCAACCCTCGTCAACAACGAAAACAACGTCCCAACACCCCACGTCTGCACCACAAAAAACAGATACTCCTCAATCGGTACCCACCCAATCGTGCCAACGACACACGTAGGACAATACCACCATGCGTCGTGGTAGATGATGTAGTTGTCCCAGGGTGTGGTGTAGATGACTGCGATGAGGATGAGGAAGGACCATTTGATTGTGTCTTGCGGGGTGCGGAGGGGTTGGTAGAGGAGTTGGAGGAGGAGGAGGGGGGGTAACGTGAATAGAAGATGGCTGTGGTCGGGTTAGTATGGATGATTGAGCCATTGATACACATTACCTACACTTGGAAATAAGTCAATTGGCCCATACTGAATGCTCTTGCTTGTCGTAATCACTCAATTGGCATCGACCTCTCGTCCCTATATGCTCAATTGCTCCAGTCGATCCCGGTGGTTCGATATAGCCGTCTACCCGCACACACGGTTGGGGACTTAGCCAAAATCGATCGATCGTCCTGTCAGCGGCGAAGGACTTGCGCAGGGAGGGCGCGTTCCGGCAGTACAAACACTACACCATGTTCTCTGAAGCACCCGGGCAATTGGAATGGTGAGCATACATCCAGTCAATTGATCGAAAAATGATGGTGGTTGACAAGGAGTAGTTTGGAAGATTAGTCCGTATCGGCATCGACGCCGTCCTCGTCTCAACAGCCCTTGCAGGCATCAAACGCACAACAGGCCTAACGTGCGTCTCCCCATTCACCTCTCTTCACGTACCATCGCATTGGAGCCTTTGCTAACCCTCCTCTCCCCAGCCCCCGCCAAGATCTAGACTTCCTATCCCCCTACCCAGAAGCATCATACCTAACAAAATTACTCGTCACAAAATACCTCGAAACAGGCGAATGGTTCCTCGATTACGCATCCTCTCACGCTGCTTCGTCTGGGTGGTTTGAGGACTCCAAAGGCAAAAAGGGGGGTGGGTGGCTGTGACTTGTTGGGTGGGAGTGGGAGAGGGAGAAGATTGCTCGGAATTTGGGGAGGAGGAGGTGGGATGAGTGAGTAGGGATACCCGTGGTGCGGTTTGGGGAGAGGAGGAGAAGACTCCACTCAAGATGATATTATTGGGACGGTACCACACACCATTAACAAATACTTTATTACTCAACTCATACTCATCCTAGGCCTATGCTGTAAATGCTCATACCCACAATAATAAATAACGCCAGTACCCAGACCACGGCCAACATCCAGGCCAATTCAGAACCAAATACAACAGCAACCCCAGTCACTACCCCTACCCTTCCTCAGTGTCAGTGTCACCCAAATTTAAGATGCTTAGCCCCGAACCAATCCTCAGTCCTCCCCAACTACCCCAGCCGGCACCCAACTCTTCCTCGCCAACGGACTACTCATCTTACTAGCAAACTGCATACTCTTTCGTCTCGCTGACATTAAGTTTTGTGCTTCGAGGGGTGTTGGGAGGGGTTTGTCGCCGAATTTGATATGGGTGCCGCTTTTCCTTTTGTCAGAAGTCGCGTGAGAAGGGGAGAGGGATGAGGGCGGGGAGCGTGGGGGAAGAGGGGGTGGGGTGTTGGCGGCAGGGCGTTGAATGGGGGGTGGGAGGTGGACTGGTTTCACGAAATCCAGCTTTGGGATTTCTTGCCTTTCCCTTTCCTTTTCCTGTTCCTTTTGCTTCTCCTTCTTCTCCTTGTCTCCCCTCGCTTTCTCCTTCTCGCGCTCTTCCTTCGATTTCGACCTTCGTTCGTCCCAAGGTGACTTTGTCGACGTCGAGCTCACACTCCTTTCCTTCTCCTGCCTCGAGGACTTGCTTACCGAAGATGGCGTGCTAGCGCTGCTCGTCGGAGACTGCGGCCTATCAGCCTTCGGCGGCTTCGCCGGCAACGACGGATGTCCTGTCAACTGCAACCCTACCCCAGCGCCCGCCTTCGATACAGCCGCGGCCTCCCTCTCCTCTCTCCTCCTCTCCTTCGCCGGACTCGGCATCGACGTCGACGTCGACCTACCCGGACTCCCAAGCCCAGCACCCTTACCCGGACTCGCACCCACATGTGCAATTCCTTTGACCGGAGACCCAAGCACCAACCCCAACCCCACCAACGCCTTCGGCTCCATACTCTTCCTCCTCCTATGCCCTCCCATCCCCGTCCCCGAAGCCTTACTCTTCCCCTCAACCTCAACAACATACGCTCGTTCCTCGACCTTCCTACCCTCCCGCTCACACGCCAAGACCCATCCCAACCCTACACACCTCACCCCGTTCCCCTCTTTCTCCTCGGAACGGAGACGGAGTGCTTCACGGACTTTGTCAAGTGTGCGCTTTCCGCCTTCTTTGAACACTACGTGCGTAACACCAGGTTCGGGGGACGAAGTCTCGCTCCATGGGTTCCAGGTCCAGGTTTTGAGGGTTCGAGCGCCTAGTCTTTCGAGGATTGAGGCGAAGGGGGGAGATGCGTCGTCGCCGTCTGCGGTGCGTACGTCGACATAGACCACGCAGCCGTGGAGAGGACCACGCGCCTTGCGGGGGGAGGGTGCGGAGGAGGCGGATGAGGTGGAGGCTGGTTTCAGTTTGCGGGGTGAGTATTCCTCCTCGTCACGCACGCTCGCTTTCGACATACTCTTCCGTGCAGAGGAAGAGCTGGAGCGCTTGCAGGGCGAAGAGAGGATATCATCAAACGAGTCCTCCGTCTCCGGTGTCGGCGACTTGCGTACGATTGCGGCACTCTTCCTCCTCTCACGATCCTTCCTCGGCGAATCCGGGTTCGAGGTTTCTTGCTCCCTCTTTCGTGGGTTGGCCTCCTTGACGTGCAACCTCGAAAAACTAAAACTCAACGGCGCCAACCCCGACCCCGACCTTGACGGCGTACCGCCCTCGGTTCCACTGCTTCCCAAACTCTCTCTAGGCACGACAGGCCGCCACAACTCATCCTCCCCCTCCGCCTCCCTCTTCTTGCCAAGCTTGTCCCGCGTAATCGTCGGTGGTGTAGGAGGCCGCGCACCCACGACCTCCATCGGACTCCGCCTTCCCGCAATGATGGTCAGTGACCGTGTCCGTGGCGGCGGCTGCGGAATCTCTTCTTCATCTTCACCCTCTGACGAAGACGAAATATCGTTCAACGGAACCTGGTATTCGACGCATACATCCCCCAACACCGTTCTCTCGGCTGCTGGCGTCGACGATACGGGTGCCAATGGTCTTCGTGCGGAGGGTAGTGAGACGGAGACGGAGACGGGTTTGCCGAGTGATTTTCGGCGTGGTTTGGAGGTCGAGGTTGGTGAGCGGCGGGTGCTGGAACTCGCACCAGGTGAGCGCCGCGTTGTTGAACTCGTACTCGTCCGTACTGTGTGTGTATTCACACTCGGCGTAGCTGCCTTTCGTAGGGGTACCCTGCCCGCTGCTGTTGACATCGGCATCCGTGATCTCGACGTCGATAGTGGTACCAATATTTCATCTTCGGGTGCATTCTCTTTTGTCGCCCGGGTCCGGCGGGGTGTCGACGGTTCTGACCTCTTGACTGGACAGAATGTAGAAAGGACCGGATCTGGAGCTGGTGCACCGACGTCGGCGGCTCGGGTACGGGAGCGGGTTATGCGTGCTGAGGTTCGTGGAGTTACCCTTGGGGCCTCCATGGTTTGTGGTGTATGCTGGGTGTCCTTGAATAGCGAATGACAAGGTTTGAAAGAATGGCTGATTGAAGGAGTGTATGCTGGTCTGTAGTCTTTTGTCTGTGCACCCTTTGTCACCGTCGTCGTCGTCGTCGTCGTACTGGTTGCTCTTCCCTATGGATTTCACAGGGTCCGAGCGCGCCGATCCAAACAAACACCTGCAGAAGAAGGGTCCCTTGGCAACACCCAGCAGATGTAGGAATCCTTAAACAGTATAGAAATGTAGTTTTTAAGTGACGTGTATCTTAGAAGAAGCATTTGTCAGTCGCCTCGTCATCCAATGTCCGCGGTGCACCATTACACTCCGGAGCACCTGTGCTGGCCTGCAGCCGCAGCTGCACGAAAAGTCCGTACGTACAACCTGGCCACCAAGAACATCAAAGAGACCCCCATACAAGATGTTCTCGCTCCTCCGATCCTCAATACTGGCAACAAGGCCATCACTGGCAGCTCCCTTCTCCTCAACCACCCGCGTCCTCGCCGGCCTCGGTGACCTCGCCGAGGCAGCAAACTCACAATACCCCTCCCAACCGGCACCCTCCTCAAACCCCTTCGCCGACTCCACCACCACCTCCTCAACATCCCCAAAATCCACAAACGCAGAACTCAACGCCGCCCTCGCCGGTGACCTCACCTCCAACGATTTCGAACTGCTCGGGACAGCATTCCTCAACACCATCCGCAGGACCGCAAAACCCGCCATCCCCGTCCATACACGCGGTCCCGCCGCGGGCCGTACGATTAAGGTTTTTGCAGGTGATATTCAAGGGGCGTTCAGGAGTTTGAATACGGTGTTGTCCAGGAATAATGTCAAGAGGCAGTATCGCCAGCAGATGTTCTTTGAGAGGGCGACCGATAAGAGGGTTAGATTGAGGAGTCAGAGGCATAGGAAGAGGTTCAGGGAGGCGGTGCAAGAGTTGATTCTTACCGTGAAGGATATGAAGAAGAGAGGTTATTAATTTTTGGGAAGCGATTGGGCATGAATTGGGAAGCATGGCATGTACTGGATGAAATGTTCCAAAAATCAAAAGCTTTTATTATCAAAATAACTTCCCCATATGCCATACGTGCACCCAAACGTCCAGAACAATCAAGAAAAAAAACATAGCATATACCCCATCTAACCTCTTACATATACTCTTACAACTCCCTCACAACAGTAGTCTCACTCACCACCGTCGCAGTCCTCGTAATGGTCTCCGTAGCACTCCCAACAACCTTCCCAACCTTCTCCGCATTCGCCGCCAGCTCCTCCGCACTCGGCCACTTCATCTCCCAAATCCTCTTAAAGGCCAAATCAAACCTCGCCCCAAACAAAGTCGCAACACCCGTCATGAGCACAGTAACACCAACCCAAAACAAAATGACAAAGATCGCCATCCTGGTCGCGTCAGAAACCCCACCATCCGGATTGCGACCGGCGGCTTCGAGTTCGTTTGCGCGTTTACGTGCGTCTTCGGCTTTTTGGAGCATGAGGCGTTTTTGGGATGGGAAGACAGTTTCGGTCCATTGTTCGATTTTGCCGCAGGCGATGCTTATCGCAAGGAAATTCGGGTCGGAGGGGGTGTTTTTGCGGTGGATTTCGCGGGTGTAGTCGAGGAAGATGTCGCATACTGAACGGAGGTTCTTGGCTTTCATGATCATCGCGCATGCCTGTCCCTTCCTGATCTTCACATTGCGGTGGAAAACGTCGCGGTTTCTGAAGACGAGGGCGAGGGTTGAGATTGCCATCACCTGCGGAATCGCACAAAAGTTGAATACGCTCTGATCCCGCAATCCGGACAGATAAAGAAGACAATCCGTTGCGTGACGGAGTGCGTCCAACGTCATCTCGGAGATACAGTTCAACGCGGCGGCCTCGTTTGCGGGGTCTGCGAATTCGGAAAGGTCGGCGCAATATTTTGACCAGATCTCTTTTGGCCAGAAGCGGCGTTTGTCGTCTAGATCCTCCCTGAAATCACGGATGATATTGGTCTTCTGCAAAAACAAACCCATGCTGTTCGAGAGGTCTGTGAGGTCGGCGTAACGTGGGTCCTCGATTCCACTTGTGCCGAAAAGACGGGAAAGACCCTCGCCGACGAGTCCAGCGACGTAGTGACAGTAAAGATCGTAATCCTCAACAGTCTGGACACCGTTAATGTTGTGCGAAGCGTTCTTGGCGTAATCCGCCATTCCGTTGCCCATCTTGCTCGTGATGTCCTTGATAACCTCCTGATAGTTCGGCTTAATCGCCAAAAACTCCTCAATAACAACATCAAACTCAACCAACAACTGCCTATCCTTCTCATTCGGCCCATTCTCCGTAAATGTCCATCCCTTCTTCTCCAAAATCCCATCAAACTCGCGCAAGAGCGGTTCCTTCTTCTCCATCGGGATGGTCATGTCGTCCTCGATCGTGTCCAACCCTCTCAACACCAAATAGAACAACATAACAGGCTCCCGCAACTCTGGCTGCAACTCCTGAATGACTGCGCTGAAGGAACGAGAAGTGAGTTCGAGGAGCTCGTAACAACGGACGCGGTTAGGGGATTCGGTTGTGGGGTCGCGGGCGTGGAGGGGTTGGTGCCAGGTTTTGTATTGGGTGATTGCGCGGAGTTCGCTGGGACGGAGGAGGAGTTCGAGGTAGCCCATCGTCGTTGATATGATCGAAGGTGTTGGTGGAGGGGATTTTGTTTGGTGTTGAGGTTACGCTGTTATGGAGATCTACGACGAGTTTAAGACGTGCACTGCGGGGCGAGTCAGAGGAAATGATCTTTGCTTGACAGGCGGCCGGAGTTGGTGTATGGTTGCAAGTTGCAAAACTGCGACATCATCCAGCATCGGTGGTCCAACGGTATGATGTGCGCTTGCCATGCGCGCGACCCGGGTTCGACTCCCGGCCGATGCATTTCTTTTTTCCCTTGTGACACCAGGCATGAGTGTAAACTTGTTGTCTGGTTTTCCCACGCCTTCTCGCGACGTGAACGGCACCGCTTCCTGAAGCCCGCCGGTAAGCGACAGTAGAGTAGCAGCAGATGTTAGAGCAGTTGAGGTAGACGATATGATACTTCGATCACGCACGATATTCTCCGATACAGATTGTACTTCTGTTGCGCTCAGACCCTTTGCCCCTTGTTCTGCCTCATCCCCTTCGCCTGTAAATCCCAGGCCTAAGCACATCTAACTCTCCCAACCACCAACTCTCGGCGTTCAACATCTTGCAACCAGCACTTGCTTGCTCCTTCTTTTCTGTTCGATTCTGCTTTTTAGTCGGCCAGCTTCCTTTCGTTCTCGTCATTCGTTACACTGCTGTTGAATTCGTTTCGCACGTCTTTCGCTACAGACTGTTCAGTGCATACATCCCTTTCGTGAATGCTAGTTGGTTGATATCGTCAAGACCTATTCTACTGAGGTACATCGAGGTACTTCGATGGCATCTGAGTTACTTCTGACCTTACCGTATAGCATACAGCTTGTCAGACTCGAGTTTCAGGTGCATACACTTCATAGGTGAAATGCACATAGTCGCTCTTTTGAAACCTAGTTCTGATGCTCTTCACAGCATACACCCCTCCATACCTCCCCACGGGTCATCACAACGACCCAACCTTTTATTCCCACCACCTATGCCTGCCCAACCCACCTCCGGCTCCTCCTCTCTCAAACGCAAAGCTAGCTTCTCCGTCTCTCCTCCTCGTCGTTCTATGGCCTCAATGCAGCCAACCATCACGAATCTCCTCGGTTCGACCAAGACCCACGCTCCATCCCGCAAGCCAGACCTCAAGAAACCCCGCGAGGGCACGAATTTTTCTCAGGCGTTAATTACTCCTTCGAAGATTGGAAAGGGGAATGGTAAGGCACAGGGAATGAAGATTGATATTGGGGATGAGAAGGGAAAGGCGACGGATGCGACGATGATCACACCGCCGGCGAGTCCGTTGGATGATGTTGTCGTCAAGAACAAGATCCAATTTGCGCGAAGTGAAAAGTTGAGAAACCTCTTGGAGCGTGAAGAGGGACAGTTGCCTGTCAATCCAGATTACCTGAATTGTGTGCTTAGTCCTTTTGTGTGTATTCTTCCATTACTGATATAGCTGCGTACAGGTGTCCAAGTCCACAAGGAAGCAGAGGAATGGCGCTCAAAACTCGTCTTGTGGATGTTCACGGTAGTATTGATGAAACTGTTGGCTGATTCAGTTAATGACTCCTTTGCTACAGCGTAACCACCACCTTATCACCCGTGATACGTCTCACATCGCTCTTCGTCTGTTCGACGCTTACCTCTCCCTTGCTCCCATGCTCTCGTATGGGGAGTACTGCGCCGCCGCTATCGGCTGTCTGTTCCTTGCTCTCAAGCTGACGTGCGACTTCATCTGCTGTTGGTATCTGCGCATTCTTTTACGAACAACCCCAGCTAACTGATAACGTACAGCCCGAGACGAGTACATCCAACGCACCCACCTCAAAAAGATCTCACCCTCTCACCTCGACCGCTTCGAATCTCAAATCGCCACAGCACTTCATCACGCCCTCTACTTCGACTCCCCACTCGCCTTCTACCCCCACCTGCACGCCTCATTCTTCCATCACCCAGTTTTTGCTCCAGCGAGTTTGGGCGTGGGAAATGACGAGATGGATGAGATCTGGAGTAATTGTTTCGGGATGATGGAGGTGCTTGTACAGGGGAGGGAGTGGATGGGGTGGAGGACTAGTGAGGTTACGGCTGTGTGTTTTGCGATGAGTGTGCAGCAGTGTGTTGGGATTGAGGTATGTTTAAGTCTGATGGTGGCATCCTCGATGTGCTAAAACTTCGACATAGGTTCCTAAGACGGCTATGGCGGGGCTTATCACGTGCGATGTTAAGCGGTACAAACAAATTATCAAGGAAGTTACTTCCACGTTGGACAGGTTGGGTGCGTGAGAGGTGCACAAGGAGATATGCAGACAGATTCGGTCATTCACTGTATTTATTCGGGCAGGCGTTTTGTGACCGACCGCGAGGACATTGCATTCATTCGTTATACTTGGCATCTTTACGGTCATATTTTCGGCTTCTTTTTTTCGGGAGGAGTTTGGCGAGGGATTAATTATCAGGGATTTGAACACGTCATACCCTAGCACCCTTCTTACCGAAGGGATGGAAGGGAAGGAAGAATCTTTATAAATATATCCTTTAAGATCCCCCTTCATAGAAGGGGGAGGGGTCCCTACGGGAAGGAAGAGATAGTAGAGAAGATAGAATCTACAGGAGAAAGGAGAGAGTATTCTTATGGTACTTATATTAGGGAATAGGACACTGTAAGAGGAATATAGGGAAGATCAAAGATTAAACCTAATAAACGTCACCGACATTCCCAAAGGGAATGTGTGGGAGTATATAGGCATATCCCCCTCCTCCGGCGGGAATAAAGGAGGGGGGGAAGAGGAAGAGGAAAGAGATAGGTAATAAGAAGAGAGATAGAGTTACAGAAGGGGGTCGCGAGGCAGCAGATAATAAAGCATCATATCATTATGAATAGTTCCGAATAACTTAGAATGTCTAGCTATCGAATGTCTACGGCATATGCATACGGTGTACGAATGTATTCAACTCTCCGGATGTAACTCACGCCTTCGCCTTGCTCTCCTTGGTCTTCTTCTCTTTCTCCTTCTTCTTCTTGCGACTGCTCTCCGCAACCAACCTCTCCAATTCCCTTCCCTCGTCACCCTCCTCAGGCACCACAGCCTTGAATATTCTTCCAACCATCCACAACGCCTCCGCCCTCAACTGCCTCTTCGCAGCACTCACGCTCTTATCATTCAACACCCTGTCACAAACATCCCGCAAAACTCCCTGGATCTCCCACTTCGTCCCCCGCCAAGACGCATTCAAAATCTTCCCCATCATCTCCTGCTGTAATTCTGCTTGTCTCTCGGGTGTGAAGTCCTCGCCACCAGCTTCCTCGAGTTTCGCGATTTGTTCGGCTGTCATTTGGGCGTCGATTGCGGCGGACATCGTGTTCCAGGTTTCCTTGACGAGGGTGCCCTTGTCTTTCAGCTTGGAGAAAAAGCCGCCTATGCCAAGAAATTTTTGGGATTTGAGGTATGTCGAGGATTTTTGGGTGTAGGTTTGTCCGATCGCTTGAAGCAGCTCGACGCCGAAAGACTCCATCTTCAAGTTCTCCGCTTCGAGCTTCATCTTCGTCTCGAATGCCACACGCATATCCTCCCCCCTATCCGTCTCCGTCCAGATACTCAACCTCTCAATCAACTTCTTCGCAAGCGTATCAACCCTCTCCTCTCTCACCTTCCGTCTCTCGGCTTCATACGCCTCCAACTCTGCACGCTGTTCCTTCGTCAACCCCCCCTTCTTCTTCTCTTCCTTCTTGAGGGATTTTTTCCGGTCGGACATGCCTGCTGCGGATTGCGCTGCGGCTTCTTCGACGTCGCCGGCGGTGATTTGAAGTTGACCGGATTTGGGAGGGGTTGCTACACCTAGAGCAGCGGCCATGCTCGGGCTCGCTGGTGTTGCGGCATCCTTTGGTGCGTTGGGGTCTGTTGGGAATTTGTCCGTGCTTGGTGATGATCCTTCTCCGGCCACAATCCCGGAAGCCTCAGCGACAGCAGCCTCCTGCTCCGCTCTCTCCTGAATCTCCATAGCCTTGTTCATATCCCTAATTAACGAGATTTCCCCAATCAAATCCACAAATGCCTCTCCACCAAACAACTTCGAAAAGATCTCAGACGGGTCCTCGAATCCACTTTCAGGCATAGCACCCTCCTTTCCGAACTTATCATATCGGCTACGAAGGTCTGGGTCTGCAAGGATTTGGTACGCTTCACCGATTTGCTGAAACTTCTGGGTAGCGGCTTCGCGGTCAACTTCAGCCGCCTTGTCGGGGTGGTGCTTAATTGCGGCTTTGCGGTAGGCTTTCTTGATTTCGAGGTCGGTGGCTGTTGGGGCGACCCCGAGGAGGTCGTAGTATTCTGTCTCTGTCACCATAACGGTTTACCTACGCTGCGATTGCTTGGAGGTCTGTTGGTGGGTTTCGTTGGGATTTGTTTGGAGGTTGCCTAAAAATCTGACGTACGTCGGCGCCGGCAGACGGGATCGGGCGTACGAGGTGACTTAGACACCGACCACAAGATATGTCAAAAACGGAGGTAATTGTCAAACAAGGCTCTTCAGTTGAGTCATTTGTGGAGCGTGTAATTGCTGCTGTACTTCCAGATGACTCGGATCGTCCAGGTGGCCATGCCACCGGCAAAGTAGCCTCGCTACAAGGAGCAGGATCAGCTACTCCGAAGGCCATTACAATTGTCGAAATTGTAAAAAGACTGGATGAATCACGTCTCAAGTGGTGGCAGTACAAATGAGCTCGAGAGCGCGGACCCGCCCAGGTCAGAAGCCGACGAGGTCACAGAAGAAAGCCGAGTATCAGGGTTGGCTCTGGAAAAGAGGACAGATCACAAGAAGCCAAGGTTAACAATGACGATCGACTTGGCAGCATTAGTAATGCGCAGTCAAGCAATGCGAGTTATTGGTTTGGATGTGGGTTAAGGTGGGTCTTAATCTTTCTCCCATGGCCAGTCAGAGCAGTGTGGCATGACCACATATAATAAGCATGGGCTCCATCACGAGTTGAGCACCGGTTGCTACGAAGCAGGCATATCATTATACCGGTGCTCGCAGTGAAAGTGCGAAGGCGTCGCATTGAGTATCGGGTCAATTGAGCCGTCGAGCTCCGCTACCATTTGTCGGCTCGGGGAAGTCATATAGTTGCTTTGATATCGCTGGCCGAATGGAATGAAGGAAGAGGAAAAACAGGTGTAAGAACGGCTATGTCGATTGATGTGCGAGTAACGGGTATGATAGTAAAGCAAGCATGTCCAAAAACGCCATGTCCCGTCCATGTTACTGTCCTTCTTCCGCTCCCGCGAATCCATTCGCGATCGTTTGACCGCATTCTCCTTCATGCATCCTTGAGAAGTTCTTATCCCCTGGACCTTGCCATGCGCCGACGTGTATTCCGGTATCCTCGGCAACACCCCCTCCATCCAGTCAGTTCGCATCTCCCTTATCTCACTGCACTTGCTCCGTCCACCACTTCCTCACAACAGTACTCCCCCCCAGATTCGGATGCAACAACACACAACTCAACCAAAACTCCAGCCTCCTCCTCCTCCTCTCCACAAACTCCGCCCGGAACTTCTGCGCGACACTCTTCCCCGGAAACCTCGGCAAACTCCTCACAATGACCGGATAACTAACCTTCAGCATCTCCTCCAATGCCCGGAACTCCGAATACCGTTTCCTGCACCGGATTTCTGTGCCTTCGGGCGTGGTGACGGTACAGAGGTACGCCACGTATTTTCCGCCGACGATTTGGGGATCTGTGAGGGTGACGTGTTGAGCAAAGGGCTCACCTGCGCCGGTAGAGTCGGAGAAGGAGGGGTCGGAGTGATCAATTATTGCGATCATGTCGGGGCATGGATCAGGATCGGGTCGGGCGTGGGAGTGTGTCGGTAACGCCGGCAGTGAGGAGGACATGAAAGCGGGTGAGGTGAGGTCTTTGTCGAGGTCCAGGCCGTTCTCGTCATCCGACTGCACAAAATCGTTCAATAAGATTCAATGACCGTAAATAACGATCACGTACCTCTGATCCCATAGATATCGACCGTAAACTCGATGGTCTTCGCCGCAGTGGTGGTGGGGGCTTCGGTATTAGCGACTCATGCATCGCGTCTTCTACTTGATCCACGATATCATTTGCTCTGCCTACTCCCACCACACCTTCAACTTCAATTGCTTCTTCTCGTTCTGGTTCTGTCATGGTATTCGAATGGTCGAAGGGGTATGTCTGGTTGATGTCGGTGGTTGGACCGCGGCCGGAGTGCAGGGCCGCCGAGCGACACCTGCGCCACTAGCAGGAACTCTAATTGAGGGTAACCATTTACCATGAGATATGTGCCATTAAACTCCAGTAATCCTATCCAAAAATCCATCATAATCACACCATAATCATATCCTACTCCTCTCAGACCCAGCCGTACATCTGGTCGAGGTGCTCACAGTCACGCAGAGACCGTGAGATCATACAGACCCCCCACTTCTATTCCCCCCAACTAATCCCGCCATCTCCAACAACGCCCTCTCCTGCTCGAAATCCTTAACATTTACATTCCTTCTCCTCTCCGCCTCTTTAACCTCCCACTCCCACGCTTTCCTCTGCTCCTCCTGATCCTTCGCCGTGCCCAATCCCCACACCTCAACCTCAGTTATCTCGAACACGGTTTCACCATCTGCACGATGAGGGGAGGGGGAGAATGTTGAGCTGTGGTCATGGAAGTGGCGGAAGGTGGCTGTTTCGAAGCCGGGGGATAGGGTGAGGGAGACGGACCCGAGGAGTTTTTTCGAGGGTGGGGGACGGCCGAAGCCGACGCCGTCCGTACGGGCGAAGTAAGCGTAGTGTGTCATCGAGGAAGGCGTCGTAGGGAACGCCTCATGTACCGGGCCGAGCTGGAACAATATTGAAGTCCGGTCACCAAAGTTATCTGTAAACCATCACGTCGTCAGTAATCATCTGGAACTGGTTTTGTGAATGGTTCACACCTTTCATAGTAATTCTCCACGGACCCATCCCCAGAAAACACCCAAAAGTCAATACCTCACCCTTGGCGTCTTCCCCACTCACCAAGAGCACCGTACTTCCCGGATACTTCAAGACCTTGTTTTCATACATACTCGAACTGAACCCATCCGAGCTTCCAACATACAACTTGTGCAAAACACCACTCGACATAGATTCAGTAGGGATAAACATCCCCATCTGTGCCAGACTCGCGGGCGTCATCAACTCCGTCGCCTCCTCCAACTTCGGTAGCCGTCCCCCTCCGGGCTTGGGCCCAGGCAGAGGCTTGTCGCTCGCTTCCACGGTAACCCCTACTGCAGGATTACTCGCCACCTTCTTGCTGCACAGAAACTTATCGAAAACTCCACTTAGCGGCTTCCACACACCTTTCCCGCTCCTCTCCATCCACGCCTTGAACCCTGCCCAATCGACACCCACGCTATTAGGCCTCATTCCGGCTACCATTGCGTCAGCGATATCCTCGAGCCGTTGCATCTGATCTTTCCCGAACACTTCGACGCCAACGGAGGTTGAGGTCGTGGTTGCTGAGGTGCCGAGGATGTAGATAAGGATGTTTCGCATGTCTGCTGTCAGGATTCTTGGCACTGGTCCCTTGTCTTTCTTGTCTGCATCTGTGGCAGCCTGGGTGTCAGCGTACGAAAACGCGCTGAGTTCGTCGAGCGCTTCAAGGGCTCGCAGGTCGTCGTCGTCTTCATTTTCGTCGTCGCTGTCTTCTCGAACCGTTACCGCATTCTTCTTCTCCTCGTCCCAGTCGAAGATTTGGCCGCGGTCGATGACGGCAAAGGAGGAGAATATCGTTTTCGATAGATCACCCTTTATGGCGGTGGACCGTCCGGTGTATATTGCGATGACTTTTGCTAATCCTGTTCAATACGTGTCAACTCAACCCTGGACCAGAAAGTGGAACGACAAGTATTGGACCTTCCAAAGACAACGGAGCAGGTGCCATATTCGGATACGGAAACGCGGCTAGATAACTCGCACTCTTGAACAGTAGTGAACTCGCACCCGTACTATCCGGGATCTCGAGAAACCTTTTTGCCCGGTCAGCATCACTTGACACGTGGTCAGTAAGGCATCAACAAACTTGATAAAGGTGTCTTCGGTCCAGTACATCATCCCATCCTCCGTATCCGCCAGACTCGTAAACACATCCTGTTGTACCCTTATTAGCCACAGTTGTACAGCAAGCAGGTCGAAATATCTAACCTTCAAGCAATAGGCCTCTAAGCTCGTCAGGCTCTTCAAGCATGCAAGGGCTAAGTTCTTCGATAATTGCTCTGGAGACGCTTTGCGAGCTGCTGATTTTGCTTCTGATCCGTTGTGTTGGCCCATTGTAGGTGATGGGGAAAAAGTTGGGGTTGTTCATGGCTACGTTACAAGGGAAGGGGTGATGTCATCGCCAAACACAACTCGAATTCATGAACTGGATGTTAATTCAGTATCAAATTGAGAAAATACAGCAAAGAAAACGCCGAACACCAACCCAAACGCCGTCACATAGTCTTGTCCTTCTTTAACCAGCCGTTCAGTCCGCCTCCCTTGCCATTGCCATTCATAGCCGTCCTCCCTACAGTATTCGCTTTTCCCGCACCGAAAGGTTGTACGTTCTCTTTCTTCACCATAATGTTCGGCACTTCCACACGCCCTTCCTGATCCCCTCTCGCAGCTTCCTTAATCGTCTCCCGACTCAAGCACAGATCAATATGTTCGTTCAACTTCCGATCGTCAGCCGGCACCAGCAACCCACATATCGGACACGGACATTTATCTTCCTCGACTTTCTCCTCCTTGGGCAGTTCTTCGAGTTGTGGAGGTCCAAGATCGTCTTCCACACCATCTTCAAAGGAGAAATCTCCGGAGTCGATTGATGGGCTCTCACCCGTTCGTATGCGTTTGGTGGCGGTGATAGAGTCACTGTTAGATCGTTTGACGCCAAAGAACTTGAAACAAGCAGGGTCAGCATATCACTAAAGATCATGTCCTGCTGGCTTACCTTGTTAACGTCAACCTTGTCGCTCTCACCCCGTCCCCCCAATTGAGTCAAACGCAATCCCATCAACCTCAACCTCAGGTTCCCTCCAGCCTGATGTATCTCCCTCTCCAATAGCGGCAGTCCATGCTTATACAACTCGTCCGCCTGCCAGATGTATTTTCCCATCGCGACTTGCCGTGTGTAGACTTCATACGTATCCAACTTGATCTTCAGATGCAGTGTTCGTCCACTCAACTGCGTCCGCTCACAGTCTCCCTCCAAGTCCTCCGATATCTGCCTGAGTTTCGCTCTCAACTCATCAGGTTTGAAGATTGTGGAGAACGTTGATTCGGTCCCGATGGACTTTCGTTCGTAGGATTCAGCAGGACGGACTTCGGTGCTTCCCAAACCCAGATGCATCTCCATCAAAAACTCAAAAGCTTTCTCGCCGAAGACTTGACGGAGGATTGATCGTTTTTCGAAGATGTCACCACACGTCTTCACACCCACCGCCTCCAACTCACGCTCAAAGACTCGGCCAACACCACTGACCTTTCGACACGGCAACTCCCGTGCAAAGTCGAGACACGCATCCTTCGTGCTCAGAATCCGAAATTGCCCATTCGGTTTATTCCGATCTGAACAAACTTTCGCCAACCTCGAATTCGGCGCGATCCCAGCACTCACCGTCAACCTCGACACCTCAAAAACCTCCCTCCGCATATCTTGTACCGCATCCTCCGGCTCAACCCCCCTTTCCCGACACCACTCCGTAATATTCATATACGCCTCATCCAAACTCGCCGCTCTAAAATTCGGATCATACTTCTCGATCACGCTCTGGACTTCCTTGCTTTTGCGGGTGTATTTGGTGAAATCGCAAGGGACAACAGTTAGTTGTGGGCAAAGCTTCTTGGCGATGTAGACGGGCATTGCGGAGCGGACACCGAATTTGCGAGCGTGGTAGTTTGCGGTTGTGAGGACACCCATGCCCACGCCCATTGGGATATCTTTGAGTTCGGGACGGTCTAGCTCTTCGACGGAGGCGTAGAAGGCGTCACAATCGACATGGACGATGCACTGCGATAAATCCCGACTTTGTTCCAGCTTTGCCAGTAGCTCGTCTGCTCTTCGTACCTCGCCCCGGAGATCATGACCTTCGAGTTCCTTGAGCTTTGCCTGGACACGTCGGATCTTTGCTGTGAGCTCGGCATCCTTCCTCTTCTCGTTCTCGAAGAACTTGCTGCCTTTGGAGGCTTCGTAGATGATTCTGTTGATTCTTTCTTGATCACTTGAATCCAATCCAGCTTTCGTCGTACTCGGTCCAGCTAATCGATGTCGTAAAGACTCGAGGCCATCGACATCAGATTTCGAGGGCACCGTTGGTTCAGCGTCCGTCACCGGTAACGGCACTGCATTCCCGTCTGACTGAGCGGCATTTCGCTCTCGAGCAAAACCCATCGTATCATCAGCTCGACCTCTTAATACTCCAGCGGTTTGTTTGCAGCGGCGAATTGTTATCGATAAGAGCAGCCGAAGTCGTAGGTGTACGTGCGCTGGTTACCCTGACTCCGTTTTGTTTACGCTCGAAACAGCCTCACTTTATCCTCGATTAACACGAAAACTCCTGGATAGGCGATCAGTTACATAGACAAGCAAATCACGAAGTCGGAGAGTATCGAATCTGTGAGGCTACGCGTTTCCTGCGTTTCTGCGGCGTTTGTACCGGACGATCACCGCCTTGCCACAAACAGCCATTTCGAAGGAGGCGGGCCGAATCGACTATCAGGCAGCCCATCATCCTGAATCTATTGAGCTCTCAGAGTGTCCGGCTTCCTTCTATTTACATTCGAAGGAAATTTCGCGACAACAGCAACGCATACACCGCCATGGTCACCCAAACCCCTCGCTCCCAAACATCAATGGACACCCGTCCCCGCTTCGGAACACCCTCCTCCATCGCCACCACCTCCAAACCACGAACACCAACTCTCACACCCCGCGCCGCTTCCTCTATGCGTCTCCGTTCGCCATCACCTCCTATTCCATCGAGACTACCGAATAGCATCACAACACGGAGTCCGAAGCAGCGGACGCCGGGGTCGATAAAACTTGAGGCGCCTGGACCAGGGGTTGGAGGACGAGTGTTGAGGAGTCCGGGGCAGATGATGGGGAGTCCGTCGTTGCCGCCACCGGCGGAAAGGGCACGAACGAGGACGGAGAGTGGTGGGCGGTCGACGCCGCTTGCCTCTGGGCGGAGTGAGGTTGGGCGAACAGGACCGCCTGCGATGAGACGTGCAGGGACACAGACTGTTATGGGGATGACCAGCGGACATGAGACGCCTGCAGCAGGCGCTGGCACTGGCACCGGCAAATTCTTCTACATCTCAGACTCGAAAAAGCCCTCGACCCCGACCCCGACCCTGATCCGAAAGCCAAGCGTTCCTCTCTTCACGTCCAGCTCTACCCCAGAAATAATCCTCGGCCCCCTCCGCCCCACTGCACCAAGACAAACAAGCACGGCCTCAAACACCTCTTCCGCAAGCAGCAAATTCTTCTATGCAAACGGAGCCGCGGAGCCTGTGCCGGCAGCGGAGGTGGCGGATCAAAGACGGTCGTTGACGAGTTCGAAGAGTTCGAGCTCGATTCACCAAAAGTCTCCACCGCAGACATTCACGCAATTAGCGACTCCAGTACCAGCACCATCAGCACAACCGCCAACATTGTCCCAACCCGCCATCAGTACCTCCCCCAGCTCAGACCGCTCCACGACCGAAAAGCGCCTCTCCACCGGCTCTCAAAAGACTTCGCGTCCCTCCTCCCTCATCTCCGCCCCCGAACCTAAATCCCTTTCCAAATCCGGCCTAGATCCCCACCAAGACGCCCGCACAACACGAAAAATTCTCGATTTGGAAATTTCGAATACGAGTTTATTGGCGGTGAATTCTACGCTTGAACGTCAGACGCGGAAACAAGCTGCTGAGCTACGCGAGCTACGGAGGAGGATGGCGCGTGGATCACTCGTCCCGTCCAAGATTGATAGCGATGATGAGTACGCTTCTGCGTCGTCTCATTCCGAGTTTGATGGTTCGGATAGCGAGGGTGAGGTTGGAGATAGGCGGGGAGGAGAGGAGTTCGCGACCTTCGTTACGCAAACGCAGAAACTTACGTCTTCGCTAAGTGACGCAGTCCACTCTACGGAACGAATGCTAAAGGAGGGGTATAGAGCCTTAGCGTCCCAGGTTAGGGCCAGTGAGGTCGGGATTGGTGGGAGGGTGTTGATTGGGGATGAGTCGTTTGTGGAGTCTGAGGATGGTGTTGAGGTGCCTATGTCGCCGGAGGATGGGGATGGAGGAAAGGTTGGAATCGGTAACGGGAACGGGGGAGAGGGAAGGGATTCGGGGATGGGTGGGAGTCAGGCTGAGTTGTTGAGGAAGTTGGAGGAGGAGTTGGAGTACTTTGGGTATGCTGTATGATACGCGATTGTGGAGGGGTGAAGCAGTGTGATGAGTTGTGTGACGACTGTGCCAGGTGTAAGTTGTGAGGTTCGGTTGATATTTTTATTTATTATTGGGTTATTGGCGTTTTCTTGTTTAGCATTGGATACTTGGGCTTTGAGCTTCACGGGGAGCTTGAAAGGGGTGATCGAGGGTAGGTAGGCAGAACCACATGGGTAGTAATTCACAGAGCGTAAACAGTCACAATTGATCAATGGTATCAAATCCTCTCTCCACAAAACATACAAAAAATTGTCCAGCGGGGCATACAGTACACCCGACCCACACATTACTCACGCCCCGGCCCCTCCCCACTCTCCAAAATGCCCCTTTTCTCCAACTCCTCCGGCGCAGGTCGATGCAAAACTTTCTCGTTGAGTTTGTCCTCGAGCTGGTGGCGTTTGAGGTCTGCTTCGGAGGCTTGGAGGGTTGGGGGAAGGGTGGAGGATTTGAGGATGTTTTTCTCTGTGGGGATGAGGGTGAGCAGATGTACTCGCAATTGGGTAGGACGAGAGTAGTAAGAGAGACAGCCGGGAGGAGAGGGGTTGCTAACCTTTGAGTTCGGCTTCAGCGGGTCGGTGAGAGAGGAATGCGTCCAACTTCTCTTCGACGGGGGAGGTGGCTGTACCAGGAGTTCGTCAGCAACGTTCGCCGCCGCACATGACACTTCTTGATACATACGCTTGGCAGACATCACTGATTGCAATTGAGCTGTTTGGTTTGGTATGGTTTGGTGTTGGGTGCTGAGGTTGGAGGTTCAGGGTCTCCTTGGCTGCTGGGCATTCGGTATGGCTGGCTACGTCACAACATGGGGACCGATTGGCTGAGGAACGGCAAAGTTAATTGAAATTTATGTTCTGGTCAAGCACTTGAATAAGATTCTGAATCGATAGGTATAAATATCGTATGGGTATCAGTATCGTACATCGTTCTCACACTCTCACAGCGCCGTCCTTAATTCTTGAACTCGCCTTTCGACTCGTACTCCATCAACTCATAACTCGGCTGAAACTCCAACCAGAGCACATCACCCTGAGTCAACTGCCCGTGCGTCAACTTCGCCTCCTCCTCCCCAATCTTCACCGTCTCCCCTCCTCTCCCACCCGCCGCTGCATCAGCCAACAACTGAGCCTGACAACAGCGATCAGCGGCACCAAAGAGGAAGGCTGCTTCATCCACGGTCTTTCCGACAGTGAGAAGCCCATGGTTTTGGAGGATACAGAGACGGTTATTGCCAAGCGCCGCAGCAACCCGCTCCCCTTCCTCCTTCGCCAGCACAACCCCCCCAAAACTATCATAAACAGCCTGATCCCCCCAAAAATGACACGAATCCTGCGTAATAATATCCAATTCCCTCCCTAATGCCGCAAACGCCTTCCCATGAATCGAATGCGCATGGCACGCCGCATCGACATCTGGGCGCGCACGGTGGATTTCGGAGTGGATGGCGAAAGCGGCGGCGTTGATGACGGCTTGGTTACCATGGGGTGAGACGTTACCGCTGTGGTCGACGAGAACGAGGTCGGAGGTGCGCATGAGGGAGAAGTGTTTTGCGAGGGGGTTGAGCCAGAAGTGGTCTCGGAGGATTGGGTCGCGGATGGAGATGTGGCCGGCGACTGTGTGTCGATCCTGTCAGCGTAGCTCATATCACGGCAATTTGACCGAGAGAGATGACAAACCTCCTTCGAGTCCATATCCACTCTTGCCCATCCACCTAAACGCCGCGGCCATGTGTTCTTTCACGTACGTCCTCTCTTCTTCTTTTGTGGCGAAGGCTGGGTAGCTTGGTAGCTTGAGTTTACCCGCCGCATCTCCACGAGCGACAGCAGAGATTTGGGTTGGGAGAGCGGACTTGCGGTCGCGGACGACGGCCTCCTCGACTGTAGTGGTGGTGGTAGCGGTTACTCCGGGAGCCATCGTGAGAAATGTCGAGTCGAGGCAAGTACAGTACTGGTAGAAAATTGGTAAGAGAAGTTTGGTTTATATAGGAGGATAAGAGGGGTTTACTGCTTCTGGCTAAAGTGATGCCGTCTCCCGTCTCCCGTCTGCGGGGAATCCGAAATGGAGTGGGGAGCAGGCCATGTGACAATGAAAACGCAAAAGGGTGTGGAGAAGCTGGGAGTCGAACCCAGTACCTCTCGCATGCTAAGCGAGCGCTCTACCAGATGAGCTACATCCCCGATCGGTTGTTTCCCGGATTTTAGACACTATATATATAATTCGGATTTAATTGATCCTATATGCAGCTCTTCGACCTCCCGTAAACATACCTACACTGCCCATAGCAACAGCTTCGCACGGCTTCATGCCACCCTCGGAATTGCAGCGATGGACACGATTACGAGGCGCTCTTTTGTTCTTGTTTACAGGCTTGCTGTCGGCTTTGTCTGCGGCTGCAATTGAGAGTGGGCGTGATTCTGCTACGTCCCCTGTTCGGGCCATCGATCCCTTCGACTATGTAGCACCTGTGGAGTCGCAGTGCTTGGTGGAAGATGCACCGGTGGGGTGGACTGGGGAGTTGTGCTCGAGCTTATCGTCGGTGACTGCTACGGCGACGGAGGTGGAGAGCGTAATCGTTGGGAGTGGGACTGCTGACGCGAGTATATCGGCGCACCCTACGACGACTACGAGCGAATCGAGTAAAGTCGTGAGTGTGACTGGTTACACGTTACCCCCTCCTGTGAGCAGACCGCTGTCACCCACGACTGCTACCACGTCGTCCCTCGTGTCTTCACCAGCCGCCTCGTCGCACACGGTCGATGTCCTGCCGTCGTCGGACACCACACTACCTCTCTCATCATCCAAGCCTGCCGAAGCCGTTCCACCCTCGAAGACGATCCCGAAAGTCGCTTCGGCTGAGGACACAGAGTCCCCTGACGATGACCCAGATGCAGCTCAATTCCTCTCCTTTGACGAATGGAAGGCACAAAACCTAGTGAAGGCCGGTCAGCCGCCAAACCTCCCAGATAGACAACCAAGGGAACGGAAACTCAGTGCGCAAGGACCCGACCAGGCCCTCGACGCCATTGGCGATGAAATGGAAATTGATCTCGGGAGTGGGGATTATGGCGTCGAGCAGCGGATTGAGTCATCGAGGAAAGATGCACCGACATACGGAAAGGAAGTTAAAACGGAGGGTTCTAGAGGGTATAGATCAGAAGCCGGCAAAACATCGAAGGAGAGGTTTAATTACGCATCTTTCGATTGTGCTGCTACCGTTCTCAAGACGAACGGGGATGCTAAGGGGTCGTCCGCTATCCTGGTGGAGAACAAGGATCGATACATGCTCAACAAGTGCTCTGCGGACAATAAGTTTGTCATTGTGGAGTTGTGTGATGACATCCTCGTCGACACCGTCGTCCTCGCAAACTTCGAGTTCTTTTCGTCCATGTTCAAAGATGTCAGGTTTTCTGTCTCCGATAGATATCCAGTCAAGGAATCCGGATGGCATAAACTCGGTGTCTTCGAAGCTGCCAATTCGCGTATCGTGCAGGCGTTCCGGATTGATAATCCGCTTATCTGGGCGAGGTATTTGAGGATTGAATTTTTGTCGCATTACGGGAGCGAGTATTATTGTCCGTTGAGTTTGGTTCGGGTACATGGCACGACGATGATGGAAGAGTATAAGCATCAGGAGGATGAGTTGAGGGAGAAAGACGAGGGTGAGGGCGACGAGGACGAGGCTGTGGAGGAGAGGACGGAAAGCATCAAGGTAGTGGAAGCTGTTCAGCCCAGGTGCCAGACGGAGACAGCCACGACAACGGTTACGAAGACTATTGAGACTGATGCTGCGATGCCGAAGCCTTTAGAATCGGTGAAAGGCGAATCAGGGTTGGAAGAGGGTTCGCCTTCACCTTCGTCGTCCGAGGCTAGCTTGTCTGCGGGACATGTGGAAACAGTAACGTCGTCTAGAGACCAGCGTCATGTATTGCCTGAAACTGTGTCAGAGCACGTTGAGGCGGAGCAACCGCTCACTGCGCACTCACAAAGTGATGCAACGGAATCCTCGTCTCAGCAAGAGAAGCCAACAATTGCGCATGAAGCACACTACCGTCCCTCACCCTCGGAAAAGATCCAGCAAGATCTCCAGCCTCTCATTGAGCAGCAGGCTCATCGTCCGGTACCAGCACCAGCACCACCTCCAGCTGGCCCCACAACTCAAGAATCCATTTACAAACAGATTACAAAACGACTCGCTCTGCTCGAAGCTAATGCTACACTTTCGCTACAGTACATCGAAGAGCAGTCTAGAATGTTGAGGGATGTTTTCGGGAAGACGGAGAAGAAACAGGCTGCAAGGCTGGCGAAGATGTTTGATCAACTCAATAACACGTTGAGTATGCAACTGGACGTGCTAAAGCTTCAGTACACACAGCTTGCACAAGCGACGGTTCACGAGCTTGATTCGCATCGCTCGTCTACTGAGCATGAGGTTTCTGAGGTCAACACACGTCTCTCTTTACTGGCTTCAGAGGTCATTTTTCAGAAGCGGATGTCCATTGCGCAGTCGACGCTTCTCTTAGCGACCCTCATTTTCATCTTCACTACACGCGGTGCACCATATGAGATCAGTCGTTTCCCGCCGCTTCGGGGACTGCGTCGTTTGCATACTTCGCCGCCCGACACGTCTGAGCAGGAATCAAGGCCTACGTCGCCGACTACGCCGAATGTCGATCGAGAACGGAGTCCATTGGATTTCGCTACGCCCCCTCGTACGGAGCACCAAAAGAAACGCCGATCTTTGTCTACCGTTGGGAAAAACCGTCGGGGGGTGTCTGAGCCGTCATCACCTTCGCGAAGCCGTCATCGGCGTGCGTTCTCTGAGCATCGTCCACGGCCGGCTAATCCTCTTATCATGAGGAGTGCGAAACAGGAAAGTCGGCCAGCAAGTCCGAGTCCGCTAAGTGGGTTACCGCAGGTTCTTGCTGATAGTGATGAAGAAGAGGAGGTGGATGAGGGTGCGTGGGAGGATGGAAGTGAACTGGATGTCGATGAAGGCATGCTGGATGAAGTGCCGAGCGTGACAGCCAGTCAAATGAATGGCTATTTGACTCCGGATGAGGAGGAGGACGATAGAAGACATTGATGATATCTTGCCATTTCTATTTTTATTTTCTTTAGCATACCGAGTATACCCTAGCTAATGCATGTCTCATGAACTGCTCAATATCTTTCATCACATTACTCCTCAATCTTGACGAAGTAGAACTCGGTCTTGCCAACCCTGACTGGCAAAACTTGCCCTTCGATGAAGTTCTCCTCACGAACTTCTTCCCTCGGATCCGCCGGAATATGCAACTGTTGGCCAAACCGGATGGCACGATCCTTAATCAGTCGCGTAGCTTCTTTTCTGCTCGGGACAGCACCGAGGGTCACCAAGAACTTGGAAATCATCTCACCAATAACATTTTTTCTCTTCATGGTGACGAGCCTCCGCTTGTCATTCTTAAATGCTTCCAGAATCGAGGCTGCCTTGAGCTCAGGGACCTTAGGATCCATTCCGTGTTGTGACGGGAAAAGAAGATCCTTGCAGTACTCCGCCGCCTTGGCTGCTTCCTGTCCGTGTACAAGCTCCGTAACCTCTCTCGCTAACAGTGTACTCGCAATTCTGCGTTTTGGGTCGCGCCGGTGTTCTTCCGCAACGGCGGCGATCTTCGATAGTGGAAGAAGAGTAAACACGCGAAGGTAAGATTCCACGTCTTGGTCCACAGTCCGGTAGAAGAACTGCCACAAGTCATATGGGCTGGTCATGCCTGGATCGAGCCATATTGCGTTTCCGGCCGATTTACCGAACTTCTCGCCGGTTGAAGTCGTTAGCAGGGGAACTGTCAACCCGTACGGCTCTGCCGCTCTTTGTTGTTCGGCAGTTTCTTCTTGTGCTCGTCGGCGGAGCTTCGAGATGAGATCGGTACCGGCAGTGATATTGCCCCATTGATCCGAACCACCGATTTGGACTTTACAGCCTTTTGAGTTATACAGATGCCAGAAGTCGTACGCCTGTAGCAATTGGTAGGTGAATTCGCTGAACGAGATACCTTCTGGGGAGTCGAGACGTGTTTTGACAGAGTCACGTGCAAGCATTTGCCCTACTCGGACATTTCGTCCCACGGTGCCGAGGAAGTCGAGCAAGGTAATCCCTGTCGTCCAATCCGCATTATCCACAACTTCGTGCTTTCCAATTTTATCCGCCGAGTAGCCTCGTGCGATTGCGTACTCACGCCCATTTCGGACCATATCCTCGAATTGCTTCTTGATCTTCTCCACGTTATCCAACTGCGCTTGCTTTTCCATGGCGGTACGTTCGGTCTTTCGTCCTGATGGATCACCGACTTGGATTGTTGCTCCACCGACAAGGGTGAGTGCAGTGTGTCCCGCGAGGTAGAAATGGAGAAGTGGGATCAACGTGAGGAGATTGCCGATGTGAAGGGAAGGTGCAGAGGGATCGGCGCCGACATAGCAAGTCATTGGCTGCATACAGGCATCTTTGAGGGATCCGCTATATCGGATATCAGTAATGAGGATGGAGTTAAGACGGCGAACACGAACCTGGTCGTTTGCTGCACCAAACCTCGATCCTGGAGATCCTGAACAACATTGTTGGAGATGCTCCTGATCTGCAATGGCGCGTAGCTTCGGACACTGCGCAGCAGCAATGGCCGTTGTGCTTTCAAGAAGTGTCGCCGGAGTAACATAATGGCGGATATCGGATACCGTTCCCTCTCGTACGAGTTTCTGCCGAATGGGATTGTCTTCGTTACAGCACCCGCCACAGCCCGGCCCCCGCTAGTCCCCGACCGACAACCGGGGAGCCGTGAGGAGCGTGAACTCCGCTCATCTGCATTCTTCACTATGAACGTCTCTCAAACAAACCTCAAAGACGAATCCCTAAAGTTCCTCAACCACACCGGCCTGGACGTCCTCCGCCAACGTCTCCACCAACTCTCTACATCGCTAACTGCCCTCAACCACCGTCTCCACACCGAATACCCACTACCGCCCTACCCCTCCCTCCTCGCTTCCTTCAACGCGATACTAGCACAATTCACCATCGTCAAAGATGCGTTACAGAAGATGCAGGATGAACTCCTGGAGAACGCGGTGATACCGATGGAATTTCCGGTTAGGGTACATGAGGGGATGTTGTTGACGATGATGCGGAGTAAACCGGAGCCATATGTTGATGAGTGGATCGCGCAAGGAAAAGCTTATAGTGAGGCGAATCCACCCGGGAAAGGGATACCGGCTGGCAAAGAGCGGGATGAGGACGACGATGACAAGGATGAAGATGAAGAGGAGGAGGATGAGGATGAGGATACGTTGTGGAAGTTTGCGGCGGCCATTGTCGCTACGCAGATTGATCAGTTGAACTTGAAGGCTGCTGTTCAGACTACGAAGGTTGCGGAGTTGAAGAAGGAGGTGGATGAGACGATGGGGAGTATTGAACGGGTGATGCGGTTCGTGAGTCGAGGGACGATCGTACCTGGTGGACAGCCGCAAGCACAGCCGTCAACAGGGACAGCGGGTATACCGGTCGTTCTCTAGAACAGCCCAGGAGGATTTTTTGAGTTGAAGTTTATTTTGGGGGTTTGTTTGGTTTCATGGCGTTCTTCATTGTTTCTTGCTGTTTTCATTGCAGCTATATACCTTCACATGATCACCCTCATATATTTTGTCCAATTCCCTTCTGCCGAGATCCCGTAATCCTACACCCTTCACTGCCTCTTCTTCGCCTTCGAAGCATCTCCCTTCTTTCCCCAGTACATCAAAACCTGCGACGCCAAAACCACGTTCAACCCCGTACTCAACAAAAATCCCCAAAAGATAAGCGGGTCATCGACCTCCGTGAGTGTCGTATACAACCTCGCCAATGACCCCGCCAAGTAGTTGAAGACAGCGAAAGCCGAGAGTTGGCCAGTCGACCCATTCCTCGCGTTCGTCAGAATTTGAGGGATTTTGGAGCCGAGACTGATGGGGATGGTGAGGAGTTGGAGAGTGGAGAGGAGGTCGTGCGGGATGTAGTTGGAGTTGAACAGCGCGTATCCGGCAGAGGCAAAGAGTGCCAACACACCTGCGCCCACTCCTGCCTTGCGGCCAAAGTGGAGGATAAGGAGGGTGATGACGAGGTTTTGGATACACATGAATACGGTCTCGCCGTACGTGCTGAAGGGGAAGCCGTTACGGAAGTTGTAGGCGAGGGAGATGAGGAAAGATGTGGTTTCGAGGAGATAAGAGAGGAGGGAGATTCCTGCGCCGGAGCCGGCGGAGAGGATCGATAGGATTTGGGGAACTTTGACGATTGAGGAAGCAGCGACGATGCCAGAGCCGAGGGCCTAGATGGAGATCAGAGACTGTAAGCGGCCCCGTGGACTATGCAGTTCAGCGCTGGGAAAGGGACTCACCTTAGAGACGGCCAGTTTCAGGCAAGAAGCGGTCAAGGTCGAGCATTGCGAGCCGATGACCTTGGTGAGGAGCTCGACGGCTGGCTCACGGAGAGGCTCTGGGATGTTTTGTGCGACGAGATTGAGGATTGGATCCATTGTTGACGTTGGGCTTGAATTGGAGGGTCGAGGATGGAGGTGCGGTGACCAGCAACCTCGAGATAACCCGCTGACATCCTCCCCCCGGTATTTTCCAGAAACATGCTCCCAGCAACCGATCGGGGATGTAGCTCATCTGGTAGAGCGCTCGCTTAGCATGCGAGAGGTACTGGGTTCGACTCCCAGCTTCTCCACATCCTTTTACGTTTTGCGCCTGCCCAATCGGGTCTGCGGCATCTGTTACCGGTTCAACGTTACACCTCCACAATGCGTGCTGCGGTCCGAACCTCGCATTCCACTTAAGAAGTTCGCGATCTTCCTTTTGGGTCCGTAGTTAACAGATTGGGTTGGAGCTTGCGCCTGGGCCGTTCAGAGTCAGTCAACCGGCCAGTTACCATGTCTGGGATGACGAATTGGTTTAGGAAGAAATTGACGGACTCTCTGGGACTTACGCCTGGCCGGATACGACAGCGCGACGACGACGACGACGACGACTCGACTCGGAACGAGTTTCCGGCCGAGGAAGTACAGGCTGGTAGAGTGATAGGTCACGAAGAGGACGACAGTGAGCAACGAAGCGCGCTGAGCTCAGAGTGGGCATTGAAAGAGGACCTTATACAGCCCAGCACACGTTCACCCATTTCAGCGTCTGTGTCTTCCGCAATGAGCACCCGTACTACGAAGCAGAGGGCTGCGGCACAATCTCCTCCACAACACTCGCCGGCAACGCGAACTAGACGGTCTTCACGACGGGCAAGCACTCGGATGAACTACACCAAGGAAACAATACGGATCCAACAGTCTTCGTGGTACGAACCTGTGGTGAAGGATGAGCCTGATCTTGCGCTGGGAGGAGGGATCCAGGTTAATGACGCTCGGGTCGAGGAATTGAGTCCAAGACGAGGAAGACGAGGTGGACGCGAGAAGAGCGTGTTTGACCTGACGAGTGGGACGACCGCCGAATCAAAAACTGCCGCTGACACCGATGTCAAAAGCGGGGATGCCGCCGGAAGTGTAGAGCCATTGTTTTTCCCAGAACCAGAAACAGAAACAGAAACAGGATCAGAACCAGAGACCGAAGCTGATACAGCAGACGATTTTGAGGCTGTTCTGGCAGATGCTGATGATTTCGAGCCCAGGGATGAGGAGGATGAGGAAGATTCAGACTTTGAAGTTTCGCGACCCAGAGGACAATATCAACCACAAGTGCATACCGACCCTTTCAAGGACGGTATGTTGTATGATACTGCACCGGTGAGTACGTTGTCGGTTGTACCTCCAGCGTTCCAAGGCCCACTCTCTGAGTATAGAAATCTGAAGCGGAAGTATGAGGTGATGAAAGAACGACACGCCCTGAACGAGCTAACTGCAGATCATGACAAGCAGTCCGAAAATGATGGAGATACGGACGACGATGGTGAAGATTTCGAAGAGTACGAACTATCCGATTTCTGCATCTACCGAGTGATCACACGGAAAGGACACACGGTCGAGATAACTTCAACCTCAGTTGACTTTGTCATGCTCTCCGAGCACAATGTTAGTCGAGGCGTGGCTACTCTCTACTTCGACGGCGTCATATCTTCCAAATCCTCGAACAAGCGGTTCTATGTCGAGAAAGTCCCCTTCACGCACTGCTCCGTGGGAAATATGGACGTAGCAGATGACTCTGTCGACGGAGCTATCTGGATACAGTCTACATTGTTGGCTGCTGACGGAGCTTGGTATCTCCTCAAGAATCCAAGTCCAGAGTATGAGAGGTTTTGGACACCATATTTGTGGTTGGCGAATTTTGCTAAGTACGTCGTGGATTTCTTGTCTGCCCACGAGTCTGTTCGTTTGGCCGATTTCGAGTCGCGGTTTGCGAGATGGGTTCGTCATGCACATAATTCTGAGAAGGTTGAGGCGTGGTTTGCGCAAGGCCTGAAGAGCGTAGTTATGGATTTTCGGCAGCACTTTGCGACCAATGTGGAGTATTTGTGGAAGGAAGCATGTAACATTACCGGAGAGAAGCTTGATAAGCACCCGATTTGGGAGGAAACACATCCGGAGATGTTGAATGCTATTAAAGCTGGAAAGCACGATATCGATCCTAGAACGGTTGTGACACCAGGCATGTTCGAGTGCTTCAAGAATCTCTTTCCTGATGAGATGAGAGTGCTGAAGAAGCGGCGAAACCGTGTGACTGGAGACCTCGACACCGAGTCCGAACCGACACGACAAAAAGATGAGGCGCAACTTGATGGTGTGTATGTTGTTGAACCTAAGGGATGGTTGCCAAGAACCTTAGCCGGAGAAGTGGACGGGGAGGCGATGAAGAAGATCCGTGACGCACCTGATTTTGGGATCAAAGTCGGAGACGTAGTCGTGGTCGAACCAGAGAAGATCGACGGTAAGGTTGGCTGGAAGTCCGAGCGGCCGTTCTGGTCAGCTTACGTGAACGAAGTTGTCGGCGAGCAACGAGACAAACTGCGACTCACCTGGTTATACTGTCCCGAAGACACGACAATTGGGGACGCTTATTACCCAAACCCTTGTGAGCTATTCTTTTCGGATCACTGCATGTGCGATACCCCAAAACACCAACTGTTTCCCGTTGAGGAAGTACTGGGCAAGCTCTCAGTGGACTTTAAGGGTCAGGAGCAGCATGGTGGACATGAATACTACGTGCGGCAGAAGTATGAGTGGTACGAAAAGCGCGATGAATGGTGCTTCAGAACGTTGAAGCAGAGCGAACTTCGTGAATGTCCGTGCCTGTCGTCCGCGGCACAACATAAAACGAGCGCTGCTGTCTTTGAGGACATTGTTGCACGATATAGCGTTGGTGACTGCGTCTATTTTGACCCTGGGCACGACTCAGAGTCGGAAGGAGGTTTGTGGCCGAAACGGATTGTTCGGATTGATCTTGATGACCAAACGGTCTCTCTTCAAAGTTTTTGGCCGACTGGTCGCGATAACGAGTTATATGTCGATACCGATGACGCCAGGATAATATTTGGCTCTCACCTACGCAGAATTGGAAGGAAATGTACGGTTGAACGAGTGGGCGAGAACGAAGAACTCCCTCCGGCGCAACAACAACACGGTGCTGGCGATTATTGGTTTTATCGGTACGCCTTCGATAGTGAAACGCGCGAAGTCACTTCGATTTGCGACTCAGATTGCCATGACCCGTTGGTGAAAGAAGTGAAGAAACGGAAAAAGTCGGTCCAGCCACTTTGTGGTTTAGACCTCTTCTGCGGTGGGGGCAGCTTCGCTCATGGTATTGAGGATGCTGGTGGGGTCGAGCATAAGTGGGCGGTGGATTATGACACAACCGCCATGCACACTTACCGTGCAAATGTCACCGACGAACGTCACGAAGGCCGTGACGTCTTTTTCTGGGAGGGGTCGGTGAATACGTTCATCTCCGCGGCAATGACGAAAGCCGGAGAGCCTGGTGTTCCTCAACCTGGCGACGTCGATTTCGTTGTTGCGGGAAGTCCGTGTCAAGGTTTCTCCACGGCGAATCGGCATAAGACCACGGCAAGGTCGAGAACGAATTGCTCCCTAGTTGCATCGGTTGCTTCTTTCGTGGACTTCTATCGGCCGAAGTATGCATTGCTCGAGAATGTTGTTGCAATGAAGTCGGATTATAAGAGGGATGATGGCACGACCTATAACGTTTGCAATCAGATGGTTGCTGCGTGCGTGTCGATGGGATACCAGTTACGGTTGTATGTGCTTGGAGCTTATCTTCATGGTGCTCCGCAGAAGCGGGAACGTATCTTCATTTCGTTGGCGGCGTCGGGTTTGACATTGCCCGGACGACCTGCGCCGACTCATGCTGCGAACAAGACTCGAGTTCGGATCTCGAGTAAGGATGGAAGTGGACATCAGTTTCGGGATGGGGGGGATGTGGGCGCAACGCCGTTTGCATTCCGGTCCTCGAGTAACGCATTGGACGATTTGCCTGATATTGGAGATGCACAGGTCGGCGTGAATCCCCAGTACCCACACCACGTCACTTCTGTATCTTTGTCAAAAAAGACACGGCAGCTCGTTGCGCTGATCCCAAAGAGCCATAGAAAAGTCCGTGGCAAGAACTGGTCAAAATCCGCAGCCTCCTACTCCGCCGCCGTTGCCCTAAACCGCATCCCACACTGCCTCCGATCCGCCTACCTGGAACGTCACCGCCTCAAACACGGTGCCATCGGATCATACTGCAGATTCGATCCGCGGGGACTCATCCCGACGATTTTGACACAACCGGGAACGCAATCGATATCCGCGTCACCGAATCTGCATTATGATCAGAACAGAGTCATGACGATCGAGGAGGCAAGGAGGGCGCAAGGGTTCTTGGAGAGGGACGTCATTTTGGGGACCAAGGAGAAGGCGTGGAAGATTGTGGGGAATGCAGTGTCAAGACCGGTCGCCTTGGCGTTGGGTGTTTCGTTGCGGAATGCGTTGGAGGAGAATGCGAAGCTTGACGCGGACGCTTAGGTAGAGTTACCGTATAGAAGCTAGACAAACGCTGCCAGAGTCTCATGGAAAACAATCGCAAACCTCAAGAACCCGCTGTGATTTTATACGGTCATATAAATTAAGTATGTATGTCGGAGCTCTATGAGCGCCGTCCGAAAAGCAGTAAAAGGGTAATGGAGCCCGTGCCTTCGGAACAACCGCTCGGGCCATTCACAAAAGGCCAAATACATCTCCAAAGCAGCCACCCTTCCGGGCACTGCCTCCGTCACTTTCACGCCAGCACATACATGAAGATGCGTATAACTCTCGCCAAGATCTTCACACCTGAAGCGGCGATTCCATAACCACGATCGCATCCACGAACATGTTCGTCGGGTTTGTATCAGTCGTTTTTTTTCGTCACGGAGACGTCCCGAATAAGGTGTGGCTGGCCGTACCTCGCCAACCCGCTGCTGCGCAGGGTTCGGGTAAACACCAAACTTCATAGGGGAAGCGGTCATAGCGACGATGAGATGGTCGATAGCATGCTTTTTTTGTTTGTTCACCACGGTGCTTGGGTTGTTGAGGGGAGTGGATGGGTATAAACCGCTTACGGACGCGGAATTGTTGCAGTTGGGCGAGAGGTGGCCGCCAATGCCTCAGCTGGATCCCGAGAACGGAGCGTTACTGAGTCCGTTACTGATACCGAGGCCGAGTGGGACTGAGGGAGCAAAGAAGGCTCTGAAGTTTTTGACGGATTTCTTTGAGAAGGAACTACCGGAGTGGGAGTTGATCCTGGACAACTTTACGGATACGAATACGCCGCACGGGCCCATCAATTTCGTGAACCTTATTGCGCGTCGGGATCCGCCTGGTGCGCAGAAGGGCGAGGTGGGACGGTTAGTCGTTGCTGCTCACTATGATTCGAAGATGTTACCGGAGGGGTTCATTGGCGCTACGGACTCGGCGTTTAGTTGTGCAATGATGTTGTACGTCGCGAAAGTCCTCGACGCAGCTCTGACGGCAAAGTGGGCAGAGGAACATGGTTTGGAAGAAGACACGAGGGGGATTGAATTGATTTTCTTCGATGGAGAGGAAGCGATGGTTACGTGGACTGCGACGGACTCACTATTCGGCGCACGCCATTTGGCGGAGGTGTGGGAAGAGACAATACATCATCCGCCTGCGTCACGGCCGAGTGAGTTGTCTTCGATTGATTTGTTTTTGTTGCTGGATTTGTTGGGGGCAGCGGGGCCGCGGATACCGTCGTATTTCGCCACGACACACTGGGCATACAAACACCTCGCCCGCCTCGAAGCTATCATCCGCGCCTCCGCACTCTCCCAAGCCTCCTCTAAACCATGGTTCTTCGATACCGCTCGCTCACCTTCTGTCTGGCGCTCTACAATCGATGACGACCACGTCCCGTTCATGAAGAGAGGGGTGGAGGTATTGCATTTAATCCCGACGCCGTTTCCGGGGGTGTGGCATACGATGGGAGATGATAAGAATGCGTTGGATGTGAATGTGTGCAGGGAGTGGGCGTTGGTCATGGGGGGCTTTGTGTTGGAGTGGATGGAGGTGGGCGTTCCGGCTGCTGTGGGTAGTGCGCCAGCTCAGGCAGTGTCGAAGGCCAATGGAGTGAAGAGGGAGCTAAAATGAACGATATGATCCACAGCGGAATCGCACGAGGACGGAAATTGTTACCGGGAGATAAGACATTTCGAGATCACCCATCGACAGTCGATACCGCCGGTGTTTGACGAGCCTACAGCTCAGGGCAAGGCTGCCATACCAATACCAGAAATCAATTAGCCATACAAAGCTTCCGAAAGCCCATTCCCATAATTTCTCCACAATTGACCACATTCATTTTTGTGTCGGGTATTTCATCACCGTGCACAGCTGCCCCTGGCGCTTCACTCCCCACACCCAGCGCTGACTGAACCTGAACACCCAAGCCGAACGAAACGGAGCAGGGGAGCCGATCAGCAACTCCATCGCAATGGCATCAACATTCGAGAAGTCTGTGAAAGGTACGACCGGGACAGATCCCATGTTTGAGCGTAACACTGACCCGTTTGTACAGGAGCAACCAAGATCAAGGTACAACAGCGAAACCTGGTGTTGGCCACGGCTGACTGATTCACTTGCTTATAGCTCGCAGCGCCAAAAGCAAAGTATGTCGAGCATATATTGATCGCGACGCATTCTGGAGAGGCGGCAATGGCGGAGGTGTTTAGGGCTTTGAGCACGAGGTTGAGGGATGGGACGTGGACGGTACGTTGCGACTGCATACACCACGTCCATCCATAGGCTTTGGGGATGCTGATGTGTGATCCGTAGGTTGTTTTCAAAGCGTTGATCGTTACCCATATGCTCGTCCGCGAAGGCGCCCGCGATGCAACCCTAACCTACCTTTCCAACTCTCCCCGCATCCTCACGATCAGCACCATCACTGCCGTCAATGAGCAAGGTCAGAATATTCAAGCATACGCGAAGTACCTGAGGGAGCGCGTGGTGGTGTATGCGGATGTGAAGGTGGATTACGTGAGGCAGAAGTATGATAAAGCTGGGGCGGGGAAGTTGAGGACGTTGAGTGTAGACAAGGGGTTGTTGAGGCATGTTGAAGGGGTGCAGAAGCAGATTGGGTGTTTGTTGAAGTGCAGGGTGCGTTGAGATACCGGTGCTGCTATGGGTCGGTGCTGATTGTTGGCGCACAGTTCTTTCATGGGGATGTCGATAATGAGATCTCACTCACCGCGTTCCGGCTTCTTGTTGCCGATCTGCTCGCCCTTTTCCAGGCGATCAACGAAGGAGTGATCAACGTTTTAGGTACCTCATTTCCGATTTTGGACATGAATTCTCGCTAATTGAGGTACAGAACACTATTTCGAGATGTCCCGTTACGACGCCGAACGTGCACTCGAGATCTACAAAGTCTTCGTGGACCAGACAGAGGGTGTGGTGGAGTACCTGAGTATCGCACGGAGTTTGGAAGGAAGCACGAGGTTGCAAATCCCGAATATCAAACATGTATGACTTTACGACGTCGGTCTACACAACTGCTAATGTCTGAGTTATAGGCTCCAACGTCGCTGTTGGCATCACTTCAGGATTACTTGAAAGATCCTAACTTTGAACAAAACCGGGCTCAGTATCTCATCGATCAGGAGAAGAGGAGGACTGGGAAGTCTTCGTCGAAGGAGAAGCCTACGTTCATGGCACCAGCGACCACCTCGCCAACGCAGGCAGCACCCAACCCTTTTAACGCCTCGACCACCACATCACAGCCCGCGCAGAAGGGTGCTTTCGATATGGTCGACTTTTTTGCGTCGATTGAGAGCGAGCAGCAGACGATGTTCCCGAACCAAACTGGCGCAGCACCACCTCTCAGCAACCAGCTTGCATACGCTCCGCCGCAGCAACCTCATCTGACTGGATTTGACTATCAGACAGCCGGAGGCTATGCACAGCCGCAGCAGATCGGCGTACAGGCAACTGGATACCAACCACAATCGCCCGTTCAGCAACAGTCGTACAACCCGTACCAACAACAGCAGCAACCACCGCTCCAGCCTCAACAGGTTGGTGTGCAACCGACGGGATACAACCCCTACACCCAGCCTCAGAGTCCTCCGTCGAACGGACACGGTCTGGGTACGATACCGCAGAGTAACCCCTTCGGCGCGGTTACGCAGTCCCCTCCACCAGCGCAACCCCAGTTTCAGGCCCCTCAGCAGCAATTTAGTCCTGTGCAACCACAGATGACGGGAAATTTGAATCCGTTTAGGCAATCTACGATGCCGCCTGCGCAGCCGAGTTTTCATCAGCAGTTCGCGAGTGAGCCTGGACCCGTAGTTATGGCGCCACAGGCAACTGGTCACACACGGACGAGCACGAACCCGTTCTCGGTACCACAGCGGTCGAGTACGCTCCCACCGCAGAGCACAACCAGTCCTGTTCAGCCTCCCCGGACGTTTAGTCCGCCGATGCTGTCGAGCGCGACCCTACAGCCGCAGATGACGGGGTCGAGTAACCCGTTCAGGCAGAGTATGGCACCGCAGATGACTGGGAGTCCGGCCCCGTTGCAAGCGCAGGCCACGGGCAGTACGAATCCGTTTAGGCAATTGACTGTGGGTATGGGGATGCAGGGAGCGTATGGGCAGGGACAGCAGATGCAGCCGTTGAGGCCGCAGGCTACGGCAGGTGGGTTGGAGAATTTGGAGACGATTCCAGTGTTTCCTAGGCAATACTAGGCTGTCATGGGAGGGAACGATGTGTTGAAGGAGGGGGAAGGGAGTCATGGACAATTAGTATAGATTAGCGTATGATATTAACACTCAATGGGATCGATACATCAATATAGTACCAGGTAAGAAAGATCATGGTGCACGGGCTAAACCTTATCCCCTGACCGCATACCTGACGTACGTTGTACGTACGCTTCTCGAACTCCGCAGAAACCCAACGAAGGAACACCACCAGCACAACAAACCATTGTAATGGCAGATCAGACTCCAGAACAGAAGGTACAAGACGAAGCTGCCCGTCAGAGGGAACAAGAAGAACAAGCTGCATTGCCTTACCAATGGCGACAAACACTGGCGGATGTGGATGTCGATGTTCCTATACCCAAGGGAACGAGAGGGAAGTTTGTCAATGTCGTGATTCGAAAACAGAGGATCAGTGTTGGGCTAAAAGGGCAAGAATCAATCATGGAGGTATATTTCCATGTGCATGTCAATTGCTCACAATGGACTGACACTGATAATGTACAGGGCTCCCTCCCCCACGAAATCAAACTCGAAGAGTCAACCTGGACAATCGAAGACCAATGCCTCCTCACCCTCCACCTTGAAAAGGTCAACAAAGCCCAATGGTGGCCACACGTCCTTACCCACCATCCCGCAATCAATGTCCAGGCCCTCGCACCGGAGAACTCGAAGTTGAGTGATTTGGATGGGGAGACAAGGGCGATGGTTGAGAAGATGATGTTTGAACAGAGGCAGAAGCAGGGGGAGGAGGCGAAGAAGAGGGAGGTATTGGAGAGGTTTAAGAGGGAGCATCCGGAGATGGATTTTAGTCAGGTAGAGATGGAATAGGAGGAATCTTGATACTCAATCAATCATTGCGTGAGAGAGGATCGTTCTGTGATATGGGACGGAAATTTTGAATTAATGCTTGTACCCTATGTTTAACTCATGGCGCATCTCGGGTATCACACGTGAAGCCCGGACCAGGCCCTAATGCTAAATATGCTATGCTACTCACTACTTCAGAGCCCAAATCGCTCAGTCAACATCTTCTCAATCTCATCCGCCTTCGCCTTCCCACGCGCTTCCCTTATAATATGTCCAAGCAAGAACTTGATCACCTTCACCTCTCCATTCCGTACTTGTTCCACCTGCTTTGGATACCCCTCCATGGCCTTATCGACGATGTCCGCTAATGCTCCAGTATCATATATCGCTTCCCCTCCCTTCTTCTTAAGAAAGGATTCTTGGGTGCTGCAAGTCTCCCGGAACTCTTCAGGCGAGATTTGCTCGTTTCGATTTATGCACGTCCATGCATTACGCTGCACGACCGCATTTCACTGAATCGCAACACCCTTAAGAAGGGAATGGGACGGTTGAACGGGATGGGAGAGAGACGGACACATTGAAGCATACTGCGCCTATCTCTCCACGACTTTTTTCAGTCCATATCACGGGGTTATAGATATGCTGGTGTACAACCTGCCCTTTGCGTCGTGGGTTCTCCAACCAGGTTCTGTGCCAGCTGATCCCAAGAGCGGTGGTGCACGGCGCTGCCGGCTTCTGGCGTATTCCCAGGACCCCATTCCCTTACGTACTGCAGATGCTCTCAGCGTTCAGCCGTGACCCACGGCCCACGAAGGGGCTCCTGCTGTCTTCGAGCGCCGCAGCGATTCGACGATGTGACATCTCGATGCCTTCCCGTAGGCCAATCCTCCATGAAGCCCTCGTTCAAAAATCCAACCCACCCTCCCCCTGCGCAGCAGCAATCTTTCTCTTCAAATCCCTCTCCCCACTCTCAATCTCCCCATCCACATCCTCCTCCCCATCAACCCCAACCAACCCTCTCCCACCCTCTCCCACGAGTGCACTGACAACCTTGACCTTATTCTTGATCTTGAGCCACAGCGTATCAAAGTCATCACCTTCACTGTTCTCCATAGGAACTTGGGCAAGGAGGGATTCGAGTTTCGCAAGTTGCCTCTCTGCCTTAGCGGGGACGGCGTCAGAGTTCAAGGAGGAGGAAGAGGGAGAGGAGAGGATAGCGCGCCAGAGAAGGCAGCGGCCAGAGATGATGCCTACATCACGGAAACGCTGGTAGGCATTCTCGAGGCCAAAACGGCGGCCCTCAATTTCGCCTTGGATCAACCCATCATTATAACCTTGTTCGTAACCTTCCTTGTAGAACCTATAACATGGCTTATGTGATTAGCTCTGTGGAACGCAGCAGCAAACGGGAAAAGGGAGACGTACGACTCCTCCAGGCTCAAGAGAGGATCAAACAGTTCGTCGACAGGCTGATTTGTCATGGTCAGGGTGATCGGTAATGAAATGAGAAATGCGTACCGGCAGACAGCCGTTCATTACTGTCGTGGCTGGTGCTGTGGCTAATGCATACGTACGGTGCTGTACCGGTACGTCGATTACCGTAACCGTCCAACACCGACCGTTCTCTGTTGAACCATGTCCATCGAACTGAATTGGGACAAACTTGACCCGTCAATAGCGTTTTCTCTACGAGACATCATAAACGACAAGATCTCTTCTCTGCCCCTACCGAAGTTTCTTGCATCTCTTCATGTCAATTCCTTTGACGTCGGATCTACTGCACCTGAGATTGAAATAACAGATCTTGGAGACCCATATGCGGAGTTCTATGAAGACAACTATGATTCGGACCATGATGAACATGAGCGAAATGCCGCTGAGGCACGTGCAGTGATGGATTCAAGCACAGAGACATTGAGAGGAAGAGATGCGCCAGCACATGCTGCACAGTTGGATGGCGAGGACTTTGACATACGGTCGACTTCAACACAGCCCCCTCCCTACGATAATTCGCCTCAATCATCACCAGAGAACACTCATGGGTTCCCACCGCATATGCCTTCACACACCAATTCACATCGCTCAACACCATCTTTATCGGGTATCTTTCCAATGCAACTACCACGATCAAGCACACTCCATTATTTCCACCCCCTCGCTCGGCAAACTGCCGGCCTTAACTCTGGTCTCTCAACACCAGGATGGGGCGCACCACAAGCACAATCTCCCGAAGCGAGTGAACCAGATGAGCATGTCCAACCAGCAAGACCAAGAATTACTCCAGCAGAGGCGGAGGCACGGCGGAGAGTGGAGGACGTCCAAATTGTTGCGAAGGTACGATGGAAGACTGAAGCCATTCGGATGTCAATATCGGCAGAACTGGTAATCAACTACCCTTCAGCAGCCTTCGTCACACTTCCTCTTTCTCTAACGTTGACCTCATTGACTTTTGAGGGTACTGCGATCATAACATACATGTCTGGTTCATCAGGCCGTCGTGTACACTTCTGTTTTGTGGAAGAAGGCCATCCTGATGCAGCAATAGGGGCTTCACAAAGCCCAACAGTGGGTGAGATTTTGAGGGATATCAAGATTGAGTCGGAGATTGGTGAGAAGGAGAAGGGAGTGTTGAAGAATGTGGGGAAGGTTGAGAGGTTCCTGTTGGAAAGATTGCGGAGGGTTGTGGATGAAGAGTTTGTGTTCCCAAGCTTCTACACATTCCTCTTATGAGACGGACGTTCGGTATACAGGGCGGAGTTCACATTGCACGATCTCATAATTTTGGGTGTTTGCCCTCCACACATCCGGATTCCAACTATCGATCATTAGGGTTGTGGCTGGTGAGCGGCTAGTGGGGCCGATGCACACAACGAAAACAAGGACGCTGTCAAACCATCATAGAGGACGAGACCGGCATTTATTCGCGTTCAGGAGGAAGCGTTATTGTCTTTTAAGCAGAGTATTCGACCGGATCAATAGGCGTTCAAGCGGTGGACGAAGACTGGCACGGCTGCTATTGTGTGGAATCGGGCGACTCACATACGCGAAAAGCTTATTCAACGCTTCTTATACACCATAGTTCGTCAGCAAGATGCAATCCCTGGCAGATCTAACGTCCTCCTCCCGCCTCACAACGGGTGATATCCCACCACCCCTCGTCGGCGCAACAACAACCGTCGTCGGCCACCATGTCTACGTCTTCGGCGGCCGCCTCGTAACAACCCGCCGCATGACCTCTGATATCTACGTCCTCGACCTCCGCACAAGTATCTGGACCCGAATCATCGAGTCTAGCGCTCCACCCCACGCCCCGAAACCCAGATACTTTCACAGTACGAATCTTTGGCAGGAGTATTTGGTCATTTTTGGAGGAATGTCGACGAGTCGGAATACGGTTGATGGGTTGTGCGTGTTGAATGATGTTGTGCTGTTTCATTTGCGGACACATACCTGGCGGATCATCGAGCCTGGTCCAGATTCTGGACCTCATGCCCCGAAGCCGCGGTATGCGCATCTCAGCGCTGTGAGTGGTGGGAATTTGATCGTTGTCGGTGGACAAGATCTGACGAATAACTACGTTGAGCAGATCAACGCATTTGATTTGCAGACTTTGACGTGGACCTCTAGTCGTCCTTGCGAGAAACATTGCGGCGCGTATCGTTCCGTCGCGATGTGTGCACAGTTCGTGTCGAATGAGCAGCTGTACCCTGATGATGCGGGTACCGAACACGAGAAGTTGGGATCCTTGGATTCGCTCGCGAGTCCGACTATCTCGATTGCGTCGAGTTCGAATATCCGACCTCCGAATAGCCGGGGACGAAGTTTCAGTATCGGAACAAGTGGGCAATCTGAACCAGGTAGTGCAGGCATTGTGACGCATACCACACCTACCGACACGTTCTTTACACAAGTTTCCCCGCGACCGATTCCGCCACGACTGTCGAATCCGATATATATCTACTCGAATTATAATTTTGCGGATGTGCAGCGAGAACTGCAAGTTTTGCCGCCGATTTTGGGGAAGGAGTATCCGGTAGAGGATATTTCGCACAAGATGGGTGGGAGTGCTTTGCCACCTGGTCTTCGATTTCCGAATGGTGCGGTGATTGGGAATTGGGCGGTGCTCGGCGGAACGTATCTTACCAACTCATCGCAAACTTATTCACTATGGGCACTTGATTTGAACACTTACCAATGGCAACGTCTTGATACCGGTTCTGTCTTCGCCTCTGGTTCATGGAACAGGGGTGTTTTGTGTTATGACCTCAACGCCTTCGTCGTCTTCGGAAATCGCGAGAGATCATTGGTGGAGGACTACAACCACCGCCAAACAAACTTCGACCACATAACCCTCATCGACCTCGAATCATTCGGAATCTACCAACCACCTCAACTTGAACACTCACCCCTCGCTCAATCCGTTGGGTTATCCATGCTCAATGACACGGGGCTGGCGGATATGGAGGTCTTGACGTTGGATGGGAAGAGGATACCGTGTTGTCAGCGAGTGTTGGCGACACGATGGCCGAGGTTCAACGAGATTTTTGCGGAGGCGAGTACTAACAATCAGTTACGTCTTGCTGCGTCAGCACAACAAGCTCTACAACAAGGTGGGGGCCGGAAGGGAAGTGGTGCGAGTTTGAACTCATTGCCACCCATGCCGCTCTCCCCTTCCTTCCTCGCTTCCACGAACCCTAGGGTGTTGTATTTACCGCACCCATATACTGTGGCGCACGCATTCCTCCAATACCTCTACACCGAATCCCTAACCGCCCACCCCTCCCAACTCATCCCCCAAACCCTCTCCGCCCTCCTCGTCTTCTCCCGCGTCTACGGACCCGAGAACCTCGGCTCCCTTGCTGCTGATCAACTCCACCGTCAACTCGGAATGGGAACGGCGGCGATGACGTATGAAGCTGCGGCACTCACGGGGAGACGGGGTTTGCAGATCCGGAGTTTGAAGGTGATGATTTTGGCGAAGAAGTCGTTGATGGAACAGAAGAGGCAGGGGTCGGAGAGTGCGAGTTCGGGGGGTGGGGGAAGCAGGAGGGGGAGTGAGGCTGTTTCCGTATCAGCACAAACTGGAGGAGCAGAGATAGCGAAGGGTCATTCGGGGGTTAAGGCTGATAGTACGACGACCAGTCGGAAGCAGAGTTTGGCGCCGGTTGCACCTATGTCGATGGGTATGACGCCGTTGGGCCATGTTGCGAGGGAGGATAGTCCAAGGAGGGGGACAGAAGAGGGAAGTTTGATCGATGCTACGCGGAGGATGAACATTTGAGAAGGGAAAGGTTCAGGCCGTCGGCGATATGGTTTATCAAGTGGAAGGAAGGCGGAATCAGGCAAAAGCAAACGTAGGCACGATATTTTTGGCGTTTCTTTTTACAGATATCAAATTGCAAAATACCTATAGGAATTAAAGGACCAGGTCATTCCTACGTTCAAAAGTCGTGATCATTGGTTCTCCCGGGTGGTCGCCGTGACGTCTTTCATCATGCTCTGCAAGGCGCCGACCCCAGAAAATCCTACGAAGGCGAAAACAAAGCACGAAACGCAAATAATAAAGGAATCATCATGGGTGGAGCAGCATCAAAACAAGCACGGAACGTCGGATCAAAGACCCTTCAATACCCCAAACGCAGCCCACCTGCACCGGGCGGTTTGAACAGCGTCGTCCACGAACCCAAAGTCCACGGCGCCGCAGAGGCAGCGGCGGTAAGGCCGGCACAAGACACGATCTCGAGAACGAAAGATCAGAGAATCAGAGATGATGGACAGGATCCGCACTTCCTGGCGAAACTGAGGCAGTTGGGAGCTGTGGATGTTAACGCGCTGAGTCCGCATAAGCCTCTGCCCGAGAAGGTACCAAGAGTCTCTCAATAAAACAGAAGCAGTGTTCTGATCTCTTAGCACAGGTTTCTCTCTCGAGAAGTATTCTCCAAAACCGTTCCAAGATTCACGACGCCGCGACAGCCGATCACGAAGACTACGGACGACAACACACAACGACAGACATCCACACGATCCGGGATATTCTCGAGATGCGGAAGAGAGGAAGTCAAGCTGAGAAGATCGCGAAGGAGTTTGGCGTCGAGGTTGGGGTAGTGGAGAAGGTGCTGGGTGGGAGAGTCAATGTGCCGACGCATGTGAGCCCGCCTGAGAAGAAGACTGGGAGGATTCAGACGGCGTGGGTTGAGAGCGTGTAACGTCGAGTGAGAGGCTTACGGAAAGACAGGGGCGTGTAAGCTATAGACTTTGAAGGCTGAATTGTGCGAAGGGGCTTCATTCATCAGCTTATAACGGAAGGTTTTGTACCAAATCCTCGAGGCTTCTGAAGGAGATCCTGGCATATTCATGTATGATAACCTTGCTCCATGGCCAGAGAACTGCACAATGCGTATCACTTTACTTCCCCTTCTTCGCCTCCTTCTTTTCAGCAACTTTCTCAGCCTTTTCCGCCTTCTTCTTCTCCAGGGTACTCCTAACCTCCAAGGCCTTTACTTCTTTCTCCGTAACCTCCCACAACGCCGTTGCAAACCCCCTATCCTCAACCTCCTTCCTCTGCGCCTTTTTCTCTCTACACTCACCAAACAACTTCCCTCCCTCACCTTGTAAGACTTCGGGTGACATGGCGCAGTGTAGAACAGGCTGTGCACCGCCAAGTGGAGTTTTGAGGATGAAAGCCCAGAAGAGCCAGGTAAGGAGGTAAATGAGGAGACCGAACAGTGAACCGAATGTCAGGAAGCGGCGGGTTAAGGATGTCCGGATAAGGCCGGGGTCTACCATCATCACCCTGACCTTATTTGGGTTCTTATCGGGTCGTTCATAAACGTCACACCGACGTTGGAGTTCAGCGCCATATGTCATGAGCGCCAGTTTCGAGGCCCCATACACGCGCCATGGACGGGAAGATGGATACCCCCGTTTTTGGAAATCGAAATCGGCGAGGTCGAGGTCGGCGAGGACGTAGGCCGCGCAGGTCAGGAGGATGACGCGGACGTCGCGGTCGGCGGGTTGGGCTCGAAGAGCGGGGGAGAGAATGTTGAGGAGGTGCGTGTGGGCGAGGTAGTTCACACCCCATTGTTCTTCGACACCGTCTCGGGTGACACGTCGTTCCTTGAAGGGTGGGGTAGCGACTCCGGCTGCGCAGATGACCATGTCGAGTCTCCGTACGGGTGCGTTGTCAATCCATTTTGTCGCGAACTTTCGAACGGAGGAGAGGTCCGCCAAGTCACACGCCTCGGCATAGATGAGTTGATTATCCGTCCGTGCCCGTAGATCAGTGATATAGTCAACCGTAAACTCATCCGACAAGGAACGTACGAGCAACACGATCTGCGCACCTCTCCTCGCCAGATCCTCGACCACCGCCGCTCCTATACCGGAAGTCCCTCCGGTTACCATCACCACCTTTCCGTGCATGTTTCGTTCCCAGGTGTTTGTGCTTCCGGCAAAGTACTTTCTAGCGAGAAAAGCGGCGCCGGCGTAGATACCATAACTTCGGATATAAGACCAAGGGCCTTGGAGGTAAACAGACAAGGGTTCATCGAGGACATACTGAACCCAAGGAACAGGCATTGTGATACTATGTGATGGGGTAGATGGTTGTGGTTCGAGGAAGTGTTGCCGAGGAAACGTGTACGTGGCTCGAGCTCGTGTAACGTAGACACGGCCCAAGTTCCGCTTCCGAGAGCAAAAGTTGGGTGGTTAACGTGAACATTAAACAGTTTGAGAATCATACGAGATGAACAAATAGTTTCTATTGGGAAACAATACCATATGCTGACCAGCCTTATCCAAGAAGCTTCAAACGCCGTACCCATGCCCATGACATGTAATGATCCGAAACAAATAAACAAATGCCATCAATGCCTTCAACGTACAAAACTGCATCTCCACCCAGTTCTACGCCTCCGTCTTTACAACGGCCTGCTGTACATCCTCCAAAACCTTAATATCGTCCCCGTACCACCCAATCAACTCCCAAAGCCAATCCCACAACCCAACCTTATGCACCATCGCCAAACCCAGCAACAGCGGTAAATGCCAGATACTCGCAAAGAACAACTTCCGCGCTCTCTTATCATCCCTCCACTTCCAGAATTTGTAGCTTTCGGCGATGAGCCAGCCGTTGACGAGCGTAGAGTCGATGAGGAAGAATGGGTCGCAGACGGAGGTCAGGGAGAGGGCCCAGGAGAGGGGAAGGCAGAGGAGGGAGTAGCGGAGGGCGACGCGGGCGTTTAGGGCTGGGTCGGTGACGGAAGTCATGCGGTAGCCGGCACGAGCGTACTCGCTCCGTAAATTCCAGGCCAGAGCGTTAAAGTGCGGGAATTGCCACGCAAACAGCAACCCAGCCAACGCCCAACCACCTGGATGAGCGAACGTCGGGTCAAGCGCTGCCCAGCCCATAAGAGGAGGAAGCGCGCCGACGAGAGCTCCAACCCAGGTGTTTGCGATCGAGATGCGCTTCATAGGTGTGTAGACCCCAGCGTACAAAACAATATTCGCCAATCCCAACCCCGCAACCGTCATATTCGTCCCAAGCGTCAACAACCCCACCCCCGTAACCCCCGCCGCCGTCGCGAACGCCAACGCTTGATTCGGCAACACAGCACCCCTTACCAACGGCCGATTCCGAGTCCGTGTCATCTGTGCATCGAATGGTGGTTCGATAAGCATGTTGAATGCGTTAGCGGAGGCGGAGCAGAGGGTTGTTCCGATTGTGAGGGACAGGAGGGCTGGGAGGGTTGAGGCGGGAAAGGGAGCGATTGCGTAGGCGGACATTGTTGTTAGGACTACGAGCATTGTCAGGCGGGGTTTTGAGAGTTCGAGGAAGGGTTTGTAGGAGAGTGGTGGGGCTGGTGTTAGGTTTGTGAAATGTGGATTTGAAGGGTTTGATGAAGATGGTGATGGCGGTGTTGATATAGACTCCTCTTTGAGTGACGCCGCTGTTGACTGCAGTCGTAATGATTTCGACGCTGTTGGCGACGACGATAGTAGTTGATTCGACGTAAACACCGATCCCCTCATCATCTGCTGCGAAAAGAACGTCTCCACAGTCCTCCCCGAAGCCGTTACCCCTCCCACCCTTGCACGCGTATGTATCGAGCGGCGCAGCGAGACTCTACACGACTGACATATCGTCGATTGCCGTAGAAAGGATCGCATCCTGGATCGTCTACAGGTATTTTTTATGCCTCGTCGTCGATATCTCCAGATTTTGGTGCAGCGCTGACGGGGCTCAGCCACGGGACGAGCGTGGCTGGTGAGGGATGCTGTCATGCCTGTCTACGTTACATCGAACCTCTCCCGCCTGACAAAGATTCGATGGACGACGATGAATTCGCCTTCGACGACGATATCGACCTCGACGAACTCCAGAAAGTCGAAGATGCCGCCATCGTCACATTAACACAACAGCCCGCCGCACGAGGGCGGATCGAAGTTCCGGGTACCGACCTGGGATCAGCGGCGGGATACCATTTGAGTTACGGCCAAGCACGGGTCGCACAGCTGAGGAGGGATGGATCGGATTTACGGAGGAGTACGACGGGAGAATCGATGGGGCAAGAGCTTGGGATAGGTGGTGCGCCACCGAGACGGTCGACGTCGGATTTATCTGCTATTGCACCCCAGCAAGGAGTACCACCACGGTGGCAGCAGCCTCGGTCATACTCGAGTAACCTATCTACGGTGGGGCAGGTCCCCTCTCCAGCAGCACTTCCATCACCACCTCCCCTCCCTCAACTACCAACAACTACCAAGACCACGAACCCCATCCCCACCAACCCCAGCGACCTTGTCAAGGAACTAGAAGCCCTCCGCGCGCAGAACTCCTCCCTCCAATCCTCTCTCGCAACCTCAACGACCCTCCTCTCCTCCCACGCCGGCCAAATATCCCTCCTCCGCTCCAACTTATCCCGCCTCTCCACCTCCCACTCCGCTGCCCTGATATCGGCGAAACAGGAGGTGCGGGAAGCGGAAGAGAGCGCGAGGAGGGAGTTGGAAAGTTTGAAGGGGGAGTTGGAGAGGGAGAGGGTTGAGAAGGGATTTTTGGAGAGGGAGGTTAGGGAGGTTGGGGAGATGAGTAAGGAGTTGAGGGCGAAACTGGCTGCTGGTGGGGCGAGTGCAGAAACACCGAGAAAGAAGACGAACGGCGATGCGGGTGGGTGGGTTGGACAGAGGGAGTTTGAGGGGAATGATGACCAGATCATTCGACGCAAACGGAGACGAACGACGTCTGCCAATCAACCCCATGACGCTCCAGTACCCGAGACCGACGAAAGCGAGGCACCAATCGTGGTTGTCCCTGCTGTCAAAGCCGAAGAACACGACCGCCTCGATTTCATCCACGAACTCATCGCATACACCCCTCCCTTCGCCTCCTCAACCTCCTATATTGCACTCTCTACTTGCACCCTCCCTAAGTCATCTCTTCCAATCTCAACCTCCCTCACGCATCAAATCCTGATTGACTCGTCCGTCCTCACCGCGGAGTCATTACCAAAGCGAGTTTTGGAAGTCCTGTTGGATATGGCAAATAAAATCGAACAAGAACAGATGTGGCCAGCATTGGTACACCTCTTCTTCTTAGCAGAATGGACGATGATATGTCATCCCCATATCGAAACCCTGAGGGAGACGTTGGAGGGTTGGTTAGCGTTCACGAAACGCGTTATTGCGCAAGAAATGATTCCACGGATTCAGTCTACAGATCTCGACGCCGAGACGGACCCAGCAGAAGGGGCACTGGAAAGTGTAGATGCTGCATGGCAGGTATTGGAGACACTGCTATTTGTCGTCGGCGCAGCCGGTTCCAAAGAAGAGGACACCATAAGGAAAATCTGGGGAACGCTCGGCTTGGAATGGACACTAATGTCCCTCCACCCGAAACAACGCTCCGCTGTAACCTCGGCAGCTCTTCGGACCTTGCACCGCTCAATAACCCCGACCTCGCTCGGACCACTCCTCCCACCATCCATCGATTCAAACACGAGCGATGAAACAGAACGGGCAAAGGAGCGAACTTATTTGTTTGACGCGCTGACGAAATATCTCATCCGTCCCCAAACCTCGCTCACGCTCAAATGCCTCGTCATCGACGTCCTCGCCCGCAACCACTCCCTCCATTCCTCTACCCTCCAACCTCGGACGGAGAAAATGCTCATCCCCCGCCTCATCCGTTGCATAACCTCCACCGTCACCTTCGCCTACAACCGCCCCTCCGCCCCGTCCCCACCCCTCACCACCCTCCTGCGCTCCTCCGTCCGTCTCCTCCGCTCCATCGCACCCGTCGATAAACCAGAACAATTACTACAGGAAATAGTGAGTGCGGGGACGGGGACGTTCCAGGCGTTCGTGGTGGGCATGACGAGGGTTGCGTTTGATGAGTGGGAGGGCGAGGAAGAAGGGTGGGGGGATGATGTTGCGGAGTTTGCGAGGGAGGTTTTGGAATGTGGGGTTAGTCCGGAGGAGGGGGATCAGATTTATGAGGTGATGTATACTTAGATGATCAGGGATAGCATGCTTTCGAGGTGTGGTTGAGGGTAGATGGTCATTGGCAATTGGGCTACGGTTACGGCGTTATATTCTTCTCCATGTTGCATAGAGGCTTCATCTATCCAGATAAGGGCGTGTGCTCCTCAATTCACGTCAGGCAACCCCGAGCCGGCATTGATATTACAGACGGAGTCTCTAACCAACATCGTCATCACAGGGATTCGTGCTCCACCTCCCAAAAGGGTTGCCGCCATTGCACGAGTCTCAAGTTACAAGTAAACCAGAGCAAATATCGACAAGGAACATTGAGAAGAGCATGCCCACTCGGGGTTTCCCACGACCTCAGCAACTGACGTCGAGCTTCGAGCAAAAATGTCTGAACTTCCGCGGGTCGCCTTCCTAACCCACTCAAACCATACAAGACGTAAAAGAAGACCCCAAACGTCACAAAATGTAGTAGAAATCATCACCTTCCATACACTCGATAACCCCTCCTTATCGCACCCGCTGCACGCCTGCCCCCGCACCCCCAACGCACATGACGCTCATCTGCGCCTGTCGGCCGCGCTGCCGTGAACCTTCTCAGTCACCCCCCCCCCCCCGATCTGGCAGGACCTGACCTGGATCCCCGCAAATCAATAAGCCGGGCTGTTTATATTTGATCTGATTCGCCCGCCCTCATACCTGCTGGTACGTACTCGCAATTGATCCTTAAAGAGGAGAGGAGTTGGGTTGGCTATGGCTACAGTTTCGCTAATGCCTCACGCAGCTACAGCTACAGCTACAGCTAGGGCTGTCCCGGCTGATCAGTATTCGCTTTGTGAGTTACTCATTGCGCTCAAGGCTCCTAAGAGTTCGGGAGGTAGGGGTGGAGTTGGAGTTGGTGTTGCGGATTGTTCGAGGAGTGCGTCGGGGAGTGTCACGCCTCTTCGGTATTCCAAGGCTACAGCACTTGCTATGAGCAGATCAGCCTCGAACATGGCTGCACACGATCAGGTGGACGACAAGGCCCGTGATCCTAGAGGGATTTTACCGCCGGAGTTGATAGAACCGATTTTTGAGTATTTGGATACGCAGTCGCTCTACGCTTGTGCGTTGACTTGTCGCGCCTTCCACGTCGTTGCTTCTCCCCTTTTATGGCGGGCACCGAGTGTGAAGATACCCCCGAAATGGTTCGCGTTTCTCGAGAGGTTGGACCATGGAGTTTGGAGGAAAGAGAAATGGGGCGAGCGAGTTAGGTGTTTGGATTTGGGGGTAAATGGGATGTTTCATGTCATTAATGACGAATTGGTTGAGCGGTTGCTTCGGAAGTGTACGAGACTTGACACTTTTGTTGCGAGGGTTGCGGATGGGTATAAAGTTGCAAGTTGTTCCCTATCTCTCTGACGCTTGGTAAGTGTTGGGCTAATTGGTGGTGTGTTGATAGATCCCACCACACTTCCTCCTCCTCCTCCCCCCAACCCTCCGCTCCCTAACGCTCAATTTCTCCCGCAGCGGCAAGTTTTCCGACGCACACTTGATTCGAATGTTGACGCAACTCCCGAACCTCCGTGTGCTGGGGCTGTTACATTCGACATTCACTGATCTGGTGCTGAAATACATTCCAGCAGAAGGGTTGGTGGAACTGGATTTGTCGGGCGCGGGAGGGTTGAGCAGGCGGGGCATGGAGTCTTTGATGGCACGATGTACGAAGGCTGAAGTGGTCAAGTTGAATGATATGGGGGTCGTCATCGACTGGAGCGTGCTCGCGGCCCTGGCGTCCGGGGTCGCTGGGACTACTGGGAAGTGGTACGTACCTCCCAGGCAGACGAGCAGATTGAGGGTGTTGGAGTGCATGAACTACATCCCATTCACGCACTTAATCGACGAAGAGCTCATCTCTCTCGCTCGCTTCTGCTCCCGTCTCGAACGCGTTGATTTTCGTAATCACACCCGGGTTGGTGACGCTTCGATCATCGCTCTACTCAAGACTAACCCCAATATTATATACGTGGGGTGTTCGACTAAGGCTGAGGGATTGGCAGCAGCGGGACCGGTGCCGGAGGGAGGTGGGAGGGGCATTAGTGGGAGGTTGAAGGGGATGTTGGAGTTTAGTGGGGTTGAGGTTCAGTGTGCGGTTGGGATGAGTGGGGGGATGTATGGGTTTGCTGGACCAAGGTAGGGTAGGGAGGTTGGGAGGGGAATGAGAGTTCTGGATGTAGCAGGAGGGCAGGATGAATGGATTGGATGTGAAGGTGGATTCGCAATGGGACGTGGGAGTGGGTAAGGAGCATTACGATACCAATACAATATCTTCAGGGCAGGTTCTCAATTCGAAGTATACAAATGTTACAAGGGAGCAAGCATGGGTTCGTGTATCTACCTGGGTGAACTCCGTCATCGTCCTGGGGTTGCTGCGTTACGTACTCGAAGTCGAAGCGCGGCTCGACGACGAAGCAAGCAGAAGAAGGACAACGAAGGGCAATTGCACTCAGACGAAGACCCTCAACCATCCAAGGCAAAGCAGAATTATACCCTTAACAACATACCGCACAGCCGCAATGCCCGGCCCAACCTCCGCATCCGCCCTCCTCGCCCTCCTCGACGAACCCGAACAAGACCTCCAAGCCCATGCCCTAACCCGCCTCAACGACCTCGTTGATATCTTCTGGGCCGAAATCGCTGATTCGGTCTCGAAGATTGAGGTTCTGTATGAAGATGAACGGTTTGGACAGAGAGAATTGGCGGCGTTGGTGGCGAGTAAGGTTTATTTCCATTTGGGGGAGTATGAGGAGAGTATGGCTTTTGCGCTTGGTGCGAAGGAGTGGTTTGATTTGGAGAGTGGGAGTGAGTATGTTGAGACTATTATCTGTATGTTGTTCCCGTCAATCGCAATTGCGGTGTACATTTGAGTGAAGGTCTAATGTTTTGGGTGACAGCTAAATGCATTGACACCTATATCGACTTGTCCGTCAAGAGAGACGATGATCCAGCAAGTATCGGAACCGCAAAGATCGACCCCAGATTGCAGGATGTCGTGGAGCGTATGTTCCGCCGCTGTCTCGACTCGGGAGAGTACAAACAAGGTCTCGGCATCGCCCTCGAATCTCGCCGACTAGACGCAATCGAGCACTTCATTACCGCCACATCAACCACGGAAGATCTGAAAGCGTATGTTTTGAGCGCGTCGATGACCCTCGTCCAGAGTGTGACATTCAGGAATAAGGTGTTGAAATTGTTGGTGGATTTGTATTTGAAGGAGGGAAAGGGCGCCGAGCCGGATTATTTCAATGTTGGGAAGTGCGTGGTGTATTTGAACGACAACAAGATCGCGTTTGAGGTTTTGAGAGAGTTGGTCGCGAAGGGTGATGAGAAGCATCTCTTGACTGCGTATCAGATTGCTTTCGATTTCGATGCGTCCGCTACCCAAGATTTCTTGCAGAAGGTCTCTGCGGCGCTTCCGACGGACGATGAGAAGAACAAGGAAGTCTACGATCGTATTCGGAAGATTTTGTTGGGCGAGGAGAGTATTCCGCTTTTCCTCGAGTTCTTGTACCGCAACAACAAGACCGATATCCAGATTCTCAACAAGACCAAGGATACACTGGAAGCCCGCAACTCAATTTTCCACTCTGCGGTTACGTTTGCGAATGCATTCATGCATTCTGGTACCACCGCTGACGGATTCTTCCGCTCTAACCTCGATTGGTTGGCCAAGGCCACGAACTGGTCCAAGTTCTCTGCGACGGCGGCACTTGGAGTCATTCACAAGGGTCACTTGAGTCAGGCGATGACTTTGTTGCAGCCCTACTTGCCTCAGGACGGAGTTTCCACGTCTCCCTACTCTGAGGGTGGATCCTTGTTTGCGCTCGGTTTGATTCATGCAAACCACGGTGCTGGTGTTTTGGATTACCTTCGTACGCAGTTCAAGGCTACGCAGGATGAGACCATCCAGCACGGTGCCGCCCTCGGTCTCGGTGTCGCTGGTATGGCGACCGGCAATGAAGATATCTATGAGGAGTTGAAGAATGTGTTGTTCGGTGACTCGGCGGTCGCTGGTGAGGCGACTGGGTTGGCTATGGGATTGGTCATGCTGGGAACGGGACACGAGAGAGCGTTGGAGGAGATGTTGCAATATGCCCACGAGACGCAGCACGAGAAGATCATTCGTGGGTTGGCGGTGGGTATGGCTTTGTTGCAGTACGCGCGTGAGGAGAGTGCGGATGGGTTGATTGCGCAGTTGACCGGAGACGCTTCGCCGATTTTGAGGTATGGTGGTATCTGGACGATTGCGTTGGCTTACGCTGGAACGGGGAACAACAAGGCGATCCGGCAGTTGTTGCATTTCGCGGTGAGTGATGTGAATGACGACGTCAGGCGTGTTGCTGTCATGGCGCTTGGATTTATTCTGTTCCGGAATCCGGGTGCGGTGCCACGTTTGGTGGAGTTGTTGAGTGAGTCGTATAACCCGCATGTCCGATACGGCGCTTCCCTCGCTCTTGGTATCTCTTGTGCTGGAACTGGGATGCCTGAGGCGATCAAGTTGTTGGAGCCGATGATTAAGGACCCTACGGATTTCGTGAGGCAGGGTGCGCTTATTTCTATGGCGATGATTTTGATGCAGCATAATGATCAGACGAATCCGAAGGTTACGGAGGTTCGGGCACAGTTTGCTAAGACGATTGGGGAGAGGCATGAGGATGCCATGGCCAAGTTCGGTGCGGCGTTGGCGCAGGGTATCATTGACGCCGGAGGCCGGAACGTCACGATTGGGTTGCAGAGCCCGAGTGGTAGCTTGAACTTGCAAGGTATTGTCGGTATGGCCCTCTTCACTCAGTTCTGGTACTGGTTCCCTACTGCCCACTTCTTGTCGCTTGCGTTCACTCCTACGGCTGTCATTGGCTTGAACAAGGACCTCAAGGTCCCCAAGTTCGAGTTCGTGTCGAATGCTAAGCCTAGTACCTTTGCTTACCCTCCTGAGGAGAAGGCTAAGGAGGAAAAGAAGGACGAGAAGATGGCTACGGTTGAGTTGAGTACCACCGCCAAGACAAAGGCTAGGGCTAGGGCGAAGAAGGAGAAGGAGGGTGATAGTATGGAGTTGGATGAGCAGGATGTCAAAGTTGAGGAGGACAAGATGGAGACCGACGAGACTGAGAAGAAGGACGATAAGAAGGAGAAGAAGGAGAAGGAGCCTTCATCTGAGGCTAAGGAGAACATGACCCGTGTTGTGCCAGCTCAGTTGAAGTATGTTACTTTTCTGGAGAGTGCACGGTATGTTCCTGTTAAGCAGGACTTGACGGGCGGTGTAGTGATGATGTTGAATAAGAAGCCTGAGGAGCCGGAGGAGTTGGTCGAGATGAAGGCGAGGACTGAGGCGGCTAGTGCGCCTGCTGATCAGGCCGAGGAGGAAGAGGCGCCTATGCCTGAAGCGTTTGAGTATCCTTTCCCGGCGGATGATTAGAGGGTGCTGTCAGTGAGGGAGTCAAAGAGGAAACGAGAAAGAGGAAGAGTACGATATAGTTTATGATTGCATTAAACACAAGTTTCTACTACTATCATCCCGTATGCATTTTCAACCGAGTTTGTGACCCTAGGTCTCACTCGCTCTCCCGCATTCGCCTCGCTCTCAGATCACGTGCCGTATCTTCATTACCGCAGCTTCGAAAAGTCGGGAACGATGAGTACTCCTCACAAACAAATACCCATTCACGGATATCCCACAATGGTTGGCCCATCCTACGCTCCGATCAAGACAGAATCAGAGGTCTTTTCCCTCTCCCTCCACCCAACCGAGGACCTGATCACCATCGCTCAATTGACAGGACATGTCGCATGTTACCGCTACACCGACGACGGCGCGGCGCCTGTTGAGGTCTGGAAGGCTAAGCGACATAAGAAATCGTCAAGGGGAGTTCAGTTCACGGACGACGGTTTGCACTTGGTGTCGGTTGGGCGGGACAGGGTCATCAAGAAGGCAGCTACAGAGACTGGAAGGGTTGTGGCAAAGATGACTGACGCGCATGATGATGCGATCAATGCGTTGACGATTATGTCTGAGACATTGATTGCTACTGGGGATGACTCTGGCTGTGTAAAGTTCTGGGATGAGAGGAAGCCGGGGAAGGCTGTGAGGGAGTATGTGCATCATTTCGATTATATCTCGTCATTGCAGCCATTGGATGCGAAGGTCCTTGTTGCGACCAGTGGGGATGCGTCACTTTCTGTGTTGGACATACGGAAGGGCGCTTTTGTTGCGCAGAGTGAGGATCAAGAGGATGATCTCACATCTTGTGCGCTTGTCAAGAATGGGAAGAAGTTAGTTGTGGGACAGGCGGAGGGTGTGTGTACACTGTTTAACGTGATGAAGGATAATTCGCAGTGGGGGGATCATGTCGACCGTATCCCTGGACATCCTGGGTCTGTTGACACCATGATTGCTGTCGACCAAGACCGTGTGGTAACAGGTTGTTCAGACGGCATTGTCCGCATCCTCAACATCCAGCCGAATAAGTTCAACGGTGTGTTGGGTGCTCATGATGAGGGCATGGGTGTCGAGTGCTTGGATCTGATGAGAGGTGGGGAGTGGGTTGCGTCTGGTGGTGGAAGCGAGGTGTTGTTTCATAGGATTAATGCGGATGAGGAGGATGAGGAGAAGAGGGATAGGAGTCATGACAGTGATAGTGATGATGAGCCGCGGAAGAAGAAGAAGGGGAAGAAGATGAAGGATACGGCGAAGCCGAAGAATGCGTTCTTTGCGGGGTTGGACTAGGAGTGGGGTGTGATGATCTTGATTAGTTCAGGAAGCGACGATTCAGAGCTGTGGAAGTTTGGCCATTCAAGGAAGGTCATTCAAGAAAGCTCACAAAGTTCTTAAGCTTCTTCGTAAAGTCACGATGTAAATCTTCTGTCTAATTCAATCCCACATAAACCGTGGGAACCAATAAGCAGCAGCCGTGAACAGCGGAGAAGCAACTGAGACTACGCAAAAGTCAATACATCTTTGAAGGGTAGGGTCAACTGTTGTAGCAGCATGGGTAGTCGTCATGAGTATGATGACATGCTGCTGCACCTCAGTCGCGATCGCAGCGGTCCCCTACCGCGGGAACTTGCATTTGTACGACTGGTATGACGCTCAACCTCTCCTCACCACCAACAACCCTAAGCAACATGGCACGTAAAAAACTGTCAAAGCGAAGGTCATCGGGGAGTTTGGTTCCTCGTGCAAAGCCTAGGCCTCCGCCTTCCACCTCGGAGAAGCCTGCCGAGCTTGGCGAAGGCAAGGTTCCTGGGTATGGAGTTGCGCCAAAGTCCCCACCGCTGACAGACCCTGCGGAGAAGGTGACAGTTGAGGCTGGTACAGTCGGTGGGGAGAGTAGGAAGAGGATAGAGGAGGATGTTGATACTACCTCCTCGGGGTCGTCTGCGTCTACCGATGAGAGTGAGGACGAGGATGGGAAGAGCCAGGAAGATATTGGTAGTGAATCTCTCGATAAGGTCGGGGTTGTCCCGAAGGCGCAGTGGGTGTTAGGCGACATTAAGGTAGACCCTGTTGAGGAATGCAACGACGATGATGACGATGAGAATGAAGAAGAAGAGGAGGACTGGACTCAGGAAGGGGAAGCGGAAGCAAAGAACACACTCGCTTCTCGCCTTGGACCAACTCCTGACTGCTCTTCATCCGGAGATGAGGCCGGGGTCAAGCAGAAGTCTGGAGTTACGAAGGAAGATCCTGTGGAGGTGGATGACGATGATGACGATGACGATGACGAAGACATGAGCAGTGATGAGCAATTGGAAGGAGAAGAAGCAAAAGCACCTGCCCAGAGTCCCCTTGCTTCTCGTCTTGGACCGACACCTCCTCAGCACTCGCCCCTGCACTCCCCCATCGCTAACGACTCCGATTCGTCTTCTTCTCCATCGTCCTCCACCCTCGAACACGAAAACGAACAAGAAGCTCAATGGAACACTTGGGATACTGCCCTTCGTCCCCGTCATCATGCTGGCCGTGGAATCGGGAAGGGGAGGCTCATCGGAGCATGGACCAACTGCCGCGTTCCGAAGGAGAAGTGGACGCCTGGCGTGAGGCAGTGGGTTGAGAGAAAGGTTGCTCAAGGAAAGATGGAGTGACGTGAGTCGTGTGCAACAGTGGGATCGTCGGATTTCTATGTCTAAGCTAAGCTGTCGTGGGTATCTTGTCTTCTTATAACGAATAATACCCTTCATACCCTCCTTCTAACTCAAATTTTCTCTCTCAAGGAGAGTCCTTCTGATCTCCGTACTACTCATTTTCCCTTCCCATCCACTTTCTTCCCCACTTGCGATGCCTTTCGGTGTTACAACGTCGATTACGAAGATCTCCAATTCTTTCATGTTCCTCTTTCTCCTCTCCTCGTTAACCGATTTTCCACCAGAAATGGTTTCTCTGCTGACGACGAGAGCTTCAATTCCCGCATCCGTAATGGTGGGTCCGAATGGGTCCTGGATTTCCACGACCTCAACCTCGACCTCCTTTCCCCTCCTCACCTTCTCCAAGAAGCTTTTCACGCCCGCGATTCGTACGTCAACACTCTCCATGAATTCCGCATACGCCTTTTTGGTAAGGAGGGAGGGTGCGGTGACACCGCATATGATCTTGGTGGAGGCGAGGAACGCGGTGAGGGTAAGGAGAATCTTATGGCCGGGGTGGAGGTGGTCGAAGGTCCCGCCTACCGCAACGGATCCAAAGTTACCCTTCTTCTCCTCCTCCTCCGGTACGGGTTCGGGGCCTGCGGCGGATGAGGGCCGTGTACTCTCCGGTGTAGGGTCGGGGGAGCCTTCGCGGGGGAGGATGAGAGTTGGTAATGCGGCGCTTCCTCCCTTCTCCCGATACTTTCTGAGGAACTCTTCCAAGAGCTCTTCTTCACCTTGTGGTACACAGACGCATTCCCACTCTTCCTCCACCACTCTCTCCCCGTCGAGCAAGATGGTAAAGTCCTGGTTCTCGGTGCGCCCTGCAGACGTAAGCTCTCGGGAGTCGCTAATCCGTACACACTCAATATAGATGAGTGAAATCAACCTCTGTACCGGCACGAATAGCGCTGCACGATTTGAGGATGTGAATGAGGGGTGAGAGAGGACGATTGTAAGATGGCCGCTCCCATTCGTTGCGCGGAGCGCTGCGTCGATCGTCGGGTAAAAAGCTGTGGGATCACGGAAGGTAGCATCGGTGAGGCGAATCAGCAGTAAGTTGGAGATATATAAACTGGCCATGATGATGTCAGTTTGTAGGAAGTGTTTGACTTCTCCCAGCCCCGGACTCCACGGCTGCAGGTCGCCGCGGCGTCTCCAACGACATCATATATACGAATTACACGCTCCGTCAAGACCCTCGAAATTTCCCATCTTTAATTGCGACTGAAGAGCACAACAACAGCACTTGATCACAATGTCCGACTTGTCCCACCGCAAATCCCTATCCGGCGCCTTCGCCAGCACCCTAAAGCCCCCACCCCCACCCCACCCCTCAACCCACGGCACCTGCCACCACCCCACCCCCTTCCAAACCTACGCTCTCTCCTGGTCCGCCTACCCCTCCCTCCACGGCCCCTCCATCGCCGTTGGCTCCACAAGCGAAGCCTTCGATAACAAGTTACGGCTGTTGAGCACGGTTGAGGTTGATAAGGAGGAGAGAGGAGGTGGAGGGGTGGATTTGGTTGTGCATGGGGAGATTGAGGTTGGGTATCCGCTGACGAAGTGTATGTGGCAGCCTGTTGATGGGGGGATGGGGAGTGTGGAGGTGCTTGCGGGGACGAGTGATGCGTTGAGGTTGTGGGAGGTGTGCGAGGCTGAGCCGGGGAATAAGAAGGGTGGGTTGAAGTCGAAGGCTGTGCTGTATAACGTACGTATATGTGAAGTGAGGGTTGGAGTTAGTAGATGCTGATTGTTTGTGATGACACAGAAGAAGATCGAGCATGCGGCGCCGTTGACGAGTATGGATTGGTGTACTCTGAATCCGGTGAATATTATCACGAGTAGTGTGGATACGACGTGCACCCTTTGGGATTTAAACACAGGACAAGCAAAGACGCAACTGATCGCGCACGATAAGGAGGTGTTTGATCTACAATACGTCGCGGGAAGCACAGACGTGTTCGCGAGTGTTGGCGCGGATGGGTCGGTCAGGATGTTCGATCTACGGTACACCTTTTTGATGAGTTGCCTTTCAAAAATTGCCTGCTGACAGAAAGTGTACAGTGCATTGGACCACTCAACAATTATCTACGAATCACCCTCCTCAACCCCGACACCACTACTCCGCCTTTCTGCCTGCACGCGGGACGCGAACCTCCTCGCAACATTTCACCTCGACTCACCCACAATCCACATCCTCGACGTACGATCACCAGGCGCGTCAGCGATCGACCTCACTGCCCACGACTCAACCGTAAACTGCGTCCAATGGGCTCCCGGCTCTCGAAACGTCCTAGCCTCCGGCGGCGAAGACGGGCAAGTCCTCGTATGGGATCTCAAAGCACTGAGCGGTGCAGCAGGGGGAGATAAGGAGAGGGATTCGACACGGGTGTTGAGGGAGCCGTTGTTAAGTTGGACGGGAGAGGGTGAGGTTAATAATTTGGGGTGGAGTGCGGCTGGGGAGTGGGTGGGTGTTGCGTGGGGGAAGTGCGTGCAGGGGTTGAAGGTGTAAGACGTGAATATAACTATAGATGCGGAGAGGAAAATATACCCGTTATTTCTGTTTGCAGTGTATCGAAGGAATTGGAGGAGGATGGAGGAGGATGGAGGAGCGGCCGCGGGTGTGCGATCGACGTCACTGTTGCGCGCGCGTACAGCGGAGACGAACGCAACCGGACGGAATCTTAAATAAGACGAACCCCAACATCAATTGCGGTTGATCCACCATACCAACTGATCTGAAACTCCAATTGAAGCTCAATAACATGAAGAACTACACAGCTGATATCTTCCTACACACCAAAACCGGCCTCGGCGAAGGTATCTTCTACCGTCACGCCGACGACACCCTCCACTTCCTTGACATCAAGAACAAACTCATCTACCGCGTCTCCGCCGCCGAAGGCGAGAAATCCCTTCGGTACATGACGTTGCAGGATAATGTTGGGGTGTTTGGGGAGATCGAGGGGGAGGATGGGGTGTATATTGTGGGTGCGAAGAGTGGAGTTGCGAAGGTTGATGAGGAGACGGGCAAGATGGAGTATTTGGCGAGGTATTATGAGGAGGGGAGTGAGGATGCGGAGAAGTATGTACTATTTCTTGGCCTTTCCCTGGATATGGGTTGCTGATCTGGTGGTACAGGCTTCGATCTAATGACGGCTGCATCGACCCCGCTGGACGACTGTTTGTGGGTACCATGGCTGACTTTCCGTATGAGGAGGAATCACCCAAAGGCCATTTCTTCCGGTATGACCCGACGACAAAGGCATTGACCAAAGTTTTCGCACCCGTACAGATCCCGAACGGGATGGGATTTAGTCCGGATATGAAGACGTTTTACTTCACGGAAAGTCCCGAGAAGGCCATCTACGAATTCGACTATGATTCCGCGACGGGTGAGGTCTCCAACAAGCGGGTATTCGTCAAAATCGATGAAGGTGATGACATCGTCCCTGACGGTGCATGCATCGATACCGATGGCAATGTCTGGTCTGCACTCCATGGTGGCGCGAAGGTCGTGTGTCATTCGCCTGGAGGCGTACGCATCGCGGAAGTCTCTACGCCGGCAAAGTTCCCCACGTGTCCATGCTTCGGTGGGAAGGGGATGGATACGCTGTTTATCACGAGTGCGGATGAGGCATTGGAGACGGAGGAGGAGAAGAAGCAGTTTGGGGAGGGGAGTGGGAGTGTGATGAGGTGTAAGGTCGCGGCGAAGGGGTTGAGTAAGTTTAAGTTTGCGACGAAGAAGGAGGCGACGTCGTAGGGCGAGTTTGGAGAGGGAGCAATTGCAAAAGGACGAGATGAATGAGTTGGCCGTAAGTTTAGAGAAGAGATATAACCCGTCTGTACCAGCTGCAACGAGCTCTTTTTCATTCATCATTGAACGAATTGCAAGGCGAACCCCATTCTCGCAAGGTCAAGTTGGCCAGATCTTCCCACGGGTACCGGCGGTGCGTGTCGTGATTTCTCAGTGCACGGACGACCCAACTGCCTACTCAAACAGTCTGGAAGCAATCAACCCAGTTCAAAAAAGAATGGCATTCAACTCCAAGAAGTCACCAGCTGGCCATACCATCATCATCCCCTTCCCTCTGGAAGAGTACCTCCACCTAGCGCTCTCCACGCACAACTACAAACTCCTCCAACCGCCCAACTTCTTTCCCGAAGTATTCCGCCGTGCCCCTACGATCCGGTATATCTCTCTCTATCAAGGCCGAAAATGCATGGAAGCAATTGGGAAGACGGGCTTGGAGAAGTCGAAGGTGATGGATGTGCCCCTTATCTGGGTGAAGTGGTTTAAGGGGTTAGTTGAGGATTCGAATAAGGTGCGTGAGTAGTGTGGGTGGTATAGTGGTAGAGAGGGCTTATTGGGTGCTTAGAGACGAGAAACGTTGACCGAGTACTTCGGCACGGCGACAGTGGTGTACAATCCGGCACATGAACCGGAGCCAGAGTCCCAGCTGGAGCAGAACGAAACACTCGTCGACCGACCAAACCCTCCGGATATGTGTCAGCGACTTTCAAAGCGAGATATGGACGCATCTATTCCGATTACCATCGCTCCCCTCACCATCAATACCACCTCAGCCCGCGCTTCCATCGCTTCCCTCGCCTCCTCCTCCTCTACCACCTCTCAATCCCCCTCAAGACCAAAACTCCGAAAATCCGATCCCAAACTTGCAATGAAGAAGAAAGCATCATCCTCATTACTACTGAAACACGCGAATAACCTCGACCTCGACCTCGCGGACGTTGAACGTGAACTCGAATCACTCTTCGGTGATACACCTCTTGCCTCCCGGACCAGTCCCACCAGCCCTACCAGTACTATATCCACGACTACAAACTCGGCGAATACGTCTTTTAGTGATGGAGGATGGAGTACCAGGGCGACTACACCGATGGGGCATGTCAGTGGGGGTGTGAGGGTATCTGTTCCGAGAGCGGAGGAGTGGGCGGAGCTAAGTTTCTTCTAAGCTTGGTTGAAGCAGATCGAGAAGCATACAATAGAACCGCAAGAATATCACTGCATACCCATTGCACTTAGTCATACCATACATCACTATATACAGCCGGAACATATCACACACACACTCACTTGCTGAAATCTACCACCATCCTCCCCTCAATTTCCCCCTTCCTCATCTTCTCAAAAACCCCCTGTACCCCATCCAACCCAACACTCTCAACCCTCGTCTTCACCAGCCCCCTCCCCGCGATCTCCAACGCCTCAATCGCATCCTGCCTCGTACCGACCGCGCTCCCCTTGACGTTGAGATCCTTGAGGATGATGTTACGGGCATCGAGGGTGATCGGAGCTGGTCCACCGGGGATTCCGACACAGACGAGTTGGCCGCCGATCCGGAGGAGGTCGGGGGCTGAGGCGTAGGATTTGGGAGAGGCGTTGACGACAACGACGGCGTGGGCGCCTTCGCCATCCGTCAAGTCCTGAACACGCTTGGGTAACTCGTCACCGGCCTCCGCGAAGTCGATGAAGGCTTCAGCGCCCAAGGACTCACACAACTGACGCTTCGAGCCAGCGTCGATGGCGATGACGCGGTAACCGAGGGCATGGGCGTATTGGATCCCGAGATGTCCGAGGCCGCCGCCGGCGCCGGGGATGGCGACCCAAGATGAATGCGCAAGGTTGAGGATCTTCAACGCCTTGTACACAGTAACACCCGCACAAAGAAGCTGTGAGTCGATATTAGCATGCGTTCTCACAAGAGCTGATGCCAATCACTCACCGGCGCTGCCAAACTCCCATCCAGGTCCTTCATAACGGGTGTACAATACCTCGCATCCGTTACGACATACTCCTGGAACGTCCCCGGACATCCCATGGGTCCGGAACACCCACTCGCCTTTTGACCTCCACAGAAGGCATCACGTCCACTCAAACAATGCGCACAACTCAAACACGCACTCGCGATCCATTTTATTCCCACTCTCTGCCCCAACATCTTGTCCGAAACGGAGGAGTGCGCGGCGAGGATGGTGCCGACACCTTCGTGACCGCCGACTTGACCGTCGGTCATGGGCCACCAGGGCCATTCGCCGAGCATGAGGTGGAGGTCTGAGTGGCATACGCCGGAGTAGTCGAGTTTGACGAGGACTTCGTTGGGGCCGGGTGTCGGGACTGTATGAAACGTCAACGATGATCTTTCATCCAAATCCAGTTCATACCTTGCTGATCAACGACGTCGATCTTGCATTCGCCAATTTTAGAGTAGACGGCGGCACGGGCTGTCTTGGGAATCTCTGCGCCCTCGGCGACTTGGATGTTAGAGTCGGCAGCAGGCATGGTTATTTGGCAATTGAAATGGATTATGTTAGAGAACCTTGAGGGTGAGCAAGTCTCGGCCTTTTAAACAAAGAGCAAAAGAGGGCGTGAGCCGTGCGACTTGTCCACATGATCACTTGTTTTGGTGGCCATTACCCAGCTGGTCGTGGAGTTGCTCAATCAAGCTTCATCACCGAACCTCCACTTTCCGTCTCGAACAGCTTGATCAGGTGTCCAGAAATGTTGCGTGATACAGCGGGGGTACTTATTTGCAGCGGTTCGTGAAGGTGCAGTTGTGCGGGGTTCCGTCCGCCTGCCGAGGTTGCAGGTGTGATGACCGTGGGGGATTCGTGAATGTTGATCATGGAGCGTCCTTTTGATTGCGTTGCCATAACTTCATTATCATGCCATACCAGCTAAGCCGAATTCCGAATCTAAACTCCCAGTGAACACCAATCTCGTAACATCAATCATTTCCACCGCTCGAGCTACCCTTCTCATGCATGTCGATACTTCCTCCTACCATTAAGGTTCATGTCGCCCTTCCTACACTCTTCCCATTAAATCTCGTCACGACTCGCCATATGCACCTCGGAGTTCATGGAGCAGGCGGCGCCGGCGCCGGCGCCCCACCCAACCCACTCACCAACGTCGGCACAACCCTCCTCTTCTTCTTCTCTGGCTCCTTCGCGTCGCCATCCTCCTTCTCCTTTGCCTCTTTCTTCTCCACTACAGCCGGCCCCGTCGGCACCAGCGGCACCGATACCGACACCGACACCGGCACCCCAGCAACCATACTCGAACTCGAACTCGTCCTACTCGGACTCAGCGGCACAGGAACCCTCGGCCTCCCCCCAGCACTACCCACATCACTCCCCCTATGCCTTCTCCCCATCCCCACATCCCCCGGCCCCGGATGCACCTCCCCCAACTCCCCCTCCCCAAACACCAAAACACTAGCATACCCATCCCCATTGACAGCAACCACCCACCTCCCGTCCCCACTCCACGCCAAATCCGTGAAACCCGCATAATGCAGATTACTAGCTACCGCGATCGGGGTTGGGTGTTGGGTGTCGTAGAGGACTACGCTGTCTTGGGTTGCGACGGCGTAGATGATGCGGTAGGGGAGTGCGAAGACTGGTTTGCCTTCTTTGACGACGTCTTCTTTGCTAGGGGTGTCGGATTCGTCGTCGAGGGGTTGAGGGCGGAGTTTGTAGTAGATTGGGGAACAGCGCACCGCGACCGCTGGCTTTTTCAGTCCGGGTAGATGCGCAACAGGCGGCTTCCCCAATCCCGCCCTCGAATAAATGTAGACGGTATTAACCTCCTTCTTCTCCTCCGAAGCGTTAGCCGAGGTGGCCGAGCACGAGCCCGAGCCCGAAGCCGACGCAGCCGCCGAGTTGGAGGACGATTCGAGTCTCGGATTCCACACCCCCGCCGGCGCAAACAACAAACTTCCATCAGGAGCCCAACACAACCTCCGAAAAAAACTCAACAATTGCTCATTCGCATACAAACTCATCGTTTTGGCTCCCTTTCCTCCCCCGCCGAGACCTGCACCGACGCCCCCGGCTCCAGCGCCAGTTTCGACAGGTAAGGGCGGAAGTCCAGCAGAGCTCGAGCTCGTCGGTCCCAATTTCGGACTCGAACCCGGCCTCGCACTAGAAACGGAAACGGCCGGTAACACCATCCCAGACGGACTAGGACTAATACTCCTCCTCGACGAACTCGTAACACTCGAGAAACTACCCCGGCGGCTATGCGACGCGGGTGTAGCGAGTGGTGGGTCCATCCGTGTTGGGACGGCGCCTGGGCCTAGGTTCAGGGAGACGAGACCTGGTGTGCCGGGGGGGGAGGCGGCGGGGATGGAGGGGGTGTTTGACGTTTGGTGGTCCAAATGTGGAGGTGTGGGACGCGTGGTGGTGGTGGGGAGGAGGTGCGCAGGGACTTCCATACGGGAGGACTTCATGCCCCCACCTACCTCCAGCGTCCGCCCCCTCTCCTTCTCCTTCCCCTCATGCTGCTGCCCCACGGAATAAACATGCACACTCCGATCACTCCCTTGGGTAGCAACCCACTCCCCTCTCGGATCCCACGCAACACCTTGTACATAATGGACATGTTCCGCAATCTGCCTAACACAGGTTCCATCGCTCGCTCGATAGATTCGCGCAACGTTGTCCATGGAGCCAGTTAACACGAAGGAGCCGCAGGGGGACCAGGCTAGGTCGTAGATTTCGGAGGGGAGGGGGGGGCGGCACATTATTTTTACGCGGTAGGGGTCTTTGTCGGGGGTGTCGCCAAAGTGGGGGGTTGAGGGGGTTGATGGGGAAGAGGTCGTGGATTGGTGGTGGGTGTGTGTAGTGTCGGGAACCCAGAGTAACACATTCCCGTCATCCCCTGCGGAAGCAAGAACCTCCCCCTTGGGTGACCACCGTACCACGTTGACGGCTTGTGTATGTCGACTCAGAGTAGCCAGATACGTAACCCTCGGAAACCCGTCATCCTCCTCTGGTCCTGCACCCTCGACTCCCGGCTGTGATTGTGAGGAGGTCGATGGCAGATCGAGGCGCCAGATTCGGACGTTGTTGTCTCCGCCTGCTGTTGCGAGTTTGTTGGGGTGGGAGGGGGAGAAGTGGGCGGAGTAGATTGGTTGGGTGTCGTGCCAGCTGATTTGGATGGCCTACCCCGAACAGATACAGAGTCAGCGCACCCATGGTCATGCCCGGCAGGAGGAGGACGACATACCTTGGCCTTCATCTTGAATCCGTTGCAGAGGAGAATAGAAGGTTGGTGTTGTGACGTCTGAGCGGGTGTGCATACGCGTGCATGAAGATGCATGTGTGAGGGGAGGGTCGTGGGACACCTCCCAAGACGGCACCTTCCAGATGAGATCCTCTATTGAATGGACTGGTAATATCCTCTATAGACATCTACTGGTAATCTACTGGCACCTCCTCCACATGCAAATGCGCCCCAATCCCAACAAGCAACCCAACAACACCCCTCCACCCCCCCTCCTCCGCCAACCACAACGCCGTATGCCCATCCCCCCCAGTCCTCGCATGCACACTCACCCCTTTCTCCAACAAGTATCCGACAACTTCCTCGTGTCCGAGTTTGGAGGCGAGATGGAGGGGGGTTAAGCCGTTATAGTCGTACGTGTTGAGAAGAAGAGTTTGGTCTTCTGGAGTACAGGAATCGACGATGGATTTGATGAGCGGGAGGTTTGACTGTGAGATGGCGAGCATGAGACGGTAGAAATCCGAGATCGGGGCGGATTGGTGGGGAGGGTGGAATTGGGGTCCATCGGGGCTGTTCGTGAGTTCGCCTCGGATGCTTTGTGACATCAGCGTCGCTACTTCCGAGGATGGTAGTTTGGGTGCGATAGAGAGGAGGTAAGAAAGTTTCGTGAGTGCGGATTCGGTCGTCATATCACTTCCCGCGACGACGCCGACACGGGCCAGTGCTAGCCCGGTAGCGTAGACGGGACTAACCATTCCGTTCTGGCATTGTGTGCAGTTGACGACCACGATACCGCTCTCGACCACATCCTTGAACACCCGAAGCAGTTCCGGATCCCCCGGTGCGTTTCCCGCTCCGAATGTCTCAATGACCATTCCGGCGAGGGGGGCCGAGGTGACCATTGAGCGGACCATCATCGCGGAAATACCGGGGAAGAGACGGAGACAGAGGACTTGGACGTCGTTGATGGATTGGACGCGAAACGGGGCTGGTGTTGTTTGGCGGAGGATTAGATCCCAGTTAACCTCGATGTCGATTCCGACGCGCACGAGCGGCGCACAGTTGGGTTCGGATTGAAACGCGTCGAAACCCACCGCGGAGACCTTCGTAACCCTATTCCCCCTAAACAACCGATGATGAAAAAATAACCCGACTTCCGGGATCATCCAATGTCCGCACAACACCAAACTCGCCAACAAATTATCCCGCGCGTCATTCCGTAGTTCGGAGAGTGGGACTTGGGAACCTGTGAGGATTACTGTCTTGCCGAGGTTTTCGAGCATGAAGGAGAGGGCGGAGGAGGTGTATGCCATGCTGTCTGTGCCGTGGAGGATGAGGAAGGCGTCGAAGGAGCGGTAGTTTTGGGCGATGGAGGTGGCGATTGTGTTCCATTCTGATCCAAGGTTGGCATGTGGTGTACCGTGTGAGGAGAGAGGAGGAGGAGGCGCGTACCTTTTCGGGTGATGGACGAAGAATCGAGCAATTCGTCGTATTCGAGGATAGAATACATGACTCTCTTCCCATACGCACTCTCCGGCGTACACAGCACCCTCTTCCGCTCCACCCTCCCATCCGGCTTCACAACCCTAAACGTCTCTTCTTCCCCGTCGCGGATCTTCATCGAAGCCAAGTATTCTGGATCGTTGAACTCGGTATGTCCGGCGAGCTTGGATTCGAGGTAGTTCGGGACGGGAGCATACCCGTTCGGGGAACGTGCCATACCGATTGTGCCGCCGGTGTAGATGATGAGGACTCGTGAGGTTGTTGAGAGGGGATTGCGGGTGAAGCCCGTGCCGGGGGAGGTTGTGGATTGGGAGGATAAGGTGCGCGGTTTCATGGTGGTTGTGGTTGATTGAGAGTTGGAAAATGTTTTCTCGGTTGAAGTTGATTTTGAACAGGACTTGGGATTCGGTTGTGACTACCGCACGCTTGATAACCCTAGATTTGCGACCTCGGCACATATTCGGTCACTTCGATGAAGGGGATGGAGCAATTGGAAACTCAACCCAAAGGATAACGCAGAATAATATCCTCAGTGAGGTCTCGGCAACTGGCATCCGTAGCCGATCGGCTATATGAACCCTCGCGGCCGGGGCCCAAGCGATTAGCGACACCGCTCCAGCAACAACGCCGTTCCAACAGCCTACAGTCGGAACACTATGTCCGTTGGCATGTCCGGATCATCTTCAAACTTCTTTACCGTCCGCAACGCCCGCCTCCCAACCACCACCACATCTCCCTCCCTCGTCGACGTCACCTGCGATCCGTCCACAGGCCTCATCGCCTCCATCACCTCCTCCTCCTCATCCCCCAACACCTCGCCATCTCCCTCCGACCTCGACGCGTCCGGGTCAATAGTCATCCCACCCCTCTGCCACCCCCACCTCCACCTCGACAAATGCTTCCTCCTGGACCGATGTGCCATGGTAGACGGGTACGCTATCACTCCTCCTCCCTCCCCTCCCCTCAAGCTGACATGTTGTCCATTCAGAGGTTTCGCAGAAGCCATGTCACTCACCTCCTCAGCTAAAGCCCTCTTCACCACCGAGGATTTACTGCAACGCGGCCACAGACTCGTGAAGGAGTCGATCGCACACGGGGTACTCACCCTCCGCGCACACGTCGAAGTCGACACGACTGTGGGCCTCATATGCCTCGAGGCAGGGGTAGAGCTGAAACGCTTCTACACAGATGTGTGTGATATTCAAATCGCCGTATTCGCGCAAGACCCCATCTTCTCCCGCTCCCCCACCGAACGCGACCAAATGCTCCGTCTTTTGGGAGAAGCGGCCGGGATGGAGGGGGTCGATTGCGTGGGGTCTGCACCCTACGTAGATCGCGGTCACGAAGGGGAGAATATCGAGTTTATCGTCGAGTTGGCGAGACGGAATGGATTGATGCTCGATTTCCATATCGACTACGATATCAACCCCGATACACCATCCAACATTCCCTCGATCCTCACGCACCTCCTCGACATCCCACCCGAAGAACGTCCCCACACGACACTCGGCCACGCAACGAAACTATCCGCATACCCCGCCTCTGACCTCGCCTCCCTCGTGCACACCATCGCCACCCACGCCCTACCAGTACATTTCGTCGCACTACCGACGAGCGATACCTATATCCTCGGGCAAACCTTGCATGCGCCTGAGATTGTCGCGGCGGGGTTTGGGGTGTGTTTGGGAGTGAATAACGTACAGAACCCGTTTACGCCGATGGGGTGTGCGGATCCGATGTCGCTTTTGCCATTCTGCGTTAATTTGTGGCAGTCAGCGACTTCATCCCGCGCCGAACTCTTGATGGAGATGCTCAGCACGCGAGCCGTGCGAGCCATCGGTCGTGGACCTGGGTCGGGTGACGAGGTAGGGATGGGGTTAAGGGAGTACTTTACGGTTGGGAGGGAAGCGTCGTTCGTGGTGTTACATGGTGTGGAGAGTTTGGTGGAGGGGGCTTGTGCGGCGCCGGGTGGGGAGAGGAGTGTCGTGCGGAAAGGAAACATTGTGGGGAGGAGGAGGGTTGAGATGTGGGTCCGAGTATAGTATAGGTCTCTTCGTACCGTTCTCGCGTCTGCGCGTGGGGCGAGGCAGAGGCCTCGTATTCGGACGACTGAAACATATGCATAGCTATAGGGGATGGACGCCATGAGCTCAGTTTGAGCTCCGTGCTACATGGTTACGCTGCCATCCGCCTGACTTAAATTCAAATATCATGCCCATAATCTCTCGCAATACCCGCCCTCCCCTCCTGCACCACCGCCCCCTCCCCATCATCCTCTCCCTCCTCCTCATCCACATCAACATCATTCCCAAGCCCCTTCCACACCTTTCCTTTCTGGAGGTATTCTGCACTGGGACTAAACACGCCACCGATCGTCGTCGCGGTCACGAGTGCGCGTGCACCGTTCGACTGGACGAGGTCCGTTGTGTGGGATGGGTCGAGGGAGAGGGTTTTTGTTGCCATGGGGCGGGAGGAGGATTCGTAGCGGCCTGTGATGAGGGAGAAGTGGGGTTCGTCGTCGTCTGATGCCCATGGGTCTTTTCCTTCGTCGTCGTTACCAGGAGGATTGGAGGAGTTGAGACGCATGACTCGATCGAAGTCCGTGACCCACTCCCCCGTCCAGCTCGGCGCCTCACCACCCCTCGCCCGCAACGCGAGTCCGAGTTCGTAGGGAGTGACGACAGGACGGTAGAAATCGCGGGATTCAATCAAGGAGTTTTCGCCGCAGGCTACGAGGACGAAACATTCCACTTCCCCGAAATTTGCCATTTTGGCGGGGTTGAGTTTGCCCATCACAAACGTATACGGCTTCTTTCCGGCTTCGAAGATGAGCTTGCGGAGGTCGCTGATTAAAGTCAAATAGCCCGCTACGCCGAGTGTGCCGACGACGATTCCGATTGTTCCGGCGTCACGGGCTTTTTGGACCATCGCGTATCGACGACGGAGACGGGCGTTGGTTGTCGGTGATTCGAGGGTTGTGCGGAGGGTGAGGGGGTTGTGCGAGTAGATCGAGGATGTGAGGGAGTTGTGGGTCATGAGGAGGGTTGTGAGGGTCGTTGAGGGTGGGCCGAGGTAGAAGATAGTGTAGTCGCTCAAGGGCTTTGCTTCTGGGAGGGAGTATTCTCGGCCGGGGAGGGTGCTGGTGCTGGTTGGTGAGGAGGTGGAGGAGAGAGGAGGTACGGTGTCGATTGTGGCGTGGGTTGTTTCGATGGTATTAGTGTAGCCTGCTTCTCGTAGCCTTTGGCAGAATGAGGGAAGAGCGTGTGAGTATGTGACGTCGGACATGGCGATGACGTCTGCGTCCTTGCTCTCTAACACCTCCTCGAATCCCTTGACGGCGGCGTCCAGGTCGACTGGTCTTCGGCCGAAGACGTAGATGACGGGTAGTCTTGAGGTTGGTGACAGACATGCGCGGCCGTAGTGGACGATTGCGTCGGCTGAGATGTGTTCGGCGGCGACTTCGTCGACACAGCAGGAGCCGTAGGAGGTGTCGGCGAGAACGTAGACTTTTTGACCGTCCGTGAGGGGTTTTCGCAGCGCATCAACAACACCAGCCGCGTCGCTCAGTAACTCATCGGAGAATTGTAATGCAATATTCCTGTATCCTCCCTCCTGGATCAGCCGTACTGTCCGCTCGATCTCGTACACTTCATGAAAAGCATAGCCAGTGGCTGAGGCGGGCAATTGCTCAACTTCGACCGTACGTTCCAGCACCGCTGTCGCATCGTCAGACAGAGGAGGAGCCGTAGTCAATTCCGCAGCCATGAAGATCGAACAAGTGGTTGACGAATTCGGTATTTTCTCGGGGTGTAACGTAGACGTTTTTGTTATCGGCTGCGCCACGGGTCTGTGGCTCGCACACCCAACTTTTTCTGGAGGCCTACCAGCACTCGAGGCAGACCGCCGCTCTTTCCACCAACAACCGCCAAGTCAACATGAGGTCCGTGATATCCCTACATGAGTCTGTACAGAGCTTAGCATCGAACTAACTCGCCGACTCTTTAGGGTCCACACCTGCTACTTCTGCTCTTCCCCCGTCTACCCGGGTCATGGTATCATGTTCGTCCGTAACGACTCCAAGGAGTTCCGGTTTTGTCGGTCAAAGTGCCACAAGAATTTCAAGATGAAGAGGAACCCGAGAAAGGTTCGCTGGACGAAGGCTTTCAGGAAGGCTGCTGGAAAGGAGATGGTCATCGTATGTCACCCCTCGATCGTTGTGATTGATCCGGAACGGTTGCTAATGAGTATCATTTCCAGGACACCACGCTCACTTTCGCTGCCCGCCGCAACCTTCCCACTCGCTACTCCCGCGATCTCGTCTCGAAGACGCTACACGCCATGCGCCGCGTCGCCGAAATCCGCAAAAAGCGCGAAATCGCATTCTACAAGAACCGCATGGCCGGCAACAAGGAGCGGGAACTCAGGGAGGCGCGCAAGGTCGTGGAGAAGAACTCGGAGTTGTTGCAGGGAGAGTACGATTCCGACGAGGAGGAGGAGTTGGAGGAGGAGGTTATGGAGGTCGAGGAGGGGATGGATGTCGAGGAGGACGAGGAGGAGGAGAAGGAGAAGGTCAAGGTGTTGGTCAAGAACAGCAGGAAGAAGAAGGTCAGGATGGCCGATGGGATGGACTTGGACTAGACCACACTCGCTGGTCGAAGTGGCGAGGGGGAGTTCTATTGCAGTCGGTGTGCGGCGTGATGATACCGTGGATGTGGTGTCTGCCTGTGCCGGTTTGCCGATGTTGACTGCTGTTTGATTGTTCTTGGTTTTGGGTACACGGTTTTTGGGATTTATTTTGCATACTACATCATACCCTCTCAAGGGGCTAAAAAGACTTGATACCTTTTCGCACACTGGTTTCCTATGTCTGCACTCCCAACGGTAACCGTCAGTGACATCCAGGCAATCTTCAGTGAAATATTCACATCAAACCAATCTTACCATTCCAATACCTCTCCCTACCGAATAGAGAATAGCTCGTGCGTCCCGTGCCTCAAGAACTGTGTAACGTTGACTGTACTCTACGTAGTAACATCGCACTCTCTTCCCACAGACCGTCACGGCTTGCTTCGCATCTTCGCCCCTAGACCTAAGACCTCGCTGCTGAATCAGACGTTCTTTATCATTGTCTCCTCTTTCTTTCAGTACACAATACATAGGCAATCGGCGCAGATACGACGAGGAAAAATAGCAGGCATGGCAGCACCCGCCGTCCCAAAATCCAGAATATTACTGGTACGTAACGATCGCGAAAAAGAACAAAGTGAAGTCAGCTAACCCGACTTTCGTCAGTTATGCGGCCTCGGGAACCCAGGTAGCGGATATGCCCGAACACGACACAACCTCGGCCAAATCGTCGTGGATCACCTCCAGAAACAATTACGGTCACCCCCGTTCGCACAATCATCCGGATGGGGCGGTACGCTTTCTCTACCTCCGAACCATACGGGTGATGAAGGGGGTGTATTACTCTTCAAGCCGAGTGCGTATATGAACAACTCGGGCAAATCCGTAAAGAAGGCCTGGGATAATCTCATCACCAGCATACCCCAACCCGACAAACCACGAGCAACCCTCGTCGTTCTCTACGACGACCTAGAATCAAACTTTGGCGCCGTCAAACTCGCCGAATTCGGAAAAGGAAAAGGACACAACGGGATCAAATCCTGTAACGCGCATCTCGGGTTCGAGACCTACTTCCGGATCAAACTCGGGACGGGAAGACCGGAGAGTAGGGATCCGGAGGATGTGGCGAGGTTTGTGTTGGATCCGTTTACGGGGGGGGAGTGGGATGAGGTTGAGAGGAGTGTGGTGCCGAGGGTGATACAGATGATAGAGAAGATACGGAATAGACCATATGCATGACTTGAAGGATATCTGGCAGATCCAGGAGATATGCACTGCACACGATACGAAGCATGGTAAACCATTTGATTCGCCACTAATGATATGCATACACGTCGTCTTCATACCCATAGTTCCATACCTAATACTAACGTGCAGAACTCAGTTGCAACTCTACCAGAAGCCCACGCCACACCTGCAATCACCACCCCGCATCCTCAACCCTGCCCCCACCATGCCCTCCCTGCCCTTGCCCATGCCCATGCGCAGGCCCCAAGTCCTCCCTCCCCTGCCTCGCCAACATCCTAACATTATCAACAAAAACCTGCACGAACCCATCAAACGTAACCCCATCCCCCCCCTCCGGTCCCTTCCCCTGACTAACCCTCCTCATCAAATCCCGCAGCTTGGGGATATCGGATAACTCCACCTCGAGTTCGTGTGTTTTGCGATCGACTTGGGTTAGGTCGACTTGAATGTGTTGGTGGGTGTACTGCATGCGGTCTTTGTCGCGTTGGGTTGTGGGGGAGAGGTGGGGGGGTGGTGGGGACGCGCGGTGTTCGTAGTTGATCGTGAGGCGCCAATCGAAGATTGAGGTTGGTGAGTAAACGTGTAAATCCGCAATCTTTTCTTTCGCGATCACTTCCAACACCTCCCCCGTCTTTTTGTCGACACTTACGCGGGTACGGTTTGGGCCCGAGGTAGCAGGGTAGAATTTGTCGATTTGGCGGAGGTGTTTGTACTCGATTTGGGCGCGGTGGGCGCGGGATAGGTGGCTTTCTTGGACTTGTTTGTTGAGGAATTCGTTGTAGTCGCGGTGTTGTCTTTGGGTCATGTCTGCTTCGAAGCGGAACCATTTTTTCTCGTTTCGGCCGAATTCGTCGATGACGACGTCGGACAATACGGGGAGATAGACTCGTTGCTTGGTGTCTATATCGATCAATCGTCCCAGTTTGGCTTCGATTTCGATGGTTGCGCCGGGTGGGGGTTGGAGGTGGGGTGGAGCGGCGTGGATTGTGGTGTAGAAGAAGTTGCAGACGGCTTCGGTGATGGGGTTGATCACTGGCTGATTATTGATCGTAGGTTCGAGTCTGCGTGTGGAAGGCGAGGAGGTTGCGGGGGGTGGGTGCACCGTGGTTTGTCGCGAGGGTGTATGCGCGACGGATGAATCCGACCTCTTGCGTTTCGCTGGCGGTGGTGTCGAATCCGAGATCGACGACTTCCTCTGGTCTCCGGTCGCGACTGCGGGTCCAGCGTTCACAGGAGGCGCGGGCGCATTCATCTGGCTCGGTTTCTCGTCTCTCCCATTCCCACTCGCAGTGCCCAAACTCCCCACCGTATCTCTGAGCACAACACCCTCACTCTCCCTAACCTTCCTCGTCTCCGTAGGACCCTGCGTCCCATCCTCTTCGATCGTGATATCGGTACCAGGCGCGACACGTATCGGCGCATCCCGATCGTCAACAACATTCGCATCATCGTGCAACACGACGGCACTCTCCTCCCCTCCAACCAAGTCCTCGTCTGCTTTCTCACCGTCGGCCATGGCGTCGACAGCCTCCATCCTCTCATCTAACCCGACGTCATCGTCGACTTCGGCCTCGCGCTCCTCGATCGCGGTTCGTTCGGCCCAGACTTGACCGTTTGGCGCGGGGGAATCAGCGGAGTCAGCGAGCATGGAGGAGATATCCATCGTGCTGCGGCGGCGGTTGGGGTTTGGGATCAGTGGTGAAGGCGAACGGTCGGTGCCGTATGACATTTGCAATTGCGCAGGGCAAGTTGAGCAAGTTGAGCAAGTTGAGCGTCCCTCCCAGTTGCAGTTGGCCGTGACGTCGCGATCCGGGTGGGTGCGGCGAACGCGCTCACGTATACATGCAGGCTGGTGTCCGGACAAGGGGAACACGGGAGGGAGAGATACATGGGGGGTTTCGGTAATAGATTGGAATGGATATACGGCTACATGGCAAATGACCTGCTCGCCCACGACCGGGCGCAGTGATTTCAGGTGAGCGTCGAACTTTATATCGTGTGACCCCGAGGGCGCTTTCTCCTGCGGCTGCCCCGCCCAGACCTAACCACCAAAGAACAAGACAAGAGCAAAAAGGTTGGTACCACGCGGCGGCGATGGCAACGACGTCGTCATGCTAATGGAATCAAAACAGCCAGCACGCATCCGCAACCATGTCCTCCCCAACCGCCGCCTCCTCCTTTGGCGTAACCACCGAATCCACCACGATCACCGACCTCGGCGTCTTCCGTGCCCAGGGCTCCCGCAACCACCAGGAAGACCGCTATACTGTCCTCTCCCCCTCCTCGGACCCCGCCGGCGATATCCCACCCAACTACGCCTTTTACGCAATCTACGACGGCCACGGATCCGCCGCAGTTTCCTCCCACGCTCGCGCAAACCTTCATAAATATTTATTTGGGAGTAAGGCATTCAGGGAGGGTGATTTGGAGGGCGCGATGAGGGAGGCGTTCAAGAAGGAGGATGAAGCGTTGTTCGAGATGTTACTCGAGGTGAATGACGAGGAGTGGCGGAAAGGCGGATCAACAGCCTGTGCAGTCCTCCTCGACCTCTCCTCCTCCCGTCTCGTCGTCGCGGACGTGGGTGACTCCCGCGCAGTCCTCGCCGTCTCGTCGGAGGGAAAATTAACCCCCCTCCGCCTCTCACGCGATTTCTCACCGACGGATCCGGATGAGCATGAGAGGATTGAACGAGCGGGAGGTCAGGTGGATAATGAGACCCATCGTGTGGGCGGGATAAATATGTCTCGTGCGTTGGGTGATTTCGCGTATAAAACCCCTCTGGTGGAGTCGAGAGACCCGCCGCCTGCGATTCGGGTTGCGAGGGCTGAGGGGAGGGAAATCACCTCTGACCTCATCTCGCGTGTGCCATTCGTCCGATCGTTCGACTTGCACCCGCCAAGCCACCACACCGAGGGGAAGGAGACACCATTCCTAGTCCTCGCCTCAGATGGTGTCTGGAATGTGTTGTCCGACGAAGAAGTCGTCAGGATTTTGGGAAAGGGGATTAAGGCTGGATTGAAGTTGGAGGATTTGGTGAGGGAGGTTGTGGAGACGCTTGGGAAGAAGGAGTTTAGTGATAATGTTAGTATGGTTTGTGTTAGGTTTGGGTGAGTGGGCGGAGCTGATGATACCTAGAAGAAGAATACACGGAGATTAACGTTTACTTGGGCGTGGCACGCGATTACACGTGCTGTTCGGGCAAAAGTGTGTTATTAATGTCGTGTTCGTAACCAGCGAAATGCAGCAAGGTATCGAACGCACAAACTGTAATCATACTGTCACAACCTAGAAATCCTTCAAGACATCCTTAATCTCCTCCCCACCCTCCTTCCACATAACCTCCTTAATCTCACCCCACACCTTCGCCGACACACTCTGTCCCTTCTCACTCAGAATCCAATCACTCTCCTCCCTCGGTTTACACTCGCTCCAAAACACACCACTGCTCTTCTCGCCTCCGACGCCTTGGAAGACATCGTGGCCCGCACCGGCGGCTTCGGGGGCCGCGGCACACCAGACGAAGGTCCGGGAGCCTTGTTCGGTTGTCCGAGCGAGTGCTTGTTGAAAGAGGTAGAAGCCCCATGATTGGTCTTCGCGGCCGAGTTCGGAGAAGCAGAAGCCGGGGTTGGGACAGTATACGCTGATTTTCTTGTCCTCTGTGGAAGTGGAGGAACGGAGGACTGAAGCGATCTTGCGAGCGACGATCAGGTCGAGGAGTTTAGATATGAAATAACGGTCTTGACCCTGGAAACGGGAGGGGTCGTTTAAGGCTGCGAGGGGGCGTTCGGTGTCTTGCTCGGGGAATTTGGCCCAGAAGTGGACTTCGGAGCCGACGAGGATGAGGCGGGGGGTTGAGGTTGGGTCGAGCTTCACGGTGCGGCGGAGGAGGGGGAGGAGGAGGAGGGCGAGGAGGGTTGTTGAGAGGACGTTTGTTTGGAGGGTTAGTTCCCAGTTGTCGGGGGTTGTGTTCCAGGTGTTTGAGGCGATTCCGGCGTTTTCGAGGAGGATGTCGAGACGGCTGCATTCCCTCTCCACACGCTCGGCGAACTTCCGGACATTGTCGAAACTGGAGAGGTCTAATTGCCAGACTTCGAGCTTGCCCTTGAAGTTTGTGGTTTTGAGGATATCGGCTTTTGCCTTTTCGCCCTTATCGACGGAGCGGACGGCGAGGATGAGGTGAGCGGGGTTCATGGCCGCGAGGTGACGTGCTGACTCGAGACCGAGACCGACGTTTGAGCCGGTGACGATGACGGTCTTGCCGGTCAAGTCGGCCTTTGCAACGGGGAGAGCGGAAGAGTGGAAGAGTTGATCCCAGACGAAGCCGAGGTAGGAGAAGGGAGCCATGGTGATTTGACTGTATAGAGAATCGATTGAGGATGAGAAGGGGTGGTTGGGGGTATTTAGGGAGATCGAGCTTGGAGGGTGTTGGGTTCGAAGTTTGCTGGCAGTCGGACTTCGGAAGATATGTTGATCCGGTGTGACGTCGACGATCGATCCAGATCCCCCACGCGCGCCACACCCGCACAGGACAGCGAATTTTGGCCCCGCTGAACATCACTTGAAGGTTGCTGCCCTCAAGAATAGTCAAGACCGTTTTGCAGAATGGGACATCAAGTCGTTGGACGAGGTGCAGCATCCTCATGTCGAAGAGCAGCCAGTAGATGTTATTGCACATCTTCGTGTTCATGATGGTTGGAGTTGTTTGCACTGTGGTGAAGGTCTGAGCGAGAATCAAGACAATGTGAAGAGACACCTTCGCACGGTACAGAAGGTGTTTGGCGGTAAAGAAGAGAGTGATTTTCAAGCGTGTCTACTTCAAACACTGTTCCGTGACAAGAAGACTTAGGGTTAGGGTTAGGGTTTAGGGTTAGGGTTAGGGTTAGGGTTAGGGTTAGGGTTAGGGTTAGGGTTAGGGTTAGGGTTAGGGTTAGGGTTAGGGTTAGGGTTAGGGTTAGGGTTAGGGTTAGGGTT